TTGTTGTCCACGAGTAATTACATTGAATGAACCATCCCCAAGTCGACGGTATTGTCGTATCTGTGATTACCACCCAAATTTGTGAGTTACATTACAAGAGCTAGCAGATCAAAATTCTTCCCACGGTAAATATTAAACAACAGTCATGCTATTTTCCAACTTCCTACATCAAGACCCCTGTCTCAAGCATAGCTTCAGAAACTTTGCGCAAAGGACGTCAAACATTAAGTGTATCTATTTCTTTTAATTTGTAAGATGCTAGGACCTATCATATCTAATTCCAGTATTTGTCCATTTTCTGTAGAAATGGTTTGATACCCTAAACAGTATAAGAAAGACTATGGAGATAAGTTTCTAATTGGCAGATGTTCTAAGAGGTCTGAAATGCTGTAACCGAACTAAGACTATTTCAAAATGAATCAAAATATATAAGAACCTCATGAAAGTACACCAAAACCTGAAGCTTTCTTGAGACATGACACAGCAACAAATGTAAAACTCCACCAAACAACCATTTGAAAAAAAAAGGAAATATAAAACTCAGAAAAATTACCTCTGCGGTTGTCCCCACACTGGCATACTTGAATTGAGCACCTTCTCTGTAAACACGAATCTGAAGATAAAAGGATAAACTTTGGATGTGTACTTTATTTTATATAAAAAAGAGCCCAAAACAATCAAAGCAAAAGCTTAAGCAAGTCACCTACCACACCTATTGTAGATGGTGCGTTAGCTTGGTTCAAAGCTCTCTCAACAGCAGCCAAGAAACTAGACTGAAAAATCCTAAGGGGAAGTGTAGCCTCTGGAAATAGAACCACTCCTGCAGTATCACATACCATCATTGTCAATGCCTTGCATACATATCATGCTTGTCTTACAAAAAATCGTTTTTATTATGAATACCTTCGAGATAGAAAAGCGGGAGCTTTAACACGGTGCCTCCATCAACGAAATCAAGTCTGTTTTGAGTGTCTTCAACCTCTGGTGAAAACAAGTATCAATTCATAAGCTCAAAATGTGTCAAGTATAAGAAAACACAGACACGAGATGCGAGAAAAACCATCCATACCTCCAAGATAGGTATGTAGAGAAGCCACAGCTGGGTTGAAAATAAGCTCATCAGCACCATGATTATCACTGTCAAAGCACCGAAATGTAAAATCAGAGAATGCAACAGTGAGATGAAATCAAATACTGAAACATCAATGAAACCTAAGTATTGGAAAAATCAAACTAGTGATACACTCTCAAATCCGATGGCAGTGCAGAAAAAACAACACAGTCACTAGAAATGTAGAGAGGAGAGGTAAGCAAGTGATGGTGAGAGGATAAAAAGAGGGATTCGCTTACGAAACAGGCGCGTGGGAGGTAGAGTGAAATGCAGCGAGGCCGTCGTCGTCTTCGTCGGAATCAGTTTGATCCTCGACTTCCTCCACTTGCAATTCCTCGAAATCAAGCTCGCGAATCTGCTCGATCTGGAGCCTTTCTCTCTCTAGTATCCTGTCGTCGTCCATCTTTCCCTCTCTCTCCTTACGTTTACCCGCCACCAGAGAACTCTCTCTCTTCTCCACCTCCGCGTTTTCCAGAGACGACGACAACGTTTCGTTTGTCTTCGTCCTGGGAAATTAACGGGCCGGTTTCTGGAACTATTACCCGGCCCATCATCATAAATATATTAGGGTCCCAATATATTAAGCATACTTAACCAATTTCCAAATAATATGATCATGGACAACAATACTAAGGATTTCGAGTACAAAACAGAAGGTTTGTGAAAAATGATGTTTTATTATGGCAAATTTTGTTGTTGTATTGACAAATTGGAATATCAAGATGGTTCTCCCTATTCTCTCTTCAAATTATAACTTTCATCCGAACCATATAAAATTCAAAAAAACAAAAAAATTGTAAGTATTGTATACATGATTTTAAAAATTACTTAAGCTACAGCTTTAACTATATTTTGCTGGAGTTTGAACCTTTTTCCCGTTTAAATAAATCAGATAGGCATAGAAGATTAGTTAGGCTTTTTCTTTGATCAATGGAGATAGAAGGAAATCCGATTTGGCACTATAATCCTGACAGGCCTTTGCTCTTATTCTGAGCAAGTGAAAACGTAAATCAGTTTCTCTAAGTTACGGTTGCTTGCACAAGTCTCCATACCATTGCAGCTTCCACGACCACGAGCCATATTCTAATTCGAGAGAGAACCTTAAAAAGGAAAACTACATTCAACATTTTCAACTTATTATATTGTATTCAAAAATCATTATGTTAACGACTGGTTTACCACTACACAGTTGACGTATCCTTTTAGTGAAGATTTTATTTGTGTGAGTTAGCAAATGGCTGGCATCTTTTTCTATAAGATTTTGGTTAGATTATAATGCGACATCAATATATTGGATAAGATCATGAGATTCTTAAAAGAAAATGATTTCGCAGTTACCAAATATTTATCTTCTAAACAATGATTTGATGAATGTTGTGATATGATCGCATTAATTTTATAATCATCTTTGTAAACGATAACATTTTTTTTTTTTTTTTCGCGTCAATCTACATACTCAATCATCATATACAACAATTATTAAAATTTATGGACCTCTATAATTGACAACCATCAACAACGTGAAAAGCCGTATGAAAGTAGTTGTTAATGTATTACTGGTGTTGGCTTTGTGTCTATAAAAGGAAGGACGAGACCAAAGTGTTTACATAAGACAGAACAAACAAAAACACTCGACACAGTTTTAAAGACAACTAATTGATTCATCAATGGCGATGTCTGGAACATACGTGACGGATGTACCTCTGAAGGGAACGGCAGATAAACACTACAAGAGATGGAGAAGCGAGCAGAACCTCTTCCCTGACGCCATCGGCCATCACATCCAAGGAGTCACCGTCCACGAGGGTGATTCAAGAAATGTTGGCACTATTAAAATCTGGAACTACACTCGTGGTCCGTATCTATACTATTTTTCTCTATATTGGATTTGAATATATGGCTTTTGATTCTCCATAATACTGTACTTAGTCCACAAGATACATGCATGTCTTGTTCTCCAAGTTATCTCTAATAAAAAAAATTGCTGCATGTGTGATGAAGATGGGAAGGAGGAAATGTTTAAGGAGAGGATAGAGATGGACGATGAAAAGATGGTGGTGACGCTCAATGGGCTCGATGGTCACGTGATGGAGGAGCTAGAGGTGTATGTTGTAACCTTCCAGTTCATTCCCGAGTCTGAGGAAGGTTGCGTCTGCAAAGTCACTATGGTGTGGCAGAAGCGCAGCGAAGACATTCCAGAGCCCATCCACTACATGAAGTTCGTCGAGAAGATGGTTGCTGACATGGACGACCACATCCTCCAAGAACAGACTGAAATGGTGGATGCTTGATCATCATCACATGACCTCTTTTATTTGTGTGTGTTTTTACATCCTCCTTTTTTGTGTGTGGTAAAATGCGAAATCTTTACATCCTCTTTTATTTGTGTGTGTCTTTACATCCTTCTTTTTTGTGTGTGGTAAAATTTGAAATCTTTACATCCTCTTTTATTTGTATTTTTTTCGTGTATGATACTTGATTGAATCAAGTTGATTCTATCATCATGGTGTTGTATGTCCAACGTACCTTAATAAGAGTATTGTTGTTTTTCTTTTGAACAAAGTCTCTATAAGAGTATTGTTGGTAGTTTATAGAAAAAAAAAAAAAATCTATAATAATATGCTGTTACGATATATATATATATATATATATATATATATATATATATATATAAAGAATTGCTTTCTTATTTAAAGTGCAAGTTTAACTAATTTAGTTGTTAAGAAATCTAATAGGAGAAACCATGGAGAAGATCCCACTCCGTTGGCAACGACGGTGAAGACAATAGACAAGATCATCGGGAACCGGTTAAGCTCTATCCGCACAATGGGAGATGACAACTATGAAGGAAGTCTCATGTTTTGGTTTTCTTAGGGTTTTCTACAAGGAACTAAGAAAACAGATTTCTTTTTCTAATGTATCAACCTAGCTCAAACAAGAAACACTTGATGTAACAAACGGCTTTTGATTGAATATAATTTTACATTCATTCAAACAAAAAAAATGTTTAAAGATGTGGTGAAAGATGGGGATAAAGTTATGGTTGAATGTTTTGGTGTGAAAACCACCCTTTTTTTATTTACATTTGATTAAAATCATGTATATTAAAGAGAAGACAAACTGTGTCGAGCATAAAAAAAGGAAGATGCATTATTGATGATACCAGGTTTACGATTCTTAAAACTTGCTTACGCAACTGGATCAGTCTAATGATTTGTTTGAACTCCACGGTTTTCAAAATTTCAGATTAATGGTACTTATAGACCAAACATAGACATATATACAAGAACCAAGACCGCCAGACAGTAGTCAGTAGTCACTCATCATTTGGGTCTATTAGCCACCAATATGAAGCCAATGGCTAAACTATAAAGAAGTATTGATCCCAAATTAGTTTAAATTTGAATGAATGAAAATTTGTCCTGTTGCTTGCATTTATAAGTAAGCTTTCATTTTCATTTTTTGTAGGACCAGAATTAAGTCCGATCGTTTACTTGGTACAATATAAGCTAAAGGTATTTGTAAGTCTTTAACCTTATATTTGGCGCTATGAGTTCTGGATTATATGGAGGAATTAGGAGATTGCTAAAATGACATATTATACGAAACTGCTATAACTTGGTGAAGAGAAATACATTTGTTTTTTAATCCGACTATTTTCTTTAGGCTTTTAGAAGCTAAGACGATCGCCTAAACAACACAGCAAATACGAACAAAAATAAATAAATAAACAGAACACGTAATTGTTGTTGTTGTTGTCGAACATATAAAAATAAGATTTTAGACAAACATATCTAAAACACCAATACCAATGGCAATCCCTAGTCCTAGATGTTGTCTCCGACATGATCCAAGAGAAACGCAAATTTTAGCCATGTTCCTTAACACATCAACCACCGTACTTGCAAAGGTTCTCGAAACCCATGTACTCGTGCCGTTGGATTTTACCAATCATGTTCACTATTCCCACACCACCTACAAAACAGAGAATCAACAACACTGACAAAAATCAGACAACTTTTAGGACTCAAAAGAAGATAATGTTTAGGAGAGGAGGGAGGTGATGTACCAAGCGAAATCGCGCTGATAAAGATCATAGATGCGAGGATGAAGATGATGAGAGACGCCCGGCCGAGGACTGTGATTAGCCTCCTGACTACATGCTGTCCAACAAAAGCTGCAATTGTTGCCACTGCCACTAGGTACAGAGCTGCACAAAAAAAAGTAAACAGATTATTGATGGATATCATGAAACTGTAACAGACAAACAGCAGCAAGAGAACTCACCATATGGAACAGGGAACCGTTTAAGAAGATAGTATTCTATAACAGACATTGATGAAGAGAAGGTCATTGCAAAAGTAGCCGTTGCACTTGAGACCTACCAAAACAAAAACAAAAACCACTTGAGAAGATCGTTCTTGTTCTTGTTGAATACAAGAACAAGTGATTCGTTTGTAAGAAATTTCACACCTGTGGAGGGACACCGAGCTCTAGAAACAATGGACCCATAATGAAACCTCCACCTAAACCAAGTAAACCACCGACTACACCCGCCAATACACCAAATGTACAGTACATAACGAGCTGACCAACGGTGAAATCCGAGCCTCCTTGTCCTTTAGATGCAATGATTCTTCTACCTTGGTACAAAGCTACTGCTTCATAGCCTGATACACCAACTGCAACAGGAATCTGCATGATGGTAAGATGGCTTAAGCATCTATAAGCAGTATAAATGAATCTCTCTCTATACCAAAAATGAAAATGTAATTAAGTCTATTACCTGTAGCAAGTTTATGACCCAATATGCTACTGAACAATTAGCCAAATTTTGCTGTTTTCCATGAAAAAAAAAGTATCAGTAAAGTTTGAACATGAACAAGAAGTCTGTATAATTTGGTAAAAGAAAAGATAACCAACCTTAATGATCTGCAGTGCCAAGAATACAACCCATACGAAAACGAGAAGCCCGAGTTCCTTCCAGTATACATTTTCAAGAATACTTACCTGCAGTAGTACATTAACTAACATGTTTAATTCATGACTAAAACTTGCAAACACAGAACCAGCCGTAACGACGTGAAGAGATTGCCACTTACTTCTTCTTTCTTGCTGTTTCCATTGTTCGTGCCCGGAGCTGCGGGAAGAGGATGGTATTCAACTTCTTCCCCAGATACACCTGATGATGAAAAGGTAAATCAGTGCTCTTCCACTAAAACCAAAAATGTTAAACCACACAAAAATTCAACTCACCGTTTGACTCTAAACGCTTCGCAGCTTCCTATAACACAAAACAGAGGAAAATTACTAGAGATTATACAAAAAAACTCACTAACCAAAAACTAAAAATTGTACCTTTTTCTCTATAGTTTCTTTATTCCAAGTCTCAACACCTTTCAGAAACGCCTTTGTTGATGTTCCTACAAACATTGAATAAAAATTTCATCATTTTCAAACTCTAACCACCGACTGAAAAATCGGAAACTTTATATGATTCTTACCGAGAAAGAGTATGATGAGAAGAACTGTAACCATCCAATCATAGTAATGTGTAGAACTATTAATCCATGTTTGGGTAAGTATGGGTCCATCTAGTTCATCTTATACACTACAAGTGAGTTTCCACAATGTGGAGTCACAGAGGTACATTTCGGACTCCTTACCTCTTCCGGTTCCCAAATTAGGTCCATTTGATGTTCCTCCCTTGGATTGAGACCGTTTCACTCATGTTTGTCCTCATAGTCATGTGTAGAACCTATTAATCCATGTTTGGGTAAGTATGGGTCCATCTAGTTCATCTTATACACTACAAGTGAGTTTCCACAATGTGGAGTCACAGAGGTACATTTCGGACTCCTTACCTCTTCCGGTTCCCAAATTTGGTCCATTTGATGTTCCTCCCTTGGATTGAGACCGTTTCACTCATGTTTGTCCTCATAGTCATGTGTAGAACCTATTAATCCATGTTTGGGTAAGTATGGGTCCATCTAGTTCATCTTATACACTACAAGTGAGTTTCCACAATGTGGAGTCACAGAGGTACATTTCGGACTCCTTACCTCTTCCGGTTCCCAAATTAGGTCCATTTGATGTTCCTCCCTTGGATTGAGACCGTTTCACTCATGTTTGTCCTCATAGTCATGTGTAGAACCTATTAATCCATGTTTGGGTAAGTATGGGTCCATCTAGTTCATCTTATACACTACAAGTGAGTTTCCACAATGTGGAGTCACAGAGGTACATTTCGGACTCCTTACCTCTTCCGGTTCCCAAATTAGGTCCATTTGATGTTCCTCCCTTGGATTGAGACCGTTTCACTCATGTTTGTCCTCATAGTCATGTGTAGAACCTATTAATCCATGTTTGGGTAAGTATGGGTCCATCTAGTTCATCTTATACACTACAAGTGAGTTTCCACAATGTGGAGTCACAGAGGTACATTTCGGACTCCTTACCTCTTCCGGTTCCCAAATTTGGTCCATTTGATGTTCCTCCCTTGGATTGAGACCGTTTCACTCATGTTTGTCCTCATAGTCATGTGTAGAACCTATTAATCCATGTTTGGGTAAGTATGGGTCCATCTAGTTCATCTTATACACTACAAGTGAGTTTCCACAATGTGGAGTCACAGAGGTACATTTCGGACTCCTTACCTCTTCCGGTTCCCAAATTAGGTCCATTTGATGTTCCTCCCTTGGATTGAGACCGTTTCACTCATGTTTGTCCTCATAGTCATGTGTAGAACCTATTAATCCATGTTTGGGTAAGTATGGGTCCATCTAGTTCATCTTATACACTACAAGTGAGTTTCCACAATGTGGAGTCACAGAGGTACATTTCGGACTCCTTACCTCTTCCGGTTCCCAAATTTGGTCCATTTGATGTTCCTCCCTTGGATTGAGACCGTTTCACTCATGTTTGTCCTCATAGTCATGTGTAGAACCTATTAATCCATGTTTGGGTAAGTATGGGTCCATCTAGTTCATCTTATACACTACAAGTGAGTTTCCACAATGTGGAGTCACAGAGGTACATTTCGGACTCCTTACCTCTTCCGGTTCCCAAATTAGGTCCATTTGATGTTCCTCCCTTGGATTGAGACCGTTTCACTCATGTTTGTCCTCATAGTCATGTGTAGAACCTATTAATCCATGTTTGGGTAAGTATGGGTCCATCTAGTTCATCTTATACACTACAAGTGAGTTTCCACAATGTGGAGTCACAGAGGTACATTTCGGACTCCTTACCTCTTCCGGTTCCCAAATTAGGTCCATTTGATGTTCCTCCCTTGGATTGAGACCGTTTCACTCATGTTTGTCCTCATAGTCATGTGTAGAACCTATTAATCCATGTTTGGGTAAGTATGGGTCCATCTAGTTCATCTTATACACTACAAGTGAGTTTCCACAATGTGGAGTCACAGAGGTACATTTCGGACTCCTTACCTCTTCCGGTTCCCAAATTAGGTCCATTTGATGTTCCTCCCTTGGATTGAGACCGTTTCACTCATGTTTGTCCTCATAGTCATGTGTAGAACCTATTAATCCATGTTTGGTAAGTATGGGTCCATCTAGTTCATCTTATACACTACAAGTGAGTTTCCACAATGTGGAGTCACAGAGGTACATTTCGGACTCCTTACCTCTTCCGGTTCCCAAATTAGGTCCATTTGATGTTCCTCCCTTGGATTGAGACCGTTTCACTCATGTTTGTCCTCATAGTCATGTGTAGAACCTATTAATCCATGTTTGGGTAAGTATGGGTCCATCTAGTTCATCTTATACACTACAAGTGAGTTTCCACAATGTGGAGTCACAGAGGTACATTTCGGACTCCTTACCTCTTCCGGTTCCCAAATTAGGTCCATTTGATGTTCCTCCCTTGGATTGAGACCGTTTCACTCATGTTTGTCCTCATAGTCATGTGTAGAACCTATTAATCCATGTTTGGGTAAGTATGGGTCCATCTAGTTCATCTTATACACTACAAGTGAGTTTCCACAATGTGGAGTCACAGAGGTACATTTCGGACTCCTTACCTCTTCCGGTTCCCAAATTAGGTCCATTTGATGTTCCTCCCTTGGATTGAGACCGTTTCACTCATGTTTGTCCTCATAGTCATGTGTAGAACCTATTAATCCATGTTTGGGTAAGTATGGGTCCATCTAGTTCATCTTATACACTACAAGTGAGTTTCCACAATGTGGAGTCACAGAGGTACATTTCGGACTCCTTACCTCTTCCGGTTCCCAAATTAGGTCCATTTGATGTTCCTCCCTTGGATTGAGACCGTTTCACTCATGTTTGTCCTCATAGTCATGTGTAGAACCTATTAATCCATGTTTGGTAAGTATGGGTCCATCTAGTTCATCTTATACACTACAAGTGAGTTTCCACAATGTGGAGTCACAGAGGTACATTTCGGACTCCTTACCTCTTCCGGTTCCCAAATTGGTCCATTTGATGTTCCTCCCTTGGATTGAGACCGTTTCACTCATGTTTGTCCTCATAGTCATGTGAGAATATTAATCCATGTTTGGGTAAGTATGGGTCCATCTAGTTCATCTTATACACTACAAGTGAGTTTCCACAATGTGGAGTCACAGAGGTACATTTCGGACTCCTTACCTCTTCCGGTTCCCAAATTAGGTCCATTTGATGTTCCTCCCTTGGATTGAGACCGTTTCACTCATGTTTGTCCTCATAGTCATGTGTAGAACCTATTAATCCATGTTTGGGTAAGTATGGGTCCATCTAGTTCATCTTATACACTACAAGTGAGTTTCCACAATGTGGAGTCACAGAGGTACATTTCGGACTCCTTACCTCTTCCGGTTCCCAAATTAGGTCCATTTGATGTTCCTCCCTTGGATTGAGACCGTTTCACTCATGTTTGTCCTCATAGTCATGTGTAGAACCTATTAATCCATGTTTGGGTAAGTATGGGTCCATCTAGTTCATCTTATACACTACAAGTGAGTTTCCACAATGTGGAGTCACAGAGGTACATTTCGGACTCCTTACCTCTTCCGGTTCCCAAATTAGGTCCATTTGATGTTCCTCCCTTGGATTGAGACCGTTTCACTCATGTTTGTCCTCATAGTCATGTGTAGAACCTATTAATCCATGTTTTGGATCCTTTTCTCTTGAATCCTGCTCCAAATCAGGACACCTTTCAACTTACCGATCAGTCTTATAACTTCTTCCTATCACTTGCCCACTAGGTAAGGTCGTGTGACATATTAATTTGAAAGCACAATATTAATCTCTAAATTTATTTTTTGAATAACTGCCAAAACTCGGACATAACAAATGTTAAGTCCAAAAACATATCTGCTCCTAGAACTGAACGAGAACAAAAATGAATAATATTTCCTTTTGTTAAATGATTAAATCCAAACCATAATACATAAGAATGATGATATATTTTGTTACAATTAACAAAAATCCAAACTGAACTACATATTTGGTTTCATCTTGGCTTAACCCAAAAATCCTGAACCAAAACTATTTATAATACTAAACCTTATATAACATAGGCACATAGTGCATCTAATTTAAAGGACCATAAAAATTGCAGCCATGTCATGTCAATTGGTTGGCTAATCTTGAGATAGCCGAGTAAGTACCACAACAACCACTCACCACCCCGAAGATTATAATGAACACGCATAATCCGATCTGAACAAAAATTAACACACAAAGAAGATCAAATTAAACCCTGGTTAAGACTAACAAAATTCTCCACGAGAATCAAATCATTATTTCGAAGAATGTCTATAAACGGAAAAAAAAAATGCAGTAAAGTAGATATGTTCTTACTTGTGTGTTATTTAATTTACCCTTGAGGATACTGAGATAACATAGGCATGGAATGATAAGAGCCTGCAACCAAAATAAACTTTTGTTTTCGTGGATTCGATCAATTTTTTAATATTAATTATTCATGATGATGAACTTACCACAAGCATTGCAAGGAACGATCCGATTAGTGCAGCCACAATCGCTGTAAATAAGAAAAACCGATTAGAGAAGCTATGATGAAATGGGTTTCTTGCATAGGAAGTTACAGAAATGAGCTTGTTATTAGGTCACTTGCTCATGACGTTATGAAAAACAGAAATTACCGAAGAAAGGAACGGAAAGAGCCACGACTAAGGTTGAGGTAACAAGGATTGTTCGGAAGACTATCGATACACCATGCGATCTCATCTTAGCCGTTGGAATGAGTTCTTCGAGACTCAAAACAATTGGGGTGATTGTTAACGCGTATTTTGTCATCGGTGTAACGACCTATAAGATTGATGAAACTCAATTTCTTGATTAACTAAACATATATACAGTGAATCGATGAGAATGATGTATCTTACCGCTGTCCAAACCGCAATTTTAGATGATAGGAAGTGTTTAGGCATGTTTAACGTGAATTGTGATTGGACAACTTCGCCAAACATGGTGTAACCGCAGGTTGCTACTGCTATGTATAAGACCGTACAGAAACTAAAGCTGCATAAGAAAGAAGAAAGAATTAGTCTATATTAGGGTACCTTGAGAAACAAGTAAGCAGTGATTTTTGGACTTACCAGATGATTAAGACAAGAGGAAACTTTGAAGGATCTTTCATGGAAGAATATATGTTTGGAAAAACAGAATGACCTGAGTAACCAAACCCAAATATCCCTATCGTAACAGGCAAGTTACTGAGATCCAAAAGTCTTCCTGTTGAGTGAAACCCGATTCCATCGACCACACCTACCCAGAAGAGGCAGAGACCGAGCAAGATCGAAGCCAAGACTCCTCCAACTACATTAGAGAGTTTCAAAATCGCAAGATTGGATCAATTAAGCGAAAGAAACAGAGAGATTTCAGAGGGAAGATCAAACCTGAAAGATAAGAAAGCAAACTAAGATCTTTAAGCCAGACTGTCGGAAGAACAAGAAGAGTTGTTAAGATTGCAAAGATCTGAGCCGAGTCTAGAGAAATCCCTGCAGCAATGCTCAGTGAAACGTTTGGGAATAGTCCTGATAAATTATCGCTCATCATGATTATGTATTCCACACAAGCTGCCTATTTTTTTTGTAAACGAAAACAATTGTCAACAGTTGATTGAAAAATTTAAAGAGTATCTAATGTTAACGAAGATGAAAACTTACGTACAACTCCACGTAGAGAAGGATCTGTGATTCAAGAAACAGAACAAGGTTTCAGTTTTAAGAACAAGAATCCTTAAAAAAGCTTTATGGTAATTTTTGTTGGATGGATGATTATAAAAACTTACGGAGATGACAAAGCGACCGGTGATACCAAAGGCGGCTTGACCGATATCAGGGTAAGTTTGAAGACCAGGAGAGCTTTCTAGACATCTCTTCATGAGAACACCTGTGTAGCAAGTGATGACTCCAAAGAGCACGAGTATGACCAAACCAAGCCATCCACTTTCTTTTATAGCATAAGGCATTGTTATTAACCCTAGTCCACACAGAACATTGGTTCCTGCAATCATAATTACAAAATGGCGATGGAATGATACAACAGTCACCATTAGGGCTTCTTAATTATCATAATAACTGTTAAAGTGGTGATTTTACCGTTGAGGACGGATTGAGAGAAGGAGCAGAGATTAGAATCTGGTAAAGGAAGATCGGTGACGGATAGCTTCAGCTGAGATGGAAAATTGGGGGGCTTGACAGGTAATATAGTCTCTTCTTTGTCGGAGATTGGTTGAGAGAGGAGAGGTTTGCTTGAGGAAGAAGAAAACGAATCGCAAAATGAAGATTGTTGTCTCTTGTGGAAGGAAGAGGCATTTCTCCGGGAACCGCTTCGAGGCATGAAACTCAACGAAGGTGGAGTCATTCCGGTCAACAAATCCATTGATTGCCTGAACAAAAATTGAGATTTTTTGAAATCCGAGAGAATTAAACAAAGGAAACAGAGGAAACTGATGATTTTTACCGATAACTTTGTGGCCATGGAGTATTTGAGACATCCGAGAGATTGTTATCGGAACGGTTTCGAGATAGTGGAGAGGAGGAATCGGAATTCGAACCTCCTCTCCGACCGGCACCGTTTCCGTCGTGTTCATCGTCGGAACAAGCAAGCTCTGCTTGATTTTCCTCGTCATCTGTCAGAAACGAATGGTCTCTGTCGTGTAAGAATTCTTCGTCGAGTTTCATCTTCCTCTGTTTTCTCGATCTGAAGGAAATGCAGAAGAATTGTGCAGAGAGAGAGAGAGAGAGAGAGAGAGACGGAGAACGGGTTTTAGTTTCCGGCGAGTCAAAGAGATTTCTTCTATATATGGAAACATATCAATGGAGACTAAAATATTTAATATTTGTTTCTTCTTTTTTTTCTTCTTGCGGTGTAGAATTGATTCTGACGATATTCTTAGGATTTGTATTCTACGAACTTGCAAAATATTATTTTTTGTCTTTTCTTCTGTTGACTAACTTCCAAATCTGTAATTATCTATCAATTTTACACCACCAGTCCCATTTTTCAAAATATTCGTTTATTTATTAGTAGTTTGAAAAAGTAAAAAAAAAAAACAAACACATTTTGATATGTAACACAAAAGAGACTTTTTGGTTTATCGGAAACCGGCTTCTGATCAAGGTATCCGGTATAATCAGGCCATTTGGCCGATTAACCTGGCGATCGCAGCGTAAGTCCCGCAGCAACTGCTGACAACGCCGACGATTATGACGAAAATACAAACTCCGATCTGAAAACCAAAACTATTTCAATCAAAGCGAACCAAGAGTTTTTTTCTGTTTTTGTGAAGCAATCATTGACAAGGAAATAGAAAAAAAAAATCGAGCATTTAGATCGAAGTCTTACTTGGAAGTTAGTTAATCTACCCTTCATAATGCTGAGATAACATAGGCAAGGGAATATCAACGCCTGAGAAGACGAAAACCGAAATCGTTATCGAGAAATTGTTTTGACCGTTAATTTCCGAATCAGTGGTAGTGATATATGGAGACTTACGATAAGCATTGCGATGAAAGATCCAATCAGAGCCGCGACAGTAGCTGCAATATAACGCTATTACATTAGCGACGAGTTTGGTCACGCTCACGCACGTGTTATTGTTTTCAAGAAAGGCGTTTCTTCAGCAAGAAGTTAGGGTAATATTGAGAAAGTGTTTGTGTGTGAGACAGAGAGAGAGAGATTACCGAAGAATGGAACTGTGAGTGCAACGACCAACGTAGAGAGAACTAAGATGGTTCTGAAAACCGTAGAGGCTCCTTTGGATCTCATAGTTCTCGACGAAGACGGTATAAGCTCTTCTAGGCTCAGAACGACTGGAGCGATCGTTAAAGCGTATTTCGTCATTGGCGTAACGAGCTAATTATCAAACCGTGAAAGAAAATGAGATAACTACTAAGAGCATATACATATATACTTTCCAAGGTTGTCTGTCTAACCGCTGTCCAGGCTGCAATTTTCGATGAGGTGAAATGTTGAGGGATGTTGAGTGTGAACTGGGATTGAATCGCGTCACCAAACATGCTGTATCCACAAACTGCTACAGAGATGTAAAACACCGTGCAAAAACCGAAACTGCATGTTTTTTCGTGAGATTAGTAGGGCTGGAAACCAGACCTAAGGTTTCTTGCATAACAAGTAAAAGTTATATTTTTTGGTTTAACCTGGCGAGAAGAACCATAGGAAACTTGGAAGGTTCTTTCATGGATGAGTAAATGTTTGGGAAAACAGAGTGACTCCCAAAACCGAACCCGTAAATTCCGATTGCGAATGGTAAGTTAGTTAAATCGAGAGCTTTCCCGCTCAGGTGAAATCCAATATTGTCGACTGTTCCAGCCCAAAAGAGGCAAAGTGCAAGCAGTATTGAAGAGAAGACACCCCCGGCTAATTAAGAAAAACAAACATCACTTAGAAATAAAAGAAATCATATCTGAAATATATTTATGTGAATTACGAGACGAACCTGAGAGATAGGACAATAAGCTAAGGTCCCTGAGCCAGACAGTCGGAAGAACAATAAGAGTCGCGCTAATGGCGAAAACTTGATTAGCGTCTAGAGACACTCCGTTGACGTAGAAGGAGGTGTTTGGAAACATCCCTGCTAGATTATCACTCATCATGATTATGTATTCCACACAAGTTGCCTAGAATAAATAAAAAAAGAAAAATAATTAAAGTAAGGAGAGGGAGTGAAAATGGTTTTCAAATGAAAAATATTTGACATGCATGAAACATGAAAGAGAGTTTGATACTTACATATAACTCCACATAGAGAAGTATCTGAAATGCAATTCGAAACCCAAAGTTAGGATCACACAGAATCAAAGTTATGAATGATATTTGAAAGAAGAAAAGAAATATTTACAGAGGCGAGGATGCGTCCAGTGGTGCCGAAAGCCGCTTGACCGATGTCAGGGTAAGTGTGGATCCCAGGTGAATTCTCGAGACATCTCTTGAGGAGAATACCTGTGTAGAAAGTGATGATGCCAAAGGCGAAGAGTATTACAAGCCCTAACCACCCTCCTTCTTTTACTGCGTAAGGCATTGTTAGTAAAGCTCCTCCACATAGAACATTGATTCCTGCAACAAAGACAGTTAAGAAGTTGAAAGTATTAAACTGTGGAATGGAATAGATTTAGGTTATAAGTATATGCTTGAACCTTTTTTTTATACCAAACCGACTAATATAAAAGCCAAACACAAACCAATCGGTGGTTTTGTTTTCTTGTTTTCACATATACAACATATGAAAATTTAATTTTATTTTGGTAACGTGGGGATGTGTTGGATAAACTGGACTGTTTGCGTTTTGAAAAAAAAAGAAAAAAAAAAAAAAAGCAAACACAATCATAATTTGATTGAAATAGTTTTACTTTGACCGATCCAAGCAGGAAATTTTAATTCCACAATATATATACTGATAAAAGTTACTTCGATTTGATTATTATACCATTGAGAACGGATTGAGAGACCGTGCAGCTGCGACCTTCATGGGGAATAGAAAGATCCTCAGGGAGTGATAGCTTGAGATGAGAAGCAATGAATGATTTGATGGATGTTACACGAGAGTTGTGGATCTCATCATTGTCGACGAGAAGTTGCTGTTTGCTTGGGGATGAAGTAAAGGAACAGAAAGCAGAGCTTTGTCGCCTCTGGCGAAACGAAGATACAAAACTTGTCCTATTCGGAGGTGTAACTCCGGTCAACATATCCATAGATTGTCTGAAAATAACCCCACGAAAACTTAAAAAAAAAAGAATCTCTTAGAAAAAAAACGTACTGAGCAACTTTCTGTAATGACATACCTATAACTCCGAGGCCAGGTAACGGGATCGTTACTGGATCCGTTACGAGATAAAGGAGATGACGGAACGGAGCTCTTGGCTTGGCTTTCTTCGTCTTCTTCGTCATCTGTCTGATACGAATATACACTTTCTTGCTCGAAGGTCTCGTCTTGCGTCGTCATCAATTAAACAACACAGAGTTGAATGATAGAGGACGCAGTGAAAACGTTGTTCTGCTTTGTAGTTCCAGTATATATTGGCACGTCTATCTCTAAGTCCATGATCCTCGCACCCTTATCAATCAATACTATTTTTTTTCATAATAATAATACCCTTTTCCCCTAATGCAAACGTTTCTCGCTAGGTTATTATTTGAAAAAAAGCACGGAAATATTAAAATATTCACGTAATGGAAAATAGAGGCAAGTACATGTGGTGTAAGAAGTCAATGACAGTTTGTCATTACTAAAGCTATCTTATTGCATGTGGTCTCGACTTAGACGCAGACGATTCCGAACATCACAAGAAATAAATTAAACTCACTGAAGGCAGTGGTATGGAAAATAAACCATTGATTACCAAGATAGCTTTAGGGGAGAGACTTACAGAGCATATAATAGAGAAGAAAATGGGACTTTACATGTATTAAGAAGATAAGACAGACTTATTTGTCAATCTGGTTAAGCTTGCCGAGTCCATTGCAGTTTGCGCAAACGATCTGAGCTTGATCCTTCCTTGCCGCATTTGCCCTCAAAGTCGCTCCCTGTTTCCTCACAAATCCTGCTCCGTCACATTCCGGACACCTAAACCCACACATTTTCAGAGCTTCAATAGATTATTACTGCATCGGTTTGGTCTAGTTTTCATCGGTTTACTTAGAAGCAGTATGATTAAAGTAATATAACTGTTGAACCGGACCATCCTTAGAAACTACTGAGTCCAATTTGGTTACAGGAGCATCAAAACCGGTTTAATTCAATTCCGAACCAACTATACGATTCACACAAGTTAAAAATTTAAAAAGGATTTAGAGAGGAGGTTATACGTGTCGGTGCGTTTGAAGAGGATCGGGAAAGCAGTCCCGACGAGCGCGATAGCTGCGGCTCCGGCGAAAAGATAGATGTTTCCGTCAGAAGAGACATCACCAACGGCGGCAACAACTACGGAGGAGGAGGAAGAAGACGATCTCTTGTTCTTGGGGATAATCACTGATGATCCCCACGGAGAAGAAGAAGAAGGTCTCGATTGTTTCAGAAAGTTGGTCGAGGACACGAATGTCGTCTGCATTGCCGGTGCGATCGCCATGATTCAGGGTTTTAAGTGGTTCTGAAGCAAAGTAAGATGCGATTTGATTATAAATATGGAGCGCTTTGGAATCTGGATTTGGTTAGTGACGTGTCACTCTCTCTGGAAATGGATAACGTTTTGAGTTAGATTTTTGGTGGGGGCTTCAGTTTTCTTTTGTCTCGATAAGGTGGGCCCCTACAAAGATATTTCGATGTAAGCCCATTATGGCTTAATTTAGTCAATATGGGCCTATAAGGGCTTTAAGCTACATAATTTTATGAGACACGACGTCGTAATTCTCCTTGACTTTTGACTTTCTTCTTTTCACAGTCTCTCTTTCTTCGCTTCCTTCAAATCCAATGGCGAAAGAAGAAGGACCTAACTGGGACGGACTGCTTAAGTGGAGTCTCTCTCATTCCGATGGTACTCGGCCTACTCGCCAGATGAGGTACGAAGATATCTGGAAATTGAGGTTTCGTTGGCCATTAGATGGAGCTTCTATTTTCGATTGAATGTTTGTTGGGTTTTCGTAGGAATCTGTAGCTGTTAATCATGGAATAGAATTCGAGTTGTTGGGTTTGTGTTACTTAGGGTTTTTTGGGAGTTCTCTGTGCAAGCTTATATGATTTGGTCAATGTAAAGCACGATGCATGATTTGGCTAGCTTAAGTGAACCTAATTTGTGTTTATGTTGATATTTGAGTTGTTTGGTGAGACAGCGAGGAGGATCGAAAATGGTTTGCAGAGGCGATGCAATCACAAACCGTAGATGTAGTCAAACGATTGAAGGAGATTACACAGGTTATGCAGACACCTCAACAAGTTTTGGAGGCCCATCAAGTTACCTCTCAAGATATCCAAGGTTCACAATCCAATTCAATTCCTAATTGCTCTCTTCCCTGTTTCTCTTTTGTTTGTTTGCTAGAAACTTGAGTTATCATGTTTTGGTAGATTTGCTGGATGAGTTGCAGGATCATGTTGAATCTATCGATTTGGCTAATGGTACATCTTTTCTCCTATTTTTTCGACATCTGTCCTATTTTTGCTTGGCTAGTAACATGTACCTCCTCTATGAATGAATTTGGCAGATCTTCATTCCATTGGAGGCTTGGTGCCGCTTCTTGGCTATCTCGAACACAGCAATGCTGAAATCCGGGCAAAGTCTGCAGATGTCGTAAGCACAATGGTTGAGAACAATCCTCGGAGTCAACAGTCGGTTATGGAGTGCAATGGTTTGGAGTCATTGCTTTTGAACTTTACTTCAGACATAGATATGCATTCTCGCACACAGGCGCTCGGTGCAATATCATGTAAGCTGCTCTGACTCCTACTAGATTCAGATCATCAAATGCCTCTGTTTTTTTCACTGGTTCTTATTTTATCTTTTTGGATTTTAGCTTTGATTCGCAATAATAGCTCTGGGATCGCCGGATTTAGAACTGCAAATGGTTACACTGGTTTAAGAGATGCTTTGGAATCTGACAGTGTGAGATTTCAAAGGTAATAATAATACTCTGCACTTCTCTAAGTACTCAGATTCCGTTGAGCCAAAACACAATTTTCATTTGTCATTGCTTTTCTCATTCTTCAGGAAAGCTCTAAACTTGTTGCATTATCTTCTACAAGAGAATGACTCAGACTGCGATATTGCTATAGAGCTCGGGTTTCACGGTTTGTTGATGCGCCTCGTGTCTAGCTCTGATGCTGATGTAAGAGAAGCTGCTCTCCGAGGACTGCTTGATCTCACCAAAGATAGAAAACACTGTATTTGTGGTTCTACCATTAAGAAAGAAGACAATGAGAAACTGAGACAGATTCTACAAGAGAGGATCGAAGGAATCAGCTTCATGTCACCAGAAGATCTCTCAGCGGCTAAAGAGGAGAGAGAGCTCTTAGATTCACTTTGGATCGCATTCTATAACGAACCTTCTTTTCTTTAGAAACAGAGCCCTCTTTCGTTTGAGCTAAAGATTGCATCTTTACAACACAAGTAAGTCATTTTCGATAACGATATGGATCTAAGTTTTTCATTCAATTTCAACAACAAAGGAACTAAAAATTAAACACAAACCATCAATAAAAATCCTCACTTTGGAGGACAGAAAGTGATAACATAACGAGAAGCTCTACACTTGTTCAAACTACTCGAATCATCATACGCATAACTATAAGCTTTTGGACAAATCGCTTTAAACAGATTCGCGAAGATCGTCGGCTTACAAGCCTTGGGATTCGCGTACTCTCCGGTGCAACAGTACTTCGCCGATTGCATCGCCAAGCAAGCGCTTTTACATCCGACGACTTTACCATCTCTCTTGACTTCCAGAGCAGAAGGACAGCAAACATTCAAATCGACTTCACAAGCCGCCACGCCGCATCCGGCTCCGCCGCCGATGGGTCTCATCGAAACCGGGAGGTTGAATCCGTCGACGAGGCTCACGTCGTAGAAATGAAGCGGCGAGAAAGACGAGCCTAGAGTCATTTCAACGACGGTTGCTGGCGGTACACCTCCGGTTCCTTGGCAGTTGATTGAACCGGCGTTGCAATCTCCGGTTTGGCATGAGCCTTTGCCGTTTTGGTCGAAGATGCAGCCTTGTCGACCCCAAATCCTACCGGACCATTTATCCGGTACGTCTATGATCGTTTCTTCGCCGCTTCCCATGTGGAAACCGCCGTTTCTCGGCGTGATTTGGCCTCCGCCGCCGAGAATTCCAGGCCATATACTCACTTGACAGTTATTCACTAGTATTAGCTGCGCGCCATCTGCAAAAACAACAAATAACGACTCCATTTAATTTGAGTGGAAGAACAGAGAGAATTAAAGACGGCATTTTCATGCATTTCGTAAGTTGTTTTTGAAGCTTGTACCAATGGAGGATGATGAGAAGGCTGAGATAGTGAGAAAGAGGAGGAAGAGAGTTGCAGAACTAGCCATTGTTACGTTGTTGTGTGGGGATATTTCACTCTAAAGTTTGCTTCTTTTTGTGTGTGTGTGTGGGGTTGTTTTCAAGAGAAGACTAGTAAAGGGATTAGTGGACGACGTGGTTAAGGAAGAAGTGGGAAACTTGAGTTGCAAGTGTAAATAATGGTGTGGTGATTGGTGAAGTGGATTGTTATATAGGGAACCGCCAAGTGCTAACCTTTGATGGGATTAGTGGGAAAGAGAAAGATCGAAAAGATCAACGGAGGCTTCACTGTGAGCCTTCTATAACTGGGAGTATATTTATACTTTTTCATTTTTTTTAAGAATGGGTTAAAGAAGGATTGAAAGAAAAAGATAAGATTTACATGCTTCGCTCAACGTTTGTTAGTGGAAAAAAAAAAATCATTTTATATGTAAATCATTAATCTACCAAGTTAAGATTGATAAACACTCATAAATTACTTCATCATCTTTTTATGTAATAAAGCTGGAGGCAAATTTGTTTCGATCTAATTATGTTATTCTCAAATTTATGTTATACACCACTCGCTAGTATATATTTGCAGATATTTTCTTACTTTTGCGATGACCTTTGTGACATTGTAGAACAAATCAGCAGAGAGCATATATGCATTGCTTCATTGTGGGGATTTGCTTTCTTTTGAGCAAAAGCTATTTATTTGCACAAAACTAATCATTTCACTCTCTTTTTTCATGTTCTTATTATGTTTTTTCGAAAGGTAGACAGAGATTGAAGCCAAGAATGTCACTAGTCTCTAGACTTTGATCTTTATAACAAGTGGGGAGGTTGAAGTTTTTGGTAGATAAGTATCTTGCAAAAGATATATAACAAATAACTAGCTAGAGAGAAATAAAAAGACTAATCATCATGGTTGCCAAACAAAATCTACAAAAGTGAACATTTACAAAATACAATAATGAATGAATTAACTCGGACCAAAAGATTATTTTGGTTAGCACAAGACCAACCAAATTATCTCGGACCAAACTCAAATTGTACCGTTAGACAAACCGACTGAAATTGGCCAGCCGTAATGACGGCGGCGAGGAAGAGCTCCCGAGTTTCTTGATAGAAGAAGAATCTGAACAAGATACAGAGTGAATCGAACAAATATGTTTCACGCGACTACCAAATGTTCAAGAGCAGCAGCCGCAGCGCTTCGTGGCCGCACGTTACCCTTTAGAAGAATCCGTGTTCCATACTCGACGCCGTTGAGATCGATTCACGGTGAAATCAGCGTTCCAAACACGAACCATGTTGCTATTCAGATGGTCAATTACGCTCTTTCCCACGCTAGATCACAAAAATCAGGTTTTTTTTACGATAATCGGATTTTTCAGGTGCTTAAACCCTCTTTTCTATCTGAAGGATTTTTGAAAATGGGCCTCCGTGAAATTTGAGATTGCAGATGAATCTTATGCTCAAGGGATGTTAGTACTTGAACAGTGCCTTGGGAATCAAACGAAAGATGATCAGGTTTCTCATGATTCTAAAGCTACAGTCTTGCTCGCTATGTCTGATCTGTTATACGAAAGGTTTCATCTTTTTTTACCATTTTGCTCTCTTATTTTATCTTCTAATTGTAAGCTTAAGATTCCATTAAAAGTCTAATTTTTGGTTTTCTACGTTCGCAGTGGGAACAGTAGTGAGGCCATCGAACGCCTCAAGCAAGTCATGACTCTGACACTCTCTTCGTTGGCTATTAGAGGTTTTTCAAAAACCTTGATTTTTCGAATTTGTCCTTACTAAAGGTTGTCGAGTCTGAAACTGTCTGAAACTGTGCAGTTGCCGCTGTGGAGGCTCTTGTTGGTCTGCTGATTCAGTCAGGACAGGTTAAAATCACAACAAAGCTTCTTTGTGTGTCTACACTCTACACTACATCTTAGGAACCTTTGAAGAAATTTGATTATGTTTGTCTTGTTTAGGATGATGTTTCATTGAATGTTGCTGAAGAATTTCTGGAATTGGTTAAAGAAGGAGGCCAAGAGAATCTTCAGGATGTGGCTGCTACAGCTAAAGCGGTCAAAGGTCTCGCTGAGTTTGTGAACGGAAATGTAGAATCCGGTAGAGAAACTAGTCTCAACCTTTCTTCTCTGTGTTTTAATTTCCACAGTAATTAAGTTTGTGTATAGCTTAATGGTAAGGATTCTTTTGCAGCCGAGTCTTTATTTCGAGGAGTTGAGGATCATGAGAGCTGCAAAGGTAACATTGCGCTTTCATATGGTGAATACTTGCACGCAACCGGAAACTTTGAAATGGCAAAGGAGATGTATCAAAAGGCAATTCAAGGAGTGAAAGAGACCAAAGAATCTATGTGTTCTTGTAACATGAATCTGAAGGCAGTCTCCTTGGCAGCCACATTTGCTCTGGGGCAGCTCCAGTCACACATCGAGTAGGCTTTCGGTTCCTCGCTAACTTAAAACGTGAATTTCTGCTGCTCAACATTAGTCTCTGTTTGTGTGTTTGCGTTTTGTTAGAAACTTTGGTGATGCAGAGGAGACGTTGACAAGTGCATTGACAAGCGCTGAAGAACATTACGGTACTGTGTGATACGGATATATTTGTTCTCATCAATTCAGTGACTAAAGTATTAGTCTTAACGGTTTACGTGCTTCTTCTGACCAGGACACAATCATCCCAAAGTTGGTGTGATTTTAACCGGAGTAGCTTTGATGTACCGAAACAAAGCGAAGCAAGAAGGCTCGAGTTCTATCCTGATTCAAGAGGTCAGTCACAAGTTGACTACGAAGAAACATTGGGACCTTCCTCATCTTACACATTTTGTTTTTTTCATCTATATCTCAGGGACTCTTCAGAAGAGCGTTGGAGATCATGAAAGCACCTTCACTGGATTCACAAGGTACTTACAAATATCAATCAGTTCTTGAACCCAACTTACACAATCTCTCCTCATCACTTTTTTCTGTATTTGCATAGGGATAACAAACATGGAAGCTCAAGAAGTAATGGCTCTAGCAAGAGGTATAAGCTTTATCTCGTTTTCATTTCAAACAGAAATAGAATTGCTACATTTTAGCTTAAAATAGCTTCTTGTGGGATTTTGGATTGTGCAGGCGGGTATGCGGAGCTACTACTGATCCAAGAGAACAGAAAAAGCGAAGGAGAGAAAATGAAAGCATGGGCTGAATCTGCGTGGAGAAACAGACGCATCTCTCTTTCACAGGCATTGACTCTCTCAGAGCCGTTAACTGAAGTAGCCATCATAGATTCTCGTACCACTCGTGTCCTCTGAAGCCGTAACAGTACTTGTGACGAAGAATCTCAAAAGATTTGACTTTCATAGCAAATTTTACATGCTTTGATGTGTAATTAATAAACTCAAAAGAGTGTTACATTTCATAAAACAAGTTTATAGAGGAAGATCAAGCCCTTTCCCAATCTCTACACCGATCATCTCAAGTATTCCCTTGTTCAGAATCTGAAAACCAAAAAAAAGTTAAGAAATTAAACTTTTCATTTCCTCGTAATGTATGTCTAAAACCGTTCTTGCAATAACACCAATTGAAACTCACCAGTTCGACGATGAAAGTGCCGATGAGACCAATCATGCAAGCTCTGGAGTTCCATATCTCAGCTGTTTGTGTAAATCCCAGAAACGCAGGTTGAGATTTTGGTTGTACTTTTGGCAATATCACCTACAGAATTTTTTTTCATTACAACCATTTAGGAGAATTGTTTTCGAATTTTGATTATGGATAAAAGGATCGAAATTTACCCCCTCTGGAAGTTTAGCGGCTCGAACACGAAGATACGATTGTTTTTTCCGATAGAAGCAGAGATTCCGGCTGAGACCATGGCCATGAGCGGAAAAGGTCTGAAGAGGAGGAAGTAGAGATGTCGATAACGGCAAAGTGCTCATTTTTTTGTTCTGTTTTGCAATAATTCTTCTCTGTTTATCTTCACAAGTCAGAAGTCAGAACTGAGCTTGTGGATATACTGCTCTATTTATCTTATCCACTCGCTTTCTGCCACGTCTTACTTCGACCTACACACAAATAAGTGACTGGTAACAGCTTTATTTCCCATATTTATTTTTTGTCGTTTGATTCCAACAAGTACCCTAAACGAATTTTGTTTTTCATGATCAACTTATCAATAACATATAAAGAACACTTATAGAATAAAAATTTGTGTTATTGTCAAACTTAATTGTACAATACATGCTGATTACATTATAATCTGTGTAAGAGCAAAAAAAGTTATTTCTTATCTATCAAGAAAAAGAATGTGATTTGTATATCTATTCAATGCGAAAAATTAAATTGACATAACAAATGTCATTCTTTTGGCCTGACGAATTTCGTCTTCGTAGTTATCTCTTTCTCTCTTCCTATCGGTGGCTCTTATAATTTGAAAAATGGCAGCAAGATCTCCAACGTAATAGTCTTCATGATTCCTCATCTTCACTTCACGTCTCTGCAACATATCCACAAAACTCTTCCCTTCACCAGCTTTTCTTCTCCGTCCATTTGCAACGTTTCGAGTTTTCGACACGTTAACACATTTCATAATTTCCTGCTGCAATAATCCGAATGAACAACAATTAAAACATTTTCCAATGTTTAAAAACTATTTTATAAACAGATTCGTCACATTCTATTTACCTTATGCTTATGACCAAAGAGATTCATGATCTTTCCAAAGTTGTCACCTAAAGCTGCTTTCTCTTCTAGAACTTTCCACACAGCCGCAACCGCCACAACACTTGGTGCATATTCAAGCATCTTCAAATCTAAACCAAGAATTCAAGATCCAAGATCAATCATGCTTTTTAAATGATGCTTTCTTTTTAATAACAAGAACATTAACTGATCCAGCAAGATTTTCTTACCGCATAAATCATCTAGGAGATGATCTGTGATTTGACTCATCATCAGATAATCTCCTTGCAGCCCGATTTTAGACACAAGGGCTTCCGAAAAAGAGTAACTCGTGACCGAGTTAACACGCCATTCAAGAACTTTCAGGATTATGAGTTCCATCTCAAGAACAGTCTTTTGGTGAAACAGATGAGTCAGACCTTCCATCTGAAGTTCTTGAAGTGAAGGAGAAGTAACTTCGTTGAATTTCGATGCGATTGATAATGAGGTCAGTGCGACTATCTCCACCATCCAATTCGTCCATTCCTGCATTCATTTTTAAAGGAGAGAGATCAGAGATTAGAATAATTCTACGACCAATCTCTAACCTAATCTGAGTAAAATCAAATATTTAGAAAGTATGTATAAAATACATATACTTACTTTGCAGTTAGTCTCGTAGACGAACCGATCAAAACAATTTGCGGCGGAAAATATAGTTTCAAATGAAAGTTCCAGCCGACTCCGAGTCTGACAGAACAAAAACAACAGTACAATACCAGAAATAAATGTAAATTTCTGATAACAGAAGGTCAGGTTACTCATTGAAAGATTAGGGTTGCGATAAGAATCAGCGGCAAATTTTGAAATACAAACTAAATTTCCAAATGTGCAAATAACGTCTATGACATGATTTAGATTACTGCCACACCATTTGTAGTAAAAAAAAAAGATTTTCTAGGTTGTTAAGTATTTAGCGGGTACTTTTTCCCCTAAAATCTTACATATAGATTTCAAAAGATGCCAACTTTTTTTCCTTTTCTAAAAAGTTCAGAAAAACCACAATACGTAGAAAACTAATAATTAAGGTACCTGGATTAGCCATTGAACCGCTTGAAACCTAGCATCGGTTAACTTCTTCGAAACGAGAAACTCGACAAACTTGTTTCCGAAAGTACTAAAACGTGATTCTTTCTCTAAATCCAATGAAATGGCTTCCTCCACCGTCGCTTCGTCCATGGCCGGAGACATTGTCACGTCATCGCCGTAAATGTTATTGCAGCGGAAGTTTGGCACAGGCTCCGGAGTCATAGGATCCGAGAGCCATGACTCGTCGCAGAGTAGATTATCCATTTGAAACCAGTTAAGTTAAACCGGTGTGAAGTGAAGGTAAGGTATTTCAGTTTTTAACTCCGGGAACAGTGCTTCGAGATCAGAGAGAAAAGTGACGTATATATATGGAGAGAGAGTCGTGGAGAAGAAAATGGGAAGTTATGAAAGACAGTTGACAGTGAAAAGAAAAACAAAAGATGCGTCGGTTAAATCACAAGTAGATGCGTCGGTTTGATTGGTGTCTTGTACGATATCGCGTAACACGAGAGCTACGCTTTTGTTAAACCGGATACTGATAATTGGTTAATTAATTACTTACCCTCGTTTTAAGCTAATGAAAACAAGAAACAATATGAGTGAGGATTTTAGGGTTATTCAACTATGTGAGCATATTTGTTCTCAATAAGTTATCATCTGATTTTTTTTTTTTTATGTTTGATAGCTGTAAGAATATCTTTGTTATATAAATGTTACCATGTTACCAACTAGAAATGGTTGCGAGGGATATAATAAGAAGACGTCGTCCCTCATGAAACGCGGTAAATGCTTTCTACCCAATTGGTTAACTGATTATCTTCATCGAGATTTCATGTTACATAAACGTGTAAAAAAATAAATGTTTCACAGAAAACAAATCATCGTATGGGTACATTGTTTTTAATTTTACCAACCTCGTGAGTCCACGACCGTTCCGTATTTACCTCTTCCATGACAGCAAATAATTTGCTAGTATTTATTTATTTTTTGTGCACCAACTTCCTAATTTTTTGTAACCAACCAAGATATTATTTTCGATGTTCTTGTGTTTTTATTAGTGAATGAAAATGTTTACGAAATGCTATATTCGTAAATTTACATATCAGTAAATCACTATTTAGCTCCAACCTTCAGTTGTCTATGACGATCCTTTCTGTCAGTAGGACAGAAACATATACGTTCTTGTTTTTAAATAGTTGCTTAGGCCCCAAGAAACTTGTTAATTTCCCTCCAGCTTGTTCTACCCTTTGCGTCCGCTTTAACGACGTCGCTTCAATCCACACTTCACTCTTCACACAAATCTCTCAAATCTCAGAAAATAGAAGCTTATATATAATACAAAATCTATATATTTTTTGATGGATAAATACAGTGAAAATGGTGATTAGTACCAAAAACAAAAGAAAAATCTGAGGAAACAAGCATCATTACACAACAAATGGTATCAATGAAAGATAAGATCTTGTTTTTGCTTGGCTAAGCAGAGAGATCTTGGAATTGCCAAGGGTTGAATTGGGTCAGCTTCACATCGGTGGTGTTATCCTCAGAGTTATCCGCTGCAGCGCGGTGCACCGAGTACTTACCATTGAATTGGTATACTTCGAGATCGCCCCATGGTGTTGGAGTAACTTCCTCTGTTTCATCAAACCACTTTGGAGCAAACTTTTCGCCTTTCTCTTCTCTGTTTCTCTTCTCAGCTCTCTGTCTCTCCTCTAGGCTGGGAAACAAACAAAAAGAGACACTTGTTAGTCTTTCCATTACTTTGGGGTGAATCGAAGAAATGGTGAAGTAGAGTATGACCACAAGACTATGAATACCTGCTCTTTTCGTTTCCTGATTTGGACATATCACCCAACTCGAGGGCGTATCTATCAGGACGTAGACGTGAATCAGACGGCAATAGCTTTTTAGGTGCAGTTTCAAAGCTATTGATCTTGTGAGCAAAGTGTGTGTATTGGTATTTATCGTTCTTCGGAGCTTCAGCGACCTTCCATACCTGTGGAGAAGTAACGGAATTATAAAGGTAACTAGGGATTTTACTTGAAGAGAGAAAATTGACAAAACCTCCTTCAGTTCGGTGCCTGTGATGGGTTCGCCTTCAGAGTCACATGGCTGATAACTCATGGACTCATTCCATTTTCCAGTCATTAGGATTTTGGGCTCTTCATCTGAACTATACACGTAACCGTCCACTTCATAACGCCCAGATCTGTCCATTAGGTCCACATTTCAGCTCTAAATGGAGATGCGATTTTGCAGTGATTAGATTTTTTTGTATGAAGTATTAAGGTTGATGAAGAAAGAAATTACCCAAACCAGCCACATGGTTGAAAGTAAAGCACTACTTTGTCACCAGTGTTCATGTTGGTCATGATCATCTCTCCTGGTGAGTCCACCCATGTTCTTCCAAAGATGAGGTTATGAACCTTAGTCAGAGGAGGTACCAGATCAAGAACCACACCATCTCTTTTCAGTGTCACTCGTGTCCTGCACACAAGATTCACTGCATTAAAACTAAAACCTCAGGGTTTTGATTTGAATCGTATTCGGTTTCATAATTTTACCTTCCAACTGGGTAGACGTCGACAGAATTGCCAAGGAACTTGGTTTTCAGTTTTGAAGTGCAATCGTAAGCGAAATGCTCGTTTTCTGCATGACCAGCACTCATTGGTGGGTGATGACAGACCTGAGGAATAAAACATTGATGTAACTATCAACCAAGAACTCATGTGATCATTTCTAAGCCAAAGTGTAAAGAAACGAGTAACTCACCTGTTCAGCTATAAAATTAATCCCATTATGGTTAGTCATCTCATAAGTCTCGCCAAGGATTGGATTGAAAGGCTTCCAGGTACGTTGGTAGGCATAATACACAGATATAGCCCATGATGCTGTTATACAAGATCAATTCACAATTAGCTATGAAGAGTTTTGATTGAAGACAAGAAAGGAGATGGAGAATGGAGGATGTGCTTACATGCATATACCATACGCATGTAAGGGTCTTCGGTTTTGTCAGCCATGTCTAGCAGTTGTGAGTATTCCATCAACTGTGAGAAACAAGGAGTGTATAATAAGAATAATATATGTTCACTAATGACTAATCCAATCATATAATATAATATTACAAGTTAGAGAGCACAAACCTCTGCCATTTTTTGAAGCATTGTCATTGGTTCGAAAATGATCACAGGAAGAGTCACCATAGACGTTACATCAGATCCTATGTACTTTTGCATCATCTTCCAGTATCCATCACGATCCTGAGAAATCAAGCCAACAGTATAAAACCAAGACTTTTTTTTTCCAATTATTGCAACAAAAACAATAAAATGAACTCTTGAGTAAAGCAGAGCATCATTTGATACCTCTTGCTTCCATCTTCCTCTGCTTGCTTCCTCCTCTGCATCATCCGTACTTCCCTCTGGATTTATAACTTCCAGTCCTTCATATCCCATCAAACTGACAAAAAAACAAAAAAAAAAAAGAGCAAATAAAAGTGAATCTAGAAATTTAGACCCCAGTTTCCAGAAATTTCAACAATCAACACGGATCCCAAATCAATTTTCAGCATCACAGTGTGTTATGTGAATCCAGCTGCCACATAAAAATCTAACTTATTTCCTTACCCGTTAACTGATTTCTTCATGGCGGACCCGAAATTGGTGATAGTCGAAGCAATCGAGTGAAAAAAACCGCCGCGGTTTTTTGGATCGTTAGGAGCCATCACCACCGCCGATTATAGAATCTACCAGCTAGCTCCTCCTTATGAAAATCGCGAGAAAAAGGAAACTCTAGTGGAGATCGAATCGGATTCCGGTGCAAAGAAATTCGTTGCAGAATGGACTGGATCAGCGACGGAGAAGACGAAGAAGAGATCTTTGTGCTGGCTGGGTCTTCGTTGGCGCTTCTTCGATTCAAGTCAAAAGCCACTAATGACTCTATTTCCTAATCATCATCATCACATACATATATTTTGAAAAACGGAAACATTAAACCGAAGTAAACCGGATTCATATTATTAGAATCGTTGGGCCTAAAACACTTTGCTCATATTCTACATGTTAGATTCGTTGGGCCCAAAACAATTCGCTCATATTCCACGTAAGTAGTATAACTCACGCGACATATTGCAACGAAGGACTAGAACTTCTAATAAATTAATGTTCTGCTGTTTTAGTTTTACTCGTAACTATAACGTACCTGAGATTCGGATTGCTCTGGATTGATTATAAACTCGCTAGAAAACTATGAAAAACATTATTGTTTTGAAGTATGGACCTTTGCAAAAACTTATTATCGAAAAAACCATCATCCTAAGGATAACTAGTTCTCACCTAACACGATCCTGAAAGCTAAAAAAAAGGTATAGGCATCGCCTATTGAGTGAGAGAGCCAATTATATTTGCTTTGAAGTCAAATGCATATAATTAAATTACTTAATCAGGGAAAAAGGATAATATTTAGAATATGATGACAATGGGATCAAACTTTTCCCGATCTATGATGCAAACTATGACTTCATTCAAGATTGTGAGGCTAGTGCGGTGGGTAATTTGATACGCAATTAATTTTAAAACCAATTATTTACTACTTTAGCTAACTATAATATGTGTTCTTGTTGTTCAAGAAAAAAAGGATATATGTTCTTCATATATTTACTCCAAGTCTCCAAGAAGAACTAAGTTATTATTAGTTATTATAAGAATGTAAGAAACTCAATGATAAACTCCGAGCAAGAAGAACATATGTTTTTTGTTGATCGTTGGTTTATCTTTTAAGTCTTCTAACAAACCAACCCAACTAAATATGATGATATATGCATATATCCAGAGGTGGTAGTTTTAAGATTGCTTGAGAAGCTCAATGCATCTTGATGTATGTTAAGACTTTCCTTTCACATTTTATGTTTCGTCTCATCGAAAATATAATAATTTTTCAAAGCATATCCTCTCAAAACATCATTTACCGTCACGCCTAAGCATACGTGGCACTATACCCATCACGCCACGTCACTATCTCTACCCTCCCTCTTATATTATGAACCAAAGCCCCCTCACATTGATCAGAACTCAGAAGACCCAAAAAAAAAGTCTCATCAAAAGGAAAAAAGGAGAAAAAATCTGAAGAATTAGAATATCAAACAATAAAATGGAAGGTTTGATTCCGTTTTTGTACAAAGCCATTGTTATGTATAAAAGAGAAGGACGCTTTTCGTCGGTTTTGCTCAGTGATCATCACTCTCCTTCTACCTCCGGTTACTACATGAGACTTCCTGGCGAATCCTCCGGCAGATTTCGAACGTCGGATCTTCGAAGATTTGGGACGGACCGTCTTGGATTGCTCGAAACGTCAACGTCTTCGCCATCTCGTGTTTCCACTAGGAATATCACCAAACGTACGTAGGGGCTGTTGTTTGATATAACACATGGTTTGTTGAATCGTCAAAATTATGGCAAAACTGTAAATATATAAGGATGGCCATAATTTTGATGATGGTTTACTGGACTTTCAATATTTACGACGATCATGTGTAGTTGTGTACATACTTTATTTAGTGTGGTTTGTTAATTGTGTAATTTATCATCTCAAGTTTGAAAGCTAAATATAAAATCCGTGTATTAATTCAAAATTTATATGGTTTTTTTTCTATGATCAAATCATCATACATTCAAACATTTCAAAAATTCAGAATGTGGTAAAAATTCTGACTCGTCTATTCAAATCTGAATATGCCATAATCACCACTCATACACATAACACATTCACACAGAGAGATCAACTACAGAAAGACTCAAAACTTTCCTTGACTTGGAAGCATTTGAAGAATCAAGGGTGAGATTCTTTGATGTATGTTGAGTGTCGATCTACGATGAGACGAATGAGATTATCTTCAACAATAGATTTAGGCTTATCGGAGTCGCATCTCACCACAACATTGCCGCTGCTTGAAACAACCACAACCTCTTCCTTACGTGTTGATAGCTCATTGGCTACAACAGCGTGCACTTTGTATTTTCCTAGAGCCTTTGTAGCCTTCTCTATCAGAATCTTCGAGTCTGTCTCAAGCTGGATTAAAAACTCCATATAAGTTTATCGAAATTTGGAGAAACTGATACAAGGGAGAAAACATAAAGAGAGATTTTGACCTTGAAGGAAATGCAGAAAGCCTTTGGAGCCCAATTTGTTCTCAAGACTGAAAGCATTTTAGGGACTTGAGCTAGTCTTATGTCCAAAGGGCCAGATCCTGATTCTATTTTGTGCTCCGTCTGGTTTTCAAAAACATCTTTCAGACACAAGAATTTTGTAGCCATAGTTATAGGGGCATGTGAGTGACTCTTACCATGCTGTTCCATGGCACGTAAAAGTCGGAGACAGCAGCAGCAAGATAAAACATTGAGCATGGACCGACATCTTTCAATCCATTTGCAATCAACCGCAACATCTGTAACCAGAAACATAGAAGGTCACCCCAGCTGTAACACTGTTGAAGAATCGATTTTGTTGTGCATTAAAAGATTCCATAATATGCGTCAAGACAAAACAGCTAAAAAGATAACTAAAATAGGATGTGTGAGATTCAAGAACCTGAAGATACTCATATATAGTTGAGAATGGGAGTTTTAGCAACCGATCTTCTGCTATCGCCTGCAATGTTATTTATAAGAAAGAAAAAACAGAAACTGATCAGCTTTTTGCAGACTAATTCAGTAAAAAGAAACAAATGGTGTATACATACAGTTTGTTGTTCCAGAACAGCACTCTTCACAGCTTCCAAATGTGATGTATGAACTGAAAACAAAGAAAGACAGAATAAAGATACCGAAACACGCACACATTGTATCCATAACCGTGCTATTCATAAACAGATGATGAAATACCTTGAATGTTTGTCTGATCAGGAAACTCGAAACATTCAAGGAATGGATCATCGGGAAGAGACCGGCAATACGGTTGGCAAGTTCCCCTAAAGATCACAGATATCATAACTAAGCACCATTAGTTACCACAACTAGATTTCACTTGATTTTTCAGCTACAAAAGAAAACTAAAAGTACCTCCTGTACAGAAATATCACTGCATATCCAGCCTTGACGAAATTCCTTTGCACCAAATCAAAACCAATTTGGATTACTAAGAACCATAAACAGCTTTACGAATTTCATTAAGGGTAACTGGGAAGAAAAATCTAAACTTACTCAGTAGAAGCAGCACCTCTGTTTCCGGAGCTGAAGTTATCGATGTATCTGACGCATCGTTGCTCCAAAGGTACCGTTGTTCCTCCTGAAGTCACACACACAATCCTTCTCCCTTCCCCATTTGCTCCTAAGAAATGCATTAAAAAACGTATTTTTTGTTCTCAGTGAAGTCACTTTCATACAAAGAATCAAAATGCCACACACATATATATATATGATATTCTCACCTTGCGACGAAGAATTTAGCTCGATGAAGCGATTAAGCGTCTCTAAGATCTTATCCATGTTCTTCAGAGGTGGAGAAGATTCGAAAAACGAATTAAATTCATCTTCCACAGCTTCCTCCAAACCAGAGATGGAACTCATTTCAATCCTCTCCGCAAACACCACACAGAATTACTGAATCAGTAAGCAGAAAACAATTATCGTCGATTTTGACTTTATCCTTTTCGCACCGATTCGAGAAGCAGAGGCGACGGAGAGTGAATGGATCCGGCTCGACGGTGAACGGAGAAGGGAGGCGGAGGAGCGAGAGGGATTCGTCGAAGTCGACACTAAAGTCGCCGGAAATCGATGCCGCATCTGAGGAAACTACAATTGTTACGGCGTCGTTTTTCTGTAATAAATTAGAACCCGAGTCAATTTTGGGAAAGACGGAAAAAACAAACGACGTTTATTTGACCCGTGAACGTGGGCATAAACGGTTAGTCCATTTGAGATCCGTTTATCTGACATCTAATTGGACGGGTCACGGGATATAATCCACATAACAGTCCCGTTGAAGCCCATTTAATAAACCTTATATTATGACGTCAGGGAAATGGTATCTCACACTTGGATTCATCACTCCGTAATGAAACCGGAGACACTCCTAATCTTTATGTTTTTTAACAACCAATATCCAAACTAAGATATATAAAAAGACGTAAAATATTTGCATGTGCAAAGCTTTGGATCTTGAACATCTTGTTCGTCCTTATTCTTATTCTTTTTCTTTCTTTTTTTTTCTCGGATTTTAGTTATATAAATGAAGTATGTACAACAGAATATCCACATATGATACGGACAAGACCTACTTATACCGTTACGTAAAGACTATTTTTTCTAACACCTAGGAACTGATTATGGTCGATCGAGTCTAACGCAAACGCAACTATTGTTTGTTATTAAAACTTTTAAATGATCAATCAATACACCTAAGTACCTAACTAAATACAAACAGAAGAACGGAAAGTATAGTTGTCGTCATATAGAAATGTCGGGATGATCATGACAGACACTGAATCTTCACAATCTTCCTTAGAAAATACGAACATGATTTTGAGCAGTCCCAAATCAATCCTCACCTTTTCCCGTTTTACAACAACTCGGGAATTGCTAATTTCCTACTTTATCACTACGAAATACGTAACAATTGTATAACCACAACATTAATCATAATGACCTTATAACATTAATAATAAATGACCTTTCATCAGTACATAACCTTAGGTCCTTAACCTTTCTTCTCATCTCCTGATCACTAATTCTCCACACTCTTAACTATTTTATCAAAATGGAGAAGAAGCGATCATGCTACACTGTATTGATACCAACTCTCTTGACCATATGGCTAACATGCGCGAGCCAATCCTGTGCACGCCATGCTAAGGCAAAGCATCCCATGGCCGGACCACCACGGTGTCCCAACTGTGGACCGGTGGTTGTACCTTACCCGCTAAGCACAGGTCCAAACTGCGGCGATCAAGCCTACAAGATAAACTGTGTCGGGGGTAAGCTTTATTTCGGCGCTCTTCATGGCTCATCGTACGTCATCACATCCATTAACCCTGTGACCCAGCGGATCCTTCTCCACCCGCCCGGTTTTGCTAGCTCCGGATCTTGCATCTCTGGTGATGTCTCTAAAGCTGGCCTTGAGCTCGACCCACGTCTCCCTTTCAGCATCACTAGTAGTAACACTATCATGTTGCTTAGTTGCCCTGAAACTATGCTACAGGTAAACTAACTGTTTTGATCCTGGTTTAGATAGGTTTGAACCGGTTTTTGGATCACATCATTTGTTTTGGATTGATTTAGTCATTTTTGTATCTGAGTTAATTCGGATCGGTTAATAATGCTAATCTACTCTTTAAGCTCGAATGAAACTTGTAAATTTCGGTTCAAATGTGGTGAAACCCGGTTTACAGGCCTGACCAAAGACATTTTGGGGTCTGCAGGCGCCAATAGATTGTACCGGAACCAGCTTATGCCACAGCTACATCAAGAACAACGCACCAGCTTGCTCCAAGGCTCCCTTTTGTTGCACCTTCAGAACCGACGGGTCTCAGACCGCTTACACGATCAGGATCAACGGTGGTGGATGTCTCGCGTACCAGAGCTTTGTGGGGTTGAACCCAAACAAAGAGGTTCCTCCTCCCGGGACTAAATGGCCCGAACCGGGACTAGAGTTGCAGTGGGCACTGCCTAAAGAACCGGTTTGCAAAACAGATGTGGACTGTAACGTTCTGTTAGGTAAATCAAAGTGCTTGCCTGACCCAACCAGTCTCGGCCTGAAACGTTGCTCCTGCAAAAAGGGTTTGGAATGGGATCCGGTTAACGCAACATGTAAGCAAAACCATAAAATAAAATCAGATTTCTTGATTCATATAATATTAACTTGATCAGTTCTTGACTAACACACCTGTTTCAATTAGGTGGTAAATGTCGCCGTGGGAAACACTGCAAGAAAAAGAAGAAGACAGTCGTTTTTGCAGGTGCGGCTGCTGCGGTTGTGGGAGTGACATTGGCGATTGCGGTTGCTGTGATTGCAAACAAACACAGCCACCAAAAGGTCAAGAAAGAGATCCACAAGAACATCGTCAAGGAGCGAGAAGAGATGCTCAGCGCAAAATCCACCGGAAAATCATCAAGAATCTTCACAGGCAGAGAGATCACAAAAGCGACCAACAACTTCTCAAAAGATAATCTCATAGGCACCGGAGGCTTCGGAGAAGTGTTCAAAGCCGTTCTTGAAGACGGAACCGTCACCGCAATCAAACGAGCAAAGCTTAACAACACAAAAGGCACTGATCAGATCCTAAACGAAGTTCGAATCCTCTGCCAAGTCAATCACAGAAGCTTAGTCAGGCTACTCGGTTGCTCCGTCGACCTCGAGCTACCTCTCTTGATCTACGAGTTTATCCCCAACGGAACTCTCTTCGAGCATCTCCACGGCAATCCAGAACGCAACTACAAACCGCTGACTTGGCGGAGAAGACTACAGATCGCATACCAAACCGCTGAAGGCTTAGCTTATCTCCACTCCGCAGCAATGCCACCAATCTACCACCGCGACGTGAAATCGAGCAACATCTTGCTCGATGAGAAGCTAAACGCCAAAGTTTCAGACTTTGGACTCTCGAGGCTCGTGGACTTGACTGAGATTTCAAACAACGAGAGCCATATCTTCACAGGCGCGCAAGGTACATTAGGCTATCTCGATCCTGAGTACTACCGGAACTTCCAGCTGACCGATAAGAGCGACGTGTATAGCTTCGGAGTTGTGCTTCTGGAGATAGTTACGTCGAAAAAGGCGATAGATTTCAGTAGAGAAGAGGAAGATGTGAACCTGGTCATGTATATCAACAAGATGATGGATGAAGAGAGGTTGGTTGAGTGCATTGATCCGGTGCTCAAGAAGACTGCTAACAAGGTTGATCTGCAGACCATGCAACAGCTCGGGAATTTGGCGTCTGCGTGTCTTAACGAGCGGAGACAGAACAGGCCTTCCATGAAAGAGGTTGCTGATGAGATCGAATACATCATCAATGTTCTGTCTCAAGAGGTGGTTACTGAGACTGGGACTGAGACAGAGTTGTCTTAAGGATTTCACCAAAATTTGAACTTGTAGTACCAACTGCTCTGTTTCCGGTTATGAATTTTGAAAAAAGAAAAGACTATTCATAGAAATGGATTTTTGTACATTGTTCAATGTCATGTCAAGATCCAAAACATTGTATGAGATGTTATAGCAGCTAGGATCCAGTTGAAGAAAGCTAAACAGACTGAAATCTGAAACCTGTCGCAAGAGAGAGTGGTCTGCCTGCAAAATTCAGTGTCTTTTGTGAATAAAACTGTAACTCCTGCAGATGAACACGAGGCTGCAAGAGAGAGAAGTGCAGTTACCTGCAGAATTTCCATAATTAAACAATCAAAAACTTGCGGATGAAACTCTGTTTGCTATAGTGAAACAGAAGATTGAATTAGTACCCAGTCACCAACAGTGAATAGGCTCAATAAGATGGGGCTTCGTAGATCACTTTTTCGTCTAATCGCATATACGTCAATACACGCAAGTCCAAAGCTCCAAATCATTTGAAGACCCATTGATGCAACTAAGAAGCTGAAATCATAAGCGTTTCGAGCAATCAAAGCAGAGAAAATGTCCCATTTCACATAATTTACCAACGAAAACAGAAGAACTTGTCAACACTCAATTACTTGTCTTCAAATGGGCAAACGAGGCACAAAATCCGATATAAGCAGATACACCAATCATAATCAACAAGAGATTTAGCAAATCCAGTCCACTATCTGAATGTTGAGAATTACCAGAAAGCAGTGTAGCTAGAGAAGCCGGGAGCAGAAACCATAACACCGATCGAAGCAGCAGCAGTCGCACATTGCCCTAATCTCAGTATTAGCCCAATCATTGTTCCGGGACCCCCAATCATCTTCTTCATTGACCACCGCTAGCAAAACAGAACAACAACCACAAAAGAAAAACGTAGACTTTGGATGAAGAACCGCTACTTTCCAGAAAATCGATCATAAGAACCCTAAACCCATCATCTTATCTGAAAAATTTCACACACAAAAACCTCAGATTCGGAAAATTTCACTACAGATCATAATCTCTACTCAAGAGCATAGCCACCAGAAAACCAACACTAAAAAAGACAACTTTTTTTAGCTTTGCCTCTTTTTGGCCAAAAGTATCTACCACAATCTGTATATCATCTGGTCAAATAATTGTTTCTGTTTTTGGAGGAACAATTATGTTTCCCTTAACTTCAAGCCAACGAAATTGAACAAACAGTGACGATGTTCTGACGCACGAGGGTGATTTGTTATCGCTATTGCGTTTTGGCACGTGTCTCCACAGAGACATTCCTCTTCACACCGTACCAAACTACCGATACTACAATCCTAATCCGGTCTTATTGTGTACATCAAAAGTGAATGCTGTAATATTGCCGTATTGGTATAATTTGGTACGGTGAAAGAGAATGTCTCAAGTGGAGTCAGCAAGATGTGGGTTCTTAATGGCCCATTAAGATATTGGGCCTTAGTGAATACTATTTTCTACAGATTTCCACTTTCTATAATAAACCTTAAACCTCTCTCTATCAGCAAAACCCTAATTTTCGATACTCTCTGGTAGCCTTTTCTTCCTCTTCAGAAAAACCCTAGAACACTCCGAAAATGTCGTTAAGCACCGTGTTTCGTCGTGCCTCGTCGACAGTGGCCACTATTGCCTTCCGCGCGGCTAGATCTCCGGTGAGCCTCCCCAGTGGTGCCGTCTCCGCTCAGAGACTGATTCATGGTAGCCAGCTCCGCTGTGGATCGGCTATTTCATTCTCGAGATTCTCAACGGAAAGCGTCGTCAGTAAAAGAACCGCCGACGAGGAGCTTGTTAGCGTTCTCGAATCTGAAATTGAATGCGCCGTGAACGAGGAGGCACCTGATGAAAACGTCGTAAGTTTTTTTGCTGTTTACCAGAAGAATTATTTCATGAAATTTGAAATTGAGAATAATTGAATTTGGATTTTAGTGATCTGAAATTTGGAAATTTGTAATCTGAAATTGAAATTCTTCATTTACAGTTGGAATATAAGCCAGAAGGGTTTCCATTTGAGATAATTGATACTCCAGGGGAAAGAACTTTGTTGCTGCAAAGGAAATTTGAGAATGAAACCATCCAAGTGGAAGTTGACTCTGCACCTTTTGAAGATGAAGAAGAAGACGAAGCAGCAGAGGCAAACGACGACGATGAAGAAGAGAGCTCGGGTAGAATCAGGCTTCCAATGGTTGTGAGTGTGGCGAAAAGTGACGGTGTCTGTCTTGAGTTTGGAGTCAGCGCATACGCCGATGAGATTGTGATTGATAGTTTATCGATCAAACAACCCGAAGGATCTGATAACGAGCTTGCTTACGAAGGACCTGACTTTGAGTAAAGTTTCTAATTCTATCTTAGTGTCTTGTTGCAATGTATATGAGATTGGATATTTACAATGTATATGAGATTGGATATTTGTAAATGTGATTGAATTTGTGTGTGTGCAGGGACTTGGATGAGAATTTGCAGAAGGCTTTCCACAGGTTCTTAGAGATCAGAGGGATCAAACCGAGCTTCACTAACTTTCTGGCTGATTACGTGGCCAACAAAGATAGCCGAGAGTATCTGCAATGGCTCAAGGATCTCAAGTCTTTTGTTGAGAAGTGAGATACTGAACTTTTGTTCAGAGAATAAGAGTCAACACGTTTAGCTGAGATTTTTTTGTTTTTTACTTTAAAAACTTTGGAGTTTGCCTTATCACCATTATCCAATGATGATTACAGAAATCGTTGAAAGGAGTTGTTCCTTGTTGACGTTATTGCTTTGATTCGTCTATGTACTCTGGAGTTTATCTTATAAGTATCAGTTTACAAACAACGGAAGATGATTCAACATTTCCCCAACAAAAATCTTTCACAAGAATTTGGCAAAAGAAAAAAAAGTGTCAAGTCTGTTGACGAAAAAGCAAAGTAATGCAAGCTTTTAAAGGATTCTAGGACTTGAGTAGTAGTAATACATCATAAAGATATTTGAGAAAACATCAACAGCAACGAAGCTGGCTGTACAAGTCTTTAACAAACAGAGTACTGCATAAAGCAAAAACCAAAATCCAAATCATGAAACAGATAATCCGAGTCATGGACCATCAATCAAAGATCGAACACCCAGAGAATCGCAAGTAAATGCTGTGAGATTGGTCTTTACTGCTTCATGCCCACGAGACAAGATCACGGCGGCACAAGCTGAGGAAGAATGTCAACATTTCAATCAGATAAATAACCGTCCAACTAAGAACAAAGATCTATGTTCATCAGATATTCCATAAACGAGGGCAAAGGATTTAAGAGTTGTTCATACTTACATTACTCTAAATCTCACTGTAGTTACGCCATACTGCTCGGAATTCCTCCCTGAATGTATTAAGACGTGCCTTCAAGTTCGGTGTTCTCAAGCTGGCATGAAGAACTGTACCTGTAAACACAAATAGCAAAAATGACTTGAGGGTATGAAGCATGTGGATGGTTGATGGATGGAGTAGAGTGTGAGAAACTAAAGTTATGAAAGTTTGTGTAGATACCGTACCAAGAAATCCAATGAGTAGTGCCAAAGAGACTGTGAACAAACCGCAGGAAATATACCAAAGGGCAAAACTCACTGTGAAACAAACAAATTTCAAAACGGTTTCAGTAAATATTTCATTAAGTTTCTCATCAAATGAACATAGAAATATACACAGCCACATACCAAGTGAGAATATCAAGACAAAGACCCAACGAGGTTGACCACATATATAGACTGTTCTCTTTGCTGATGGGCGTCCACGAATGACAGGTCTGTAAACACACAGATAATCCACATGATATAGAAGCAGCAAAGAGTATGAAACGAAAGAAGGAGAGGCAAGCAATTAACATACGTCAAAGGAGGTCTCATTTTAGCAGCTAACTGTGGAGAAAATCTTCTGATGGTTCGTGTTGCCTTCTCGTTAAAAGACCCTGCAAAGCTGTAGATAACAATCCTCATTATAGAAGGATCGTAACTCAACTCTATCTAGCAACCAGTTTGGAAACAATGGAAGGAAGAGAACCTGTCATTCAGAAATGCCACACTTAGTGCTGTCAAAAGTGCAGAGAGAATGGCGAGAGGCCTTGTAAGAAATCCCAATCCTGAGAAGCAAAAATTTGACAACTTTAAGTAGATACATCACTGGTAAGCAACTCAGGTACAATCTTAGCCAATTCCTCACACAACCTACCAAGTATAAAGACGATCATGATGAAGTAGTTTGTTCGGTAGCTGCAAAAAAAAAAAAAAAAACATCATCACAGGTCAAAATTACGCTCGAAGCTTGTTAATTAGTCTCTTATCCACTAATAAGATCAATCATTCACAACGAACTGTTCAGAGATTAATCATACTATCAAATCCTAATAGATATAGTGAAACGTGACTCGTTCCAGCACCCAAATTGAACAATTTAACGTTCAATTTGCTAAATTACAGACCTAGCTAGCGAATAAGAGAGAGTAGAGAGAGGGAGAGAGAGCGATCGTACTAGTAGAGATTACACTTGAGGCGGCTATCCCATTTCGCGAAAGATTTAGGAACGGTGAATCTAGAGAAGAACTCAGATAGTGGACGCGGCGGAGAAGACCAGTCAACTTCTCGGAGAGCATCGACGAGATCCTCAACCGTCACATTTCCCCAATCCATAGCCTCCAAAAATCTCCGATCACAAACTCAACTCTCTTAAGAATAGAGATTTATACAAAATAAAATTCTCCACAGAATCGATCGATTATGATCAAATGAAAGCTTCTTCAGAGAGAGAGAGAGATCGGGAGAGAATCTAGAGAAAATTTGCGAAGATGAATCAAAACGATTTCGTGCAAGGATCGTTTTGCATCGAAATGGTCTAAGCTTTTTCAATGCTTTCGGGGAAAGAGAGTAAATTTACGCCACGCGTCTTTTTATCAAAAGACACTTACACCCTTGACTCTGGTTTTCCTTAACCGAAGCCAAATCTTCAGCCCATGCCAATTTTTCAAATTACGGTCCACGTTCTTAGTTAACGGACACTGCAAACAAATATTTTTTTCTTTTTTTTTGTAAGTTAGATCAACGACAGTGGAATGGTTGGATAAATGGGAAAGATTATAGTAACATTTAGATAGGAATAGATAGGGATCCAAATAATAATATACTGGCATAAAATCATATAAATACGATCTATCAAATCATATCCCACTTCGTTTGAGTACACCAAATGATTGATGGATATATTCTTAATACATACGTCTCCATGTATATTTCATACACATCAACCAATCATTTGGTTTTGTGCATAATCAAATCATGCGTTTGGGATTATTTGACGATTAGACATCGCTCATGTCAGTTTGATTTTTGTGTAGCTCTTAGTCTTCGGTGAAGTCAGTACATTTGATTTTGCTCGTTATCATTCCGAATTCGAGTGAGAAAGAAGCACCGAAACATGTATTTTTCTAAAACATTACTTTTGCATTTTATAGAATAAATCTCTTCATTTCTCGAAATGCTTTTTTAAGCTAATCTATCAAGTCATCTCGCAAGGCCTTCTCCTTCAACCGACACTCATCTCTATAATTGGTTTAGAATCTTCCGATCATATTCGGTAAGTCATCTCCATCCCTGATGAAATATGAGAAACTTTCTTTCGTGAAAGATGGTTTCTTCCACCTTAGTTTCTTGAACTCCTTGTATCTTACAAAAACTTTAAAGAGCAAAGAGTAACTTACAAAGAGTAGGGATTCAAATATATCTTTGAACTAACCAATTTCAATGGTGGTGTTGTAATCATGTCATGATTCCTCTTCTCCAAACAAGTTAAAGCGCTTAGTCTTTGTTGAGTTGAGTGTTGTCTTGTACATGGAGTAAGGAAGAGGTAATCCGTATCCCGAGGATTAAAAGCAATTACATTCGCATACTTTGTATGCCAATAAAAATTTTAAACCTCAGGATGCAGATTACCCGTTCTTCACCAAGTACCTTCATCTTCTTGTTCTTTTCTTTGCTATTGTTAATGGTGAGTTGTTTTCATTATTGTTGCCAATGGTGAGAATATATATAGAGCTGGCGAAGCTTAGAAACAGTAACGGTGCAAAAGAATAATTCTTATTCCAAAGGTTTAATGCTTCTGGAACTAATACTCGTTTTCTTGTCCATGGTTTCTTCTATATTCCTATATATTTTTATCCAAAGGCGGACCTACATGCAAAGATACTGGTTCACTTGACACACCTAAAATAAGGTAATATTTTTACTTGTAAGAAGAAAACACATAAATGCAGCACTTCAATTGGTAACATCCTTCTAGTTGACACCCCAAACGCAAGTTCGAATCTCGCCAATGACACCTAAGTTGAGTTTTGACCCAGCTAAGATATATTTCTAGATCCGCCACTATTTTTATCTTGAGCTCGATCAGCACATACACATAGTTTCATAAACAAACATGAAGTACGCTTGGCGTGTCTAATGGCCAAACAATTCCAATTCTATGAAATATTTGTGAGTCTGTGTACACAAAAACCTGCATTTTATGTATTATATTTTTTTATTAACAAAAACAGTCTTTTTGTGTAACAATTACGTCGAGAACCCGAAATCATTAGAAGGCATTATGTGTCACGCGTTAGTAGAGCCGAAATCATTCTTTTTGAGAAATGCGATCCACGTATAAAAGAATCAGCCGGTTCCATATTCTACGATTCTACCATACTTCTACACTTTGCTCCATCAAATTTTCCTCAAATGACTATCCTAGTAACCTTTTAAAGATAAACCTAAAGGTAATTAATTTCTAAATAGACATAATATCTTTGTTGAACTGTTCAAGGATAAATCGAATCGTACATAGTAGTAATTTGTTGAGAAATTTAATTAATTAAATTACGTACATAATTGTTAACGGCTTCTGAAAATGCAAGATTAGCCTCCCTTGTAACCTCAACGCAATTTGGCGAAGAAGAAGAGCTTATCAAGGAAGCTCAAGTAGTTTTGAGGAATCGTTTTCAGGCTCTTCATACTTTGGGGGCAGCCCCTCTAACCTTTATGCGTCCTAAAGTGCAGAGAAGAGTTCAGAGGCAAAAAGTGTTTCAGTCTTCTCTCGTCGTTCCGCAGTCAGTCCCGCCTGACCTTGATGAGGAATTGGTATCAGACCAGGAAACCTCTTTTGTTGATCGAATGGAGCATCCGCCTATAGCCGATGTTCCTGCGCCCGCTTCTTAGGTGTCTAGCAGCACCTTTTTTTACTTCTTTATGAAGTGCTTCTCCTGGAACGTTCGAGGCCTGAATGGCGATACCAGGAAATTAAAAGTAAAGCGGTGGTTTTTGGCAAACCGGCCTCTTATTGGCGGTCTTTTGGAAACACATATACAACAACAAAATGTGGCAAGCTCAATCAATAATCTTTTCCCTGGTTGGAGGTTTGATAGTAATCACTCTACAGAAGCGGAAAATGGAAGAATCATTGTCGTCTGGGATCCTATTCTTTCTGTTATCACGTATTTGAAGACGCCGCAACTTATTTTGGTAGGAGTCCTCAATCCTTCTACACATCAGTCTTTCACCATAGTCTTCATTTACGCTCGGAATACTAGAGAAGAAAGAGTGCCACTCTGGGATCTTTTGAAGGAATTGGCATCCTCTTCTCTTGTATCTTCCTCTCCTTGGATCGTGATGGGAGATTTCAACCAAATCCTGTCTATCTATGAAGCGTACTCTCTAGTTCCGACTTCTATCTCTTTGGCGGGTATGGTTGATTTTCAGGATTGTATTGATGCTTGCCATCTTTTTGATCTATCTTCTCGAGGGTGCTTCTATACTTGGGATAACAAGTCTCTCTCTAATCCCAAGGCAAGGAAATTGGACAGAGCCTTAATTAACGAGCCATGGCAGGACTCTTTTCCAAATGCAAATGCTCTTTTTGACGCTCCAGGAAGCTCAGATCATTCACCTTGTTTGGTTTCTCTTTCCACGGAATCTTCAAGGAGGAGAACCAGATTCAATTTCTTTGCCTTTTTCACTCTTCATCCAGATTATCGGAATCTGATAGAATCGGCTTGGAGTTCAGTAAGCATTTCTGGAGGTGCCACTTTCTCTCTTTACCAACGATTGCGAGCAGCTAAGGTGTGTTGCAAAGGGTTAAATCGTTCAGCTTTTAGTAATATCCAAGCTCGAACTAAGGAAGCTTTCGAGAAGCTGGAATCGATTCAGAGAGAGCTCCTTTCTGATCCTTCTCAGACTCTTTTTCAATTGGAATCAGAAGCAAGGAAGTCTTGGGAACTTCTGTCTTCAGCAGAAGAATCTTTTTTCAAACAGAATTCTCGAATCAGATGGTTGAAAGAAGGAGACTCTAATACCGGATTCTTCCACAGATCGGTTAAAGCCAATCTATCGAGGAACATTATTCATCATTTGAGGGATGGCAATGGAGTTAAAGTCTCTAATACTGAACAGCTTAAGGCAATGGCGGTTGAGTATTATCGTACCCTCCTGGGAACCCCTAATTCTCTAGTCCAGCCTTACTCAAAACAGCAGATTCAAGAGATTCATCCCTATCGGTGTGGAGATAGTATGGCGAGTATGCTATCAGCTATTCCTACGGATGAAGAAATCACTAAAGCTCTATTTTCTCTCCCAAGAAATAAAGCCCCAGGTCCATATGGGTTCACTGTGGAATTTTTTACTTTCTCTTGGGATTTGGTTGGCTCTGATTTGGTGAAAGCAGTTAAAGAGTTCTTCATTGGTTCCTTCATTCTGCGACAGATCAATGCAACGGTGATATCCTTAATTCCTAAAATTCCAGGAGCTGAGGATTTAAGAAACTTTAGACCCATCTCCCTTTGCAATACAGTCTACAAGGTTATCTCCCGGATTTTATCCTCGAGACTCAAGAGACTAACCCCTAAAGTGATGCAAAGAAATCAAGTTGGTTTCGTGGTGGGTAGGCTTCTTTATGAAAATGTTCTACTGGCTTCAGAACTTGTAAGTGATTTCAATAAAGAAGGCAACACCACAAGACGCTGTCTTCAAATCGATATTTCCAAGACTTATGATAATGTGGATTGGCGATTTGTTCTGGCTATCTTGGAAGCGCTTGAACTTCCACCGATCTTCATCAATTGGATCAAACTGTGTATCAGCTCTCCCTACTACTCAGTCTCGGTGAATGGTGAATTGGCTGGGTTCTTTAAAGGGATGAAAGGGTTAAGACAAGGAGATCCTATATCTTCATCTCTCTTTGTCTTATCGATGGATATTCTCTCTAAACTGATGGATAAGGCATTCCTGAGTGGTCTCATTAATCCTCATCCGTTCTGCAAGGATCCTCTTGTTACTCATCTCAGTTTTGCAGATGATGTTCTAATCTTTTTTGATGGCTCAGAAAACTCTTTAAGAGGCATTCTTCAGGTGCTAAAGGAGTTTGAAGGAACCTCTGGTTTGGCCCTTAGTCTTCAAAAATCATGCCTCTTCCTTGATGGGAACAATCTTGACCTCACTCGTCAGTTAGCCTCCACGTTTGGATTAGTTCATGGATCTCTTCCAGTCCGCTATTTGGGGCTTCCTCTTATGCCACATAAGTTAAGGCCCCAAGATTACCAACCACTTATTGATAAGGTGCGTTCCAGAATCTGCTCCTGGACTGCAAGGCAACTCTCGTTTGCGGGAAGGTTGCAGCTTATTCAATCAGTAATCTATAGTATCATTAACTTCTGGTCAGCGGCGTTCCCCCTACCGAAGAAGTGTTTGGATACTTTGAAAAGAATGTGTAATTCCTTTCTTTGGAATAGTACACCGGATTCTGCAAGAGGAGCGAGAGTCTCTTGGGCTTCGGTTTGCTCTCCTAAGAGCACAGGTGGACTGGGTTTACAAAGATTGGAAGATGTGAATCAAATTTTTGGACTAAAATTAATTTGGATGATCTTTGCTTCAAGTGGTTCTCTCTGGGTAGCTTGGGCTTATAAACACATTCTTAAAGGAAGATTATTTTGGAATCCCTCTCTTCAAGTTTCAGGTTCCTGGATTTGGAAAAGCTTATTAAAGCTACGAGAGGTGGCTAGACCCCATTTGTTCTGTAAAGTCAACTCGGGAACCTCGGCTTTGTTTTGGCATGATAATTGGACTGGGTTGGGACCTCTTATTGATCTAACAGGAGCAAATGGCCCTCGGATCACAGGGATCCAAAGATTGGCGACTGTGAGTCAGGCGTGTAGTAATTCATCTTGGTCCATCTCAGGAGGAAGACATCCTATTCTAAGGTTTCTTCGTGACTGCCTTCCTCCTGAAATCCCAGCTTCTCTAAATACAAGCCAAGACGTTTTCCTTTGGAAAAATTCTCCACTAGACTCTCCTGGAACCTTCTCGTCTTCAAAAACATGGGACTTCCTTATCCGACAGGCCCCATTCTTGCTTGGTCTAAACCGTTATGGTTTAAGCAAAGGATCCCTAAGCATGCATTCATCATGTGGATAGTCATGAGGGATCGCCTTCTCACACGTGACAGACTTAGGTCTTGGGGACTTCCTGTTCCAGACAATTGCCTTCTCTGTAATGTTTCACAGGAAACAAAATCCCATCTGCTTCTCGATTGCTCCTACTCAAGAGAAGTTTGGGATGCTTTTTTTCCTAGAGCTGGGTTAATTCTGCCTAATTCATTCGAAGAGGTCGTTCTTTGGAGTGAAAACCCCTCACCAAATCAGAAGATTAATACAATATGCAAACTTCTGGTTCAAGCAATTGTCTACTGTTTATGGAGAGAAAGAAATACTCGTCTTCACACCCCTTCTACAAAACCGGTCCACGTTTTGGTAAAGAAAATTCAACTTATCTTAAGAGCTAAACTCTTTATTTTGGATCGCTCTTCCCATGTGGTGATCACCAATGCATCTTCCCTAACTGCTAGTAGGGATGATTCTTTCTTGATCACTTGGTTTAGGTCCTTGCAGGCCTAAATTTTATTCTCTTTTGTTGTTGTTGTTTTTGTGTTTCCCTCTCACCCTAAGCTTCATGCTTCGGGTTGATTTCCTTCCCATTTGTAATTGTGGTTTCCCCTTTTGGGATGATTTATTAATAAAGCGTACTATTAAAAAAAAAAAAAAAAAAAAAAATTACGTACATAATACGTGTGGATAGTGTTTTTCCGCATCCACATAAAGGAGAACGATTGTGAGAGATCAAATCATGAGAAATTGATTCTTTGTTCTTTACGAGCCAATGATGGGTACCTTGCATTTTCTTTCCTTTGCTTTCTAATATATAAATAGTCTCTGAAATTTTCTTTTGACTGCTTTTGTTATCTTCTCTCAGTTCATGTGTGATGAACCGATTCTCTTCTCGATTATTGAATTTCATATAATTGAGTTGGCTAATATCTGTTTGCATCTTAAGTAGAAATCTAGTTCAGATGATTTCATTAGTTTTGAGCTATGTTCAAAATATCGGTAATCGTTAATTGGGTGGTCGGGTCGGGATTTGGGATTTTTCAAAAAACGGGGATTAAGCTGAAATTAAGCGGAGATGAAATTTTGACTATATTTTATAAAATTTTCAAATATTTTCATATATATAACTATATTTAGTAATATATCAATATAATATTCATATTTATTTTTATTTCATACTTACTGGTATGACAGATTTTCGGTTTTAACCAAAAATAGGTTGATATGCTGCTTTTTGCAGGTTAATTTCATACTGATACGCTGCGTTTACATAAACCAGAGACAAGTTGATAAGTTTTGAGTTAGAAAATGAGCCTTTGTAATTAAAATGGGCCCACAACCCTTTTTGTACGTTCTATTGCTCTTTTTTTGCTTGAAACATGCGTGCTCTCTCTGCAACTTTATTTCTCTCACCGATTTTCATTAATCTCTACGGTGGCTGCCGATGTCCGTTTTTCCAACCGATGATTGCGTTAAATCGCCGATTTTTAGAACACACTTTTGAGTAATCCTCGTGAAAATGTTTGTTTCGTGCAATGCATGGAATTAATCGCATTAAGCCCTAAATTTACTATAACCTTTGCATATTTGCTATTTTGGTGTGACGTAAATTTGATATACAATTTCTAATGAGTATAAACAACATAAGAACACTATATTAATTTTTTTTTATATAGACATAGAATGTATACTTGTATAATATGAAAAGGCTGAGAAATGGTCAGGAGAATAAATTCCGAAATAAAAGACAATTTTATTTTCTTTTTTCTTTTTCTGATGAGAGGGAAAGGTTATATATTGCATGTTTTCCAAAAGCAAATACAAAGTTATCAGAAGCAACAAAAGCAACAATTTTTTCATCTTTTGCTCTCATGGGCTCTTCAAAAGCCAAGTTTGTTACCCTTGTAGGCTTCAGGATTGTACCAATATTGGAAGGGATACAAACCGAATTGAACCATAAACCGAACTATTTGGAATTGCGTTTGAGGTTTAAATTTGCTTTTAAACCTATTTGATCTGAATTTGGAGTTAAAACTGCATTTGTCTCAATTACTCAAAACTGATTGTTCAAATACCCTGAGAACTTTCAAACCTGATTGTTTGTAGGGTTTCAGAACAAATAGATGAGCTGTATAACTGTATTTAGTGTCGTCTCAGAAAATTAAAGCAAAACAGATGGTTCGGTTATTTCTACTTCTTAGATGTTGGATAGTAAGCATTATTCGTCGCATAAAGAAAAGAAAAAAATAAAAACAAATTAATTTCATTTGAAATTTGATTTGCGTGGACTGAGACAATTCAATTTCATTTCTTAGAAATATGAAGCGAAAAAAAATGAAAAGCATTCTAATATACACATCATATGCATTACAATTTCCCATACCTCATACATAACCGAAACGTACGTCAAACATTTTTTTTGTACTTCCCACAACAAATCATCTCATCCAATCATGTAGAAACTGATGATCAGTACCACCAATAAAATCTCTCCCAAACTGACGATTTTGCCCTTCATACCCACCACCAGCACCACCGTAAGACTCCCCTCCACCGCCTCCACCACTACTACCACCGTCAAGTCCAAACCTCTGAGCAGTCGTCATCGGAAAAGGCTCCGGCAACCCAATCTGATGATGAAGCCCTAACGTCAACGAAACTCCCGTGCTGCTGCTCATCACCGGGACATTCGACGACCCAATACCGTAAGAGAAGCTAACTGGGCCTCCACCGCTTCCACCGTTCACAAAGCTGTTATTGTTGTTGCTGGTAGCGTGAACGTCGTCGTTTCGAGCCCGTCTAGCCGGAGATGAGTTGTTATTAGGTCTTTGGTTTGCCGCCGAGGAAGAAGGGTTGTTGTTGTTGTTGCTGTTGTCAGGGAAGACGGAGGTGGTGCTCCGTTCGTCTCTCCAAGAAGAAGAAGAAGATCGCTGAGATTGTCGAGTCTCCAGCATATGAATCTCTTCCACCATCGGCTTCCAAACCCTAACACGTGCGTTTATAAACCAGTTGGATACCTGAAAAATAACCATAAGTTATTAATTAATTAACCCACCGGCAATAAAACAAAATCCTCGAAAGATCATGATCAATAACATATGGATTTCATTCGGCGATTTAAAAAAAAAAAAGACTACGGATTCAGTTACCCTAATTTAAAGAAAATGCTACATTGCATTCTCTCCACATATAAATTATACCCTAATGAATTCACTGTCTTCCTATGAAAAAAAAAAATCGATAAAGTAGTTCAATTGATTTTTATCATGTTTGAAATTTAATATATTTTTCAATTTTATAAAATTGTAGTCTTTTTTTTTTGTTAAAATAGAAAGTGCTAAAATGTTAAGATATTTTCCCAAAAAGAATTCATAATGTATCATTCAATCAAATTTAACATATAACCAACAGCAGAATCTCATTTCGTAAGTTTTTATCTTTTAAAGCTTTAGGTATATAGCAAGAAAATTCTTTAAATAGTGAACAAGAAAAAAAAAAAAGAAAAAATATTAAAAGAAACTGAAGATATCAGAAGTGAAACCTGATTTCTGGAGAGACCTGTCTGTTTAGCCAACATGAGTTTGTCTGTATCAGTTGGATAACTGCAACAACAGACACAGACAACTATAATTTAATACTTCGCCGTATATACTTACATATACACACATGATTAGAAGACGACATATCCAAGTTTGGGAAACAAACAAAGCATTTGACAAGTCCCATCTATTACATACTTCCAAGTTATAATACACTTCTATACATACATATACACACACAAACCTATAGCTATGTGTTCACAAGCATATACATTATGTGGTTCATATCTTACTGACAAATGAATTTCAAATCAAGATATGATGTAGACATATAGCTATTCGGATATTGGACTTTGCTTATGTCAAGATGTTCTCAATCAGTTAAATCGACTGATGGTCTGATTGAAAAACGACATCATTACCACGTAGGGAAAGTTACAACTAAGCTAAAACTCAAATCAACTGCTCCTAAAAGGCACATATATGGCTAAAGAAAAGGGATACTTACGGATGCAAGAAATGGTCGAAGAGCCAAGCCCTTAGAACGGTGACTGCACGTTCGGGTAAGCCACGGTGCGGTCTCCAGACAGGAGCATGGTGATCAGGAAAACCATGTCTTTGACCAGAAGAACACAAGCCTCTGCTACTATCACTTCCTCCAAACCTCAAGGACTCGGTCTTATTCTCAGAGTTCATCACATGACCACATTGTTGTTGTTGTTGGATCTTGTTATTGGCGCTAAACTGAAGCTGGTCCGTTATAGCATTCTTCAAACATTTGAAATGCTTAGACAATGTCTTTAAGGCTAAGGTCGCGTAAGGAGCTGCGTGACCGAGACCCGCAACGCATTCGAACGAGCCCATCACAGCTTGAAGCTGCTCATAGTACTGCTTATACCTCTTGTAAACCTTCAAAATGTCACATGGAAATGTTTTTAGATTCGAACCAACATTTATAATAAAATGGGTAAATATATATATTTTTTTTTAAATGTATGGCTCATACATTATTTCCTCACACAAAAAGTGTGTTATATACCTCGGAATAAACTAATTAAAATCTTCAAGTCCTTAGCTTTAAGACCATATATGTATTTTGTGCATATATTCCCTTTCATAAAGAAGAATTTCTCTTTTTACCACTTTAAGTTTATATCCCTAAGATTTGAAGAATCCAATTCACAAATATAGATCAAGAGCCGAGGGAGCTCAATAAAGTTATTTCCCCAAGATAATATTTAAATTAATGTAGTATTATTAACCTTAAGAATCCATTAAACAAATAACAGATGTGAAGAAGGAAGACGGCATATATATAAATATCGTGTATTAATGTGGACTCTATAACATCTTCTGTTCATGCAAAACGTAGGGAACGTTTAATTAAAATATTTAAAAACGATATAATTTTTAAATGGGTTTGAAGGAGTTTCATTTTCCAAGGAAGATCTTTTTAAGAGACATATCATTTATCACATTTTGTCTCCAATTTCAAAGGACACCGACCAAAAACTGTGAACATTCACACAATAATACACATACGTATAAGAGATTCAAAAGATTATTAAATATAGGTATTAAGATTGTTTCATTAATTATACCTCGTCAAGCATGGAGATGAGTTTAGATTTCTTCTTCCCAATTTCTCCTCCGCAGCCGTCAGAAACGTCGCAGAGATTCTCAACCGTCGGATCAAAAAGCAAAGAAGAATCGTCGTCGTCGATGACCTTGTCGGTGTAAATCCCACGACCCACATTACAAAACTCATCAAGAAGCATCTGTGCTGGTTTCAAGAACCTCGATCCTTTAAGTATCGATGCGTAGCCAGTGAACGGCCCGAGAGGACCAGAGCTTCTAGAAGCAACTGTGACGGCTCCGGCGGCGGCTTCTGCGGCGGATCTGCAGTATCCAGAGTTAACAACGCCGGGAACGACTAGATCGTAAGCGAGTCTAGGGTGAGACTGAGAAGACAAAGATAGAGATAAAGGCTCGGGTTTGAAGACGAGAACGTCTCCGGAAGAAAGCCCGGCGTTAAAGGAATGATCGCCGACGACGGCGACTGCGGGGGATGAAGAGGAAGACGGGCCACCGAGATATCCCATGAAATTATTGTAGCTAGGGCTAGATATGTGGTTGTTGTTGTTGTTAGAGTGAAATCCACCGGCGGCAAGGAAATCGGAGTCGGCGAGAGGATAAACTCCACCGCCGCCTCCGCCGGATGAAGAGGGAGGAGGAGGGTGGAAGTGAAAGGGGGAATCGAGAGCAGGAATCCGTAGTTTGTCTCGCCGACTTTGCTGAAGGACATGGTAAGGCTCGTAAGCATCGGCCATGGGAAAGTTTCGAGATGCACAAGGAGAGAGAGAGAGAGTAACAGTGGAAGAGATAATGGTGACGGAGAAACGAGAGGTGAAGAGAGAGAGCGAGAGGCTTCTTTTGCTTTCTTTTCGAAGCACGATCAGTATTATGTATATCTATGTTTTCATATTATTATTTAGTTTAAAAACAAAAAAAAAATATCTACAAATCTACAATACCTATGTTTTATAGACCTGTAATGTAATGTTTCCGGAATAAATTTATTGAGCATTACAATTTTGGTCAAGGATCATCTTTTTGGTGTTTGTTACTACAAGCTAGTTTAATGCTCTCATAGGTAATCCATCTAATGATGAGATAGTTTCATGATTCTCTCGAATTTTACTAGTTTACATGATTCGGTGAAATTACAGTTTATATTTACTCGTTTCCTAAAACTAAGAAAAATGAGAAAGTAATACATGATCTTCTATAGTATGTATTTAAAAACTAAGAATTCGTTTAGCTAATCGATCAGCTAATGTGGTTTAAAGGTGATTCTAAAGCTGAACAGTGAAAAGTCCCGGGTTTGGTGGGAGAGGCTATGGGAAATCGGGAGAGGGTGACCGGCTGTAACCGGTGACGATGAAACAGGTTCTTTTACGAACTGTTCTGTGTGTTTCAGTCTTTCACATACTTACTAACATTTCTACTACTTTTCAAGTCTTCTTTTTGTCGTTTTTCTTCTTTTCTTTTGCTCGAATAAATACCTTTTTACGTACTCTTAAATTTTGTAATCATACTAATCGCTCCAGTACGCGTGGATGGTAGGTATGTCCCGCAAGATTAACGAGAATAATAGTATTGCTGTAGGTTCAATTATAATTATTTTTGTATAGTTAGAGAGCAATCACAAGATTCACAACGACTTTTTAATGACAAATTGCCTAGGTTTATATAAATATTTCCACTAATCAAACCAATAAAGATTAGTGCATTTGCAGTGAAAACTTGTGCTGGCTTGTAGACCCGTTTTTTTTCTCTCCTATGTTATAAGCAGCTTACGGGTGAGCGGAAAAGTTACGTTGGCTTATTAGAACCGTAATTCACATTTCGTAGTTTTTTTTTCTTATGTTATCCGCCGTATTTGATGACAAAAACTATCCTAATTGAAACGTATGATGATTCTAATAATTATTGAGTATAACTATGTTGTTCAGCGGAATATAAACAAATATAATATACGTGTCACGTGTGTATAAGTTAGTTTGCGAATTCAAAACCTCGTGAGTTATATTTTAATTTCCACAGCAGCGACTAACTTGGCGACACCTATGTTCTAAGATATGCCAGTAATTAATGATTAAAAAACGGAAAAGTAAACTCGACTGTGCTGTAATAATCGTGTTTGAAATAATCATTAGAGGATTTTTCGTTTGCATGGGGAATAATGCGACGTAAATCATTTGAAAATGTGTTTCGAGCATCAACCAAATGTTTGTTTGTTTCTGTTACATTTATTTATATATAAAAGTATTTCCTCTTTTGGCTAAGATGGACCACAAAATTGAAAAAGAACCAAGGCACTCCAATAAAGTATTACAGTAAATTAAAGTGCACGTAATTATTAGTTATTCTCCTCTTCTCTTTTACATTACATCACGGGTTTACCAACATATGAAGATTTGTAAGCAATCGCTAGTTTTCATAATTTTATGGCTAAAAAAAAATATCGAAATTTTACATTATATAAATTAATGTAGTATGTTAGTTAAATCATCCCGTATAAACATTTTATTACCTCTCTTCAATGAAGGTTCAAAAAGTTAAAGCATAACAATGCACAAAGAATGACTGGCTCGGTTGGTCATAACTGAATAGCATCCCAACCGCAAAAACTATGGAATGAAATTGAAATTAAGACAATCTTTTGGACAAAACAGCTTTTTGTGTGTGTGGGTGTGGGGATAAACAGCATATATGTATGTAATACACGACTATACAAAACGACTAAAAACAACGTACCAAGCAAATCTAGCAATTTACTGAAAACAACTATATCCGTCGAAGATTTTGGTGATCAAGGTCCAGTGGACCAAAAATGAATTGATATATAATATCACTATGTTAAGCAAGTCTACTAAACAAGTCACATTTCACTGTCAACAAACTAAGCTGAGATTAATTGCAATTTGAATTTGGTATGCGGATTGAAAACAAATTGAAACCTTTTATAGTTTTTTATGGGAAGTATTACTAGTTATAGTATTAAGTGAAATAGTTAAGCAGAGCCATTATTTGATCAATTTCACAGCTCTGCATAATCATGATTTAAGCAGTAAACAAACCAAATCCCATTCATTGATTTTGATTAATATTTTTGTACTCGTTACTTGGTACTTCCATTAAACTTTAACACGCTGTATTTTAGGTCGTAATGTGAATATAGAGAAAAAGAAAAACCTTGTGTGTGAATCTATAGAGACAGAAGACAGTACACAATTTGGTAGTAGGAGTTAATTAAAGTAGCTTACAACTGCAAAGTACTCGAGTTCTGATAAATGCCCATTGGGATTCTCAGGTGACGTCGTCATGCTAACGTCGTCTACAGATAAAACTAAAATCATTATTACGTTTGATTTTCTCTGCGCAAATCTTTTGCTTAGCGAGAATCCACCGAGTTTGCCGTCAGTTGATGTAACGGCGTTTCTCGTTCTTCACAAAACTCCGTACGTCTTCAGAAAGTAGTATCTACCGAGTAGTATTTACTGTATTTCCCACCCACTCGCGAGTAAACTCCACGCGATGCACTTAATTAGTTTCTCCCAAAAATTTAGTCATTGGACAAACGTAACATCTATACAAAATCTGTAATCGATTGGAAAATCGATGATATGTGTGGAGGAAGAACTACTAATTGTAGAATTACTCTGCCTAAAAAAGAATGTTAACAACAAATATCAAAAGGAGAATTATGAGAATAGAAACCATATTTCATGGTACCAATACCATATTTTGGCACATGGAAAAATAATTCCAACTCACTTCTTAAAGTGCAAATCACATCAGTCATTCGACGCTTTTTTTTTTCTCTTTTAAATTGAACCCATGTATAAATATAATTAATGCTCGTGAATCAAATTAGATAGACGCTTTAAATTAGATTAATAAATGGTCATATCATAACAAAAATTGACAAATCCACACCACATGTTGACGACTATATTATGTTATGTTACATCAAATCCAACTTAGTATCTATGTGAAAAGCTAACTGATTTTCATCGATTTTGTAAATTTAAAAACTTTTCTTCCTATTACTTTAGAACATAATTGACATAAATCAACTAAAGAACCACTGACAATAAATATAAGGGAAAAGAAAGAAAAATTAATTTAACTACGGATGTAGTTATAAAGTTAAACATACCTTCAAAAGAAATGCATGCATGATCGAGCACACGAGTAAGAGGATGATAAATTGATAATCTGTGGTGATGTATAGCAAACAATACTCTAATAATATCATCATGCTTCATGCATTTACTTTCTTCAAGGAAGGGTCAATTTTCAACAATGTGTTTATTTTGGGGGATAATATTCTCCGTAAAATAAATATATAGAAGTAATCTAGTCATGTCAAAATATTTAATTCCGGAAAATGATATATTATATATATATATATATATATATATATATATATTATAAAATTTTGTAATATTATCCCCAAAAATAAAAGCCTTAACAGAGAGAATGGGCCCCATGGGGTAGTAGTACAGAGAGAATCACTGTGATGACGTCACCTGTTAGGTTGCGTGACTCCTGGGCGCTGTATCTGTATTACGCTATCTTCCATACTTTTTTTTTTTTTTTTTTTTTCTCATCACTTCATAAATGATTTATTTTAAATTATTCTATTTGACAGATTAGTATGCTAATTTTACGTTACCAAAAAAAAGTATGCTAATTTTACAAAATGTAGGCTCGATATTTCTTTCAAGTTTGTTTTGAAAGGAATTCGGATGAATATGAAGCCGTAGGTAAACTATTAAAATTAAACAAAATGAATCAGAAGATGTTGCTTGATTTCAAAATCGAGACGTGTTTAGGATTGAGCTAGAGTGACAGCAATAGCACCAGTGGTCTAGTGGTAGAATAGTACCCTGCCACGGTACAGACCCGGGTTCGATTCCCGGCTGGTGCAGCTACTTACGTTATAATGTTATTCCCATATCCCAAGAGAAACTCCATTATTTTGATCTATTAGGCCCAAACAAAGTAGGGGGCCCAAACAAGTTAGGCTCACATAGTGATAATTCATGTTTTGTGCAAAATCATGCCCGAACCACATGGTTCTGCTCCTGCCAAACAACTCCATTTTTGAGACAGAATCAGTTAATAGAGAGCTACAGCTTTAATTTCTCCGAGATGAATCCACGTGCCTTGCAAATGAAACAAAGTGTCACTTGTATCGTATGACACAATACCAATGACATTTAGTAATTAGTATACACTAATATTTTAATATTCTCGCGCATAACGTGTGGGATTATAATATAGCAAAGCATATTATATATCTATAGAGTAAAAAGTCTCATTGGCATGGAAGGAAGGATATAACACAGACACAAAAAAACTGTATCCTCTTTGCATATGAAAGCAACATGTATGAATGTGATTGTTCCTTAATCTTCCTAGGACGTGATAATTGTTTTTCTCCAACCGAAAAATATCATAAACCTCACATTTTGACACCTCTACTTGGTTTGCCTCTCTGACTGTCCTTTTTTTTTTTTTAACTATGAAGGGTGACTACAAGTATGTCGTCGCTTTGCTTGATGAAGATGTCGCAGAAACTGAAAAGCCAATAGTAAGAATGTGTGTGGACTTCGCTTTACCTACTTCAGCTCCCACATTGGTCTCTTCAGCTTAGTCAAGTTTGGCTTGTGAAGATATGTTTCAAGTCTTTCTATATAAGCCTCTCTCTCCTTGCATCTTATCACTCTTTAAGTAAAAGAAATCCTTAATCGGTATTGATTTCTCTCTGTTGTAATTTCTATGAACCAGGACGTCAATAATGGTTTATCGTACTTGAACCAAATGTGATTTAGTTATGAAATCTCCTGTCAACGATAGTACCAGTGGTCTAGTGGTAGAACAGTACCCTGCCACGGTACGTACCCGGGTTCGATTCCCGGCTGGTGGAGCTACTTACATTTTTTATAATAACCGAAGAGCGCAAACATAGTTCCCTTGTTTTATTATAAGTTTTGAGCCATTAGGCCCAAACAAAATTAGGTTTCGCAATAGAGGCCTTTATCTCTATATGGACTTTGTAGAATCTTGCAAATTTTTTAAAAAAAGGAGAAATAAATAATTAATATGCCCGAACCGAACCACATGGTCCTGCAATTGAGACAGAAGAAATCAATCAGTTTGACAGCCGACAGCTTTACTTTGTCCGAGATGAATCCACCTGCTTGAAAACGAAAGTTAGTGGTAGTCAACAATACCAGTGACATTAACACTCATATTTTACCATTTTAATATCCTCGGGTATAACGTGGAAGATTATAATATTATACTGAATATATATGACTTATGATCCGATCCACTCATTTAGTAACATACATTATTGTAATCTATAGATTATATAAAGTCACAGGCATTATTGAGGAAGCATAGTACAGTCAGAATAATATTTTGCCTCTTTGAACTTTGAAGATATCAACAACGAGCTGATTCATGAAGATATCTCATTTCCAGCCTTTGCTTCTTCTTCTCCTCGCATCATCACTCTTCTTCTTACCCGCATTACGCGCTGTCGGTTTTGAATACTGCAACAGTAAGTGTATCCATTAGTCTAATTTGATAATTTGATAGATGGATTGTTTATTATTGTTGATGTACTAATTAATAGTCCTTAGAGCTGGAGTTTTCTTTTGTGGATTTATATTGAAAGATCCAAATTTTTGACAATTAATCTATATACGTATACGACTCTTGTAGAAAGTGGATACGCTTTCGGTACCGTGTCTCGTGTGGAGATCTCTCCGAACCCGATTGAGCCTGCCGACTACGAGCTAAGCATTACAGTCTTTGGTTATGCAAGTACGTGATTCTCTTTTAATATAGATATCATCTTTGATTAGGTTTCAGCTCTCTCCTTCTAGCTCTCTTTAATTTTCTTCCTTTTATTTTTTGGTAAAGGAGTTTATAATATTTTCTTGATATATATATATATATATATATATATTCATATGTATACAGGCAAAAGCATCGATGTTGGATCTATAGAGGTGTACGCTAAATCTGAGAACATTACAGACATTTTAAGACGCTCTCCAATCTCCCCTATTAAAGCTGGCACCAACTTTGAATTTCCTCTTTCCGAAGTTCCTAAGGATATACTTGAGGTAAATTATCTCTACACTTAACTTTCCCTATATATTTTTGAAAGCAACATGTTTGATTGTGATTGTTTATATAACCGAAAAAGTATCATAAAGGTCACATATTTACACCTCTATTTGGTTTGCCTCTTTGACGATCTTTAATTTTGTTTTTGAAACATGTGAAGGGTGAGTACAAGTATGTCGTAGCTTTGCTTGATGATAATGTGGGAGACCCTGAAAAGCCGGTACTGTGTGTCGACTTTGATTTACCTACTTCAGCGCTCACATTGGTCTCTTCTGCTTAGTCAAGTACTTGGTTGGTGGAATAATATGTTTCAAGTCTTCTACTTGAATCTTCTTCCCTCTTTATGTGATCGTGCAACAAATAAAAGAAAATCCTTAAACTGATATGGATTTCTCTCTGTTGTAATTTTGGTTTGGTTTCTATGAACCAGGACTTCAATAATGGTTTGGTTTCCCGTATAGAACCAAATATGCTTTATTACGAAATCTACCTTTTAGTTTTATGTGGCTAGCCCGATCCGAATTGATACAAGGTTTTTCACACAAATCAGACAAACTGAAAAAGTAAAAAACCAAACTGAAACTCTGGTTCTTGCTGCAAACCAACCTAAAATATAATTGTTTAGAAATGAAGCTGAAATCTTACCTATCTATATTAGCATAGGTCTAAATTTGGTTGTTAATCTTTGAAACTCAAGAGTGAAAACCACTTGAGAAGACAAGCAACTTGAACCTTGAACAAAAGGCGTGACTGTTCCTTACCATGACATATGTTGTAGATATTCATTCTTAAACACTAGTTTGAGATTGATTCTTTTCATTATTGCTGCGTTTAAAACCTCCATTCTGGTATAATCCTGTGTATCTTGTAAGAATTATCTCAAAACACAAACGTTTTGCTCTCGTAGATTTATGGATCAGAATCGTTGAATAACTTCCCTTGAGTCCCTGACATGAAACCACGTGCTTTGTGAAAGAAAGATGGTGGTAGTAATAGTTGACAATTAATATGATGGATGGAGTGAAGAGTAGAAATTGAAACTTGAGTCTTGTAGCAACATTACGAACAAAAAATAAAGATCCTTCCCATATATTGGAATCTCGAGAAAGAGGATAAGGAGACGTGTCATAGTTAGCAGCTTCCCCGACGTATCTTCCGCACTAATCCAAGTTCCCAAACAAAAATATGTTCACATAGTTACCAGCTTCCCGAGGATAAGGAGACGTGTCATAGTTTGCTGGATTTTCCAACCTTTTTTCTTTCAGTGGCCTAGCAGATTTTTAACACTCTCGCGCATGAGAGTCAACAACCAAATTCGAAACCCGAATATGGTGGAAAGGCAAATATAGATGAGACTGACTGTTGGGCAAAAAAATAAAAAGAAGAGACTATTTTCCAACTATATTTCACACTGATCGACTGACTCTAAACCTTAATAACAATGAAGCTGACAACAACAACAACAACAACAACAAAAAGGAAAGAAAAAGTGTTTTCACATTTAATAGAACGTCTCATTCATTGCGTGCGAGGAGATATGAGAAGATAAGTCAAGTTCAATGTTGCAACCGACAAGATAGAAAGAGATAAGGTTTTGGTTATCTTTGTTTGTTTGTATGGGAAAATGTTTTTTAACTGTCACGTGAAACCGATATCCACAAAGAGCGAATCAGAGAAGCGGAGGAGTTGAAGATTTAAACGAAATCCAAATGAACTTTGACTCATCCAACCAAGTGGTCGTATCCCAGTAGTATTTGAGGGAGGTAAATCTCAATACGAATTCGAATTCGAAGTCACTTGGCCACAACAGATTTAACATCTCTTCCGTTGGGGCCCTTGACCCCTTTCGAGAGATAGTCGGATTTTCCGTTCGGGTTAGATCTTCGGAATAACTGGATATAGCTGGACAAAGCTCAGACCATCGGTTTGGACCCAGGACTGGTCAGTGACCGTTTGGTCGACTACTCGGACCTGAATACCAGAGATACCAAAAAAAAAAAAAAAAACTTTGACTCATCCTTATAATTTTTGAAAGGGTTCGTTAATTATCCATTTTGGATTTTGTTTTGGTGTAAACTCTCTCTCTCTACTCGTGGCAACAACTACCGACCTAAACAGGTCTGGTCCCACTTCTTATTCCATTGCCACGTGTCTATCGTTTTATCAGACACCTTAAGTGGGAGTTGAATGTAAAGTAACCGGATAACGGTAAATAGATGTTGAAACAATCTCTCTAGTCGCTACAAACTTACAAACTCATGTACTTATTTTATTGGTATACTTTTTGTATATTCAAATCAGAAAGATTAAAAAGTATCGTTTTAGTTTTTAAATATCATATTTGATTTTTTTCTGAAGTGGTAGAAAATATCCATGAGGAAAATTAATCAAAAGTGGCATCACACTATTACTCAATTTGATTGATTTTAGTGTTATTATGGTTTACCAATATTTTGGGTGGCACGAAAAAAATATTGTTTAATTATTATTATTATTATTTTTTATTTAAATTTATTAAAACACGATTAAAAAAAACCCAACAAATTTCCAAGTTTGCTCCACCCATCTATAAATTGTCGAGACCACCGACCCACAGATTTGTTTCCCCTCTCTTTTACCAAAATTTCTCAATTCTCAAGTCTTCATTTCCGTATAAACCGTTACATACACACTCACACGTATCTCTCTTACCATAAATACACGTATACGTCCGTGTGTATAGTATACAGATTCGTTGGTTTTAGCTGAAAGAGTGGTTTTAGAGCGACAATGGAAGGAAAAAAGAAGAAGGCTCCTTCTTCTTCCTCGTTAACCTCTGAGCTTTTTGGTTCCAGAGATAATCCTTCTTCTTCTCCGTCTTCCCATTCTGGGGTCTTCGGATCGATTTTCGCTCCTCCTTCTAAGGTAATTTCATTCTCCTAAAGTTTCGATTTTTACATAATAAATTCTGGAATTCATTTTTGTTGGTTATTAATCTCCCCCACGTTTGTAATCTCTGTTTCTGAATTGGTTTTGGTTTCGGTTTCGATCTGTTTTGAATCGTTAAACACTTCCAATTTCGTTGGAAATAGAATTGGGATTTTAGGAATTAGGGTTTTCAAAATCGAGAAGGATGATCATTCTGATTCGATCGTAGCGGAATCGATTGGTGCAGTATTCAGAAATTTTGAATTGTGAGGATTTGATTTCAAACAGAGATTTTTAATTATTGGACGACCCCACAACCCCCAAATTAAGAATATGAACACTGAGAAAAAAGAAAAAAAAAAAGGGAATTGCATGAATCATGGCTTGGAGCACAAGTTTCTTCAATCGAATTTGATACTATTCTGGTTGCTCGGTTTAGAAACTTGTGGGTTTTGTTCTTGTTTTTAGGTTATGGGAAGAGAATCTACGCGACAACAAGAGACTGTGACTGGTGGCTGGAACGACAAAACCTCAAAGACTGGTAATAATAAACATGATCTTCGAGATGTGTATATCTGCTTTGTTGATGCAAAAGAATTGCGCTTTTTTGTTTTATTGATTGAATGAATGATTTTTGTGTTATCATTTTCAGGTGATGCTGCTGATGGAAACAGGGAACAAGAGGAGAATGATGGTTCAGTTTATGAGGAACAGAGAGTGCAGCCTTGTCATCTGAGTTCTTCAATCTATTACGGTGGCCCTGATGTTTATTTCCAGCCTCAGAGTTCCAGCATCCACTCTACGGTATTCTCAAATCAGAAAATTTCTCTAAAAAGCTTGTAGCCGTCTTATAGATGGCTGTTTCTAAGAAAACCTTTTCGGACTTTGGTTCGTTTTGCAGAAGAAGACAGATGGATGCGAAGATGATTCGGGAAGTGCCTCGAGAGGAAATTGGTGGCAAGGTATCTGATTCTAAAGAATCTTTTTGTCAATTTTGTTTCCTTTCCGAGAAACCGTGTTTCGATCTCTAAGACTCTAACCCTTCTTGGAAACTTTGCAACTTGCAGGATCTCTGTATTACTAAGTAGAGATCTTGTTACTTAGCCCCACCCCAATGTTATAATACAATAACAAGGTATTATAATAAGCCTTGTTTTCCATTGGAACGCTACTGAAACGGTTCTAAGACTAGGAAATAAAAACTGATTTTAGTTTGATTTTGGACTTTTCAGGTACATAGGAACAAAAGGAAATAAAACTATAGAGTAGGAGCAGTGTGGATCAGCCCTGTTTAGTCACTTCTCATCTTTATTATTACAAAAGTGGAAGAAGTTTTAATCAAGGTTTCTGCCAAGAAACAGGGGAGCTTTTTTTTGTTGGTTCTTGTCGTGTTCAAGTGATTGACACGACCGGTTCACGTTTTAATTTTCCCTTGATTGTTATATAGGTAAAACCGTTGATAGTTTTGTACAAAACTCTCCATAGATTTCCAGTTTCCACGCATATATAAATAAATAAACTCTTTTTCTTACTTCTATTTCTCTATGGTTCCAGTAACTAGTTTGCCATGGGAATCTATCTACTTTAGAGTTTTGACAATGTTGAGATTCTGCCTTTTTGTCATCCCCAAAAGATTCCACAGAGATTCTTTACAACATTTGTCTGTTTGTCGTAGTTCTTGATCCTTTTGAAAAGTAAATACTGACCCACCACTAATATTTTGGGCATTCCGGTTAACTATAACTGAATTCAACTCCTTTCTGTAAATCTCAAAGCACATCTTTCCAATTATACAAATCTTAAAAACTACACACAAGAAAAGATATTTAATAAAAAAAAAAAACACAAATTCTTCCAAGGAGGTAACTCAAATCCCAGGATCAAGGTTTGGTACATTCAACGATTCCTTCATGCATCTCTCAAGAGACAATCTCTCGCTGGAAGAAGAAGGGCTTGATGATCTTTCGTCTGAAACTTCTTCTTTCGGTCTCGGTTCGTTCTTTGTTACGTAAGCCGTCAAAACCCTTTTCACGCTGCTACTGTGAGGCATTTTGAACCGAGAAGGAGACGGCGGCACCATGATTGACGATCTAAGCTCAGGTTTTGCGGGAGAGTAGCTCGGAGTTGTGTAGGTCGAAACCGGCAATGCGATCTTCTTCAGAGCCTCATTACCGTTGTTGCCTAATGTTGTCGGAATCTGATCCGATGAATGCCGTGTGAGATCGTCAACAAAGAGCAAGTCATCGATACGTGCAACGATATTGAAAGCCAAGCTCTCTAGAACTCTCGAGTAGCTTTCCAGTATCGATTTCCCTATGTCCTAAAACAAGGGAAAGAGAGGACAAAACGGTTTAGCGCTGATTGATGAAAAACAGAAAGATTGGGGATTGGATACAATACCTTGTTGTATTGGATTTTGCTCATGTCTAGAGCGGTTTGAGGGAGACCAGGGAACCGCTGTTTTAGAGAAAGCAGTAAGCTCTCCGCTCGATCCGCCAATAACTCCACCTTCTCTGCATCAACCATTAGCTCTTTCACCATTTCCCAAGACGTTTTGGTAGTAGCAGCTACTTTGCAGTTAGTTCTTTTGTGCCATAGGTAGATCGATGACTCGACTCTATTAGCTATCTCTATGGCTTGATGTTCAGAGGATAAGTCGAGGCAATCGAGAAGATATTCAGGTGAGAATTGATCTGACGAGATGTATCTGTAGATCAAATCACCGAGGCAGGACCTTCCTTTCTGAAACATTACAAAACAAAATAGGCAACTTTAGCGTAGCGGATCACAAGAGGGAATATAAGTACTGTTTGTTCGTTTTTGTTTATACCCGTGGAAGAGATTCGAGGTATGATTCCGGGATCTCCATGTCGTTGAGTGTGATACTGTTGATGGCCATAGCAGCTTTGAGTATCTGATTAGTGCAGTCGCGTTTATGCTGCAGCTGTTTTCTTGATCTCTCTTGTAAGCCTCCTGGTGAAATTCGTGGAACCGGTAGCCACCATTTGTCTTCTTGTCTCTGAAAAGATTTCCGAAAAGAAGTTGATCCGTCCTCCGCTGCTGTTTCGTGTGCCATGATTCCTTGGTCAACATACCAAAACTCTGTCTCCTCAAAACTGTCTAATATCTCCTGAGAAGACGGAAGAAGAAGAAGAGAAATAAGGTCTTTGCTACTCAAAGTACCTAAAGAGAAAGTTATCAAGTTGTATGAAAGAGGTACTTACGAGAAGCATGTTATCAAGTTTCCTGAGGGCTGGGAGGTTCACATAAAGATCTGATCTTGGTCTGCAGGTCATTATCTACAACAATGGAACCCAGAAAAGTCTATAAACAAATAGCAACCTCACATATCCAGTTCTGCAAGAAGCTGTGCATAATCTGTACCTCAAGTTTGCTTCCATCAGGAAATGTTTGCCAAGTTGGAGTCATCTCTACAATGTGATCACTCACACAGAGAAGCCATTCCATTTCCCTTCTCCACATTTCTTTCTTCTCCGTAGGCAGAGGTTCTAACCTCCATAGTTGCCCGAATAAGGTAGCTTTATTTTTGTCAAACAATTCAAGCAAAAGACAAGTCAAAGCCTATTAACATCTGTTCAAGCTTCAAAGAGTAAATTTTTACAAGCCATGAGAGTAATTTCACATACCACAAAGGTTAGTGATTGCGTTTGAGATGGCTAAAGCTGTGCAGACGCCATTTCCAGAACCTGACATATCTTCTCCAAGTAGCAGCTTCGAAAATCTTTCCTTCATCATCTCAACCTCTACATAGTGAGTCAAATCAAAAGAAGAAAAAAAGCAAACTTTAAAGCTTGATTCAAAAAACTGAAAATTTCAGTGAGGAATAAAAGCAAACATTTGGCAGGTGCATTTGGCAAACCTGAAACTCTTGATTGTTTCGCACAATCCGAACGAATCTTCTTATCTCCGTCGAGATCCTTCACCGACCAACGAGACGAAATCGGAGAAGCCGTGAGATCCTCCGTACTGCTAGGGCTTTGTTCCTCCTCCTGTCTGGTTGTTTCCGAGATCAGAAAGTCTGAGCTGCAGCAACTGCTTTCTCTACCCTTCTCTTCCACTTCCCGCATATCGATTCTCAGCTTCTCCGGCGAAGAACCCATTACTAAGCCGGTCTCTTCAACACTGTCTTTAATTTCTAAAGCTTGCTCGAAGAAATCGAATCAAACGCTCAAAGGAGCCTCACTCTCTTTCAGTCTCTCAGGATATTCTCGTGCTTGAATCGCAGTGCATTAATGGAGCTCGGAGGTTTCTCGGGGAAAAAAAAATATTTTCCGAGAAAAGAAAATGCAGCGAGTGTGTGTGTGTGTGCCTGTGACTGTGTGAGCCTCTCTCTCTCTCTCTCTCTTGCTCTCTCCTCCTCGATCTCTGCATCTTCAACATAAGTTTAAAAACACAAACTTTATCTCTCTAACCAGATGATTATATTATTTTTACGGGTTAATTGTAAACTAATCCAAATCAATGACGACAAGATTAAATTAATGTTTTGATCCATCTACGATGTCCTCCGGTTTTGTTATTTTTTAATGTTTTAAACAAATTCGTTATTTCTTTCTCTAATTTTTTTAGTTTTAGATTGTGATTTGGTAAAAGGCTTTAGATGGTGATTTGGTAACCACAAAATCATTTTATGACGTATTCTTTAAGATTCTGCAATTCGTTTACGAATTACGTAATCCTATTATAGAAAGTCGCATTCATCAAATGATACTTTCCAACGGTACAACAATTAGTAATTTCTATTTATCACACTTATCATCTTTTTTATAACAACTTTCACAAAGATATCTTAACATTTTGCCAACAAACAAAATAAAACTTTCATAAAGATAGTTGGTGTCACTATTTTAGATCAATTGCACCAAACACGACTCAGTAGAAAATTCCTTTTGATTTTCTTATTTAGTTTATCTGGTTTCTGGTCCGATCCGGTAATCAGATAACTGGAAAGATTAAAAGAAAACAAAAAACAATTTCTTTAATTTTTAAAGCACTGGATCGGAATTAAAACTAGTTTGAATTTGTAAAAGTTTCCAAATTTCAAAATGTTTACTCCCACGCAATGAATGCGTCATCTTCAACAGGCATAAGGTAATAATATGTCACAGAAAACACATTCAATACGTGCGAAGAAAATCAATATCAATATTTTTCTTCATGTTTTTATTTACATTAAACAAGTTTGATTTATATATGAATGGTAAAGGCTCTATTGTGACTACAATTTGGTCCATTCCTAAGGGTAGAAAGTGATGCTTTGTCTTTGGTTCAAACCCTAACCAAAGTCTCCAACGGAATTTTTGTCTTTGAGTGTATGCTACGATCGAGTGGTCACAACTACGCTTTTACATTATTTTTTTAAATGAAATTTTAGCTTCATACTTTCCTCCATCATCTGATATATAGAGGTGTCGAGCAGTTCAATTTTCAAACAACCTAATGTTTTGTCTCTTTGTTCTCTATCAATTGTCGTATTGTACGTCGTTGTTTCCCTTGCAAATCAACCCTAAAAATAAGGTAAAAGTTGTTCCACCTTTTGTATAACAAACGCAACACGATGACAAAAGTTAAATCCCGTCAATAAATAGACAACTAATATAATACTTGAACAATCAATATATCAAGATTTAGGTGATGATTGGTTCTCCCGCTACCACCCGCAAACGCAGCGTTTGCGGTTCGTAGCGGTTCTTAGCGTTTTATAACAATCACGACAACCGCTTTCAACCGCTCTATACCACTCTGTACCGCTCTATATCGCTGAAAATCAAAAGCTCCTTTCCGCAAGCGTTTGCGGTTGCGGGCGGTTGCGGTTTGAAAAAAAAAAAAAAAAAACATAATATCTCCAAATTTGGAATAAGGGTATATTTTTTTGAAAAATACCATAATTATGTTTAAAAATTTCGAAAATACCCTAAATTTTTTCTGTTTTGAAAAATACACTTTTAAAATGTAAAAAGTATGTTTTGACGTGATTTAAACAAAAAAATAATAAATAATTACAAATTATAAACGAAAATTTAAAAAAATAATAAACTAATAAGTTTTTTTTCAAATAAATATAGTATATGTTAAACTGAAACAAATTTTAATATTTTGGATCTTTATATAAACAACTTAACCTCATACACATTCAAACCAAATGAAACTTTAAATAAATTAAAACTTTACATATATTTAAAGTTTATAAATTATTAAAAATTTAAAAGTGGAGAAATATATCTTTCATTTTTAATGTTTATCTTTTGAAAAATTTAAATATTTTTGAAACTTTGCATAAACAACTTTAATCTCACCCCATTTAAACTTTATATAAACAATCTTATATTTTTATTAAATTGTTTAAAAAAAACTAAACAGGTAATTAGGATGTTAAAATGATACAAAATTATTATCAAATATTAATATTTTATATTTCTTATTTGAATTTCGTTTTTATTAAATTAGGAATAATCATTTTACATATAAAAAGTGTATTTTTCAAAACCAAAAAAAAAGGGTAGTTTTCAAATTAAAAATTCATCAAAAAATATATTTCAAAAAAAAAATTATTAATATGGTTATAAATGTTTTGAATAATTATATATTATTTTTATTTTAGTAACTTTTGGTTAAACCGCTCTTGCACCCGCTGGCTAACCAGTCAAAAATATCCCGCAAACGCAACCGCTATGAATTGCTATACCAGTCGTACAAACAGCTTTTAATCGCAAACTCCCGCTTCCGCAAACTCCCGCAGCCGCAAACTCCCGCAACCGCAACCGCAGCGGTTAAACCAGTCAGACCCTTACTGTGTCTCTATTATGATATTATCACGTCACAAGTTTGAGCTTTAGTACTAAAATATTAGTTAAATAATGAGTTATTGGAGTTTAAGAAAGCCTTAGATCACTTAAAAAAAATACTATCTAGCTACTCATTCTACTCTTGCTAACATTCATCAATTTTCATTTCTCCTTACGCTATATCATTATAGTTTTAACGAGAATGACTTTGGACATACACTACCCAATATCCATAATCGAAAGTTCTTAAAAAATCCCACTCCCTTGAGCTACAAACTAAGTCATCTTTATATTTGTTTTCTTATGTACACTTCACTCAAAAGGTTTAAAGGTTTGGAAGATTACAAAATTAACGTATATATAAATATTGAGTTGGCCATTCAACAGAGAAAGTTTACTAACTTCCGAATTTAAATTCAGTCCGAGGAAACTATAGACCTACATTTTTAAGAAAAACTGCAAACATTTTGAAATGAGAACTTTGAAGTTGGTCTTGGCTCATAGCGATTGATTACTGGACCGAAACAAATAATTTGTTTTCTTTTTCGTGTTAGATAGAAAAGTGGGATTGAAATATCCGAAGCAAAACAACAGGTTCTCCAACTTCCAAGCAAAAACCATTTATTTTAGTTTAAAAATTGACTTCTTGCTTGTGTTTTGATTACTTAGTTTGAATGGGCTACAATACATGGGCCTAATTAGATGTCATCGTGGGCCATAATTAAGAAACCCGTCATTATTTTCATGAAGTATAAATGAGACCAAAAGTGTTCTTTTTGTATACATGGAGCTAAGCAAAAGCAAGAGGTTGTTGTTGCCAGAAAAACAAGCAAGGTGAGGATAATAAAATTAACTCTGAGAATCATCAAGATATAATAAAAGTATGAAAAGAGTAATGTAGGATTGTTTAAAAAGAGTTTTGTAGGATAACATACTAGTTGCTCAACAAAAACAGAGGATAAGAGACTAATGTTTTAAATGCGTGGAAGCTCTATCAATTTTCAATTCCTTATATTTAGTCAAAAGTTACTTAAGATATTGTATATAGGTTAAGCCTACATCCGATGCTATCATGAAAGTAGTAGGACAAAAGAAAAGACAAAATAAAGTAGAGGGGACCTTTCGCTTTATTGAAATACATATCCGATTGGATCACTGCTCTTTCGTCAAAATATAGCTTCCTCGTGCAAAAGTCATTATATGTTATAATAATAATGTTGGATATATGATTTGATGTTATCCGTCAACTATAGGCCTGTTAACTGTGGTGGGATACATACATGTGCAAAACACAACAGAAAGTTTACTAATAATGTCATTTGACATAAATTAAAATATGAAAGAATTTTAGTTTGACATAAAACTCATACTTCTAATCACTTAATTTAAGAATCTGTGAACGTAATTTGTAGTTAGCTACATATCCTAGTCTTGACACTTCTCTATTTGCAAACATGACGTGGTGAAAGATCTATAAACAATTAAACACGTAACGAGAAAACTTTTTCTTTGTCGACCACAACATGACATTATTGTTTGATTTTTGTGGTCATTACGTACATAAATTATTTGCGAAAATGACTGAAAGTCTGAAACATGTAAAGCCGTAACGGACAAAATACATTAAAGACTGAAAAAAGGAAATCGGGTGAAAAAGTAAAGAAAAGAAACTTATGAGTCTGACGTCAGCATACGAATAGACCACGTGTGGGTCCCTATTCGCTCTTAATTCTGCTTCGGGATGCGATACCAAGGAGAAACAAAACGGAAGTCTCCTAATGGGCCCTACCGTTTCAAACTATTACGAACCACACGATCCGTTTTAAGGTCCTCAACGCCATCGATCTTGGCCGTACGATCCCACACGAAGCCGTTCTCTCCCTCTCTTCCTTTCTTCTTTCGTCTTACTCTAAGCGGCGAGAAGAATCTCTGCAGCTTTCGATTCCTTCCTTCCTCTCTCTCTCTCTTTCAGCGTTTTGGATTTTCCCTGATCCCAACCTTTCTCGGTTTTCGTTAATCGAAGATTGGGCTTCGAGATCTCGATTTCCGTAGCTTTGTGTGTCGATTTTGCTTCTACTCTACGTTGCTGCTGTTCCCTTTTGCTTCCAGATATTATCAGCACCAAATCGAGTTTGATCGATGAAATCGTGAAATGTTGGAGGATTTATAGATACTCGTGCTGGTATGTTCCTTTTCTCTTTCTTTCTGCTTCTTTCCCGGGAAAATAGGATAAGAAAATGACCGTGCTTAGCTGAAACTAGAGTAAATTGAATTGCTAATTTAGGGGTTTCTCGAGATTGAATGCTCTGCTTATTCCACTACTTGAGATTTCTCGGGTATTTGATTAATGGAGATAAAACTGAATTGTAGATGAAATGGCTACAAGAAGGGAGCTCAGAGGTTATCTGAAACAGAGCCAAAGGACCTCAGAGATAGCTGATGCGCCATTGCCGTCAAATCTGAAATCCACTGGTCAAGCAAGTGGCACAGAGAATGAGATTCGGGTCAGATCAAAACGTTCGAGCCATAGTCGAAAGGAACGTGTCAAGGAACACAAAGATGATGAGCTGGTGAAATACATGTCCAAGTTGCCAGGTTATCTCCAGCGTATGGAGAGTGGAGAAGAGAGTGTGCAAAGTCATGTTTTGAATGTTGGAGTCTTGGATTGGGGACGTCTAGAGAAGTGGAAGCATGGCCGCAAAAGAGGCGCCGAAAGATCAGGAAAAACTATTGCTACTGCTTCTACTTCAGGAGTAGTTCCCAATGACCAAGAACGCATTTTCCCAAATCTCGGTAAAGGGAAAGCCTCCCGGGATCTTCAACATTCTGTTAGATGCACTTTGGAACCTGAGTTAGCTTCTAGGGATTCGTTAAATAAGCAAGAAATAGCAACTTGCAGCTATAAGTCCTCTGGTAGAGATCATCTAGGAGCTGGGAAGAGCAGAAGACCGGCTTCATCCACTTCAGGTTTATTGTCAGATATGGGAAACTCCGGGGGATCGCTAGGCACGAAGGAGACTCAGAAGAGAGCAGGGATGATACATGCACAAGAAGCAAGAGAAAGAGCTACAGAAAGTGTTGAGGATTTAGATGGAGAGGAGAAGATCATTGGAGATATGAAAGCTGGACTTGCTTCTGGAGAGCAAGAGATTCAGATCAGCAACATTTTTCTCCTCCGATCAAGAAAACATTCCGGAAGCACTCTCTCCGGTGAGTCCCAGTCCCAAATGCCACTGGATGATAACATGAGAAGAGTAGCAAGGGAGGTTACACGCTCTCTCGACTTATCTGAAGGAATCAATAGCTCTTTAGAATTGACTTGTTCTCAAATTCCTCGTTCATGTCCTCTTTCTATCGACCTAGAGAGAGATTCTCAAGATAGAATGTTGGCTCATGGTGTTGACAATTCTGGTAAAAAGGAACGTTTTGGTGGGAGAATTCATTCAAAGACAGTGATTGATCAAGAAATGCGTGAAGATGAATCCGGAAAGAGCAGACACCATTCACCAAGCAAGCGGTTTAGTTTTAGCTTTGGCCGTCTCAGCAGAAGTTTCAGCTCCAAAGAGGATTCAGCTGATAATATCATCAAATCTGATTCTATGAGATTCGATGGTTCAGTTTGTCCATCTCAGTCAGGTAACACGGAGGAGCAGTGTGGATCGCGAGTTAGCCCTCTGAGAAGGCTTCTATTGAAATCCAAAGGCTCTGAAAATACTCTTCCATCAAAAGCAAGATCAAGTTCAAAGCCAACCAACATCGACGTACCGCTTCAAGATGAAAAGAAGCAGGATGCATCAAGAACACGAGCTCTTTTCCAGCTAACGGTTAGAAACGGGATCCCTCTGTTTCAGTTTGTGGTTGATGATAACAACAGCAACAAGAAGAAGAAGAAGAGCAGTAGGAGTGTTCTTGGGGCTACGATGAAAAGCTCGGCTTCATCTTTGAAAGAAGACGATACTGTTCGGCACTGCACTTTCTACTCTGTTAAAGAAGCCGAAAAGAAAAAAAGCGGAAGCTGGCTGATCCATGGACACAAGGAGAAACAAGGCGGGTTCGTCTACAATGTAATCGGCCAAATGCGGCTGAGCAGCTCAGATATAACCGAGAATAAATCCGGAAACAACACCTCTCCTGTGGTCGCAGAATCAGTTCTGTTTGATGGATCAGAGCAAGTAATAGGGAGGAGAGAGGTTGCAGCTGTAGTGATCAAGAAGAAGCCTGTCGAGGAAGCGACTGTGATCATTCCAGGCGGCGTGCACAGTTTCCCGGAGAAAGGAGCACCGACACCGTTGATTAGCCGGTGGAGATCCGGAGGGATATGCGACTGCGGTGGCTGGGATGTCGGATGTAAAATCCATATCCTCTCTAACAAATCCCTCCTCAGTGAATTTGACCAAAGCTTCAAACTTTACGATCAGGTAACGTAAAAGATAGTTTTTTTTTGTTTTTCTGAGATAAAAAAGGAAACCCAAAAACGAATCCAACATTGGGTACTCGTTTACATTGCAGGGAGGAAGTGAAGACGAGTCGGGTCCAGCTTTGGAAATGACGGAGCTAAAGACAGGGATCTATAGGGTTGAGTTTGGTTCGTTTCTTTCGCATCTACAAGCGTTTTTTGTGTGCGTGACCGTTATTACATGTGCCTCCGAAGAGGAACCGGTGTCAAAGGCAACCGGAAAATCTTCCTCACCTTTTGCTCCGCCATTATCTCCTGTTGGTAGAGCCTGAAAAGAACACATCCATCTGAATCTGATGATGATCGTTACTTCTTTCCTATAAATTCCTAACGTGTAATTACGGAATATAACTAATGGCAACTCTAGTCCAAACATTTGTATTTGCATTATTGGTGTCAAAAGAAAACTCCAATCACTAGAAAAAATAACGAAGCGAAACAAGATTTGGTTCCTATATCTATATGGATCCTAAAGCACTGGAATCGAAAGAACAGAGTCTCAACTTTCAATAGCATAACAAAAGGAAAACAATCGAAACTGAGCAAGAGCATTTCAGCGTTTAAATTTCTTGAAAGGTTTCTTCTTGCCTCATATATGGCAAACCTTTGGATCTGTGGGCATGTTGTAGTTGATAACCACATCAAATCTTTAGGTCATTTCAAATACCACTTAGAACAAACACATACATTTCTTCTTGCCCAAGAAACACGTACTATTAAAAAACCATATAACATAAACTAAGAGATAATATATGGTGTCTCCTCCAAGATTCCCGAAACGAGCGTCCCAGTAAGCACTATATACAGTAGAACCTCTATAAAGTAATACTCGATAAAGTAATAATCACGATAAAGTAATAAATTTCTTCGGTCCCAACTCGGGCCAGTGTAAAAATAAGCAAAATGCGATAAGATAATAAGATAATAATATTTTTGAAACTCCTATGTAAAAATATGGTCCCAATAAAGAATTAAAGTAATAATTATATTAAATGATACATATATGTCTAAGAAGGTTGACAAAAAAAAATATATGTCTAGGAAAATTTATGAAACTATGACTTAAAGTTAATCTTTAACTTTTTATTATATAAAAAACTCATAATGATTTTTTTTATATGCATCTGAAATTGTTAAATATGTTTAAAATCATTATTTTCAACTTCATTAATAGCTATATTTTTCTAATCTTTTATTTTAATTTTTATCGTCTATCAAATTTTATAGAATTTTTTAAATAAGCTAATAATATATATTTTATTACGATATCCAAAAGATTTGATCATAATATCAAGTTTATGTATGATATATTAACAAATAAGTTCTTCTAAATTCTTAATACATTATCGTATGAAGAATAATTTTCGAAGATTATGAATTAAAAAAATATTTTTATAAATGAATAAATACTTTATTTATTCATAAAGTAATATCTCTATAAGATAATAAAATTTCAAAGTCCCAACATTATTACTTTATAGAAGTTTTACTGTAATATAGATTAAATATACATTTCTAGTAATAATTTAATTAAATCTAAGAATACAAAAAAAGAAGAAGACTTTATTGATAACTACGATTTATTCCTTATAGTATTGATAGCAATCGGTTTAATACTATATGAAAAGCATGATTCATGACCAAATGAGTTATGTTTATATTGGACAGATATTAAAATATTGAAAACATACGTAATGTTCACTATAAATAAATACTGAGAATTTGAATTTGTTTCAGAAAAAAAAAAGAAAAGCAAGAAAAGGATTATTTTTTTGGAGGCGGGAAGTCTTCTTAGCCGGACTTGTGGAGGAAGGAACAATTCTCGCCGGCGGCGATGGGATGCATTTGCTTCAAGTCGTGGCGGCGACAATCTCCACCGTCCATTACATCAACGGCCATGGATGATCTAGACAAGGACACAGACGATGACAACGACAGACATTATCCGCTGATTTTCCGGGAGTTCAGCTTCGAGCAGCTGAGAATCGCCACCGATGGTTTCTCAGCCGGAAACATCGTGTCGGAGCACAACGATTGGGTACCAAACATCGTCTACAAGGGAAAACTCGGCGATGGTCGTCGGATCGCGGTCAAACGGTTTCAGAGACTTTCATGGCCTGATCCTTTCGAGTTTATCGTTAGACTTTATCACCAAGATTCTTCTTTGTGGTTTTTTGGCTTAGCCAAGAGATTAAATTTCTAGGTTTTGAATCATTCATCTATATGTTGTGGAATTTCAGAAAGAAGCGCAGGCTGTTGGGAGACTGAGGAGTGAACAAATGGCGAATTTGATCGGTTGTTGTTCTGATGAAAACGAGAGGTTGCTTGTTGCTGAGTATATGCCTAATGGAACTTTAGCAAAGCATCTCTTTCACTGTAAATAATTATCTCCTTTTCTCATTGGTGGATGATGTTTTGGCACTTAAAGAAGATTGTAATGAGTTTTTAATTTCAGGGGAAAAAAGACCAATGAAATGGGAAATGAGGTTAAAAGTTGCGCTTCATGCCGCAAGAGCTTTAGAATATTGTGATGACAAGGGATTTGACTTGTACCATGATCTTAATCCCTACCGAATATTGTTTGATAAGGTAATGCCAATCTTCTCTCTGTTCTTGATTTGTGGAAAAAACCTCTAAATTTCTAATACCAAATTGCTTGAATGGGCAGATGGGGAACCCTAAGCTTTCTTGCTTTGGACTCATGAAGAATAGCCAAGAAGGGAAGAATCATAGTACCAATTTAGCATTTGCTCCTCCTGAATATTTGCGCCTTGGTACTCAAATTAAACAACCTTTTGATGTGTGTGTGTGTGTGTGTGTGTGTGTGTGTGTGTGTGTTGATAATAAAAATCTCATCTACAATAACGTTTTTCAGGTACTCTGTTACCGGAGAGTGTCACATTTAGTTTTGGGACCTTGTTGTTGGATCTTATGAGCGGCAGACATATTCCTCCAAACCATGTAACAAATCTGGCAAATTAGTTACATTTTGGACTGACTTGATTAGCTTTTTATATAAAGATATATCTTACTGCATGCATGTGTGATATTGACATATTGTTGCAGGCGCTTGATTTGTTTCAAGGGAAAAACTATTTGGTGCTAATGGATTCAGCTCTGGATGGTCAGTTCTCTGACGAGGACAGGACAGAGCTAATTTACATAGCTTCTCGATGTTTGAAGACTGAACCTGAAGAGAGGCCAAGTATGAAGTTTCTTATGGCAACTCTTTCTAGACTTCAGAAACGAGCCGAGTTATGGCCTATCAATGTCAAAAGACTCATCCCTGTAAGCATCACTCTCTCCATATGTGTTCAAGAATAGCGCAGACTTAACTAATGAGACTAATGATAAACCATATATACACTAATGTCAGTCTCCATCAAACAATCTGCCTGAAAAGACTAAACATGGAACAGAGCCACTTAAGTTGACTCCTTTTGGAGATGCGTGTTTGAGAGCAGATATATTTACCATACACGAACTACTGGAGAAACTCGGGTATGGAGAAGATGATGGAGTCTCAAATGAGGTATCTTGATTCCTATTTAAAATTAAAAAATCTAATGAAAAGATCATGTTACAATATAAATTTTAGCATTTTGAGAGTGGATGTTGCTGATTCTCATGAATATACCATTTTTTGCCAGTTCTCATTCCAAATGTGGGCAGGCGAAATGCAAGAGAATATGGACTACCAGAAGCATGGAGATACCGCCTTTCGTGCTAAAGATTTTGAGACCTCCATTGAATTCTACACAGAGGTAAGGAGAAAACACTGAATCACCAAGAAGTATAAACACACCATAAAAAACAAAGACTTGGATTCATTATTCATTCTTTTGCAGTTCCTGAATGGAGCTCCTAGTGTGTCACCAACGGTATTAGCAAGAAGGTGTCTTTGTTACTTGATGAGTGAAATGTTTAGTGAGGCTCTAAGCGACGCGATGCAAGCGCAAGTAGCTTCACCGGAATGGCCAATCGCTCTTTACTTACAAGCGGCTTGTCTCTTCAAGCTCGAGATGGAAGCTGAAGCTAAAGAAGCACTTAGACATGGTTCTGCTCTTGAGGCTTATTAGAGTTTGTGAAAATATATGCGTATAATTAAGAAATTGTGAATACACACAAAAACACAAGTACAAGCTGCCAATATAAATAAATGTACACTCATGATCAGATTTTGTGTGCTTACTTACTTTCATTTTATTTTTTTATTAATTAAGAATCAATTTTTTGTAATCCAATTGTTTCTTGTTATGATTGCACTCGTGCAAAAAGCTAAAACAAGAATCAAATTCCACACAAAGCAAAAGAAAAATGCTGAGATTTGAGAAAAGAAAAGAGAAAAACAAAAACAGAGGATGCGTGTTAATTTTGTTTCTCATTGTTGTGAAGGCAAGTTAAAGTGGAAGAACCATGAGATTACAAATGCAGAGACCATACATGCTAAAAGGAAATTAAGGAATCTGTTTCCTCTCCAGAATCTCCGGTCATCGGAATCGATTGCAGCCACCACCGTGGATGAGTTTCCGGCCTCCACGTCATCCACATTGGTCTCAGTCGTTGTTTGATCAGTCTCTTTAGAGAAGTTTCGAGCTACCGAACGACAAATCTCGCAAGTCCTGAAATTGCAACACTTATTAAACTCCAACATTGGATCATCCTATTGATCAAAAGTATTATTGATTATTGCTTACTTGTTACCCTTGATTTTGAACCAAGTCTCGGCACATTGCTTATGAACATAACCCAAATCATCTTTACAAGAACATCCAAGAACCATCGGATCTCCACATTCATGTCGGCTGCTCTCTAAACCCAAATGGCAAATCCGGCAATCTCTCTCCGGAGTCCCACCGATCGATTCGCAGGGCTCTTCTGAGTCGTCGTCGTCGTCGTCGAAATCACCAATCTCAAACTCACCGCAAAAGCTTCGAACAGCTGAGTGAAAGTCGTAGTCGTAGTCACAAGACGAGCCGTCTTCTCCGATTTCGCTGACGTCACTTCGACGGTAATGCCTCTCGCCGGAGCCATTTTCTAGATCAATATGAGACATCTCGAAAGATGACATTTTTTATTTTATTTTAGAAAAAACTAGAGAGAGAGTGAAGACGAGACTTGGCTATATTATCATTACAAGACTTCTGTTACAAGTAAACGTGAACTCTTGGATCAAGAGATTAAAAAGCAAAAAAATCTGAGAGGACTATGTTTTTGTTCTGTCTGTGGACCAGAGTGATGAAACATAAACAGCTTTATTTTATTTTTATTTAAACAGCTTTAAGCTGCTAAATACTCGATTGTTCACTAATCCGCACGCTAAGTATCATCGTGTTATTTGTGATTTTTAAGGGCAATGTGTTTCGTGTTTATTTAGCTACTGTTATCTTCTTTTCTGATCGTTGATTTGAGTCATCAAGGTTAAGAAAGTCAACATTATGGACGGTGAAAGATTACTACACGCGCGTGGGAGACACGTGACAGAACTAAATGTCGTAGTGCGGCTGAGCTTTGGGACCACCACCGCCTCTGGGCTTTCTGTCTGTCTCTCTCCTCTCATGCTTCTCTTTCACGCCACCACTCACTTCTTTCATGCTTCTTTTTGCTCTTTTTTTAATTTGGAAACAAAAACAAATTTTGATCTTTCGTGACCAAAAAAAAACTTTACAACAAAATAACCTGAACCAAACTAATTAAAAAAGTTATCTCAACATTCCTTTCAAAATCATTTTGTTTGAAACCAAATCGAAACTGGTTTAGTTGAACCCGATAATTCAAAATTTATAAAGATTTTGAATATCCCTCAATTATCTTTCTCAAGTTACAACATTTGACAGAGTTATAAATTAATTTGGTTGGGTCACGTGAAGACGATGCTCTCACTCAAATCAAACCCAACATCTCCCTTAGATATAGATTATAGAATGCATGTAAATGATAACTCCATGAGACGACAAATGCATTAAGCATTATAATAAGAGAGAAACTGATTTAAAATAGCAAGTAGAAAACAATACTCATAGTTACCGAAACAGAGAATATGACAAACCGTGGGAAATTAGATACAAACAGTAGTACATAGATCACGAAAGATAAAGGGACAAAAGACAAGATATGAGTTTATCCACGTTCTTGAGGTGGGAGTTGGGGAGGAGGAGAAGAAGGAGGAGGAGGGTCAGGGATATAAGGACCAAGAGGGCTTCCATGCTCAATAGTACCTGGGTTCGATGTCTTCCTTGTCGGAGTTGGATCCACCGTAATACCGTAATCCTCCAAAACCAACTTCATTTCTGCCATTAAACAATATGTGATTAATTAATCCACTAAAAACGTCAAAAGATAATTTTAAATTAAAGAGAAGATGATTTATTACCAGAAGAAACGAGTGAGACACAGAGGATTGTTGTTACAACCAAAAGGAAGACAGAACTTGGTTTCTTCATCTTCTTCAGAGATAACAAAGCAAGTTTCTTCTTTCTTACTCTTTTTTAATGAGAGGGTGTGTGGATGGAATTGGGATATAAGGCCATGTGGGTTTATTGGATCTCTGTGTCTTGAATGTGGGGTTGTTGGTTAAGATCGAGATATCATAGTTATTGCTGCTCTTTCTCTCTCTCTCTCTCTCTGTGCATCTCTATTACAGAGAGAGGAAGCATCTCAAACAGCTCAAAGCTCATTCATTGGTTACACTTTAATGCTCCTCCACTACTTATTGTTTACGCCACGTGTCCCGTATCCTCTACCTCCATTAACAGTGTCTTCTCATCGATGTATTTGATCACCATTGATAGAAACGAGGAAGAGAAAAAAACGAACGTATTTTATAAGAAATTAGAGAGGCAAATGATACATTTAGAGGAGACGAACTGGGGAAGGAGATGATACAACAGAGGTTGAACTTCAATCGGTGCTGCTTATTTAGTGTAATTTTGTGGTTTGTTGGCCATTAAAATAATACTAGTAGTAAGTATGAGGAATTAATAGTAATGTTTGTTTAATGGCAAGTCGCAACACACCAAAATGTTGTAACGTTTTCGTTTTGGGGGTAAAAAAACTATAGACAACAGCAACAAAAAATCCCATCTTAAAAGCAAAAAAAAAAAAAAAAAAAAAGAGAGAGGAAAATTAACGTCTTTTGGCGCTAGTTCCTTTTATATTTTGTTTAAATTATTATGCCATGATGTGGCTAGAATTAACATAAAGCACTACCATTCGATTTATCTGTGTTTCAATTATCTCTTTGCTTTTCCAAAACTAGTCTTCTCTCAGCCGCCAAAGCTTTTTCCTTCTCTCTCTGGCTTCTCACTAATCGCACCTTTCGTCGTTGTTGTCTCCTGGCCGGCTCCGATGGCTTCTTCAGCGCCGGAGTCCGGATTTAATGCTTTCTTCTTGGTTTTAATGTTCTCCAGTCCCTTCTTCTCAGGTTTCTATGGTTGAAAACGAAGCTTCTGCAAATTGGTCGAACTTTCCAGATCTGATCGGAATTTGGTGTTCTTGAGGCTAGTGGTTTCCGGATCTGTAAAATCTTCGGTGTGACTATGGTTCTTACCCCACTTTTGGTCTCAGATCCAAGATCTCTGCACTAGATCTAGTTTTTCCTCCTGACAAATATTATAGAAGGGTAAATATATTATTGAATTGTGTTATTGATACAAGAGAATAAGACCCATATATATAGGGTTAACATTAACATAATGATAACACCAAATAATGTAAATCTTCCTAATCCTTATCACAATAGGATTTCTCTAGAATATTCTTCCATGTGGCTTCACGGGCTTCACTTCATAAACGGGCTTCAATGGCCCACAATACTTGGTTCGCCTTGCTCACCAAGATATCTCCAATACTCCCCCGCACGACAAAGGTGGACGCGAAACGCAAAATCTGCAGTCACAATGCGGAACACCTATGTCGTGGACAATCATGTCGAGGATGGCAATACAAGTCAATAGGGATGGAACATGCTCGTCTTTGGTCTTGAAAGAAAGGGAATAATAACATCCCGTGGAAGCAAAATCCTGCAATTCCACAAATAATCGTCCTTGTCGCGGACAGCCCATAAATTGGACTAAGAATAAATGACCTAAAAACATGAGCGCTCCAATAAAAATCCCTAAACCCATAACCAAACTCCCCCGTAATAGGAGAAACTAAAAAGAAAATTTGAGAAATTCTAAACTTAAGAATCAATCTCAAAAAATTAAACTAATAAACCCATGAAAACCACAACCCTTAATCAGAAGATTATCTTAATAACTCTCAAGTCTTGTATCAAACAAATAAAATAAAAGAAAATCTGCAATAAAACCAAAAACCACGTATTACTAATAAAATATAAAAACCAACTTAAAAAAGAAAAGGAAATTAAGAAAACTTTTGTAACGCAGTAAGAACACAAACTACGTCCGATCATCATCGTCGGACTCTTCTTCAGTCATCATGCGGAAGCTTTAACTTGATCCTCAAAGATCGCCTGCTCTGATACCATGACAAATATTATAGAAGGGTAAATATATTATTGAATTGTGTTATTGATACAAGAGAATAAGACCCATATATAGGGTTAACATTAACATAATGATAACACCAAATAATGTAAATCTTCCTAATCCTTATCACAATAGGATTTCTCTAGAATATTCTTCCATGTGGCTTCACGGGCTTCACTTCATAAACGGGCTTCAATGGCCCACAATACTTGGTTCGCCTTGCTCACCAAGATATCTCCAATACCTCCGTCTCGATTCTCGCGCCATCGTTCAATCTTCTGTGTGCTTCTGAGGAGTTCGCTTTGGTGGGTTTTCTCCGGATCGATCTATCCCGTGCTCTCTGAAGCTTGGTGATATCCGGTTTGAGTCGTCCCTCCTTACCGCTACCTTCCGTTCTGATCGAGAGCTCCTTTCTCCATGGCGCTTCTATCGAGGCGCAACCGTTGCTAGTCACCGACATCGCCGCATCCGGAAGACTCTGAGTATCTTGCCGGGTTATGAAGGGTGGTTTTTTGAGTTGGAAGGTAGTTTGCGTTTCTCAGGAACGTTTATGCTACCGTTGTTTGGCCGAGGGCATCTCCGGTATAGTCTTGAAAAGGTTCTCCAGAAGTTTGAGGTGTTGAATTGGTGGTCCGGATATCTGAGTTGGGTGGTGTTCTCCGGTTCTCAGTTTAACCATTTGCGTTCCTTTTGTTTTCATCTATTTTGCTTGTGTTGATAAGATTGGTTTAGTTTAAATGTATTTCATCTGGCTTCCCTTTTTTAGGCTTTGTAATCCTCTTGGTTTCTAATAAAAATCTCAGATGACAAAAAAAAAAAAAAATTATCTCTTTGCTTTCGCTTCGCCTTAATGTTTCTACCATTCAATGCCAACATTTGTTTGCGGCACCTTTTTATGGCTTATGTTCACGGCATCTTTTTACGGCTTCAAATTGTCCTTGTTACTGGTATCAAATTTAAATTATGTTTTTATTTTCTAGATTATTAGTATTAATATCGAAATATTCAATCAAACACATGTTGTCATCAGGTAATGATAGACAGAACCATGCGTAATCAGTCTTCTGTCATTACCGTCTACAAACTTATCTTCTCCATCTCTCCTTAATCTTATTTTAGTGGTACAGTAGAAACTCTATAAATTAATAATGTCGGGACTTTGATATTTTATTAATTTATAGAGTTATTAATATGTAGATTTTGACCAAAAATATTTTCCAAAAAATAAAATTTAATACTCCCTTCGTTTTTTTAAGATGAATTTTCTAGAGTTTTCACACATATTAAGAAAAAGTTGATTTTCAATCATTAGTGTATAGATTTTGGCAATAAAACAACTTTCTATAAATTTAGACCAATAAAAATCTAACAAATCCAATTATTTTGTTTCTTGAAAACTGAAAAAGTACTTCAAAAAGCTAAAAATTTTATCTTTGTGAAACAACAAAAAATGTCCAGAAAATTCATCTTAAAAAACGGAGGGAGTATTAAATCAGAAGTTTCTTTTATACATATATTTTCTTAACTTTTTTCTGATGTTTCTATATTTACTTTATTCTTCACATTTTCTCATACTTGGCATATTATATAAAATTCTTTTTTTGCTTTTAATTTCCATATATGTTTGGTATGTGAGAGATTCATATTTTAATAGTTAGATATTTTAGGTGTATATATGTATAAATAAAAATAATTATTAATTTATGATTTTATTGGGACCATATTTTACATAGGAGTTCAAAAAAAGTTATTATCTTATTATTTTATCGAATTGTGTCATATTTTACACCGGTCCAACTCGGGACCAGAGAAATTTATTAATTTATCGTGTTTATTAATTTATCGAGTATTAATTTATAGAGTTTCTAATGTATTATCTCTCACTTGTTATGATTTTCTTTAAAACTTGGTAGATTCCATAATTTAGGTAAGTAGGTAAGTTAGCTCTTCTATTTTTTTGTATTTTTTTATCATATAAAATAAAAGCTTTAAGTTAACTCAAAATCTGATAAGCCCACGGTCCTCTTTGTATTCAACAACTGAACGAAAAAGAGGAAAACATTAACACTAAAAAGAATACATACACAAAAGAATGCCCGAAATCAAACATAGGTCATAGCTTTCTCATATTCAAAGATCTAGTCCAACCACAACTGATGACCCAAGGTAACGTAAGACTGATTACGTACACTATGAACAATGAGAAACGCCTCTGTATTGGCACAATGTGGATGTAGCTCCACTTTCCAACCCGAAAAACTCAAAAGCGAAAGATCCCAATCACAAGTCTGATTCCTAAATTCAAGCTTTTGGCATTTCAAAAATCCCAACCACCACTGAATTCTCTACGGCTAACATCACTCTTTTTTTTTTTTTTTTTTCGTCTGAAATTTTATTAGAATGCGATTGTTACACGGTGTTACACACCAACCCAAACTTACAAAGCCCACAACAAGGGAAACAAAGCCGGCGGACACTGAAATAATTCCCCGGAAAAAGAGCTGGCGGAAGGAGATTTAATTCCCCGGAAGTAAAGCCCACACAGGGGAAGAAAACAAGATAACAATCCAGAGCAAAATAAAATTGCCAGAAGAACTCAAAACCTAAAAGCCAGATCTAAACCTTTGTCCTCTCTTGGAAGTTGTAGACTTCAGAAATGAAAACACCATAAGCACCAAATACCGACAAACTTTATAGAGTCCAACACAGAGTAGTAAAATTACACTTGTAGTAAAATTACATTCTAAATCTACTTTTTTTTTTCTAGGAATGTTAATATTCATTTGAAATGAAACGTTTTAGGGAATACAAGATTGTTTCGTAGAACATAAGTAACCTTGGCAAAAAAGATTAAAAGACAAAATTACAAAAGGATCTTAGTCTTAGATAAGGCATAAGGCCAGTGCATAAACATAAGGTTGAGGGTTAAGAGTTTAGGGCATATGTAGGGTTTTAGATTTAAATACGGTTAGGGTTTAGTGTTATATGTAGGGTTTTAGGGCTAGGGTTTAGGGTTTTAGGGCACGTAGGGGTTAGGTTAGGGAGGGGGGTTTAGGGTTCGAGGGTTTAGGGCTAGGTTTTAGGGCACATAGGGTTCAAGGTTTGAGGGTTTAGGGCACGTAGGGTAAGGGTTTAGGGTTCGAAGGTGGTTAGTGTTCGAGGGATTTTAGGGCACATAGCGTTTAGGGCTTACACGTAGGGTTAAGGTTTAGGGTTCGAGGGTAGGGTTAGGTTTAGGTTTTAGGGCGTTCAGGGTTCGAGGGTTTAGGGTTTGTTCGAGGGTTTAGGGCGCATAGGGTTAGGGTTCAGGGTTCGAGGGTTTAGGGTTAGTGTTTGAGGGTTTAGGGCTTACACGTAGGGTTAGGGTTTAGGGTTCGAGGGTTTAGGGCACGTAGGGTTTAGGGTTAGGGTTAGTAAGCCCTAAAACCCTAGCCCTAACTTAAACCCTGGCCCTAAACCCTACCCTAACCTAAACCTAAAACCTACCTTAAACCTATGACCTAATCCTAAATCCTACATCTATGCCCTAAAACCCTATATACCCTAGGCAAGATTGTTTTTTTTAGGTTTTAATGTTAAGAAAAAATAAGATTGTTTTTATGGCATTAAATTATTTTGATCATTTTATTATGACCGTAGGATTATATAACTTACGATATTCAATTTCCATAATACCTTATTTTTAATTACTTTTCTACAATGTTGTACTGCTAAATCCTAAACATATATTTATGAAACTTTGTAATAAAAAAAACACCACCCAATGCTAAATAAGTTTTGTCCAATCAAGAAATTAGAAAGATACAAAATAAGAATTGGTCTACTATAAATAATTAAAAATGTGACTCTTCTTAGAAAAATAGTACTGAGCACAATATATCATAAATCAGTTTCTATACTTTTCTACTAATTCCCAACAAACACATACCCTCTAAGACAACATTTTTAAGAACACGATTGTGCAAATCAGCTGGATTCAAACAGAATCATGTAAAAGGCTTTCATTATATGAAACAAATCAAAGACAGTAGTTATAAAAAAAAAAAACGGACTAGAATCTTACATGTACAATGATGATGATTGATGACTTTATGTTTATATTTGAGCAAGTGAGAAAACTAAATAAATGGTTTTGAGTCAGACGAACAAAAATGAAGAGACTAACGAAACAGAGTGGAAGCTTGAGAGAAAGAGATGGATTGACAAGAGTTTTGAGTTTTGAACAAAAAAGATAGAGGTACTTATAGAGAGACATAATCACAACGGTAGAAAAAGTTACCGTTCAACGTTCATATTTTTTTCTCTTTCACACTTAACGTTCGACTGTCATATCTTGGTATAATAAAATATTATATTTGTTTTCGAAAAGAAAAATACTTTTTTCAAATTAGAAGTTTTTGACGCATTATGGACGCGTGAGTTCCACTTCCTCAAAAATTGTCAGTAAAATCTAGCGCGTAAATCCTAGTTTCTTTCAAAATAATTATTAGAGTTTTCCATCTAACAATGGTAACTTTCTTGTGGATTGAAACAGTAAAGAGTTAGAAACTTAGAATTATCGAATTTGGATTGAAAGTGGGCCTCTAAAGGCCCGTAATTGTATTAATTTTATAAGCTATCATCTGTTAGAAGTTGGAACAAATCGAATCGATACACGATATAAAACAAACAAAAAAACCAAAAACACAATTCTGCAAAACATACTAAAAGTTCGAACCATACTCCATCACATGTTTTATAATTTTAGACTGAAACTTATGAAATTGAACTGGAAATCGCACTAGCTGAATACAAAATTTATGATAAGGCGAATTCTGTTATTAGTTTCGATTTGGTAACATGTACATGTAAATGTACTCCAAAACATATAAAATCAAATTAACTGAAGGCAAAGTTAACTAGAATCGAAATGTTCGACCTAATTAAAAGTGTTAACTTTGCAATATTTTTCGAGAACTTAAAGTGTATAGTTATTTGTGGAGACACGTAACAAGAGTCAGACAGAACATTAATGGTCCATGGTTTTAAGTATTAAACTATTAATTGGATGCACAAAGTGTCAGTGAGTACTTTTGTCAGTCTTTGAATTAAATGCATGCCAATTTATTTCTGTTTATCTCGTTCTTTTATTCTTCTTTCTAAATTAATATTTTTGTCCAATTTTGTTTACAGTTATTTAATTATTTTGGACTACTCACTTGTCCCAAACAAAAAGCATTTAAGCGCGGGATTGTTTTGCCTCATTTTATATGTAAATAAAAGAATAAGAAATCGTTCATCGTAATAAAAAAATGACACGAAAATGGAAAAGTATAACAACTCGTTATAAAGTAGTTCACCGAGACAAACAAAATTAACAAAGGATAATCCTCTGTTTCCCTTTCCTTCTATTATTGTTACCAATCACACCCATTAATAACAGTGATCATGAAACATTATTGTTTTTTTTTTTCTATTAATTTACCACTGCATGTGACGGATAGTTTAAAACAAAGCATACACTATTTTAACATAAAAATATCCCTCAAATAAATATAGTTGAATAATCTAGAATTGTTTCCTGAAGAAAGAATAGAAAAAACAAGTCACAGACTCACAGTATCTCTGTAAACCAGTAACTGATAAGAGAGACAAGAGGCTGCCAAAGGAGAAGGTTCTCAGATATAATCACTCCACTTTTAATTTATTTGCGACTTTAAGAGTGGAGGTTTCACTAACAGTGGTTCAGGGTTGAAGATTCATCGTATGAATAATTTCGGTAGCATAATCGATTGGTTATCCACTAATTAACCCATTCTTTAGAGAAATGATATCCTTTTTAGATAAACAATTACACCTTTATTATCTCAAACCCCACATTTTCCATTCCTTTTTGTTTGTGGACATTATAAATATGATTTCGCTTGCACTATCTGAAAAATGTTATGACCTAATCTTTGGTAAAGCCATAATTTTCATATTCAAATTATTTATACAGTTCTGAATAGATCTTAGATCATCGTAAAAAGAAACTTTATAAAGAAAAATAGAAGTGGGCCTAAATGTCACAATCTAGAACATGGGGGCTACGAAAGAGAGAAGATGAAAGTAGTGGGTAATTGGGTATAAGAACAGAGAGGTAGCATTAATTGAATTTCCCTTATTCAGCAATCAAGCTTCCTCCTCGTAGAAAATTCTATTTAATTTCATTCTGCTTTTCCTTTCTTCATCAAAATCCACACTCACTGATTAAAAAAAAACAAAAGAAGTAAATTTACCAATCCTAGAAATTCATTCACGAATCCGATAAATTCCATTCAGAAGAAGAAGAAGAAAGAGAGCTCCTTTTTCCAGATTCCTCAAGCTTCATTCCAGTCTCAGCTATGGAGGTTTTCAAAACACTAGCTGTTCTGTTCGTCTTAAGCTACCAGATTTACGAAACCATGGCTGTTGAAGATGGGATTTCCTCCTTTTCGTATAATGGGTTTGTGAAATTTCGGAGCTTTGACAAGAGTGTTGCTCTGTTCGGAGATTCGAAGCTCGTTAACGGCGGTCCATCGATTCAATTGACTGACCCAGTGAGTCGGAGCGAAGGGCGAGTCGTTTACAAGAAACCAATCAAACTATTCAAAGGTAAAGAGAGAAGCTTCTCCGGATCATTCTCGACTCATTTCTCGTTTCAAATGTCCTCCAAAGAGATTGGTAGTGTCCTGGCTTTCGTTATGGTTCCGAGTGGTTTGGATCTTAGATTGTTTGGTAGAAAGGATAACACAACCTCTGGTTTAGGGTTCTTATTGCAAAACGAGATTGTTGCTGTTGAGTTTGGTGTCTCCAAGAGAGGGAATCGTGTAGGGATCTTAGTTGGTAGGCCTGAATCAGCTAGAATTCGAAAGTTGTCATCTTTCGGTGGCCATTTCAATGGAGAGAAGAGGTTGAACTGTTGGATCGATTACGAGGCGAGCTCAAAGAGAGTAGAGGTTCGTTTGAGTGTATCTACGACCATTAAGCCGGTTGATCCAATTGTCTCTTACACGGTAGACTTGGCTAAAGTATGGAAAGATGGGAAGTTCATGGTGGGTTTGACATCTACTAATGGAAACTCTTCGAAGCCGCATTATCTCCATTCATGGAGCTTTAGACTGAGACATCCATCGATGAGGATTCACTCGCAGCCACTTGATCCAAACGCTGTTTCCAAGACGGTTAAGGAGGAGGAGAAGACGGTGGAAGTTAAGAAGGGGAAAAGCAAGTGTGTATGGAAGATGCTTGGTGCATTGGTTATGGGTGCGGTTTGTGGAACTCTTGGAGCGATGTTGGCTTTATACCTTTGGACGGTATGCGGTAATAGGCAGTCAATGGCAGTGGTTCCGGAGGAATGTGCTAATGGAAAATCGGATGTGGTTGTGATGAAAGAGGATGTTGTTCATGAAGAAGGCAAGAAGTAGTTTGTTGTTTTTTAGAATGTTGTGTTTTGTCTTTGTGTTTGTGTTTGTAATGTAAATTCTTGTGTCCTTGTTGTGTTTGTTTTTATGTTAGTTGCAGGTTTGGTGAGATGAAATTTCACATGTAGAAGAATCTTACAATATGTGTATTAATTGAGAACTTGAAATCTTGATCAATTCAATGCAATTGTTCTTTCTTTTTATTGTTTTTGATTTGAGGACAAAGAGGAGACGTGAGTGTATTGAAGGAAGAGTTGGTCCAAAAAAAGAAAGCAGTGGGTTTCTCGTGAATTCACCGAAATGCATTTATAATCAGTTGCCACTTTCACACATCTCTCTCTGTGTCATTTCTAGGTCTTGACTGAGAAGAAAGTGAGAGGAGAGTAACAATGGAATGTGTATTGTCTCCAGTGGTCCCCTTCCTATATTTAGGGATTCAATGATTTAAACAGATTTCGAAGTCCAGTGCTTCATAATCACTGGGTTGAAACCACACAGTTAAGACTTTGGGTGCTGAATGTACATTCCTGTGAAAAGAGGAGTCTCCTTTATAGTCCTTTAAAGAAACAAACAGAGACTTGTGAAGAACTTCTGAAGACTATAATAGAAACTTCATTATTTTTTGGGTAAATAAGAACTTTTTAACATATAATCTGGTTAATATATAATGAGAACTGGTTAATGAGAACTTGAATACTTGTAGGTTCAATTCAGTCTGAGTTCGTTTTTGGTTCATGTTTGTTTTGTTTTTGTTTAGTAAATCCCTATTTGCATGAGCAATGATTCGTATTTCGCATCTGAGTCTACAAATTCTGTCTGTATATCTCTAATTTCCTACTATAATTGGAATATCGTTTTAACAAACCTAATTACATAAAGGAAGCAAAAAAAATCATGTGATTTTCTCTCGTGTGTGTGTGTGTGTGTTAACCGGCTCTATCTCTGGTTTATCTCAGAGATTGTGCTCGTAGACTTGGTCTTTCAAACCGGTGAATCCCGTTTTGTTCATTGGACGTGTCACACAAGCAACCTGGAAGAGGGTTTGCATAAAAATTCTCCTCCAACTTTGGACCTGCTTTCCCTGGCCGTCTGAGATACGGAGCTCCTAATCTTTTCCAATGTATTCTCGTAACCTCCGACGAGAAATCCTCCCAGGAAATGTGTCCCGCATCGAGCCGATCAATCAGTTTTACGAATCTTAGCCTGAAAACAAACAAAAAAAACCGGTAAAATGTCAGTTCTAAATCCGGTAACGGGCTAAACAAGGTTTATATTCACGCAAGAAATATAAAACCATACCTATCGGGATTAATCGTTTTCCTAAACCCTTCGAATCTCCGGTGACCCTGAACAGCTTTCGCCATGTTCCCATCGTAAGTATAAGCGAAAACGTCGCTTTCTAGAGCTAGATTGTAATCAAGAGCAGCTAATCTGTTCTGGTATGGCTTAACCGTCGAAAGCTCTTCCTCTGTAGCCAACGTAGAGTGAAAGAACACGTTTGGGAACTCTTGGTGGAACGCAGTCATACTGTTCTGACCGTAGATCTTTCCAGCAACAATGTAGATCTTCGTGGTCGATGGAAACCCCATCGCCTTGAGAAACACGGCAGCTTCACGTGGCGTCATAGGGCAATTACCTTCGAGACGCCTCTCTGTTCCATTGATCACTTTTTCTTTCCAATGCGGAATGCTATATCTCATCTTCTCAAGATCAATTGATTCCTCAGCGGTTAGACTGTGATTGCATCCGGTAAACGCCAACATATCTTTCTCGTACCTACAAGAATTACGTTTTTGATTTATTGGATGATTCTCAAAGAGAGAGAGAGAGAAGGGAGTAACAGTAAGTAGCTTGTACCGCAAGTGAAGAGCGAGGTAGGGTTCGTTGTTTGCCCTAAGTCTTGAAGAGAGAACTTTGCTTAGATTCTCTATGTCTTCAGAGTAACGAAGAGCTTCATAGTTTGCGCGACATCTAAGACGCTGGATGGAAGGAGGAGGGCTGTTATTCGCTAGCCGAGAATCTGTGTGATTGAATACCATCACTTTATACTTCTTCAGTAACTTTGAGATTGTGTTTCTGTAATAACTCGCCTGCGCGAAATCGAAACCATAACAGAGTTTTAAGTTAAAACCGAAAGAGGAAACAGAGAAGCTCATGAAAAAAAAGAAAAACATTGGTTTGTGAATTTACCTTAGACCAGGAAACAGGATTCTTTTCAATAGGCTTAATCGAAGCAAGTTCTTGTGGTAGATACTCCACTATATCGACATCTTGTGCTAGGGCGTTGATGAAATGTTTCCAGTCGAATATGTCCTTAAAAGTACTAAAAATAGAATGAATACAGAACTTGATTAGACGATGCTAATTATGATGATCGTGTTGATGTTGAATTAATGATGATCATGTTGATGAGTAGTGAGTACCTTGGATCACTCCAGAAAGATGAATGGTCAAGAAACGGAAGAACAAGAGTAGCGTTCATGATTTTGGCGACTGCGACCATATCACATATCTGTGAAGAAAATAACGAGTGAGGATTTGAGGAAAGGAAACTTAGAAAGAGGAAGAAGAATAGAGACTTACACCAGTTCTCATCTGATTCAAACCACCATTGGCGTGAACAAGGAGATAACCATTGGTTTTCTTGGCTGGTCCTAAATCATAAATCAAATCAGAACCGGTTATTAGGTTTGAAATTTCTCGGATTTTTCGATTGGTTAAACCAGAAAATGAGTATACACTTACTATGGTTCTTAGAACGAGCTACGCATTTCTGATAGTTTCCAGTGTCTGGTTGATTCCAAATCTCCGGGATCTGTTTAAAATACCACAACAGAAATTAGTTCACGTAATGAAATTACAGCGTCTGACTTATGTCTAAGCCCAATGGGCCAAAGTGCTTATTAGTGTCTTGTGAAGATGTTGTGATGTGATTAGTTGAAGAAATTAATGGGTTAGTTATCAATCAACGAGTGAATTAACTGAAGTCAACCGCTAAAATATTCAATGGGCAAATGGAGGAGACCCACGATGACATTCGTATTTGGAAAACAAAATCAATTCAATATTCCGTAACGAATATTACGGAAATTCCTTTTACGAGAAAACTAATCCACTAATAAGAAAATACTAAAAATTAAAAAGAATTGTTTTTTTAGACAGAATTTTGGTCGACATGAATGAACAGCACAGAACAGAATCGAAAACATGTTTTGGTTTGAACACGAAAAAGCAGAACGCGGAAAACAGATAATTTTCTTCTGATAACAAAAACTTTAGACGATTTTATAATATTAAAAATTTAAACTTTGTTGACTCTGTTCAAAGTTTTTTTCTGCGGGAAATTGAATATTGAGCTTACCGGTGTTGGCAGATTCTTTAGCAAAACAATCTCTCCGATCGTGTTTATTGGAGGTGTAAGGTTTCTATTTTAATTAATGAAGCAGTTTGAACAAAACAAAAAAAAAAAGCTTACCGGTTTTCTTTCTGGAACGAGGATTTGAACCGAATTGGAAGTTTCTTCTTCTTCGATGATCTTCTCAATGTTACTTCTCGGATGAATCGAAACGACGAATTCGTGTTTCTCGACGTGTGGTCGTCGTTTTCCGACGCCGCCGGAGAGAGCGACGATGAGGAAGAAGGCGACGACGAGGATTCCCAATAAAGTTAGAATGAAACGGCCGAGATTCGTCGTTGATCTCATTTTCCGAGCGATCCCAGCCGTCCATTGAGATTTGTTCTCCGCCATGAGCATCCACACGAGCCTTATTTTGCGGAGAGAGAGAAACCCGACGAGGTAATTGTGGTGGGACCCACTCGAAGAACAGCACGAAGATCCTCCGCCTCCTCCTCCGCCGAGGCTGCAGCTCGCGGCTTCTTCCTCGTCGGGGACGTAAACGACTGCGTTTCCTCCTCCTACTCCTCCTCCGCTGCAGGCGTGGGAATGATCTTCCTGAGAATCAGCGACGCGCCGTCTTGTCGTTGTTGTTGTTGGCGCCGCCGGTAATTGGCTGCTGCTAGACGGGTTCACCGGAACGCCGACTGACATGTGACCGGTAAAACAGGGGATATACTAAACTTTCCGGGAAACAATTAAAATGAATGGAGAAAGCAGAGAAAGAAATCGATCGGAGGAGTTAATTGGGAGTCAGTAATGATTCTCCGTTGTTCTTAAAATATCTGCGCGATCTCAGGCGGAGCAGACAAACAATTCCTCTTTCTCTCTTTCCTTGTCCAATTTATATATGTGTCTTTGGGCTCTATATATATTCGTATGTATTTATACTTTCTATAGGAAAAAGAAAAGTCAAAAAGTCGTTTTATGTTGTCGAAATTAAAAGTCGTTTTGCTTTTACTTTTCTATTTTGGAGTTCTCTCTCTCTCTAATTCACATGTACAATTACGAATTTTCCTACTAAGAAATCATCAGAGTTTATATATCAGAATGTTTTTTTTTCTAATTATGTAATACTAACATACAAAATCTATCGAGTAAATAATCTTAAAAAAAAAAAATTATTGTTGATAACGTCTCAAGATGAAGTTGATAATTACTGGTTTCTTATTTTAAATGTATCGTCTAGTGTAATTGATTTTGTATTAGCTAATATTCATTGCATATGCCTAACTAGTGACTACTAGACACGTAGAATTTAGAAAGCAATATATAGATTTGCATATTAATGATCTGTTAGTATTAAATTGGGGGATTTCGTATACTCTTTTATATTTCTTGTTATTCTTGAAATGGAAATGCATCAGTCAATTGTCTGCACGTCGCCGGAAGATAAGCATAGCTAATTTAATTTTGATATATATATTCTATCTCTTCAAATTTAATGTTTTAACTTTTTATCAACTAAAAAAAAGTTTTCATTTAAACTAAAATCTATTGTTTTTAATTACATAGCAGACAAAAGACAAGGATAAATGTTTAAATTAGTCCTAGTCGTAGTAACTGATTAGGTTGTGAATATGGCGCAATACTACGTTTTGTGTTCAGAAAAAGGATTGCACTGAAATGGTTACAGTCCTTCCAAATTAAGTACGGATTTTAATGCGTCACACTGAATATTTTTTTCGTCAACTTTCTTTTTCTAGATTTAAGTTACGATCAATTCCATCAATTACACGATACATTAAAATAGCAAGTGTGACTATCATGCAGTCAAATTTTCCTTATTTCTTAATGTTAAAATGCTAGAATATGGCACTTTAATAAGCTTTGCAATTAATTATTTTCTTACTTTATTCCAACAGCTAGCTAACCCGTCACATTATTCATCACACATTTTTCTTATCCTTTCTATGAACAATGTAAAAAAATGAATTCTTACGCTAGAGATTACGTATAACCAATAATTTAATGTGGTTATGGTTTCAAAATCGTATACTATCAACAATACGTTCCTTATAATATTTTGACATCCATTATTCGTTTCTTTTCAGACTTTAAATTACATGTGAAACAATATAACAATCAAAAACAATCATACTAGCCTTTATGTAAGGTTTGAGAGTACTAAAAGTGAAAAGGCCTTTATGATAAATTCGAACGTTCCTCGATTTCCCAAATTTATTTGTCCTCTTCCAACGTCCTATTCTTTAGATCCGTTTAATATGAAACCCCCCATACCGAACAAAATTGAATACTACCGTATAAAAAACAAAATGGACCACCCAATCCTGTTTACGGTCGAATTTTTAAGATGGTACATGGATGCTTTAAATCCTGTTTTGCAGTAATTTTGTTTGTATAAGGTTTATAAAGTGAGGCTGAGTTTATGTAATTTAGTTCATTGATCGTTTTAAAACCCATATATGGATAAACAGGAGCTGGTTGGGCTAAAATTGAATGTTTAGTTAAACTAAGAACGCGACGTGGTAGTTACTGGATTCTCTATAACAAATAGACACACGTCTTAAAAAGAGCTTTATTAAAAAAAATTACAGACTATGGGTTTAACTGCTTATTTAATACTTTAACTAACCCACTTAGTTTGGTAACCGTTAGAGTTCCATCATCTTTAATAAATACAACTATTATAATCCTTTCCAGTTAGTGGTCTCTATTCCAGTTTCTGACCGCTTACTTCTGAGCTCGAATTGTGATATTGATGGATAAACTAAAATGCGAGACCAATAAATAATGATTAGAAATGTATAATTTGAGTGTTGGATCCGATTTTCATATACTATAATGCTACGTTCAGACGGGTCGACCGTGTGTTTGTAATTCTAAAATTATATACACTTTGTAATCTTTTTTTCTTTATACAAAATTCGGAATGTGCAATACTGCAATAGAAATAATTGATAAAGATAGAGAATCAGACTCATTGATTTGATAGCCTACCTCAAGCTTCATAGGAGTCCCTAATTTAAAAAGTGTTTCACATTCTAATAAAACTATGGCGTCGGTGAATGAAGCACACATTTATAAGGAAACAAGTAAAATAAACTTAAATCTATATGTAGACTTTTGATTTCAGTTACTCTGATTATAAATGATATGATCACACAATGTCACATGAATCTTGACGTGTTTAGGACTTGATCCTTGCAGACTTTGTGTACAATTCCACTCTTAAAAATCAATATGATTTATTAGATGACAAAAATAAAACCTCGTGTTTTTGGACTAGAGATTGTAAACCATTTAACACTCGGAACCGCAATTGCCACGTTCTCTCTCTCAACCAGTTATCTTGTCTCATAACCCGATTTTCCAGACAGCGACTTTCAAAACAACCGAAGAGGAAGTGACGTCAAAGGGACACCAGACTCAGTAGAACCATTGGACCTGTGGTCGACATCATAACACGCTTTTAAAATGGACTCGGCGACTTAGAGCATGTCCATCGGGGTCTCTACCCCAGTTTTTAGATGAGTCTCAAGCTGAAATTGTTTTAAAAGAAATGTTTTATTCCACAATTAAGCTTGATACGTATCTACACGAAGAGATTTTGGCAACTTTCTTGATACCCATATACCCATATGTGTCAGGTTGTGGTTGGTTGAATAAAAAAATTAAAAAAAAAAGAAAAGAGAAAAAGAATGAAAGGTGGGTCTTGTTTACTACGAGGGTATCACTGCTGGAACCACAAAACATATATGAAACCCTTGACTCTTAAACAAAAAAAAACTTAATGAAAATATAAATAAAAAATATTGTGATACTCATATGAGGATATCACTGATGGACATGCTCTAATAATTGACCCATTCTCTAGAATCATTGACAACTCACACACAACAGTGACAAATACATGTGTGACGGTGTGAGTTTATGGCCTTGAATGGAAATCCAGAACAAATACAGATTAAATACAGATCAGATCAAATACAGATTGATCTGTATTTCATAGCCAATCACACTTTTATTTACAGATCAAGAAAATACAGATCACTCTGCATGCAGATCAATATTTTTTGTCTTTTTGTGATATTTTTCTGATCTGCAGAGAAAGAGCTAAAACCTCCTGAACACATGCAGACCTATTTTTTATTTTATTATATTCATTTACTTTTAATTTCTTAATTACTTATAAATGATAAAAAAAATATAATTTATTATTTACTTTTATACAAATAAATCCACAAAACCTGTGTTAAATTAAAATTCGCCTAGAAACATTTGTTACATGCATAACAATTTTTCATGTATTTTACATTTTTAATTATTTCTAAAAATTGGTTATAAATATTGGGTTTTCTAATTATTATTTCTTTATATATATGAAAATTAAATCTATAAGATTCTTAGTAGCTTAAGGTATATTATATAATTTATATATTATTTTGTGATTTTTTTTATATTGATTCTTTCAATAAATAATTAAATATTAATGAACATAACAATTTTTATATCTAAAAATTAAATATATTCACTTTACATATTCATATTTTTTATATAATAGGTATTTTTTTTACAATCACTATATATTTATATTTATTATATATATATATCATTATAATTATATTACAAACATAACAATTCAAAATTTAAATTTCTTGAGTTTCATGTTTCTTTTATGATAAAGAGATTCATATAAGTTAGTAAAATGAATTCATAAATGCAAAAATATATTTTTTTTTATATATATGACTAAAGATTTTAAATATTTTGAGATATTTTGTTTATTTATATATAAATATAGCTTATAAATTACAATTCTATATATAATTATGGTTAACATTAGGGAACATATTGCAAGTACATTATGAACCGACCAAAACATTTCACGTTAATTTTTTGTATGTTGTAATCGAATTTAAATTTTAGATAATGTTTCAATTTTTAAATTTCTTGTTTTTAAGAAAATTTTCAATATATATATATATACTAAGAAAACTTTATATATTATATATATATTGTAAATTTTCTTTGTTTTTTTATTGTCCAATTAAGTATATATTTTATAATTATTTAATATATTTGATATTTTATAATTATTTAATATATTTGATAGGCATTTGATCTGCATACATATCATGATCTGTATTTGTTCAGTATGATCTGGATTTACTATTTGATCTGCAATTTTTGATCTGTGTCACCATTCGAAGCCTATGTATGTATACGTCAACGTTGAACCAGGGAGTATTATTAGTTGTAATATAATATTGCGAATCATAGAAAGAGGTGGAGAGTGGGGGCCACGCGCAATTTTGGTGGAGGTCTTTCCACTTTTATTTACTTCTTTGGGGAAGTCAATATCTCCACCTACAACCTGAAAACTAAGCTTCGTAGTGGTTCTGTTCTTAGGGTTGGCAAATTCTATGTAACTCAAAATTCTGATTCTCAATCGATTTTGTTTTCAAAATTTTCAAATCTCAAATTCTAGAAGGATATTAATATATGTATAGCTTTGTTGAAACATCTCACATCGTTTAGGCCTAGGGATATGCTTTTTGAATCATATACAGTTCAACAATATGTTTAAAGTCCGTTACAAAACTAAGGTATACTTTCACAGGTATGGTTCTCATTACTGTTTTGGTAATAACCATTTATAAAATGTTTCATATACATTTGACTGTATGTATTGAAAGCTTCAACGAATCTGTTTATTTTTCAATATTTTGTATTTTAAATATTTATCTGTTTTCCATTCAAAATATTCATGGAAGATTCATTGATCGATACGTAGAATATGTACTTGTTTGCAAACAATACAACTCACGTATGGTCGAACAAACGCGTACGGAATGCTCTTCTTGTTATTCGTCCCCACTCACCGACGACATCACCGACACGTCGCTTTAGCCGCATCACATTCTTTATTTTATTTGCAATCAAAAGTTCAAAACCATTATTATTTTTCTCGTTTTGTTGTACAAGATGAAATATAGCTCGTGTTAATGTTAAAATTTAACATACGACAATTGTACCAAACGAATCGACGAGGAAGGACTAAATGATAGATTACAAGAAATCGGGGTCTAATTTCAAAATTTCACAAAGTACAGGGACCATTTTCCTATTATAAGAAACAATGTTCCTTTGACAGGAAAAAAACAGAATCAGAATTTGTCATCAGGAGAGAATCCTCTCTGCAACATCTCATCGTGAAACCGAAATGCCTCAGTTAAGTTATCCTGAGACACAAATCCATTGATCAGTGAAGTATACGTTGACCTATCAGGATCTACACCTCTCTCAATCATCTTCCTTAGTACAATCTCAGCTTCTTTCATCTGATTTTTTCTACAAAACCCATGCAAGATCGAATTGTATGTAAACACATCACCCACCAATCCTCTCTTCTTCTCCTCCTCCATCTTCTTCACCAAACCAAAAGCTTTGCTCATGTTTTCTTCTCTAACAAAACCATATATCAACGTGTTGTAGCTGATGATATCAGGCACAAAACCTTCCGAGATCATCTTCTCCAGAAACTTTTCTCCTTCCGAGGCATTACCAGAGCGGCAATACCCCTTTATCATAGAGTTACAAATCATAACCGTTGGCTTTATACTCTTACTGACCATTTCATCCCAAACTCGAAACGCTTCACCAAGATGGCCTTTACTGCAAAAAGCGTTTACCATAATGCTGTAAGATACTGGAGTGGGATGTATCTCTTTCGACACCATATCTGCCCATATCTCTTTCGCTGTATCGATATCACCTACTTTCCCAAACCCATCTAACAGAGTGTTGTACGTCACGACATCGAGCTTGATCCTCTTCTCTTTCATCTTCTCGAATAGCTCCATTGCGTTTTGCAGATTCCCAAGCTTGCAGTGACCATCAATCAGTATAGTTAAAGTGAAAGAATCAGGAAACAAACCCCTCTCGGTCATCTCTCTGAACAACTTATCCGCTTCGCCTAACATCTTCCGTTTGCATAAGCCGTGCAAGATGGTGTTGTAGGTAACAACATCCATAGCGCAACCTTGTCGAAGCATTTCGTTTCTCAGACTCATAGCTTCAGAGATCATACCTTTTCTACAATACCCATTGATAAGAATCGTGTAGATCACATTATCCGGAATCAAACCAGCTTCCTTCACACTGTTGAAATACACTAACGCCTTGTCAAGATTCCCACTCCGAGCAAAAAGACTCATAACTGAGCTAAAGCAAACCAAATCCGGAACAACACCCTTACATCTCATATCACCGAAAATCTTCTCTACTTCCACAGCATCTCCCTTCTTACAAGCCTCCATCAACAATGATCTGTATGTAGTAGAGTCAGGATTCACCCTGGATTTCAACATCTCAGAGAAAACTTCCTTGGCTCTCTCGTATTTCCCACTCTTACAAAGTCCATTGATCACAGTGTTATAAGTATACACACCAGGACTAAACCCTTTGCTCGGCATAGCATTCATCAACTCAAACGCCTCTTCCATCAAACCTTTACTAGAGTAGGCGCTAATCAACGTATTATACGTTACAATATCCGGATAAACTCCTTTCTCTTGCACTTCTGACAAAAAAGTTTCAACCTTTTCCATTTTACCATCTTTGCACAATGCATTGACCATGATATTGAGAGTGTATACATTAACACCAACGCCACTCCGAGTGATCTCTTGATAAACTCCCCAGGCCAATTCCACCCACCCTATCCTCACCAAGCTTCCAATGAGAGCGTTACACGCATCGATAGAGACATTATAACCTTTGCTTCTTAGCAATGTGAAAGCTTCATGTGCCTCTCTTAGCTTTCTAGCCTGCACATAAGTCCTAATCAACAAATCGAAAACCGAATCATTCGAGCCGCAGTTACTATACGTTGAAACCAACGAATTCACTATCTCTGCCCTTGAAACGCCGCTCCTCCTTATCATCCTAAGAAGAAAACTCTGTGCATCCGATAATCTTCCACTCCTCACCAGAATATGGATCGTTGCGCTTAGAGAGAGAGACGTGTGCTTGAAATTCGGGAAATTGGAACTTAATTGTTCCACGAACTTTTGACCTAGACTTAAATCATTCCGGCAACGGTATAAAACCTCAACGACGGTTAAAGGGTTTAACCGAATCAGCTGATTTCGCAGAGAACTCGCAGTGTTATGATAATTACCTTGCTTCAGACTGAAACAGATATTCTCCACCAAGAACGAATCCGAATCCGAACCCGAACCCGAAGAAGTTGCGGGTTCCAATTCGGGAGCTTGTGATGACGACGTTGTAAAGGCTTTGAGAGGTTTAAATCGAGTGCGAGGGTCTTTTACGCGGGAGATTCTGGAAGCTATTAATCGGTGAGCAACCATTATTCTTAGTTGAGAGAGAAGCGAGTTTCAATCTAGAGAAGATGGAAAATTGAAAACTCAGTTTCGTTTTCGAGTTCGAGCAACCGAAGCATTTTGATTTTCTGATTAGCTCCGGCCTCAGAGAAGAAAGAGCTCACTCGAAACGACGCCGTTATGTGACTCTCAACGACCCGGATCCGGATTTCCCGTGATTTGGTTTATTTGGATCTGCTTGCTCATTACGAAGGCCCAAAATAGTTGGACCCAATTCACCATTAATTACACAGTCACCAACGAGTATTAAAGAAAATCTTTATATATTTTCCCGCTACTCCTAAACTGTTTCTCTTCCCGACGATTGACTGTTTATTTCACTGTGAAATTTCCACCCAAAAGAGAGAAATTTAGCTTAAAGGTAAAAGATTTTCCTTAGCAATATTGCTCGTTTTGTTAGATGTTCATACGTACCTTTTCTTTATCCTTCAATCTCGTTTTATTGCCTTTCCTCGGGAATCTGCTATGTACGGTTTTACCAGAGAGGCAGAGATTGATTGGTTTGTTTGTAGTTTCCTCTGACTCTGTTTCTGTTATGCGACATTAGTCTATCTTCTATTGAGATTTGTTTTAGCCCCCATTGCGTAATTTAGCACATAAGAACAGAATCCGCCGTGTTCGATTTCTGGTACCAGCTTCGATTCGAGACTATTGATTGTTCTTCTTGTGTAAAACTGTTGCTTATCAGCTCAAACACGGCTTGATTGATCTGTATGTGTAAAAGCTTGCTCCTTTTTTTATATTGTTTGTACCAATGCAGAATTTTGGCTCTACCAAAAACATGTCTGACAATTTGGGGAATTCGGTGATAAACTTGAAGCTACTCATAGATGAAGAGAAAAACAAGGTTGTGTTCGCTGAGGCTGGTAAAGACTTCGTGGACATACTCTTTAGCTTCTCGACAATGCCAATGGGAACAATCGTTAGGCTGCTAGAGATGCATCAGAAGTCAAAGTCAGTAGCGATAGGCTGTTTCAACAACATCTATGGAAGCGTCGCGAGTTTGGGGATGAAGCATTTCAGTACCGAAGCTTCCAAGCAGATGCTTATGTATCCGGAGAGTTTGAATCAGGAGAAATACCAAAAGCTTAAGCTGGTGATAGATGATTCGAAAGCTACCAAGTGTTACATGTGCCCTATGTTTGTGCGAAGCGGGCAATGTAGCAAAGGGTATAGCAATTTCAATACCTCGAGGTGTAGCTGCTGTGGGAATCTGATGAGTGAAGTGATTCAGTTTCAAGGAGAAGGAGGAGGAGGAAGAGCAAGTGGTGTTGATGGTGGAGTGTTTGTGAGGAGTGGTCAGACTTCGTTCATCATCACTGATGATTTGAAAGTCAAAGTTAACTCTGTTGGGTCAACACTCAATGTGCTCAAAGATCTTGGCTATGCAGGATTGGATAAGTTGGTTGAGGTGATTCTTGATGTCAATCTCCAAGAGGTAGCGACTTTGCTGGAGTGCTTATTCACATCGGAGTCTCCATTGACTGATACGTTTCTGAGGAAAAAAAGCTCACATGGCATGAAGAGGGTTCACAAAACGCTGAGTCATGCCTCCGAGGAAGATGGAGGACAGGAATCAAAAGCTGATCAAATGATTACTCTAAATGCATATGTTAGGAAGAAGGAAGGGAACATTATTTATGTGGAATGCGGTGAAGACTTTGTGGATCTTCTTTTCACGTTTCTTGCTATGCCTCTAGAGTCTGTATGGGGAATCTCTGGCGGCAACGGATTCATTCTTGGATGCATTGGGAACTTGTGCAAAAGCTTCAAGGAACTGAGTGTTGATTCGGGAAGAGGAGAAGCTTCGGGTTTCAAATGTGTGCTTCCACATTACTACAAGTGTCAGAAGCAGCAGCTTCTTCTTGATGTTGTCACTACGCATAAGCCACCGACTTACTACCGTTATGTTTCCTTCTCTGTGGATCACTTTAGAGAGTACCGTTTGACTGGAAACTCCGGTAAGAGGCTTGTGTATGATTGGGATAAGCTCGTGCCAGTGACTTCTGTAGATCCGAAATGTGAAGAAGGAAACAACACCGTTGAATCAAGTGGGTTTGTAAAGAGAGGGACGAAGTTCATGGTGACAGATGATCTCATCATTACTCCTGCGAACTCAACCTCGACCATTAAGATGTTAAGGGACAAGCAGACCGGGCTAGCTGATGTGGAAGTGCGAGTGATCAAGATGAAAAAAGAAGAGGTAAAATCTTGTCAAAGATTCTTTCTTTCTTTGATTTCAATATGTATACATATACCCAGTTATGCATAATTGATATTCGATTGAAATGCAAATGCAGGTTGTCAGATTATTGCGAGCTTCATTTGCGACATTTTCTGCCTTAAGCTCTGGTCTTCTAGGTATGGAATCAGCTTCGACAAGTGTTCCTGAAAGCCGATTTTACAAGAAGCCGAAGATTGAGACTTGAGAGAAGCAATGCTCAAGCCGAAACTTCAAGTTGTTGATACATTTGATTAGCAATTACTTTGTCTAATCTTTAATCTTTTCACTTTAGCTACTTTCTCATTTTGTTCTTGCTTAGACGTTGAAGTTCAGAGTTTTGTTAGTATTTTAAAAGGTGGTTTATTTGGATGTTGAATAAATTTTGGGGTTATTTTCAAGAAGAGGAGAAAACTTGTGCCCATTATACTGAATAATCATCCAAGAAGGACGAATTTCCGGCGCTTGAGTCGGAATTTTCATCTTCTTACTCGATTATTTCTCAGTCGATGAAAAATATTAGAATATCAAGACCTCCAGATTTCTCTCTATAGGGAGATGCGATCATGAATCATTTTTTTCGGCTGCTCCAAATCCAAGTGAGAAATTAGTGTGTACGTCTTAATTTGCGCAAGAACATACTCATTCCCTATATATTATCTTTACTTGTATTCATGGAGATGTGACTGACAAAGACTCGTTCGTTATTGCTGTTTGAATTAAAAGCTTGCTTCTTCGTATATCTATCTGGGCTACTGTGTTTGGTATAGGATTCTGGTTGCTTGGTTAAATGGGGAGCATCAAAGGGTCGTTTTTGGTTTATTGTCTCTTGGGCTTTCGACGATGGCCCGTTTTATTCTACTTAATGTCGGTCCCACTTAATGTGAGTATTTAATCCCTTTTAAGATATGGAGCCAACTAGGGTTGATTATATATGAGCGTACATCATTCTAAATTTTAATCGATTGCTTCAGTTTCTTACTATTGTTGTGAGGAATCTTTTCTTTCTTTTTTCTTTTCATCTTTCTTTCTGATTGAAATTGAAATGGATCAAAGTTCTGGGGAGCCTAAGTTAACTTTGAGACTTGTCGTTGATGAAGAGAAAAACAAAGTCGTTTTAGCTGAGGCTGATAGGGATTTTGTTGATGTACTCTTTAGCCTTGTGACACTCCCAATGGGCACTATTGTCAGATTGCTTGAGAATCATCGAAAGTCTGAGAGCGTAACTATTGGTTGTTTTGGCAACCTCTATAAAAGTGTTGTGGACATGGGCGTTGATGACTTTGAGACTGAAGCTTGTAAGCAGATGCTCGTGCGTCCAGGAAGCTTGAGGGATGTCCAGTGCAAAAGGCTTAAGCTCAGCATAAACCCTACTGATGATGTCAAGTACTTTGAGTGCTCTTCTTTGACAAGCTGTAAAATGTTGAGTGATTTTAGCACTTCTCAATGTCGATGTGGAAAGCTGATGAAAGAGGAAGTAAAACTAAGAGAAAAAGTTGAAGACAAGATACAAAATGGAGTATTTGTGAGAGGCAGGTCTTCATTCATCATAACTGACGACTTGATAGTGGCAATTAGGTCCACTGACCTTATCTTGAAAAAGCTCAAATCCGCGGGCTGTGGGGATCTTAGCAAGGTTGGAGAAAGGCTTATTGATATCGGTTTCGAAGAGGTATTTCACTCTGCGCTCCATGTCATACTTTAATTACAAACTCTCCGTTACATCTTCCTCTCACTATATCTTAATATCTTGATCTAGGTCATGACTCTGCTGCAATGTATCTTTTCCTCAAATGCTCCCTTGACGGACGCGTTATTGAAAAAGCAAATCCCACAAGGTCTCAAGACCTGTCAAACGCCAAGTCCATACACGGTGAGAGAATCAGATGAATCCGAACAAGTGATAACTTTAAGTGTGATCATGAGTAAGCATGACATGAAAGTTTTATATGTCGAATGCGGAGAAGATTTTGTTGATCTTGTTTTCACTTTTCTTGCTGTTCCGCTGGAAAATGTGCTGCAAACATCTGGTAACAACTCCAATTTTGGGTGCATTGGAAACCTGTTGAAAAGCTTCAACGACTTGCGTGCTACACAAGTTTCAACATCCGAAGCCGTGATCCCGCATTACTATAAATGTCAGAAGCAGTTGCTCAATATCATCACTGCCAAACGTCAGTCCTTGGTGAGAACAAGTGATTCGGAACCTATGGTTCTGATTGATCCGAAATCTAATGGAAACGATCAATCAACAACAGAAGAAAGCGGATTCGCCAAGAGAGACACAAAGTTTATAGTATCAGATGATCTGGTCATTACACCGATGAACTCCAGCTCAACCTTTTGCTTACTGAAGAAGTTGCAGATTCAAGCTGAGGATCTTGAGGTGCAAGAAATAAGCATCAGCAAAACAGAGGTATATCCGCTTGTGATTATAATCTATTATCTTTTTATCAAGAAGAATCATTCAACGATTTCACTGAATTTTTTTCTGTAATCAGGCTACAAGTTTATTGAGAGCTTCCTTGTTGACATCCTCTGCGTTGAACGCTGCTTTATGGAGCTTGATTGCGAAGAAGCCAGAGAAAGAGACTTGAAGAAACTCTTAAGAGATATTCTGGCTAATTTACATTTTTAATATTTCTGAATTTTACAGTCCTTCTTTCGACTAAAGTGGTTTTTAGTTACCTATACGTTTATTTTGGAGGAAACATTCTGGCAAAGATGTTTGTATCCAAGTTTTCTTTCATGATTTGTTTTCAGAAAGTTGATTTCGTTGTTTCAACATTCAAGTGGGTTTATTTGAAACTTGAATAACGATGGGGTTTTTATTAAACAATCGAAGACCTCCGGGACGGGTTTGTAATAATTCCAAAAGCCCACTTAATTCTTTTAACCCGATATAGAAATAGAACAATCTTCCTTCTGCTTTGACTCCGACACATCCGATTTCAGATTTCCGTTTCGCAATTTCAGTTTGATCCGTTCGCAAACATGACAACTTTCCCGGGCGTGATTTGGGGTTTTTCTTCAACTTTTCTCCGGTCGATAAGTAAATCAATTTTATTCGAGACCTCCAGAGATCTAGAAAAACGCAAGCATGGAACTTGGATGATGTAATTGTACAGCAGGCTCAATTTCGTAACTAGGAGATGCTAATCGTACCTGGGAAAATTAACTAGTAAATCACTCATTCCTAAAATGGGAAGCTCAAAGGTTTGTCTTGTTTTTTGTTTATTTTGAGTAAATGGCTCTTGGGAAATGATGAAAAGAAGACTCATTATTGTTGCTCATTCAATGTGAAGTTAGGCCCTTGTGGAGGAGAAGCTCAAAGGGTTGATTTTATACGTTTATGGCTCTTGGGTAGTATCTGATGAACATTTATTATTACTCGTAAATGTGGAGCCGCTGGGATTGAATATATACGAGACTAGTTCCTCCAGTTTCTAGCGGATTTGCTTGTGTGTAGTAGTCTCTTTGAGATATTTTCTCTTTTAACTCTTCTGATCTATAATGGCTGAATTTTCAGGAGAACCCAAGTTTACCTTGAGAGTTATAATTGATCAAGAGAAGAAGAAAGTCGTTTTAGCTGAGGCTGATAGGGATTTTGTTGATGTGCTCTTCAGCCTTCTGACACTGCCGATGGGGGCTATTGTCAGATTGCTTAAGAAGCATCCCAATTCTGAGATTGGATGTTTTAGCAACCTCTATAAAAGTGTTGCGGACATGGGGATTGACAATTTCGAGACCCAAGCTTGCAAGGAGATGTTGCTCAATCCAAGGAGTGTGGAGGAAGGAAAGTGCAAAAGGCTTAAGCTCAACTTAAACCCTACCGATGATGACCTCAAGTTCTTCAAGTGCCCTTATTTCTCTGGCTGTAACTTGTGCAGTAATTTCAGCGGTTCTGATTGTGCGTGTGGAGAGAAGATGGACCAGGAAATTGAGTTATCAGAAGAAGAAGAAGAAGATCAAGTCGTGAAAAATGATGTTGGTGGAGTATTTGTCCGTGGCAGATCTTCATTCATCATCACTGATGACTTGAAAGTTTCTGTTGATTCGACTGGTCTTGTCTTGAAAACGCTCAATCTTCTGGGTTGCTCTGATGTTAGTAAACTTGGGGAACGGCTTCTTGAGATTGGTCTCAACGAGGTATGTATCTTCCTTTTTTTTTATGAACTTTTAAAACATGTTTTAGCTTTGACGTTAATATGACTTTTCTTTTTCTCTTTTTTTTTTGTTGTTTTGAAGATTCTGGATCTTCTCGAGTGTATATTCTTCTCAAACACTCTCTTGAAGAAGCAAAGTCCAGATGATAACGATATGAAAAACATAGAGAAGCTGTTGAGTCCATGTGTGGAGGCAAAAACAGAGGTAGCAGAGCCAGTGTTTACTTTGGATGCAATAGTAAAGAAGCAGGACATGAAGGTTTTATATGTTGAATGCGGAGAAGACTTTGTTGATCTTCTTTGCTCTTTTCTCGCTGTCCCTCTGGAATACCTAAGAGATATCAACTTAGGTTGCATCGGAAACTTACGTAGAAGCTTCAATGATTTGAGTGTTGATAAAGGGAAAGTAGATTCAGCTTGTGTGATTCCTTATTACTACAAATGCGAGAAGCACTTGTCGGATATCATCACTCAAGACCCACCGGTTTACTATCGTTACAGGAACTCCAAGCCTAGCCAACCTGACTACAGCTTGACTACAGATTCTGATCGGACTCTGCTCTATCGAAAGGACAGACTAGTTTCCGTGTCTTTGATTGATCCTAAATGTCATGACGGAGATCAGTCTGAGAATGGGAGTGGGTTTGTGAAGAGAGGAACTAGGTTTACGGTTTCTGATGATCTGTTAATCACGCCTAGGAATTCACTGAGCACATCGATCAGCTTTCTGAAGAAGTTGCAGATTAAGGCGGATGATCTTGACGTTCAAGTGATTCGTATCCGTAAAGCAGAGGTAGGTTACATTTCTTCCTTCTCAAGTAATAAAGTTTACTTTTTTACTGTGTTTGTTGAAACTAACTTTGGTTGGATCTGTCCTTAAATCAGGCAATGAGTCTGCTGAGAGCTTCCTTGGTGACGTCCTCTGCTTTGAACACTGCTCTATGGAACTTGATTGCGAAGAAACCCAAGGAAGAGAATTGAAGATCGAGATCATCCACTGAGATTATCAAGAATATTCGAAATCCACATCTCTGGTCTTTTTGCTTTTAACTGCTTGTCCTCTATTGTTCTCTTTAGACTTCGAAACCAAATAATTTATCTTCTTCAAACATAATTTCTTTAAATCTTACTATCTCCATGATGTCATGTGATCACAGAACTCTGCACGTTTAGATTCTTAGGTTATCATTCTTGTTGCAAAGGTTACAAAGTTATATGAATCTAGATACAAATATTATCTATGTAACCTGAATTGTGATTTTCTACGGAAATATTTTCCCATTTTAATATAAGAAGGGAGAATTGGCAATTTACCCCAAATTGAAACTTCATTTGTCCACTACACCTTCCCATTTCCACTTTGTCCTAATACCTTTTTTTTTAACATTTTTCTCAGTTTTGCCCTTCTTTTTCGTTTTGTTACCATTTTCGTTTTTTAAATTAAAATATATTAAATAAAAATTAAAATGAACAAAACTAAACTGATTAAAAAATAAACCGAAAAAAAACAAAACTTATTCTCTCCTTCTCTCCTTCTCTCACGACGGCGCCAGAGGCGATCGAAAACCTAATCCCGTTTCGTTGATGAAGGAAGGAAGATTTGGGATAGTTGGAGGAAAAAAAGGAAAGAAAGATTTGAAAAATATTCAGTTGCAATATTTTCTCGATCTTCGCAGAAGATGAATTCTACAAAACCGTAGACGACACTAGTTTTGCTAGATTGTGTACTAGAAACACGAGTACGGATCGTAGAAAACATGGTTTAGTAGAACACTACTTCTGCGGGATGTAGATTAGACAAAAACACGTAGAATACGAAAACTATTTCTTGTAGATAGCAGTGTTTCGCGTAGAACGTAAAATCTACGAGTAGTAGAAGATACTTGATTGAGTAGAATACATTTGGTGCGAATTCTACAAAATGGTAGAGCCTATAAGAGTAGGTAGATATCAACTTCTACATCCGGAAGAGGTATGAATAAGTTGTAGATATTATGTTCTACGGAGGTTAGACCTCTGAATATCTTGCAGAAAACGTATTCTACTTTGTTATTTTAGTTTTGTAGAATGAAACTTGAAATATTTTTTTAAATATCATAAGCATTTTCAAAAATGTTCAAATATTTTACACAGTGCTGAAATCATTTTTAGGAATTATGGCATTTTTTTTCACTTCAAAAAATTTAGTATGAGTTTATAAATAAATTGAAGGGCAAACTTGACCAAAAAAGACCAAAGTCAAAAAAGGTGTAGTGGGACAAAAAATTTCAATTTGGGGTAAATTGCCAATTCTCCCGTAGAAAGGGTTTTGTGCAACCACCATTACCTTGTTTTCAAAACAAGAGGAATCAAATCAAGTTCCTACTACAGCTTCTTTCCAAGTCAGAATTCATTTTTTCTTTAGTCGAAATAAAAAATAGAAAAAGAAAAAAAAATGAAAAATTATAAATCGGACAAATGAGAAATGAGGAATATGCCCCCGAATTAAAAACAAAATTGCTACGACTCCCGGTTTCGCCTTGGCCGTGATCCTTCGAGAAGAATTGAAGTAGAGACATCTCTGATATCTCTATCTCCGCCTCAAATTCGCCTCTTAAGGCTCATCTCTGTAATGTACAGATTTTATTCGTCTTCTTCTTCTTCTTCTTATTTGTTTGTCTGTTTCTTAGGGTTTCACTAAGGTAAATCGATTTTCGTTCCCTTTTAAAATTGCAGCGACAATGCTCCAAATTCGGCTTAGGAGGGATTCTCCGACTGAGACTGGAGGTGGAGCGAGACCTTCTCCGACTGAAACTGTGACGGTAGCCTGTCCCGACCATCTCGTCCTCGCCGATCTCCCTGTCGCCAAAGGGATTGGTTCTGTGACTCCCACCACCGTAATCAAGCCCGTCGGTCGCCGTTCCCGACGCCAGCTAGGCGAGAGAGTTCACTTCTGCGTCCGTTGCGATTTTCCGATAGCCATCTATGGCCGTCTGGTAAAGTTTCGCGTCCCTAAATAATGCAATTTTGATTCGAAGCGGCTAGGGTTTCTTCGGGGTTCTTCTGTATGATTGAATATCGTTTCTCTTTGTTTACAGATTCCTTGCGATCACGCCTTTTGCCTCGAATGTGCTCGTAGTGATTCCATCTGCTATCTGTAAGTACTTTCTTAAAAATGTTTCAAATTTGGCTACTTGTCTCTTTCTGCAATGCATTTTAAACCTTATGATCCAAAATTTGCTCAATTTGCTTGGTCGTATTACTAGTACTGTAGTGTACAGTCTGTAATTCTGTATAGAAGTATTTCGTATTGGGAATTTTAGAGACATGGAAGTATATCGTTTGAAGCTTTGGTAGATTGTTTGGTGATCCACTGAGATCTTCTTAGAGATTTTCTAGGCAATGAGGGATTATCAAACTGAATTTGTATCATCTCTTGTGTGTGTGTGTGTGTGTGTGTGTTGGTGGACAGATGTGATGAGCGGATTCAAAAGATACAGACAATCAAGATGATGGAAGGAATCTTCATCTGTGCAGCTCCACATTGTCTCAGGTCATTCCTGAAGAAACCTGACTTTGAAGCCCATGTCCATGAGCTCCACGGCAGCCTTCTACAAGCCGATGCAGATAAAGACGACGGCAACGAGTCAGATGTTCAGAGCACAAAGCAGCAATCTTCAGCTTCAGAGTCCACACTGCGAGGTCCCTTACGATCCCAGTCCCGTGAACAACTGCCATTACTACACAGGTCAGCGTCTTTGTCAAAGCCACAATCTGGATATGGTCAGGGTCAAGTCCAGAATTATCCCGCAGATGGCGATAACTCTCGCCCTCCAGGATTCGAAACCGCTAGTCCTAAACCGGGAATCCGGTTCCCAGACTACCCGCCTATGAATCTTATGCAACCGCCCAGCTTGCCCATTCCAATGAATCAGAATCAAGGTTTGCCTCAGCAGTTTGGTTTCCCGTCTTATCCAACAACCACCGACGGGTCATCTCAGCAATTCTACAACGGTGCACCTTATGAGATGGCAAGACCAGAAGGGAGCGGCTCAGAACAACAAGGCTCGCTGCTCGGGTATCCGCCTTCGCCAATGGTGAATATGAGCTTCCAAGGATCGTATCCTCCTCAGTCGTGGAATCCCGGAATGGCACCGCCTCATACTACGGCCCAGCAGCCTAACCGGGGTAGAGACGGTCAGGGTTTTGGGTGGCAGCAAGAGAACCGTGATGGCTTTGGGCAGGAGTAAGAGTAGAAGAGACTAGTTTGTTGAACTGATAACATGGTTTGTGTTATGTCAAAAGTGTTGTTCGTTTGAATTTTTGATTCTATAAAAAGCTGTCAGCTTTCTTGGTTCTCTAATTCGATTTTGAACCGAGTCAAAGCTGTGTCGATAAATCGATCCGAAAACCAAACTGATCTGAACCCAAGTAACTGAGCTGTTGTTTTAATTAGATAGGTAAAAGAGATTTTACAGTTTTTCTTTTTTATAGAAAAAAAGTCACCATCCTAGTAGTTTTCTTACACCGACTGCAAAGAGATCATTATACACGTATAATAGAAATGTTCAAGCATCCGCACATGTGTCATGTCTCAAATGTATATGTGTAAAGAAATCTATGTGTGGTAAAAAACAAGAGAGAGACGAGAAAAGAAGTTCCTAATATAGTAAAAGCTTAGAAATTTGTCATCTTTCTGTGCTCTTTTTGTATACTGGCTTTAAGTAAAATGCTCACATAACAACAGCCACAGTCTCTTTATTGGGATTCCTTCACTCTACATTTGTATTCAGCAAAAAAATCAGAAAACTAATTGATTATGTATAGTGAACATGTGAATCATTAATTTATAAGTGTGTAAATATGAAATTGTTTTGTTTCAAATAGATTCTCTAGTTATGAACCATAATGATACATAGCAATACTTGCAAGACACCATTATTTCACATTATGAAACTCGAAGAAAACTGAGATCTAAAGAAACTTTTCCCCACGTTTTTATTAATTATTGCGATCCCCATATAAATTCCAAAATGTAAAAAGCTAATCATTGTCGTAATTTCCATGATTAATCACCAATCATTACGACCGGCCAAAGATAATATATTATACATACCGCTATCTAGAGCAACCTTTCTCACAAAAAATATCCAAATATCGAGTTGTTTTGTTTTTTCTACCTTACTGACTCTTTATTTTATCACACAAGGTTGTTTTTCGGTCCGCATCTTTTATCTCAACGCAAGTTTTTATTTCTGTAGAGATATTCAATAAAATAATTCAACATTAAAGTAACTCATGTCTCATGATATAAAATTAAAAGCCCACATTAATGGCATTGATTGCGTTGAGGTTAATGGCTGATGGAAATAACTACGTCACACGCTCGATGATATATATACACTCGCTTCAACGAGTATTTCAAGTTGTGTGTTCGTTAGAATCGAAGCCACATTCTCATCTTGTTGGTTTAAGAAGATTTGAGCTACTTTACGTCTAATATAACTATTTAAGTATATCACTATGAAACGCTTGCGATTAATTGGCCGTGGGCGTCATAGTGTTCGAGAAATTTACGATTAATTGGTCGTGGACGACATTTTCTTTTATACTTTGAGAAGTTTACATCTGTTAAATTTATTTTGCGAATGTAGGAAAGGAGAAAAATAGTTATGGGAGTAAAAGAGAGAGAGAGACAAAACAACAAATAAGATTGATGGCGTGAGTTTACTTTTTCCGCTTTTCCTGCTATCTCTGCTTTTTCTTGGCTCTTTTGGTTGGAATCTTTGAAAATCCAATGCATATCTTTACTTGTTATATCTTGAGTACAAATATGATAATCAGTTTACTATTCTTCTCTACCACTAATTAGATATCTACATATTATAACCTACATTATTTGCAGCAAAACAAAAAAAATGTTAAACGGAGTTACGGATGAAAGTAACGTTATTAGCTTATGTTTGCCTTTTCAAAAGAACCCTGAAATATCTTCGTTTTTAAAGTTAAAATTCGACTTTGGAGTTTGTACAACAACATAAGACAAAATTGCAAAGTGTCAAATTGATAAATTTATTTCTTACAATTGTACAGATGCTACGAAACATACAATTGCAGACCCCTTATATTATACTCCTTTGTAAGCTAAAATAAAATTAACTATCTAAAAGACACAAAAATTAGATTGGCAGAGAGAGCCATGAACTTAGATCAAAATGTTCAGACTTCAGAGTCATCAGACTCACTGAACCTTCTTTTTCAACTAAAAACGATTTGTGCAGATTTTATCTGACACCTGCAAAATCCAATTTTTTTACTCAGGCCCATTGTAATTTCACTCAATATTTTATTTATTTAATTAAATGTGGTTTTGGATTTTCTATAATAATAATTATGTAGTTTTGTTTTCTCTTCATCTCCTTTCTCTTTCAATGTCCGTTGGTTAACAGACGAAAGGCTTCAGACACAACAACACTTCCAAAGCTCGCGAGTTCTCTCTCTCTCTCTAAGAAATTAAGCAGAGAGACAGTGATGATATGAGCACACAGAAAACAAGGATCACTCATCGTTTTCCCTCATGAATTCCGCCACCGACCAACCTTCCGTCGCCGCCGACGAACTAGCTCCGCCGTCTCAACCGCATCGCCTATCGACTTCCTGCGATCTCCACCCTGATGAGCGCTTCTCTGGTTTCTGCCCGTCGTGTCTCTGCGACCGCCTCTCCGTCTTAGATCACAACGGCGCTGCACCGCAGCCGTCGTCTTCTTCCCGGAAACCTCCCACCATCTCTGCCGCGACCTTGAAAGCTCTCTTCAAACCATCTAGTGGTACCAACAACAACGCCTCCGGTGGGAACGGCCGGGTCCGACCCGGTTTCTTCCCAGAGCTCCGGCGTACGAAGTCGTTCTCGGCGAAGAACAACGAAGGATTCTGCGGTGGGTTTGAGCCGCAACGTCGGTCTTGTGACGTTAGGCTTCGTGACGAGCATAGAAATCTTCCCGCCAAAGAAGCTGCCACCGTCGTTGTTTCCGGCGGTAAGATCGAGGACGACTCTAGGAAGTCTAGCGTGAGTGAGCCAGTGTTAGAGGTGAATGAAGAAGAAAAAGCTGAAACAGAGGAGGAAGAAGAAGATAACGTAGGTAAGACTGAGATTGTGAATGATTCCGGCGAAATTACAGAGGTAAAAAGCGGCGAGATTGTTGAGGAGGAAGAGGAGAAAGTGATGGAAGAAGAGGAACTGAAGCCAATGAAGGATTACATTGATCTCTATCCACAGACAAAGAAACCGTCGGTGAGAGATTTCGCCGGGAGTTTCTTTTCGGCTGCCTCTGTTTTCAGCAAGAAGCTTCAGAAATGGAGGCAGAAGCAGAAGGCAAAGAAGCCGAGAGCCAACGGAGTCGACGGAGGACGGCCACATTTGCCGGTAGATAAGGCGACTAGGAGACAGCTTAGGGATACACAGTCCGAAATCGCTGATTACGGGTTTGGCCGGAGATCCAGCGACACTGACCCGAGATTCTCCCTTGACGCCGGGAGGTTTTCCGTTGATATCGGTCGGATTTCGCTGGACGACTCTCGTTACTCGATAGACGAGCCAAGAGCGTCGTGCGATGGGCAATTAATCGGCAGGATGGCTTTACCACCGGCGGCTAGGGTTCCTCCGCCGCCATCGATGCTATCAGTGGTGGAAAACGCGCCAATTCATCGATCAGACATGCAGATTCCAGTGGAAGATCCTTCGGCTCCGTCAATTGTTCCCATTAACGGTGAATCCGATCCGATTGTCATCATCCCAGGCGGATCGAATCAAACCCGAGACTACTACACGGGACCTCCGTCACGAAGGCGGAAGAGCTTCGACAGATCCAATTCGATTAAAAAAACCGTTGCGACGGAGATGGACGAGGTCAAATCGGCGTCGAATGCGAAGGTGTCTCCGGCGATAACAATAGACTCGAATTTGAGAAGTGTGAGAGACGAATGCTCCATGGAAACAGCGGAGAACAGAGGGAATCAAAACGGCGATAAGAAATCGAAACGGTGGGGAAAATGGAGCATTTTCGGTTTAATATACAGGAAGGGTGTTAGCAAAGACGAGGAAGAAGATAGATGTAGCAGATCAAACAGCACCGGGATGGTCGAAAGGTGTGTATCGGAATCATGGTCGGAGATGAGGAATGGAGGAGGAGGAGGACCGAAGATGAGGAGAAGTAACAGCAATGTGAGCTGGCGGAGCTCCGGCGAAGGATCGGCGAGGAACAAGAGTTGGAGATACTCGCCTAAGGATGGAGATAACGGAATGTTGAGGTTTTATTTGACTCCGAAGAGGAGTAGCTGGAGAACAGGCGGTGGTGGCGGCGGAGGAGGTGGTGGTGGGTGGGAGAAGACGGCGGCTAAGGCCAATAGTCACGGCCACTCAATAGCGAGGAGGGTTATGAGGCTGTATTGACCAAATTGTCCCTCTTTGTTTTAATTTGATTGGGGGAAGGTTTTGGTTTTGGGTAACTTATTTTAATCTTACTGAATTGCCTATCTAACTAGACCGGAGTAATCCGGATGATGTCGGACCAATTTGAAATCGGTTTATTTTCCTTGTTAAAAACCGAGATACTGTATTAAGCGTCTATCAAAACCTAAACAAACAGTTAGCATCAATTTTGGATAATTCTCACTCCGCCGCCGTCTTCCACCGCATTCTCCGACGCAAATGCTGACTTTTGCTTCGAGTTGATTCGTTGCAGTAATGTAAGCACGACGAAGAAAATCTGGATCTTATAGAGCATGCTGCAAAAACTGGAATTTTGGGTGAAGCTTTGGAAGTGTTTGACGAAATGTCTGAAAGAGAGGTTGCATTACAGTATAGGAGAGATGCTTAGTAGGCAATGTAATTCTGTTGGAGAACTCATAAGTTAACCAAAGTGTCAAGAAGATCTTCTCGCAAGTTACAACATGATGATTAGTCCTTGGATCTATGGCCAGCTTAGCGTTTTAAACTTTCTTGCTTGAGGTATAAAGATCAATTTACAAATTCTGTTTTAAGTGTTGCGATTTTATGTATTGTGGGTTCTAAGTTGCTAATTCTTCTCCAGAATAGAAGTCTTTTGAAGATCTGAAAGAAGAAATGAGGAACACTACAAGCATGGACTCCCATCACTCTAGTTGTCAAGGCTGGATTGTGACTAATTGTAACTCGAGATCACACATTGTATGTCGAGACGAATCAGGTGAGTTTAACGATTATCATCTTTATAATGTACTGTATATCAAGTTGCATTAGTATCTTCTCCTTATATCAGCAACTAGCTAGTCTGAGTTTGAGACCTTTAGTGTCTGTATTATCAAGAGTGCTTTATTATTTACTTGAAAGAAGACATGTACGATTTGAGTAGGTTTTCTGAGTGAGCATCTTGGTGACACACATTGGTCTTGGTGGTTTGAGTAAACATCACCAAGGTCTGTTGTTGTATGATGCAAAAGCAAACGTAGAAGTAACTTGACATATCAAGCCCAAGTGTTAAGTCTCAAACTTGGGTCTATTAATCAAGTTATATGATTTGACCGCCTTAGTCTCATATATTTGCCGCCATTTCCATATATTTGCTTCTTCGTCTGATAACTGGTCCTGGATTTTCTCCTTAAAAATCAAACAACTTGTTATCATAAACCTTTATCTCTAATCTGTTAAATCCTGCAGGTTCCTTGAAAGGCTGTAGAATTCACTTGATCAGAGACTCATCACCTATGAAGTAAAGCTAAAGCAAGTGGTATTGTGCAAGTTGCAATCAAAGAAACCAAGGTCAGAGACTGGAACAAGAAAATCTACTTTTCTTGATATAGTTTCAGCATAGAATCATAACAGAGGTTTTATATATGTTCTTACTAATGACTGATAATAGATGAGTTACGAGAAATCAGTATGGTCTTTGTTTATAAATAGCAGGAAAAAATTATCGTAAAAATGTTAAATAAGTCGAAAGGAGGAAGATTATTAAACAGAGCGAAACAAGAAAAAATAATAATCCCAGATTTCTTTCTCTATAACATATTGCAGACGTCGTGCCGTTTCCGTAATCTCAGAGTGCATGCCCCGTCGCTTTCTTGTAAGTGTACCACTTAGCGATCCAAAGGTAGACGACGAAATTCAAGAAACTCAAAACAGCCAACAACCAATAAAAGTAATCAAGATGGCCTCTGTTCAGGTTATCCGCGATCCAGCCAGGTCTTCCACCGGAGGTCGTCACTTTCGTAACCACCGTCACGAGCAACGTGCTCAAATAGTTCCCTAACGCGACAGTCGTCAGCGCCAAGGCCGAGCAAAGACTCCTCATAGCATCAGGAGCTTGGTCGTAGAAGAAATCGAGCTGACCTATGAACGTGAACACCTCAGCGCAACCGACGAAGAAATACTGAGGAACTTGCCAGAAAATCGATATCGGAACGAACTCCGCATCGTATAGATTGTGTTCTCCGACGTATCTCAACCTTGCGACCTCGAGGATCCCGGCGGAGATCATAGAGAAGATAGAGATCAAAAGTCCGGTTCCGATTCGCTGAAGCTGCGTGAAGCCACGGTCGTGACCTGTGAATTTCCTTGCGAGCGGGACGATAAGCTGGTCGTAGACTGGTGTCCAGAAGAGCACACTGAGTATGTCGAACAAGGAGAGTGACGCGGATGGGATTGTGAAGTTAGGTCCCATGCGTCTGTCCATTGTGTTGCCTTGTAGCACAAACATTGTGCTCATTTGGCTGTAAACCGCAGCGAAGACGATCCCTGAGGCCCATACCGGTAACAGACGGATCAGTGCTTTGAGCTCTTCCACTTGTGTCACTGTACACAGCTTCCACGCTGACTTAGGAGCTCCTTCTTTTGTGTCAGTCTCTGTCTCCACTGCTGCTTTGTCGAAGAATCTGTAAATGGTTTTTAAAGTTGATCAAAAGTGAAAACAGAGTGAAACTAATATGAGTGTTAGCAGCTAAACATACGTTAGTTTTGGGGTGTGGTCGAGCTTGCGGCTTCCTTGGATACTGCTTTCGGCGTCATGAATCTCGTAGAGAAGAGAAGCGTCTTCAGGGAGACTCACTTTGGATTTTCTGCAAGAAGCAACCATGACTTGAAGCATTCTTGTGATGGGACTTCCTCCTGGTTTCTGAAGCCTATAGAACTTGCTTCCGGCGAAGAAGAATACGACGGCGATGGCCATTGCCACGGTGGGGACCCCGAAGCCCCAGCCCCAGCCGACGTTCATCTGAATCCAGACGAGAACAGAGGAAGCGACCATGGCACCAACGTTGATGACAAAGTAGAACCAGTTGAAGAAAGAGCTCTTGGACTCTTTCTCCACTTCGTCCGTGTCATCAAACTGGTCAGCACCGAAGGAGGAGACGCAAGGCTTGATCCCTCCTGTCCCGAGTGCGATCAAGTAGAGCGCTATGAACGTGAAGGCGGTTTGGCCCTCGGTTGCGTGGCAATCTTCTCCGTTGCAGGCTGGTGTTAGACCAGGAACCGATGCTGATAACGTCAGTAGTGTCATTCCCTAAAACAGAGGAAAGCAACGAATTTTCAAGATTCTTTCTTTTTTACTTTCAGATAAAAGCAATCTATCATGTTTAAGATATGATGAGTTACGCTAATGTAGACGATGACGAAGGAAGCGATGGTCCAGTAACGACCGAGATAAGCATCGGCGAGAAAAGCACCGATGAGAGGAGTGGCGTAACATGTTCCGGCCCAGTTTGTGACACTGTTGGAAGCAGCGACTGTTCCCATACTCAGATGTTTCTCGATATAATTCACCAGATTTGTACTCATTCCATAGTATGCCAGTCTTTCACAACACTCAGTTCCTGCCATTTTCAGAACACACAAACAAATAAATCAAATCAAAACTCAGATACCATCCAAAAAGATTTTGACGGTTTGCTGGTACCATACCAAGAATGAATCTGCAAGCTTTCCAGTTTCCTGTTGTCTTCTTGTTTGCTGGTTTCTTTTGAATGTCAAGAGTTCCGTCTTGTGTGTATAATGAATCCATGTCCTCTTTCGTCATCGTCATCTTCAACAAGTTTCAACCAGTTTGCAGCCTGAGTGAGCAAACAAGATCATTTAAAAAAAAAAAGGTTTTTATGAAAGGAAATTCAAGGACAAGACTACAATGTTAAAATCTAGAGAGAAATTCTAGCGATTTGATTTATTGGAATTATATTAGAATCTGTCAAATCACACCACGCGAACTAAGCGAAGGAAAGGGGGAAAAAATCAGACTTCTTTGCCACGTATCATCACACACACGAACACATTCTATAAGTACGGAATCGAAATAAAAAACACAGACTTTTGTCGAGATATTTGTGGATCTGAGCATTTTGAAAACACTCTCGCAAATTTTGTTTTGATACAAAAATAAAACTACGCCTGAGTATGAGAAGAATACATTACCGTACAGTTTTATTACAATCGCTCTTTTCAGACCAAAATTGTTCTATAAACTCAGATCGAGAATCGAATATCCGAATTAATCCCCGAAAAAAGCTAATCAGAATAATTCACATGGGAACAAAAATTCCTAATCAGAACGGAGAGAAATTATTTATCGTTGGAAAGATCCGTACGTACTTATTACCGTAAAATGTTTTAAGGAAAACACGATAGAGGAAGCGACCGAAAATCGAATTATCCGGCGAAGGTGGCTGGCTGTGTTGCCGTGATTACGCCTACGCGGTGGTATGACAGTTGAGGTAGATAGTTTGTGGGGGAGCTTGAGCGTTTGTTTTGCGCCGTGTGGTATTTATAACACACTGACTAGTGAACAGAATCACCTTTCGTCTTTTTACCATTTACGTCCTTCGTGTTTATCATTTTATCGAATCTTTTTGTATATTTATTGACATTGTAGAATTTGACTTAACTTTTTAGTTTTGATAACAGATACGAAAACTTATTTTTAGCTTTATTTCAACATCTGTCTTCATCTACTTAATAATATCAAAATGTAACAAACTTATCTTATTCATAAGAAAAATGTAATTTATGGAAGTAAATCCATAAACGATAAAATAATAAAAGCATGCAAATATGAATCATTTAAATAAAATCTCATCAAGCACAAGCAGCAGATTCTTAACAAACCTCTCTGTGAATCTTTTTTAATTTCTAAGCCTTCTAGTATAATATTTTTGTTTAGGTAGTTTTATTAGTCAATAGTCAACATTTAGGAAAAATAAATAAAAAGCTTACACAAGACTCTCAAGATAAATATCACAGGAGGCTGAAGTAACAAACGTTCCACACAAGCGAAGTGTCAATATGATTTGCGGAACCAATAATCTCGATATCAAAACGGAGTTAAAGATTGAATGTTATAGTGCTTACTTGTTTGAAAATTTGATGCACACGAATTAGCTGTACCTAATTAGGATCCTATTAGTGAACATTTAGAGTAAACAATAAATTCAGGAAAAAGAACGTGTCTTCTTTATAAAGTGGGTTTTTTTTGCAACAAAAGTGAAGGGAAGGGAAATAATGTTTTCTCAAGCTCTCAGCAAAATAAATCTAACATGAGGGGTCTTTTAGCAAATGTTTTCACTTCTTTCGATGATATATTATCCACGAATGGGGAATGTTATCATCAATTTATTGACCAATGTTGTTGTATTTTTTTGTCAAACCAAGTAGGGGGAAGAATACGGGGTGATATGAACGTATTTGGTAGGATTTTGTGTCTAAGTACATTAGTTTTGTAAACTGGTACAGAAAACGGTTAGCCTCGATCTTGTTTGTATATAACTCTCGCTCACAGTCACGTTACATTTTTCTCTAATTAATCAGAATGACATTATTTAGTGAAAGAAATTTTGAGCCTAGAGTATTGTTAAAATGGTTCCTTTAACCAAACGAAGAAGTATTCTTAAGTGGTTCGTAGGTTGGCCCATAGTGACAAATGGGTGTAGTTTTTTTTTTTTTTTGGTCAAAACAAATGGGTGTAGTTAAACGCAATTTCTGCAATGGTTTATCATTTGAATTTTGGCCCAGACGCAACAACCGAAAAAATATTGCCATTTTAAAACAAAACAAAAATATGTTGACAATAACAAAAAAAAACAAAAGAAAATATTTATTTATTTTGAAGCGATATAAGTGAATCCACTAATCTTTAGCCACAGAGAGAAAAAACCGTCGCACTCAGAAATAGGTTGACTACTTTTAATTCCTGACCAAACGAATTAGTTCGGTTATTTGCTTCCCAACAAATATAATCATTTTCTGTTAGATGCTATCCTCCAATAAGTCTTGAAAGCTATTTCTCAACCAGCTTTCATTATATTTTGTCGAGAAAATAAGGGTTTAAGAATATATTACATTTATTAGTCGAAGTTTTATACTAGTTACATTACACGTTACCAAAATATGTCAATATGAACCTTTGTTACATTTGATAATTGAGAGTATTATTGTCATGGTTTATATTCTTTCATCGTTTCATATGCAACACTTGTAGAGTATGTTTGAAGATAAATAAGCATTATTTGATCTGGATCATACATAAATTACAAAATTGGAACATAAAAAAACAAAGCTTTGAGAAGATTGTAAGAAAAAACATGAAAAGAATATCCAACCTACGCTTAGGTTCCAACCCACAAAGAGAAAAAAACAAAAACTTTCCCTCTAAGCTTTCGAGCTCTAACTTCACCAAACTGACGAAGCACAAGAACCCAACATTTGCATCTTTATAAGCCAATGATCATGAATCATTTTCAAATCACAAAAAGAAAGAGAGAAAGTAGAGAAATCAATAGAAACATCCAAAGAGGAAAGTTTTACTACAATCAAAGATAAAAAGGGCAAGAAAAATGGAATTTCCCGTCCGAGTTTTGGTTCTTTTTGCATTGCTCGCCTTTCCGGCATGCGTCCACGGTGCTATCCGCAAGTATACGTTTAATGTAAGTCCACATTAATGTTGTGTTCATACTTGCATTATGGTCTCACCGCAGATTATTTCATTCATTTTGGGTTTAAATTCAGAAATGAGGGTGTTGGATGTGAGTTTCTTTAATAAAAGTAGTTAAACGTAATTTATCTAAAATTTCAGGTGGTAACGAAGCAAGTGACGCGGCTTTGCTCCACGAAACAGATTGTTACCGTTAACGGTAAATTTCCGGGACCCACAATCTACGCCAATGAGGACGACACAGTTCTCGTTAACGTCGTTAATAACGTCAAGTATAACGTTTCTATTCATTGGTGAGTACCCTCATGTTTTGAAATTCACACTTTCCTCCCCTACAGTTTCGAAACTCTCCAAAATGGAACTAAACTTTATTTATTTCTTTGTTTTGCAGGCATGGAATTAGACAGCTAAGAACCGGTTGGGCCGATGGACCAGCCTACATAACCCAATGCCCAATTAAACCGGGTCACAGCTACGTTTATAACTTCACGGTCACGGGTCAGCGTGGCACGCTCTGGTGGCACGCACATATTCTCTGGCTCCGAGCTACGGTTCATGGTGCTATCGTGATTCTGCCTAAACCGGGTCTACCTTACCCGTTCCCTAAACCACACAGAGAAGAAGTCATCATACTAGGTATAAAATCAAGAGAGAGAATTACAAACAAACAAAGAAAGTTGTTCTAAATTTTAATTTGGTTGATAATCTGGAATTTATGGTTTAGGTGAATGGTGGAAATCCGATACCGAAATGGTTGCTAATGAAGCTTTAAAATCCGGTTTAGCACCTAATATCTCAGATGCTCACGTCATTAACGGTCATCCCGGTCTCGTCCCAAACTGCCCATCGCAAGGTATTTAATCCGGTTTTCCATCAATTCGAATTTGTATGATTAATTTCTTGCTATCATCTAAATACTATATACTTTGATGTTGAATAAATAAAGGTGATTTTAAATTAGCGGTGGAAAGCGGGAAAACATACATGCTACGACTTATAAACGCGGCAATGAACGAAGAGCTCTTCTTCAAGATCGCCGGCCACCGTTTCACCGTCGTGGAAGTTGACGCCGTATACGTAAAGCCTTTCACCACCGACACGATCTTAATCGCCCCCGGTCAAACCACCACCGCCTTAGTCTCCGCCGTCCGTCCTTCAGGTCAATACCTAATCGCCGCCGCTCCTTTCCAAGACTCCGCCGTCGTCGCCGTAGACAATCGCACCGCCACCGCAACCGTTCATTACTCCGGCACACACTCTGCCGCACCCACCAAAACCACTTCGCCGCCGCCTCAGAACGCCACCTCCATCGCAAACTCGTTCGTTAATTCCCTCCGGAGTCTCAACTCAGTCACGTATCCGGCTAAAGTTCCGATCACCGTCGATCACGATCTACTATTCACCGTCGGATTAGGAATCAATCGCTGCCACAGTTGCAAAGTCGGAAACTTTTCACGTGTCGTCGCCGCCATAAACAACATTACATTCAAGATGCCAACAACGGCTCTGCTTCAAGCACATTACTTCAACCTAACCGGAATCTATACGACCGATTTTCCTGCTAAACCGAGACACATTTTCGATTTTACCGGAAAACCGCCTTCGAATTTAGCAACCATGAAGGCCACGAAGCTTTACAAGCTTCCGTACAATTCGACAGTGCAGGTTGTCTTGCAGGATACCGGAAATGTTGCGCCGGAAAACCATCCGATCCATCTCCATGGATTTAATTTCTTTGTGGTTGGTCTTGGAACTGGGAACTTTAATTCCAAGAAAGATTCTAAGAACTTTAATCTTGTTGATCCGGTGGAGAGGAACACCGTCGGAGTACCTTCCGGTGGTTGGGCGGCGATCAGATTCCGAGCAGATAATCCAGGTAAATATCTAACTAATCTAATCATATAAACAAAAAAAAAACAAACCACCAAAGTTTGTTTCGGTTATCTTGTTCATTAACCGAACAAACCAACCCAGACTATAACCGATTTTATTATATGTGGTTGCAGGGGTTTGGTTTATGCATTGCCATTTAGAGGTACACACAACATGGGGACTAAAGATGGCTTTCTTGGTGGAGAATGGCAAAGGCCCAAACCAATCAGTGCTTCCTCCTCCAAGCGACCTTCCCAAATGTTGATACTCACATTATTTTTTGAATCAGCCAATTCTTTTCTTGACATTTGTATGTATGCTCAAGCAAACTGTCAATAAAGTCACTTTATGATTGCGTTACGCTTTAATGAAAGGTCGACAATAAACAATTAAACACCCTTTCTCGACTCACCAAATTTGTTTTTGTTATAGGCTTATAGCCGAAAATTTGAGGAATTTTGATTGATACATAGTTTATCCTATATTTTGGACTAGTTGGTACTTGGTAGTAATATTCGTTAGTAAGTAAGAAAAAATCACGTTTCTAACTTCTAGCTTATGCAAATATCACCTAACAGTTTGACGTGTCAACTCGTCATAGGATAACATGAGTAAATAAAAATAAACAAAAAAGTTATTTAAAAAAAAAATCGTTATCAACGCAGAATTTATCGGTCGTTGAATTTGATAGAGTTGGTGCAATGTCACATTTCCAATATTGAGAAATGGGAAAGAGGGAGAAAAAAAACTCCTAATAATAGCGATGGAAACGAAATAAAATGAAGCAAGAGTAAGAAATTTGACAGAAAAGGGATTGTTTACTAATTATAGTAAGGGAATCTTCCCAAATATAGAATCCAAGAAGAAGTCGCTCTCTGTCGAACAGAAACTTGTGTCTGCTACAAATCAGCAGACGACAATTACATTTTATGCTTCAGAATTGTGTGTTGTACTGTTGTTCCATGCATGTGACACCTTAAATTTTGTGTTGGATTCCTTTTGTTGTCCCTACCATATTTTATCATTCCTAATATATGTAGCTATCTTTGTTTTTTGTATTTCCTTAAATCCCACTAAGTAATTACCCAAATTTGATTTAGATTAAGTTTTGAGAAACTCGTGTACCGTGAAGTAAGTTGTTTAGCGTGGCAATGTAAACCGTGTAATTACGATAGTTCGATCTCATGTATCATATGTAAGTAGATATTATTTTCAGGTTTGTTTTTTTTTAGTAGTTTTTGAAAGAAAAAAAATAAAGACATGAGTCTCTGAAGATATTACGACTGTTGGTTATAATAATTGGCTGCAGTGCCTTATACTTTTCCCAATTTGAATTACATAATTGGCTAGAAGTGGAGATACAGTGACTAGCGTCCACATGAGGTGGTGAGATATTAACATACAGACTTTTTACGACATGAAAGCAACCAACACATAAATTCTTCATAATGTATAACAAAAAAAATGATATTAAACCTTGAAAGACTATATAAAAATAGCTTTGGTTACATGCCACTCACAGCTGTGTTCCGAGATTCTTTTGAAATCCTTTTTTAAGTTTTGTTCAACACCTAACCCATCTGTACAACAATTCCATAGATATTGTTTATTCTATGAATTAATAGTATATTGGATAGCATACTTCCGAAACCCCTAGCTCGTTTGATTCACATATTTTCATTCGTTAGGATAACTTCTAAAATTGATAATGTCTGGTCAAGTTAGTTTTAATTTAACCAAGAAGGCTTGTTTCTGCTTGATGAAAAATTGAAAACTAAGAAGGTTTTATAAAGATGGACATACTTCGATTAACGTTAAAATCAGGGGTGGACGCAGGAATATATTTAACATGGGGCACAAAAGTAACAAAATAATCTAACCCAAAAAAAAAATTAGTAACAACAAAATTCTATGATCAAACTCCAAAATTATAAATAAAAATGATAAAATCTCACTAAAAAATAATGTGAAGGCAAAGAAGTGTGATATATTCAGCTTTTAGAAAATAATAAAAATTAGAAAATTTAGGAAAATACGTTTATGTTCCTGTTTATGGAATATGAACAAATTAATTAGAAAAATAAATGTTCTAATATAGTTTTTTCTTGTTTTAGATTATGTTTAGGCTGGACACTAATTAAGTAATTATTATTGTTAACTGGGCTAAACACTTTTTGTTTGTTATTGAATTGGAGCACTTTTTGTTATTTTCAGTTGGGCTGGGGCACTTTCTTTGATTTTTGCACTTATAAAAATTATAAGTAAAGAATATTTCTAAAATTTAATGAAAATCATTAGGAAAAAAAATAAAAGAGCATGTGGCACTTGCCACACCCCTCTTGTACGTGCGTCCGCCCCTGGTTAAAATAGTGTCGTCGTTTTAACGATCACGGTCACAAACGAAACCAGTTCCTTAGGCTAAATATTTCAAATGTGGACTATTCCAACTTATCTTTGTATATTTGTTTAATATTGAATGGGCTAATTAGTGTTGACAACAAAAAATGGGCTAATTAGTTAAATATTTTTCGATTAAACAACGAATTAAGAACCGGCCAAACCATTGAACTGTCGTTTTCTGGTCTTTTTCATTTGATTGGTTAACCCTTCTTTGTCAAAACAATGTTACACTTTCTTTCGCAAATCGACACGTGCATTTGGTTAGTCTAATCCCATATCAATTTCTATTGTGAGTTTTACAGAGAAAAAAAAACACCATATAAAAAACAGTTACCAAGGACGGAGTTGTCATATGCTTATTGGCCAGCTTAGATTACAACTAGCCAATAGATTACAAGCAAAATAAAAGTATTAATGATTTTAACATTTAAAAAACAAAAGCTGGTTAAATAAAAATATCTAACTTTTTTACAATACCTTTTCTCGTCGGTTGTAGTGTGTATTCTGATATTCTCCGATTGATCATCACGTGAATTACATAAGAAAACAAATAATTAAAAGCACAACCCACTTTTTATTTTTCGTTTACGACCAAGATATCCACTTTATTCTCTGTTTCATTTTCTCTTTGTAATAATTTCATCGCGAAAATCCTAATTTTTCCTTCTTTTTCTCGCTCACTCCATACTGCAAACAGTCAATCATAGAGCCATTGATTCTCTTCTTCTCTCTCGTCTCCTCTCTGTTTTTTATATTCTTCTAGATTCCAAAGCTTTAGTGAAAACAGAGGAGGAGCTAGCTAGCGATGTCATCGACGAACGGAGGTTTCGGGTTCTTTTCACCGGATAACACAAACTTGTTTTACCGAGAAGCCACGTGGACGGTGGAGGAAAACAAACGGTTCGAGAAAGCTCTCGCCTTTCAAGACGACAAAGACAATCTCGAGAGCTGGATCAAGATCGCCGATTCCATCCCCGGCAAAACCGTCGTTGACGTCCTTAGACGTTACAAGGAGCTAGAGGATGACGTCAGCGACATCGAGGCCGGACTTATCCCCATTCCGGGATACAGCAGCGACGCCTCCTCCGGAACCGCCGGTGAATACTTCTTTGGGCTAGACAACTCTGACTACGGCTACGGTTATGATTACGTCAGAGGAGGAAAGAGGAGTTCGCCGGCCACAAATGATTGCTTTAGGCCACCGATGCCGGAAAAGGAGAGGAAGAAAGGAGTTCCGTGGACTGAGGAAGAACACCGGTATAACTATTCTTACTATCGGTCAAACTGTGAAGTTAATAAAAAAATCAGTTAATTGAATATTTTATTTTATTCTTGAAATTCTTATGATCGGATTATTTATTTTGTATGAAGTTGGTAAAATATATAACAAAAAATTACGAACTCTACTGGTTTTTGTTTTGTCAGTAAAACATACTGTCAGTATTTCAAAAATATTTACTTGATATTCTTTAGCTTATGTTAAGTTGTTGTTTTTTTGTGCGAATCTTATGTTAAGTTAATTAAATATATTTTGGCAGGCGATTTCTAATGGGTCTGAAGAAATATGGAAAAGGAGATTGGAGAAACATAGCAAGAAATTTTGTGACGACTCGAACGCCGACGCAAGTCGCTTCCCACGCTCAGAAATATTTCATTCGGCAGCTCACCGATTGTAAAGACAAACGCCGATCAAGCATTCACGACATCACAACCGTTAACGTCTCCGACGCAAACGCATCAACAACCGCCCCCGCAACACTCTCTCCTACTCAAACCAATTCTTTTGACGTTTTCCTCCCTCCAAAGCCTTATCATAGTTTCGCGTTTGCGTCTGCGTCTAGTTTTTGCAACGCGTTTCCGCAGTGGAGTTAAAGAAATCATATAGAGCTTCTAGAGTTTGTCTCATAAACTGTTATAATTGTTTCTACGTACATATATATATATCTATAAAATTGATGCAGGTTTGTTGTAAATATGTTGTAAGAAAATTGAAAGTTTGTGTGATTATGCAGATCCATATATTATATATTAGGTTCGGTTGATTGTAGATTTCAGTTGAACACGTCTACATTACCAATATGTGACTAATTACATATACACGGTTTGTTTATACTTTAATAATCGTGTATTATAATGTTATTAAGGTTCGTTGACATTAATGTCAATGCTTGATAGAAGTAGCTTTTCTTCCCGACAACATAGGAATAGGATTAGTTCGAATCAGCATCTAATTCAGCTTTCTACTGTTCGAAATTAAAGTAACCTGGCGAAGTATCTGACTATATTCTTCTTCCTTTTTTTCTAACCAAAAAGGAAAAGACTAGTGAACAGTGTTTGCTTGTGTAAGCCCAAAGGAGAAAAAAATACTCTATGCTTACTCAACTATGGCCCAATAAGAGCCCGTAACGTTAAAAGTTGAAAAGCAAGAGAAATAAAGCTGTTATGAAAACCTGGAGGCATATTTTCAAATTGCAACCAATCGTAGAGAGTCGAAATTACGACTTCCATCGCCGCACGTAGCACGTAAATCTAATCAAAGATATAAACTGGATTAGATCAAGTACACTTCATTCAACACAAGAAGTTAATTAGAAACCCGTGCAAAGACATGCATTTGCAATTGCATGTATAGCGAGAAAAATATGATGATTTACGACTTTAAGTATCAACATATTAAATGTATACTATAAGTTAGTAGAACAAACACAAGTTAGTAGTCATGCGCGCGGATCCAGCGAAAGAGATTGTGGCCGCCTTTGTTGTGTGGATTGTTATGGGTGTCACCGTGCACTAACCCCGATTGTAAAATAGACAGGCACTTGTATTTTGTATGTATAAGAAAGTGCTATAATAAGATATTGTTTTTAATTACGAATGTTTACAAAATAGCTTATTAGAAAAAAGATCATATAAACATGTATGGGTAGGGTTGTAAATTCAACTTCCAACAGGTATTGTCGGGATAGGATTTAAGGGAGAGCAACAAAGTAACAAATAATAAAGCTTAGCTTCAAGCTGGTTTCAAACAAGACATGTTCCTTGTACCAACTACCAATTCGTGTTGTTTTTTATTCAAGCTGGTTCTAAGGGTACTTTCGTCGTTGTGATAGCAATCTCCATCACGTATGACGTGGCTTCCGCATCGGATGATTCGTTTTTAGTTATAACCTCCCAAAATAATTTACAACATCAATAACATTTAATTATTGTGTACCTGATTATGCTTTAAATAATTAGCATGTTGTGCGGTAGACGTAGATTAGACTCGGAGTCACACTCTCCCGCAGACAATTATGCATTTAACATCATCACATACAAATTAAAAATACATCAATGATTTATAAAAATTTAGAAAAATACTCAAATTTATTAATGATTAAAAAGGTCCAATCTTATTATTCTGACTAGAGTTTTGCAGTGTCTTAGTTGGAAAACGAAAAGACATGAAATAATTTTAGTATTATATGTGGAATTTTTTTTAACAAAAACAAAATATAGGTGGAAAAATACTACGAATGAATGTCACCATCAATACGAATGAATGCCTACATACACATGTACCATGTACTTGATTAGTGGAGATTATGGGGTCACATTCTCACATGCATGTATTTTGGGTCGTGTTAATGATGAGCATGACATTAAAGAATTAAGTTGGTGTAAAATCGATACTGATTAATTAATCAAAAAGTCTATGTATTTCTCACTCGAAAAATATCCGATTAGTGGGAAGTTAAAAAGTATTAATTCCTACCACACTATATTGCATCCTCACCGATTGAAATTTTACTAAAAAATATCGAGTAATATATATATATGAACAATATTGAATTCACAATCAGTGAAGTGTATGTCATTACGTGCAGAAAACTTCGAAATCTTTCTCGAAAGACTTGTCGTTGGATGAGATAATTAAAACCGATGCGATATATATCGATCATGTAACTCTCCGACTGTTTATAGTCGGGAGTTTCACATATTTTTACATATTTTTATAGAGCAAGGAAAGTGATTTTAAACTGTCCCTACCATAGTAATATTGGGAAAATTTGGCAAAGCACTGAGTTTTGCTAGATTTTATAGATGCATTGAACATGCTTCTTATTAACACAGTTGACTCTTTTTTCCACCATTCACTTTTTCTGTAATATAATAAATATCCAATACAGGTATGAACAGTATACAGTGAACAATCCACTCTGAAACGATAAAGGCTTTTTTTGCAAATGATAAATTAGAGCACATCATATATTTTCTAGAGTAAAACAACGTCGTTCCATACTTCAGTAGTCATATTCAGAACAAAATGTTATATCAAGTATGATATCCGGACCAAAGACCAAACGAACAACCTATGAAAGAGAAGAAAAAAAGAAATTGGAATCCGAGTTTTAAAATTTCAGATTGTTTATGTGTAGAATTATGGGCGAGAAAAGGGTTCACTTTGCAGTTTTCTAAACCATATGAGATTTGGATGTATGATTTCCTTAGTGAAACGAAAAAAAAAAATTGTCGACCTAGTGGACTACCCATAGGCCATATGGTGTAATCGGTGGGGTAACTTTATCTAGAGCTTTATAATACGACCGCAAAAGTGGAAGATGTTGCAATTCTCCATTTTTGTTTCTTTCAAGTTTCTGGAGTTGCGCATCTTTCTATTAACAATCTGTTTTCTACTAAAACAGGTTTATGTTACCAGAATATTTGATTTATTTATATAAAATATATCTAAATGGAAATAAAGAGTATTATCAAAGTGTGCAACATATTGACACATGCCCAAATTACGATCGCTGTTTGATCATAATAGTATAGGATCAATCATTTTACTCATTGTTTTTGTTGTTCGTTATATTCGCTAATCATTATGAATAACCATATGAAGTGATTCTAAACTAATTGCTGTCAGAAGCGAATCAGACTCGAGAATAAGCAATGATTAATGAGAAAAAATAGTTTTTTTTTTTAAATGCAGTTGAATTGTTTTTTTTTCCTTAAAATCAATAATTGTTACAATTATAGTATTTGGAATTTTCAAAAGCAATTTATTTTATCGTAGCTGGGGAATGAATTACTAATGATCATGTTTCATGTTATTTAGCTTAGTAAAGGAACATATGATAATGATCGGGTCATCAGATGCTATTGCTCTTTGAAATGACTAACTAGAATCAATGCGAAAGACCCAGCGCATTTTATGTCACATTATACTACATATTAACCGCGTACATTCATCGCATATTATTTCTCTATGTTATTTTACTGCTAACTTTCATTTCATGTCTTTCTTGGCTGAGAAGACATTATGCATATCGAAATCGAATTCTTTTGATAGTGCGTAGCATAGAAGTTAATGGAAAGTATCAAATTCTAAAATTCACTCCACATTAATTTGAAAATGAAAAGGGGTGATTTCAATCTGTGTATAAAACCTTAAAATATTGTATACTTGATATACAGGAAATACTAGTTTTTCTATTCAACTCACAGATTACTCAGTATTTAGTAACCAGTTCGATAAATATCTACAAGAAAACACTTAACAAGAAAGATAGAGAATAAACATAACCATTTATTTTATATATTGTCACCGAACAAAAGAGAGCTTATGTTCCCCGTACAATTAATCTTGGGATCTAAAACAAGTGAAAAAAGGCAGACCTCTTTATTTTCCTATGAGATTTGTATTGTCAGAAGATTATATTTTTTTCAGCCCATTAAATTTATGTTTTCAGTAAAAGAAGAAAAAACAACTGGCCAATAAAAAAAGAAATAAAAACAGAAGAGTAGGTCTTAACGTTCCATCTGTTTTCTGTGGAGGCTATCTGTCCTTTCTTCTCCTTCCGACCAAGCACGTCCTCTTCGTCTTTTATTTTCATTTATTTTTAATACATGGAGTATTCACAATACATATTATTTTATTGGAATTAAAAAAAAAAATTTAGTTACAAGTTGACAAATTACCGTATATCGTCTATATTCACATAATAATTCAAAGTATATGTGCAATTTTGCTTTAAAACAGTTAGTTCCTTATTTGTTAAATCGGTTTCGAAATGTTACATTAGAAAGAAAAGAAAAAATATTCCTTCTCAAACAATACATGTGAGACTTGAACTCACGAGTGTGCTCTTGAAACTGGCCAAAGCTAGAGCTACCACAAATTTATAAAAATAGTTATATGAGATACACACTTCCCGCTTATTTTCTACCATATATTTACGTTTTCATAAACTTTGTTGATTTATATACAAAAAAAATATGTAAACATGGTCACATGGACACCGATTTATACAACTTAATCGGCTCTAAAGTGTATAAATTTGTGTTTTACTAAGCCATGGAGGTAAAATTGTGTGATTGATATAATGTTAATCATGTTAATGATATGAATATCACAAAAATTTACTTATAATTTTGTACAAATCGTTTATGATTATAGCCAAAGACCAACATTTCCCTATATACATGGAGAAATAAAGAAAAATATATTAAAAAATTCAAATAGCAAGACAAAAATAGTAACCACTCAAGTTCATGAATCCAACCATTGCTCCGACGACTATATAAACCCCACTTCCTCCATAACTCTACTCACCGATACGACAATTAGCCATAACTCCCAAAATCCATATCCTCTCTTATCTTTTACTTTTAAAATAATTAAAAAATGCCTTCATGTTCAGTAACAGAAATCTCGAAATGCATTGTATATCCGGAGAAGAAGTCCACCGTCTCCGATCTCCGTCTCTCCGTCTCCGATCTCCCTATGCTCTCATGCCACTACATTCAAAAAGGCGTGCTCCTCACTCGCCCTCCTCCCTCGTTCTCCTTCGACGACCTTGTCTCTTCTCTCCGCCGCTCTCTTTCCTCCACTCTTTCTCTCTTCCCTGCTTTAGCCGGCCGTTTCACCACCAGCCCCGCCGGTCACATTTACATAACCTGCAACGACGCCGGAGTTGAATTCGTCGCCGCTTCCGCTAAACACGTCACCGTCTCCGACGTTCTCTCTCCCGGCAAAGACGTTCCTCTTCTCGTCCGTGAGTTTTTCGTGTTCGAGCGTCTTGTTAGCTATAACGGCCACCACAAGCCTCTAGCCGCCGTACAAGTGACGGAGTTAGACGACGGTGTATTCGTCGGATGCACCGTTAATCATTCCGTTACAGATGGAACTTCCTTTTGGCACTTCTTCAACACTTTCGCTGACCTCACTAGCGGCGCTTGCAAGATAAAACACCTTCCGGATTTCTCCCGCCACACCGTCTTCGACTCTCCCTCCGTTCTCCGAGTCCCTCCCGGCGGTCCACGTGTCACGTTCGATGCCGATCAGCCTCTCCGGGAGAGAATTTTTCATTTCAGCAGAGAAGCGATTTCCAAACTCAAACAGAGGACCAACAATAAAGTTAACGGAATTGAGACGGCCGTTAATACAGAAGAGATACTCGGGAAAGTAAGCAACGATGGAAAGAAATGTAACGGTAATGGTAACGGAGAGATTAACGGAAAAATAACTACCGTTTTGGAGGGTTTTTTGAAATCGGATACGAATAAGAAGAATTATGATCGAACGGCTGAGATTTCGTCGTTCCAATCTCTCAGTGCTCAGCTATGGCGATCCGTTACACGAGCGAGGAACCTCGATCCGAGCAAGACGACCACGTTTAGGATGGCTGTTAACTGCCGGCACCGGCTTGAGCCTAAGATGGATCCTTACTACTTCGGTAATGCGATACAGAGCATACCGACGTTGGCGTCTGCAGGGGATTTGCTCACCAAAGATCTCCGATGGTCTGCCGATCAGCTGCACAAGAACGTGGTGTCGCACGACGACGCGACAGTCCGCCGCGGAATCGCCTCTTGGGAAAGTGACCCGAGGCTCTTTCCTCTCGGAAATCCAGATGGCGCTTCGATCACAATGGGGAGCTCACCGAGATTCCCAATGTACGACAACGATTTCGGGTGGGGAAAGCCTTTAGCGGTGAGGAGTGGCGGAGCGAACAAATTCGACGGAAAAATATCTGCGTTTCCCGGAAGAGAAGGGAACGGAAGTGTGGATCTGGAAGTAGTTCTGGCGCCGGAAACCATGGCGGGGGTTGAGAACGATCCCGAGTTTATGCAATACGTATCCGAAGTCACTTACAGCTGCTGACAACGACAACGTTTAAATTGATCGACACATTAAAAAGAAATATCTAAGCCCGTAGAGGAACTTGATGGCATGGCACTTTGAACGGTTGAGATTTATCTACTAATTTAGATATTTCGATCTGACGGCGTCTATTAAGTCATACTGGTCTTTGTTGTATCCCTCACTGGTATGTGGTCACGTTCTTAATGTGACAATTAATGTACAAAACCCCGTCCTTTTCATTTAGATAATGGAACTTTTTTTCTAAAATTATAATCTTCCTTGATTTTTTTGTGTGTTCCTGACCAAAAAAGAAAAGAAAAACCTTTTTTGTTGCTATTTAATTATTTATAGATGATAATATAATTAAAAATTTCCCGACAGAATAATTGACTTGGGACTAGCATAATTGTATTGTTTGGTATCAAAGTAGGATTAGTAATGGGACCCAGCCCATGCTTTTAACAAAAGGCCCAAGGCGTTAGAGTTATAAAAGGCCCAAGGATTGTGACCTCCTTGTACATCAAAATATCTTTTATCAACCTTTGTTAGTTGGCGTGACAAATAGTGCGATTAACGACAAAACCTTTTTTTTTTTTTTTCAACTGAGAAGATCATAGATTAATTCGGTGAAAACACCTTACAACTTACAACTCCACGGACATGCTCACAAGCAGTCAAAACACCACAACAGACTAAAGCTCTCTCTACAAAGTTCAGGAAACTTAAAGATGCAGAGAAAAGCCAAAAACATAAGGCGACAACTACCACAAACTCCCAAAAAACAACCCAGCTCAAACAGAGGGAAGAGCTTTCTCACTTTCAAAAAGGTTATTTAACCAACCAGGGTGACTACTCGTTACATAAGATTGATAGAGTTCACACCTAATAACCCTCTGAGCAATGAAAAAAGCCCCTCTGTTGGCACAACGAGGTTCTAGCTCCACTTTCCAACTCCAAAAACTAGCAAGAATCTCACCTAACAAATCCGCTTGATACCTGAAAGAAGGCCAAGCCTTCGGCCTTTCCAAAACACCAGCCACCACCTTTTCTTCTACCGCCACCACTACTCTCTCGACTCCATGGCTACGCAAACAATGTAAAGCCCACAAAGTCCCTCTAAAACTGCACTCCAAACGGCTTCCCAGATTCACAAATGATCTTCTACTATGCAAAAGCACCAATCCTTTCTCATCTCGTAAAACCCACGCCATACCTCCCATCTTCCTTCCTTTCGACCACACACAACTCACATTACACTTTAGCCACGGTTTTGGTGGAGGTCTCCACCGTAAAACAGGGGTTTCTTTCACCGAAGCAACTAGCAACTCCCATTCTTTGTCGACTGCCTGTGCCAAAAACCAGAAGTCTACCTCTGTCGCTAACTTCTCCAGCGACTCCAGCGAATTGAAACTCTTACTATCAAACAAGAGGATATTCCTATTCTTCCAAATAAACCAAATTATCCAAGGGAATCTTCTTCTAATAGCCTCAAAAATAGATGGTTAAGAGATGGTTAATATTCTCAAAAATAGAGTTTCCAAAACCCAACCTCGGAGATGGCATATCGCTTAGGGCCCACATTTGTCTAGGGAGAGTACACGTGAAGAGAACATGGTTGATAGATTCTCCATCCCTACCACAAGCTTGACAAACGTTTTGCACCTTCAACCCTCTCTCTTGTAACTTATCTCCAACTGCCACCGCTCCACAGAGAGTCTTCCACAGGAAGATTTTAATCTTTTTCTCCGTTTTAAGAGCCCAGACTTGAATTTTGAGGTCATTTATCGAAGGTAACATCGCCGCTTCTCTGAATAGCTCCGCTTTGTTCACCTTTGAAGCTAACCAAAACCCTGACTTGACCGAATAATCACCACTCTGATTGTGAATCCAACTCCAGTAGTCATCACTCTTCGTTGCCGGTTGCTCTTGCAAGATCCTCCGAATGTCCTCCGGGTAAAAGATTTCTCTCAACTTCTGAACATTCCATTTTCTAGCCCGAAAATCAATAAGATCCTTAGCAATCAGATTCACATTGAAGAACTGATTTAGACGCCAAGGAGCTCTCAACCCTTCATCACCCAGAACCCATGGATCAATCCATACTTTTACCGAAATACCATTCCCAACTCTCTTTCTCAGGCCTTTAGACAGTAATTCCCTTCCCCACAAAATACTACTCCAGGCAAAAGACGGCCTAGTCCCAACTTTTGAGTCCATAAAAGATATTTTTGGGAAATATCTGCTCTGAAGCAACCTCGCCACTAAGCTCTCTGGTTCCTGAAGAATTCTCCAAGCTTGTTTCGCTAAAAGAGCTTGATTGAAGTCTTCAATATCTCTAAAACCCATCCCTCCCAGGTTTTTTGGCAGGCACATTTTCTCCCAACTAATCCAATGCACATTTTTTTTGTTTTCCACCGAAGACCACCAGAATTCCGCCATTACGCTTCTCAGTTTCCCACAAATACCCTTAGGAAGCTTGAAACAAGACATTGCATAAACAGGCATTGCAGACAGTACCGATTTAAGCAACGTTTCCTTTCCTCCTGGAGAGAGAATTTTAGAGAACCAACCCGAAACTCTAGTCTGCACTCGTTCTCGTAAATAATCCAGCAGCTCTATTTTCGAGCCACTAAAGCATTCTGGTAATCCCAAATACGATCCAGCACCACCTTCATTCACAATCCCCATCACCTCCTGGATCCTTTTCCTTTGATCTGTGTCTATCTTTGAACCAAAAGTAATTGAGGATTTTGAATGATTGATCATCTGCCCCGTAACTTCGCCATAGATTTTGAGAATCCCTTTTAGAGCAAAACACTGTTGATCGTTCGCTTTACACAGGAAAAGACTGTCATCCGCAAACAACAAATGATGAACCGCTGGACCTTCTTCACTAAATCTGATTCCTTCCACCAAACCAAGTCTTTCCGCTCTATTGAGAAGATGTGTGAGTCCTTCTGTGCAGAGAACAAAGAGAAAGGGCGAGAGTGGATCTCCTTGTCTCAATCCTCTCTGTGGTGTGATAATCCCATGAGGTTTATCATTGATGAGCACTGAATAAGAGACTGTCGTGATACAGAACATAACCCATTCAACCCAAACTTGATGGAACCCCAATGCTTGAAGGAGAGCTCTCACATAGCTCCATTCTACTCTATCATAGGCCTTTGACATGTCTGATTTCAGTGCCATAAACTCAGCAGATATAACCGGATGCGTCCTCAACCCATGGACCAGTTCATGTGCAATCACAACATTATCAGAAATCAACCTGTTTGAAACAAAAGCCGATTGGTTAACAGAGACCAGCTGATTTAGAAACGGTTGCATCCTTTTCACCAAAATCTTAGAAACTATCTTGTAGAGCACTGAACACAAGCTAATTGGCCTTAGCTCTGTCATCTTGGAAGCATTCGTCACTTTTGGCAACAGACTGATGTGCGTGAAGTTCCATTCTTTTGGGAAGATTCCGGAAAAGAAGAAATCTTTCACTTCCTTTGTCACTTGTTTACCAACTATACTCCAGTAGTGTTGATAGAACAAACCCGTCATTCCGTCAGCACCCGGAGCACTTGATGGTTTAATCGAGAACACCGCTTCTTTGATCTCCGCCTCTGAAATCAAGCTTATCAAAGAATCATTCATTCCAGAAGAAACTCTAGGCGTGAAATCTGCAAACCACTCTGCAAAGTTGATTGGATTAGCTGAGCTGAAGAGCTTATCGAAGTACGAGACTGCCACTACTCCTTTAGCCGCTTCAGATTTCTGTAACACCCCATTCTCGTCTAGCAGTTCCTCCAATCTCTTGTGGTTTCTCTCACATTTAACCGAATCATGAAAGAACTTTGAGTTTCTGTCACCTTCTCTGAGCCATTTTTGTCTGCTCTTTTGTCTCCAGAAAATCTCATCTTCTTTGTAAGCCAAAACCAGTTCCCTCTTTAGATACCAAAGCCTTTGAGTGCATGGTAACATCGCTGATTGCTCCTGTTCCAGGTTTATTTCTAACTGATGCAAGCGATCTTTAGCATTCATGTTCTTCTTCTTTTTCCACCTGCTTAGAGATTTTCTACAAATTCTCAATCTGTCAGAGACTGACTGCGAAGATCCACCATATCTTGAATTCCACGCTATTGCAATCGATTCCTTGACCAATGGTTGGAACAAAAACCTCTTGTCGAATCTGAAATTACCTCTGTAGGAATCTTGAGAAGATTGCAAACACACTAACACCGGTCGATGATCTGAACCTCTTTTGTCCAGGAAGGATTGATTAGACACTGGAAACAGATCAAACCAACTCTTGTTACCGAAACACCTATCCAGCCTACTCTGAATCCACCACTTTCCTCTGAACCCTCCCCACGTGAAACCATTTCCATGACTCACCAACTCAGACATCCCACAATCCTCCAACATATTAACAAACGGCTGGAAGGACTGAAGACTTCTTTTGGGACCACCTAATTTCTCTCCATTATGCGTGATCTCATTGAAATCTCCTAACATACACCAACTCGCTTTCCTTGAGACCCCAATACGACTGATTACCTCCCACACAGCCACTCTATTCGATTTATCAGGAGCCCCATACACACAAGAAACGAAGAAAGAAAAAACTCCAAACTGCACATGCAAATCCAACAGATTCTTGGTTGCCACCAACATCTCAATATCTACACCATGCTTACAAAACAGAGCCAAACCGCCACTCTTTCCGATTGGCTCCACTGTGTACACTCTTTTGTAACCTAACCATTCTTGCAAATCAACAATCACATTTCTACAATTCATCGTCTCCATTAAGAACATAACCTCCGGGAAATGCTTTTTACGCAGCTCCTTGAGGCGCGGAATCACCAAGTCTTGAGGCCACCCCACTCCCTGGCAATTCCAAGCTAAAATGCTCATTAAAAGTTTGGCGATCCCTCACTCGGGATCACCTTCTGGTTCTTACGCCTCGCGTTTTGGATTTTAGAATCATTCTGAGTAGCTGTTTTCCTCTTTGGAGCCAAAACTCCTTTGCCATTCTTCTTTATCTCCGTGATAGGAGCCAGACACAACTCCGATTTGAGTTTTCCAATTCTCAGTCTTTTCACTTGTCTCTTCCTTGCTTTCCCTTTAACCACAGTTGTTCCGGATGATCCAGCCTCGTTGAGGGTAGGATCATATACCGTAAGACAACCCGATGGAGGAAAAACATCCTGGTGAACTCTTAAAGCATCCAACTTGTACCTCAAATCTCCATTCCCTTCCTGCCACATCCTCGGCGGCTCAACCTGACAAGCTCCACTGCTACCAGGAATGTCTGAAAACCACTTGAATTCCTTGACTGATTTGCAAACTCAAAGACTAAACCTTTGTCTTTGTTTACATCCCTAGACACCATAGGTCTCGTTTCCATCCGCAGTATGATCTTCTGAGCACTGGGATCCAGTTCCACTTCCGCAATAGTGGACTTAACTCTCTCCTGTTTTACTGCAAGGTCATCTCCATTGACCGTCACCAGATATTTTCTCATTTCTTCGAGCACTTCTGGATTGATTTTAGGACGCCCAGTTAGAGGATTAACACCTACTTGATCCTCATTCAGGACTCCAAACAAAGGATCCGATTCTTTGATGATCAGGTGCTCCTCTTTCTTTTCCGCCACAGCTTTCAGCCGTCTGTCCGCAGCTTTCTCCTGCCTTGCTTTGATGAGTAGTGGGCACAAATCGTTGGCATGATTTAACCTTTGACAGTTGAAACAGCGTTTTTTGATTTTCTCATAGACAAATTCCATCATCACCTGCTCTCCCGACGGCAAATCAATCAGCTTCGTTTTCCGCAGAGGCATTGCCACATTGAACATTACCTTTACTCTGACAAAGTGTTGGCCCTGAGACTTCGAATCATCATACGCTATTTCTTTGACCTCACCCAAAACATCTCCAATGTCCCAAATCGTTTGGGTTGTGTAGTGGTTCACTGGCATATTGTTAATTTGAACCCACAGAGGAATGAACTGAAGATAACCATCCGGCTCTTTCTCCACCCATCTTTCCATAGCAATCGCCCAATCATTATGCGACTGCACTCCTCTGTCCAAAATATCAAGAAGTTCATACTCTGACCTGAAAAAGAACTGAAACCTTTCCCTCGTCAACGCTACACCTCGAACCCTCCTTGCATTTCCCCATTTCCGAGGAAGATCTGTAATCAGATGATGGACTTTCTGAAAATCGGGGTTGAGAATTCTCCCAATCAAACTGAGCGCATTATTCCCGCAAGAGCTATACTCTGGCCGATTCGGAAGGACTAACGGTTTATCTTCCTCTTCGATGGACAAAGCCATCAAAGCTCTATCCATTGCTGCCGACATCTTTAACTTCCGCTAAACACCACCAACTGGAAATCACACCGACCACAAACTTCACCACACTAAGACTAACCGAAAGAAACTCTCCAAAAGCTCACCAACTCAACACAGACAGAGAAATCTTAGAACTGAGGAGAAACCCAAAGCCGAAGAAACTAGATCTGGAAAGAGAGAGAGAGAGACTGAAAGGATAAGATGAAACCCAGAAACAGTAAAAGCAAACAACAACGGGCAACGAGAGCCACACAATGCTCTATCCAACTTCAGAGTGAGAGACTCTAAGTGAAAAAGAGAGTTCTAAGCCCACAAGGGGAAATCGCCTAAAAAATCACCCGGCTAAAAAATCACAACGACAAAACCTAACCGATACATTTTGTTGTTTATTTTTATTGTCGCTGACAACTATGAACAAACGACTAAATTGTCTTATGTAATCGTTGGTTTGGTGATATACGTTGATGGTAGATTTCGGAACCCATTGTCTATTTTTCTTCCTGTAATTTGTTATGAGGACATTCAATCTTCAAAGTTTATATACAAACATAAAACAAGCTGCTAATCATTTTATACAAAACCAAAAAGAAAAAAACAACAATTTTGATACTAAAACCCTAAAGGCCAAAGTCTAAACCAGGTTTATAGACACAATAAGATAATTCACAATCAAACAAACAGAGGATTTTAAGCAGAAGAAACCATATAACGATCAATCTTCACATTCCAAGTTGATTGCTCTGCTTCTTCTACACATTAACTTCCGGCACCGGAAACAGTCGTTTAACCAACCAACTGAGTGGTCCAAAAACCTGAGCTTTCTTCTTCCTCCAGAACCAAATCGCTGCACTGTACTGTTCATTGCGTATCTTTGTAGTTGCTGCTTTCCAATCATACTTGCCCGTTTCTTCTCTTGCTGCTTTTCCAATGATCTCTCTTGTTTCACTGTCGTGCAATAAAGCTCTCAGCTTTGTCACGCAGTCTTCAACATCTCCAGGGTTGAACAGAAACCCCGTTTTGCCCTCCTAATAACATCAGAATCAGAAACCAATAAGCTCATTATCTCCTAAACACTTTTTCTGCTTTGGTTAGCACAATCAATGCAACATGATGAAATTGTAGGGACCTGGTCCTCAGGGATGATATCAGGGATACCACCGGCTCGAGCCGCAACAACAGGAAGACCAGAAGCCATAGCTTCAAGAACCACAAGGCCAAGTGTCTCTGACTCTGATGGCATCACAAACACATCTCCGCTTGCGTAAGCTTGTGAGAGTTCGTCGCCTTGTAACATTCCCGTGAATACCGCCGGCATTCCAGCAAACAGCTTCTCAAGATCCTCTCTTTAAGTAAACCAAACAGATTAAAAATAAAAATTATAATCTTGTTGTCTATAAAATTTTTAGAAACCAATCTTTAACGAAATTAGTACTTGTATGGTCCATCTCCGATGAAAGCAATCCGAGCTTCAGGTAATTTGTCCATTACACTGCACACAAATTTCTCAAATTCAGATTCCGATATGGCGATACACCTCTTAAGAAAGAAGTGAGTCTACAGAAAAAATCTAACCTTTTTAGAAGCTCCAAACTCTTTTCTACGCCGATACGACCTACATGGATCACTAGTGGCTTTTCAGGTTCGCCATTACTGTTAGTCACAGAAACATTAAAAAATGAGATAATCACGAAATGTATCAATGTTCGTAATCCATATAAAAAAACGTATTATTCTCTTCTCGCCTCAATCTTATACGCATTTCTTGACAACGGAAACGGGGATTGAAGCTTTCTGAATCGACACCCTTGTTCCAAAGTCGAAGTTGATTAGCTTCAAAATACGAACAAAAGAACAATCTTAGATTTAGACAATCACAGAGTTTGAATAATAGTGTGAAGCTTTCTTCACCTGCAGTTGCACCAGCTGCTATAAGCTCTTTTCCAATGGCAGCGGAAGGAACTAATGTAAGATCAGCCGCTCTGTGAAGGAATCCTGATTAATGCTTACTCAAGTTTAGTTACATATATTACTTGACAATAGCCTTAGAAAAAAAACGGAATTTTGACATATGATGAGAAACAGAGTTTTTACATACTTATTACTGACCACATGGGTTGGACCAACCAACTAAAAGTGTATCTTGGGATGTATCTGCACATCAACACAGGCTTAATCTTCAGAAACACAACCGTTGAGTTATAAACAAAAACAATTCCATTAACAATTCAAGTGAGGCAGATAATTAAGAAGCTTACACAGGGACGTGTGTGTGGTAAGACATTACTATTGGCACAGAGAGCATTTTCGCTATTGCCAGAGCACCAAACACCTGAAAATTTTGTCAAAAAACAAGAAAATGTTATTTTTGGATTCTCAACTCTCAAGTTGACTGTTTTGCTAAGGTTTAAGAAAATGGTTTTACCATGATCCCAGGAGATGAAGCGTGTATTATGTCAGGCTTAAACCGAGCAATTTCCGATATGATTCTTGGACTAAGCGCAAGCGAGAGGGGAACCTTTTGGTAATAAGGGCATGGGAAGCTACAGAGCAGAAGGATAGATTAGCGAATATCACTAAACTGAGTACATGCATAGAGACATAGAGTTTTTTTTGAAGTTGATACCTTTTTGATCCAATGACTTTGGCTCCATAAAACTCTTCGGGAACACCTTCTTGTGTCGTCACCACTATAACCTATGAAACAAAACAGTTGAATCAGTTTTCACTTTTCTGCTGATTCTGATTCTGGAATATTTACAGTTCACTGAAAATGTACTTGATTTCACAAGAAAAGAACAAACCTCGTCTCCCATTTCACGAAGATACCTAATGAAATTCTGGAATCTGTTTTTGTAACCTGAGACATAGCTGCAAAATTTACAAGAAAAGAAAAGCTTTTGATCAGTACATTTGAGTGATAAATGCAAATGAGAAAGAAAGAGAACTAATATAAGTCCTGATTCAGTGATCCCGAGAATCTTGGGATATTCTCAACCCAACTATTCTCGCACCCAAATCTGTAAACTTTAAACCCGGAAATGAAATTTGGTCTTAAAACAATCTAATAATTCCTGAAATTCTCGAAATTAGTACAAAAAATGGACGTAGAGCACGAATCCATATACTAGCGAATTTCTCCCTAAAATGTAATAATTGATCATCGAAAATACATAACAATAAAGTCAACTAAGAAAGAAACATCTGCTATGAAGAAAAAACCAATACGATCCCTTTTCATAGGGACATTTCGTCGAACACGAAACATGCACGACACTCTGAAGAAGAAATCAAGCACCGAAAAAAAATAAAAACAGAAGACTTACGCAAACGGCGAAGGCTCAACAAAGAGAGCAATTCTCCTTGGCTTTGAGAACGACTCAGGATCGAGAAGCGGAGCCTCGATCTCCGACTCATCTCCCTCCCTGACTTCAGTAATGGTCATATCGTTCGACCCCGAAGCAGAAACCACTTTACAGAGTAGCTTACTTTTCTTGCGAATCAAGCTAATGGGTGATCTCCGGGGACAAGAGACACCGAGGGAAACAGGGGAATTGACAAAAGAACACCTGGGGGAACAAGTGGTTGCAGAGGAAGACGAAGAAGAAGAACAACAAGTGGTCGTGCTAAGAAGAAAAGGAGGAATTAGAGAGAAATTTATAGAGAGAGAAGAAATGGTCATGATTTGTTTTCACGAAGCTTAAATTATTAATTTTTGACGATTTGGGTGTCGTAAGATCGGATTAAAACAGCAACGTCAGAAGGAAAAAAATCAGATTTTTATTCGTTGGTGTGTGAGAGGAAGGAATCTGAAGAAGACGAAAGAGTAAATAAAAGGGATATCCGCATTGTGAGGCACCGACAGATCAGCATCATCTTAAACGTTTCTAAGCATATGCTTCAACAATCAACTTATCATGTCTTTGTCTCGTTTCTTTTAAAATTTTGGATCCAAAAACAATCTTTCTCTAACTCTAATAAATAAAAATATTTAACTTCATGCACTCGAATTTTATAGCTAATCATGTTGCTGTAACTGTTTATATGATATTATGTGGTAAAACTGTAACCATCTCATAAAAAATGTTAACATTTCATACAAATTTACGAAGAACAAATAATTGTGCTATCGATTTGGACATTTTTAGAAATTAATTCCAAATTGGGTTACAGACTTTTAGTGATTGATTGCAATGGTGGTGCTATAATGAGACAAATTTTGGGAGAAGCAGCCAACACATTTGGCTTTCTTTAGTAGTCACATAAAATTGACTTCGATATTAATTAGGTGAATGAATTATTATTATTTTTTTCCCGATTTTTGTTCTGTTTAAAGCACATGTCTGTCCATACTAATGGTGAAATCTGAAATGAGTGACTCCATAATATACACTGAGAGACCTTTTAATTTTGCCTGCGTACCAATTTTTTTTATTCCTATGTAAAATGCTTAACGATGATGATTATAGTTTATAGCAATCACAATAACGTACTCCTTAAGACAAGAATTTGAGTTTGTAATTAATTTAGTCAACGGTATTCGTTACGTATATCAAATCATTAGCCACGCTTATTAGTTCAGTTATCCAATTACTTGTGGATCGAAATATCGTAAAGGCAAATCAATACGTCAAGACTATAGCAAGTCAAGACAACCTTATATTTCTTTACATTGTGTTTAAAAACGCACAAAGTGGACAAAACTAGATACGTGTGGACCGTGTGGTATCGAAATTTATTCCATTGAATATTCGCTTCACGTATAAGCATATTATCTTATATATTCATACACACAACATACAAACTACTTGGCTGTCCCATATGCATATATGCATGTCAGCATGTGGAAGATCCAACTTGAAGAATTTAAACCTTTTCTTAATTACCAATAATTTGTGTAATCCTTTTAAGGTTAGAGTAAACTATTGCTTCAAATTTTACGTAATTGAAAAATATAGGTTGATTAATAAAAGATAACAACGAATATGTTTACACCACGAGAACATCATCACTTTAAAGATTCAAGATTTCTTATGGAGTATAATATTGGATCCATCTGTAAATATTTACTTTAACAAAAAAAAAAAAAAGTATAATATTGTTTTTGTTTCGTTCTTCGAGTTTAAGTTTTGGGTTTGATTATGGTTGTTTAATGTAGCCGTTAGATTATCGTTAATCAGTAACTCTAGTCTCAAACTTATCCAAAGAATGTTACATCAAATGGGCCATATTATCGTTAATGGGCGCAGATGTGGGCTGGGCTATATTTTATCTGTTCAATTGCTGCTCACTCGTACGCACTTTACTTGAAAGTTGAAGTCATTTCGTTCGTCCCTCTTACTTTTGACTTGAGAATTTGGATCAAAAACTACATCGTCGTCAATCTTCATAGAAACAAAACAAAATCAAAAATCAATGATATCCCTAAACTAGCATGTACAATTAAACAAATCTAGCTCACGAAACCCATTTCGTATAGAAAACATATTAATTAGTATAGTCGTTCATTCGCACAAGAAATGAAGAAACTTTCCCCTTATTTTTGCTACATCAACCCTCTATTTTTTCATTTCTCTTATAATTTATCCCCACCACTATACTTAAATCAACACACTTTTCCCCATAAATACTCTTCAAAACCATCTCCATTTGTTTCTCTCTCTCATAGACGTTTCATCGTTAAAGTTTCAGACAAAGAATATGTCTCGAAGAGCTTGCAAAAGAGTAAGCTTTAGTCCGGACCCAGAAGCAATCGAGGAACCGATCTATCCAACACACAACGGTCTCAGCTCATCGCGGCATGGTCGTCAAAGAGTCTTCGTTGGAATTCTCAGTCTCGACGTCAGAAGCTCGCCGGCAGCGAGGAGATTACTCCGGCGTGTTGGAGCCAGAGTTTCCAAAACGCTGCGTTTTATGTCATTCGGAATGAAGAGTGTAAACGCCAAAACGGTGCCGTCTCATTCTTCGAGAATCGTTTCATCTTCTTCGTCTCTGTCTTGTTCCTCTTCCTCTTGCTCTGCTTCGTCTATTTATCTGGTGAAGTCGAAGTCTCTAAATGAATCAGAGTCTCACCGTGCAGAGGCCATTGAGGACTGCATCGAGTTCTTAAAATCTTCTTCTTCTTCTCTGTCGAGATCAAATTCAATATCTGCTTGGTCTTGCTAAACTCGGTTCAGGTTCGGGTCAAATAGAAAAGCTGCAATCTTTGTAATGTAAAAGAGTCCATAATAAAGAGTTGCATATACATCAGTTGATGATAAAAAGAAATTTCGATTCAATGATTTGATTAGCTACTGACTGCAAAAAGTTATAATTTTCTCAATCTTTTTGCAAGTTTCGTTACAAACTATAAACCATGTTACCAACTTTTACCACTTCTTGGTAAAAAAAAGCTTCGACAACATGATTTTGATTCCCATTATTTTAACAGAAATAAGGTGTTATGACGCTATTAATTTACATTATCATGTTGTTTAGTGTTTACCATTCACATATACGTTTAGTTTTCTTTTACAAGTTGTGCAACTTTCGAATACCACGAACCATGAATCCTTCAAAGTTCAAATTCGTGATGTCTTCATGAATAATATTATTGCCTCCTAACGATTTTACTATGCAAAAAACGAAGTGGCCCACATATAAATTCAGAAAAGAGGGGTCTAAATCAAAGGACCATAAGACAAAAAAGCTTTCCTCTTTGTTGACCCAAAATTAAGTTACTCCTTGCAGAGAAAATTAAAGTAATAGGTCCCTGGACATTGAAAATTCAGATAAAAATAAGAAAACATATAATAATAACCACATCACAACAAACATTAAGCGTTTCAGAAATTGTAGGTCCCTGAACATTACTACAGCCTTTTGAAGAATCCAATGAAAAGCTTTCTTTTTTTGTCTTTGTTTGCATTACCTCAAGAGTCTCGGATGCTTTGTGCTGAAGCTTTCTTGAGCTCAAGAGCTCGTTTATAAGGCGGTGCGATGGGAGGCTGAACCGGGTCCAAGCTCTGGTATGAAGATCCGTCTGCTTCTTTAGGGAGTGGGTAAGACCGGTCTGAGTCATAACCAGTCAAGTCACCACATGCCAAGAATGGAATATAAACTTTGTTGGGTCCTTCAAGCCAACCACTACTGCAATCTGCAGAGTACCCAAAAGGAAAATATATAAATCTCAAGAATCATAACAGACAAACAAAAAACATCTCTTTTAAATTTCTGACAGTAAAGAAGATTTCTTTGTCTTGCCCAAAAGGTTAAATTCACATGAAGAGAGCATTCTTTTAGGTGAGAGTTAGGTTGAGAAAGAGTAAATATGAAGTGTACTACTCAACAATGCATATGTTAGTTGTGTCTAACTTGAAGGTAAGAGATTATAAGTTTTTACCGAGATCGCTTCCACCTGAAGGGCTTCCAACTTTCTCCAAGAGACGATGAAGATCTCTCGGGTTAAATCCTTCTGGTGGTGAGTAATTTTCGCAGACAGCAAAAGCCTCTACAAAAACAAAAGTGGAGAAAAATGCAATCAGAATCTCTAGAAAAAAAGCAACACTTTACATCTACCTCTTTGATGATTAACCTTTGAGTGTAAGCAAATCATATTTGCATACGCGAAAGTTAAAACTCTTTTTTACCTATACTAGAATTGCGGCTGCTTTTCGGTTTCGCGAAAGTTACACTTGGGAAGAACAACTTGAGCTACATATGAAAAGCAAACAACTGTATCAGTAAAAAGCAACAGTCAATTTCGTAAGCACACAATATCTAAAAACTTACCTGACAGTACAAGAGACTTGTATCTTTTCCACGGAATATCTTGGCAATGAATGTTCCACCTTCTTTAAGAACATGGGTTACAATTGTTAAGCCCTGATAGAAAAAAAAAAAAAGAGGAATAGTTATTCTCTGTTATTTGCTATTATCCATGAAAAACAAATGCTTCTTGTAAACAGAAACTAGGCAACTTACCGCCAGTATGAGTTGGGACTGGACAAATTCATCCATGTCATGCAAACCGGTAACTGCAAACCAAATTGTGGAAGACGTTAGTTCATTACGATAGCATGTGGTACAAACTGAAGGGTGAAAAAGAATTGTAATTACCATCAGGAGCACCATCACAAACAACCAGGTCAGCCTTGCAACCGTCAAAGTGTCTGATGACCTTGGGAAACAAAAAACAAAACCAAAAAATGTAAGCCGTAGAAACAAACACAAACTCCAAGCATAAAGGAAATGCTGATAAATCAGGAGTTGAGAAAACCTCACCACTTCGGCAGTGCGAGCATTAGTAATGTCGCCTTGAACCTGGATGACACCTTCGATTGGAGCCATAGGCTGCAAATCAATGGCCACTATGAGAGGAAGATCTCCTTCTCTGCAAAGTGTTTCAGCAGTAATATATAAGAGCTCGAACTTGTCAACACGTGTGAGTTACTAAATCAGCAAAGTTAAACAATATACAACTTACTTTGACTCAGCTGAGGACTTTGCAGGGAGATACAATTGACGACTCAAGACCTGAAAATAAATGAGGTGCACTGATAAGAATCAAACATAATTGTCTTTGTTTTATCCACTGCAAATCAAGGAATAGGCAATGAACTAGGGAACAAACCAAACTAGAGAAGCTTAGCTATAAATTCAACTAAGCACACATCTGACTACTAAGTCGAATCACATAATGCTCTCAATGAGCAAAAGGAAAATCAACTAAGGAAGGATCAACATACCTGACTCCAGCTACCAGGTGCAGCACATAAATCTACAACCCTCTTCACTCCTGAATCATAATGATAATGACAAGACAAAGTTTACATATTGAGTTTTTGATATATCATCACACTGTTGAGCTGCAAATTCTGCGATTATGAGTGCAGCATTCATTCAATTGATTTTTACTTTTTGTATGACTAATGTCTCGTGGGATTATTGTAAGTAGGAGTGTATTTGTATTGACCTTTAAAGATGTTGAATTCCTCGTCAATCTGAAGAAGCTTAAAGGCACTTCTGGCACGCCATCCTTCTTCTTTGGCTTTCCGATAGTATATATCCTACAAAACGAACCAATTGTAATTAATGCACTTCTGCCACCCAATTCTCACCAGTAGAGAGATACCCGAAGAACCAATGAGCAAATTTCACTTTATATGCTCTTAGAACCTAAGCAAATTTCATTCAAAGCATACCCTTTTGTCCCGAGAAGCTTTTCCCATGTCTTCTGGAGAATTTAAAGCAGCACTATGTGTTTCCCGTAGTCCTCAGGCGTGTCGAGTCCGATACGAGACCCTCGTCGGACGAAATAATCGATGCCAGAGAACAAGCTCCAGACTCGGATGATTTGCTTTGCTCGTCGGAAGAAGATGTTGAAGGCTAAGATGACGTCATTTTGCGACAATTAAACCCTATTCCTAAAACGACACTGTTTTGGTAAAAACTGGATAATACCCGTTTGTAATATTTGTAATATAATAAGCAGTCCTTAACGGGCCATACCATTTGTAATATGCAGCCCATTTTAAAAATTGGTTAAAAGCTGAAACTCCAAGCATATATGTAACTCTTTGATAAGAATGATGATAGCAGCATTAAAACTTTGTCCCAAAAAACTCCGTCATGGTCGGTCTATCTAATGGTAATGGTCTCACTTCACTTCACACAACGAGTCTATATATATATATCCCTTAGACGTTTGTCTTGTCTCCCACTCCCAAGTCCCACCCACTTTTCTATCATAATCAACTACAATATTTGCCTTCTCTAAACCCTTTCAACAGTTTTTCCACTTGATATACACAAGTTTGAAATTGATAGACACTACTAATCTTGTTATTTAGAAAGTCGTAGAAAATAATATTTGGTGGGTTGTTGTTGAGTCGAAGAATCAAATCAGATTAGTTTGAAAAGACCCAGAGGCATCAAAGTCCATTTACTGATTCTGTGTTGCCGAACGCACTGAAAGCCCAAAGATAATTATGATTCACACTAAGATCCGATGGAGAGGATCGGCTGATAAATCAGATTTTCTTAGAATAAAACAAATGATGGAAATATGATTGTGATTAAAAGGATCCGACGGTACGGAGTTGGCGAGTGCACAGTGAATTAAAGGAGGCACGCGTAGAGAAACATAAATAACACGTGGCAAGTGAAGTGGGGGCAACGGCTTGATGACGCGCGTGGGGGGGGAGTGGTTTGCTTTAAACGCGTGAACTAAAATTTAATTCCCTTGAATGGCTCACGGCTTGAGCCGATTGTATAATACACAGTACACACTCACTCTCACTCCCATCTCTTCTTTTTACTGTTTTTTTCTTTACTGGAATAACAAATGTGGACTGACAAGTTACAAAGAAAATAAAAGATGTGAATGCTAAAATTTGTCAAAAAAATAACGTGCTAGTTAATTTATAACCAACTCCGTAATCTATTACTCCAACAATGCAGAGAGAAAATGAACTGAATTTTCAACACAATGCAGAAAGAGATTACAAAAACAAAAGAGACGTTTTAAATCACACAAGTCCAAATGATGGAACCATAGAGAGAGGCAGGTAAAAAGGTGAAAAAAAGAGAAGAAAAAAGCTTCCTGCTTTTATGCGCTCTCTCTCTCTCTCTGATTCTCTCTCATCTGCGCATACTTATAACAAAGGCGGCCGCAATTAAAACAGAGTTTAAAGTAGGCTCCGTTATTAGAGTGCCTTCCTACTGAGTACTCACTCACCATCGTTACAGAGAAACAGAGCTCTTCATTCTCTCTCTCTCTTCCAAACAATCTCTGTGATCAGTCTTTCTCTGTGGCTCTCTTTTATCGTTTTAGGATACTCTGCTTTTCTTTTGAGATTGGAGACCGAGACAGAGGTAAATAGTCTTTGTGTTGTTTCTTCTCTTATCAGACAAAAAGGAGAAAAGGAAGACATTCTTTTAACTTCTATAGCTTTTCAATTTATTTGTTTGTTTACCGATATAGATATCGACCGCTAATGTCGAGTGAGAAGCAAGCGGAGGAGGCAATAGTGGTCTCCGGCGTCAGTGAAACGGAGGATGACGTGGCCGGTAGAAAAGTGGAAGATTCAACTGCGGAGGATATTGATGGCGTCGGCGATGGATTTAGTGTGAAGAGCTTCCTCTGGCATGGCGGGTCCGCTTGGGACGCCTGGTTCAGCTGCGCATCCAATCAAGTAAGGATAACAACAAAAGCTTTGGCTAATTATTTAATTATATTCACTAAAGCTTCAATCAATCAACAAACAAATGTTTCTTTGTTATAATAAGACCAAAATGCTCTTTTTCGCTTAATCTTTTTAAATAAACTGTGTTTATAAGTGGGAAACTAATAATGATTATAAGTTCATAACCGGGATAGTCGAATTATTGTTTATATAATTTTTTATTGTTTTACATTGATTTCTGCAGGTGGCACAAGTGCTGTTGACACTGCCGTATTCGTTCTCGCAGTTGGGGATGTTATCAGGAATATTGCTTCAAATATTCTATGGATTAATGGGATCTTGGACTGCTTACCTCATCAGTGTTCTCTACGTTGAATATCGAGCCCGGATGGAGAAACAAGAGGCCAAATCCTTCAAAAACCACGTCATTCAGGTAACTTTCCCAATTATTATTTTTTTTAAAATGTTGGAATTTTAATCTTTCAAGCTGTTTTTTATTGATTTTTGTTTTGGGTGTGTGTGTGAATAAAAATATGTAAAACGGAAGTGGTTTGAAGTGCTTGATGGGCTGCTGGGTCCGTACTGGAAAGCAGCGGGGCTCGCATTTAATTGCACCTTCTTGTTATTCGGATCAGTCATCCAGCTCATCGCTTGTGCTAGGTTCTTCTTAATTTCCTTTTTCTTCATTCCTTTTTCTTATGTAATTTACATTTATACTTTCCATAGTTTATTAATAGATAAATGTCAATGTTTATGTTGGTGTGGTGCAGCAATATATACTACGTAAATGATAGGTTAGACAAGAGGACATGGACTTACATATTTGGTGCTTGTTGTGCCACGACCGTTTTCATACCATCTTTCCACAATTACCGAATTTGGTCTTTCCTCGGCCTTGCCATGACCACCTACACCGCCTGGTACCTCACCATCGCCGCATTTCTCCATGGCCAGGTGCGTTACGTCACTATCAATTTGTTTCCCATTAAAACGGATTTTATTTACTATTTTCTTATACGGTACAGTTTGCAGATTAGTCTTGTAATTATAGATAGGACAGTTGCAAACGTAAAATTAATGAAGCACTCGTCGTTTAAACCGGTTGTGTTGTGATTTCGTAGGCGGAGGGTGTGAAACATTCCGGTCCGACCAAACTTGTGTTGTACTTTACCGGAGCCACCAACATTCTCTATACCTTCGGTGGACACGCTGTCACTGTGTAGGTCTTCTTATTTTCTCAAGCATTTTAAATTAATTGTGTGATTCATTTCTGTTTGCACCAGTAGCATTTATTTTGTTGCAAATATCATCAATCTTCATAGTTTTATTTTAAAAAGTGTTTTCTCTGAAGATCATGTTTCTTCTTTTGGAAAATACTCTTCTCTTTTAGCTTCTATATATGCAGCTTTTGCCGGTTACTTTAGGTTCTGTCCGAAACGCACAAACAGACAAAATCATTATTACGAAGCCCAACATATAAAGACAAATTTACCGGAAAAATCTTATTTACCTTTTTAACATTCTATTATTTTTCATTTATATTTTCAGAACCTTTTAACACACACTATCTATTGAGCTAAAATTTTGTATTTTTTTTTTTATCACAAGATATATATACATTTGAAAGTACGTAATGTATAGCCTCACTGGTCGGACCCATAGATCCAATGTAAAATTAAGACTTTTATGCATGTTCTTTCCTTTTCTATCTATTTAAAAAAGTAACAATAAAATTTCAGGGAAATAATGCATGCGATGTGGAAACCAAGGAAGTTTAAGAGCATCTACTTGATGGCGACACTGTACGTCTTCACGTTAACGCTTCCGTCAGCCTCCGCCGTGTATTGGGCTTTCGGCGACCAGCTTCTCAACCACTCAAACGCTTTCTCTCTCCTCCCAAAGACGCGTTTCCGTGATGCCGCCGTTATCCTCATGCTCATCCATCAGGTTCCTATCTTAACTTAAATATGTTACATGATGTCTCACAATAATTCCACTGTGCATTAATGATTGGTCCAATTCCACGTATGCCATTAATTTATACCGGTACACACTAAGAACATTTATCCTCTATTCCTCTTTCGCAATGAAATTTAATACTAGAAGGAATGACATGTTATTACAATGTTTCAAAATGTATTACGCGTTAATCAGACCTTTTAAGCGCTTGACTAAACAACGCCATTTTCAAATTACAAACTAATGCAAAATTAAATTACTCATCTAATCGATTTAGACAATTGATTTTTTTTTATATGGATTAACAGTTTATAACGTTCGGATTTGCGTGTACGCCGTTGTACTTCGTATGGGAGAAAGCGATCGGAATGCACCATACAAACAGTGTATGTCTAAGAGCGATCGTGAGGCTACCGGTGGTGGTTCCGATTTGGTTTTTAGCCATCATATTCCCATTTTTTGGTCCCATAAACTCTGCTGTTGGAGCCTTACTCGTTAGCTTCACCGTCTACATCATTCCCGCCTTAGCCCACATGCTCACCTATCGCACCGCCTCTGCCCGTCGGGTACGTACTCAGCTACATTCCTCTCTCTGCTATGTTAATATTCCTTGTCTATATATGTATGAATCATGATAGTTAGTTTTGAAGATCAAACACTATGAAAAATTATTGGAGGAGAGAGTAATTGGAATATAAACATAACATAGGTTGAGTTTAAATTCGATGAGCTGGCTTTATACTTTTGCATTTAATCCCAAATCAATGGGTGGGTCCATCGTATCTAACATGACCGTTATTACCTTTTAACTAGTCGATAATTTTTATAACATAGTAATGTACATCTCTACCTGTTCACGTATTGATTTGTTCCTTTCTTTGTATACATGATGACGTGGCAGAACGCGGCGGAGAAACCGCCGTTCTTTTTGCCTAGCTGGGTCGCAGTCTACGTGATAAACGCGTCCGTGGTGGTTTGGGTGTTAGTTCTCGGGTTCGGGTTTGGCGGATGGGCCAGCATGACCAACTTCATCAGGCAGATTGACACTTTCGGCCTCTTCGCCAAATGTTACCAATGCAAACCGCCGCTTCCTCCTCCTGCGCCGGTCGCCGGTGCTCAACATCGCCGTTAAACTAAGCCGCCGCTAGTGACGTATGAAAAGTGTGAATCGTTGTTCTTCCTAATGTATAAAAAGACAGAATCTATAATCCAACGAATTTATTATGCTTATAGAAATTTGAATTTGCGTTGGAATCACACACGTGATTAGGGAGCGTGGTGCTTTTTGTGTGTTTGTCACGTGCCAATCATCAGGTTTATGACAGACTGTATCTTCCTAACTGCCTAACTGGTAGAAAACAATTGGATACTGACAAAATGGTTATCATTTCAATCAATCAGCCAAGGACGAGTAGGCTAATAATAACGATGCGATTCTGTGGATTTTAGATATAATGTCTTGTGAAATGTGTAAAAGCTTATTTTGTGCTTATATACTTTATATATTTTCTTATTCTTATCTACAACAAGTTATCTACAGAGGTGTGTGTGTGTGAAAAACAGAACAGTTTCAAACAATCGACTATGATGATGCAGAAGCAATTTCACAGATGATGCAGTGATCTGATACCAATCTCCACATGGCACTTCCTTGTTTAATCTCAAACTTCCTGCTGAATTTATTCCACAGATGCAACCCAAAGCTCCTCCTCTGCATTTGAAGAAGCTTGACCTTAACCCATTTGGAATCTCTCTCTGTCTTCGCCACTTTGAAGAACTTCTCTATCTCGATCCAATTCACAGGATAGAAAGCAGACGGTCTCATGACGGTGAAGTTAAAGCAACAAGATCCTTCCACGGCCTTAACCACTCGAGAGACCAGGTACGGTCCGTTGTGTCCCCATATGTTTCCATCGAAAGTGTTAGCGAACTCTTCGATGAATTTGAGTAAGAGAGGATGTTTCTTGTCGAATATTAGCACTGCGTTGTTCAGTCTCGTCCAGTTTGTCGATGAAGGATCAAAAGTTTGAGCTCCGATCACGTTCTTAAGCCCTTTGAAGCTTTTTAGAACAATCATGTCTGTGTCTAAGTAAACACCTCCGTATCTGTACAAGTAAGCAAGCCTCATGAGGTTTGACAGATTCTGAGCTAGAGATATCTTTCCGGGATCTATTTTCCCTGTCCTTATTCCCTCAAGCCATGACTCTCCGGCGGTTCCTTTGAGTAGAAAAGGCAGATCCGGCGTGACTGCAAGAACTTTGTAGCCACGATCAAGAAACGGCTTCAAGGCTGTGTAACCTTGAGGAGAGTCCATGGTTGACGATAGGATCATCAAGCAGCCACGAGGATGAGAGTTGAAGACACTTTCAATAGCTAAAGCCTCTCTCTTGCTGAAGAACTCTGCTGGTGAGATCCATGTCATGACGAAGTTGACTTCACAATATCCATCATCGATAAACTCAATTACCCTCTTTTGAAACTTGTCTGACAAGTTATTTCCGCTGAGATCCTCAATGACTTTGAGCTTGTCGTTCACTGCCATGTTCTTGTTAGGAGAAGTCATCATCGTTTTTGTCTCCTGTTTGGTCGGATAATTGCTTTTACTTTCCTTCTCAGAGCTCAGAGGTAAGTTTGGAATCATCACTCTCTTGATCTCTATCTTCACCTCTGAGAAATCTCTCTGCGGTTGCATAGAAAAATTAGACACTAGAACCAAAGTCAACGTGGTAACCACGATCAGAGTTAAAAAGCTGATCGCAAACGCGCTGAAAAGTGATGATGAACCAGATTGGTTTAGCCGTCTTTGATCAATCATCGTCGTGACTCGCTTCTCTATACCATGATCCATGATAAAGCAGAAGAGTATTGTTTTCGTATAGAGTTCGTTGTAAACCAGAGAAAATGAAAAGAGAAGAAATTAATTATTAGATGGATAAAAAAACAATGTCTGTGTTTTTTTAACTTGTTTTGACCGTTTTCTTGCCTTGTAAGCTGTCTAGTTTTGAAAAATTAAGAACTCCACGTAGATTATGGGTTCTCTAATCTCTATATTAGTCTGTTTTTCCATTTTATTTTATTATTTTGTGGTCAACGTTTTTTTTTTTCTTCCTAAAGAAATAAAGAGCATATAGCAATATTCATTTTAGATTGAATTAACTCATACTATTATTGGTTGTTGCAAAATCGCTATCGAAAAAGACACATGTGTTATAGACGTGTTTTGTTGGATTTTAATATTCTTCCGAATGAAAAACGCTGGTATTTGTAATTGTGGTTGATATGATTTTGCGTTTGGTTGGATATGGTTTTGGTTTGGTCTCGCTTCAATTTCATCCGTCTCTCCAATTCAAAACTAGTGTTAAAAATTCCTAGGATTATTCAATTGGAGTTTTGTTTGATTCAATTTTTTAATCAGTTTACATAAAAATACATAATTGAATAACTTATAGGAATATATGAGAGACGATAAGAGAAGAGAAGAGTTTTCTTTCATTTCATTTGAAGAGAAGCTGAGACGCTGTTGAAATCCTAGTAATATCTTTCAACTTCGTTGTGACCCGCTTTTTCTCAACAAGACCCAAGGTTGGTCTCAGAGATATTGTTGCGCTCTTTAGACACTTAGAATTAGCTAGGATGTATGTCAAAAACTCTTCCTCTTCTGTTTCGTCTCCATATCCTCTCCACTCAAATATTTCCAGTTGTGACGACAAGCAACTCGGAACATAACTCGGTTGGTTCCATAAAAGTTGGAGATCATCATCCGGCTCATAGTCACATTCCTGAGAAAGCAAATGAGTGGAGTGCTATTAATAAAAGTTTGACTGTCAAATATAGAAGAGGAGGAGAATACGTACATAATCCACCAAAAGTGTTTTTAGTTTTGGAACATTTCCAAGTAAACGCACAAGTGGTTGCAACCAATCTGACTCTTGTGGATATATTATCAACTTTATAAGTCGAGAGAATTTAAGGGTGCTACAACGCTCGAGCTGCAAGGAAACAAACAATGACGTAAGTATGTAATGTAATCACAAGATTAGATATAAGGTTAAAGAGATAGCTACCACTTCATCGTGCAATTTCAATTCAAGAGACAAGACCACCGCGGGAAGAGATGCTATGAACTTGTCAAATTTAGGGGAAGAGTCGACACTAATATATGCCTTCTCAAGACAAGGCATATTCTCGATCGAGTAAGAGTCTCTTGAACTATCTCTGATTTCAAAGTAGTTTAACGCAGGAGTATCCATAACCAAACACCCACCGGTATCTACTGCATCATTGTCGTCATCTAGCTGTGACCTGTTAGTGTATCCTAAATACCACAAAGAAGGCACTTTCACACTAAATTTTGTCACATTGTCATTGTTGTCTCGTTCCACATACAACAATCGAAGAACGGGGCAGCTCTATAAAAACCTAGCGGGAGAGTCATCGTCTTTATACACCACACACACAAGCTCGAGAGCGAGGAGCGATGGGAGACAAGAAGAAGAAGGGAAATCCACGAGAATCTTGTGGGAGAGATCCAAAGGCTTGAGAGTGGCGCAGTTATAAAGGCTATCAGGCAACCTGGTTGGATCTGCGGACCAGAGAAGCTTGAACTCTAGATAACGCACGCGGCGATCAACAGCTTTGACAATCCAGTTTGACAATTTGGAGAACACCGTGGACCGAGTTGCATAACTAAGCCATCTATCACAGGTGCGTTGTGGAGTTGCAATGATTTATCGAGAAACCAACAAACACTTGGATCATTATTATCCTCGTCCTCGCTGTCTTTGTACTGAAGTGTAGGTATCATCGTCCAAATAGGGAACCATCGTTTCGATAGAAGCATGGTGCTCACTGCTTCTTTTATCGGGGCAAAACGCAATATGCTTAGGATCAAATCTTGAGGTAACTCACTAATCCTGTCTTCAACAACTGTCTCCTCAATTTTGACTTGTGACATCTTCACAGGCAAGGCAAAAACCCTAAGAGAAGAATTTGGCGTCAAAAGCAACATAAAGGTACAATCATTATTAACCCTTGATCAAATCGAGTTGAATACAAAATATAGCTAGGTCCCCCCACCAGAGTTACAATAATGGGCCTTTATGTTTTTAACTCACATAAAAATTCCCAATAACTGGCCCAAATCCAAGGGTTAGTTACCGCCACGTGGGAAGCAATCGCGTGTATCTTAAATTCTTAATCCAACGGTAAACATTTAATGCGGGTGAGCACCGACCTGTCAGTATAGACTATAGAGAAGTCCGATGCCCTCTGACCTTTGTTTGCCACGTGGGGGCTTTTATGCTTTGCTTTCGCTCCATACAGTACAATTAATGCCTTCTTCCCACTCACACAAACGAAAACATTTTCTTCTTCTTCGTCTTCTTGCTTGAAGATGATTGGAACCCTAACCTCCTCTTCTCCGTTTTCCTCCACTAATTTCGTTCCCCAAGATTTTCCTGCTGGGATTTTCCCTTGTGGTGGAACAGAGATTTTCCCCAGAAAAACGTTTCAGTTTCACCTCTGTTTATATTCTCTTCACAGCAGGATTCTTAATCCGTTCCCACTTCGTTCCTCGCCGATTATATCATGTTCACAGCAGGTAATAGCACCTTCCGTTTTGTCTCTGTTCTCTCTGCAAATTTTTGCTCGAAATTTTGTTTTGCTCAGGAAAATTGTACGTCTAATATGCAAATGGAGATGATAACTGTGTTGTCTTGATACATATTTTTGTAGACAAACATAGAAGCTGCAGAATTTGAAGGTCTAAAGAAATGTAAGTTTCTTATACTACTACTACTAGAGTACTAGTAACTGGGAGTTTGTGGATTGTTGACAGCTGAGAGTATGATATTTGCATTGCAGCAACTATCAGAACGGTTCGTGTGAGGTTCCAGTTGCGGAAAGAGTGTGTTTTTGGAGAACATTTCTTCATCGTTGGTGACGATCCTGTGTTTGGCGGTCTCTGGGACCCTGAATATGCCTTACCCCTCAACTGGTCAGACGGACATGTTTGGACCCTAGACCTGGTAAAAATGCATCCATGTCGATCTGTTTTCTACTTTTCGATTCTCTAAGAGCTTTACTCTCTCATGAGGTTTGGTTTGTTTCTACTTTAGGATCTCCCCGTTGGGAGATTGGTTGAATTCAAGTTCGTGCTAAAGGCAAGGACAGGGGAAATCTTGTGGCAACCAGGTCCAAACAGAGCTCTTGAAACCTGGGAAACTAACAAGAGTATCAGAGTCTGTGAAGACTGGGATAATGCTGACCTCCAGATGATGATCGATGAAGATTTAGTGACACTCAATCAACAAGTAGAGCGTCCAGAACAAAGTGTGAGGCTTGTCACCACCGATGTCTCATCAAACGGTGCAAAAGAGGAGGAACAAGTGCTTTTTGGTACTGTACAAGAAAAGTTTTCACAAGTGGTTGTAGTGGATGTAGGATACGTAAGAAGCGATGATTCTGATGAAAACTTGAGTTCCAATCGCCAAAGTGAGAAAAACATGGAAACTTCAAATGGAGCTCTGACTGCTCGGCTGGTTCAGGAGGAAAATGTAACCAAGGAAGCCATGTTTACCGAGGAAGAAGCTCCAGTTTTGGTCCCTGGATTGATTCCCCTGTCTGATTTAGAAAACGAAGTAGTGAATGAAGCCATTAACGAAGGTAAAGCTGAAACGTTCCCGGAGGTAATAACTTGATAAGTTTGAAGTTTCATCTTCCTGTTTTTCTTGGTTCCTATAGGCTTCGTTTGCAACAGACTGTAGAGAAATGCTCTGCTTTGTACATTTTTGTTTCATTTAATGAACGGAGAAGCTATTTGCAGGTAGGTAAGAAGGAAGAAACCAAAAGAGAAAGAAATGAGAAAGGGAAAGGGAAAATGAAAGCGATTTCATTATTCGAGAAATCAGAGAGAGAAGCAATAAAGGGTGTAGAGAAGATGCAATACAATGCAGCAGAGGAAGAGATGCAGCAGCAGCAGCAGCGGCTAGAGGCAGAATCGCTTGGAACGCCAAATGTGCTTTTAGAGAAAGACATCCAATGGGGACGCAGAACGCTTTACAAGCTTCTTAGCAACTTTGGACTTTTCTAAATTTCCTCACAAAAGTTTTCAGTGTTTATCGATAGTCAAAACTATATTAAACGGTACGCTTCCTTCTTCGTCTCTGGCTCATATTTTACTCTTTGTATTTTTGAGATTTTGAGAATAGAATGAAGCATGTTGTGTTGTATTTGTGCATATGTATGATCAAATGGTTTTGGCAAAGAGGGAGATAAGGAGCTAAGTGGAAAGTAACTGTCTGTCAAGTACATAGGATGTTGTATCATGTCGCTGTCCTTATACTCTCTATGTAGTTTGATGTTATTACATAATGATGATGATCATGATTTTCATATAATTGGTCTTAAAATTCCATTTCTTACTTAAAGACGATGATTATCATGAGTAATTGAGTATGTTTACTTTTTGTAGAAATTCAAGCTCTAATAAGATTCTTTTTAATTTTGATATGGTTTATTAGCTCAAACCTTTGTTGCTCTTTACAAGGCCTGGTATTTGCCAACACCGTACGTTTAGGTGCACCTTTTCTCGTTTCTTGCCAGAATTTTATATTTTCTACAAATTTTATAATACTGATACACCTCATCAAATCGTCTATGCTTATTATATTCCTGTGTCAGCAATCTCAAGATGATTGTAAAAATTCTTGTTTAATCACATTATAAAGTATAAACCAACCTAGTAGCCTACGAGGATATAAAATGCAGTTTGTGAAAATATTGGGGGAGTATGGGCTTTGTTTCTTATCACTCAGTGAAGTCTTGCAAACTAGATTAGTCCAACAACAATACTGAAAATATACAATCACTATACGCATGCGGAAACGCCTAATGCAGGTGGAACTTGTGGGTACAAAAGCTTTTCAAAACACTAAATATTACTCATCAAAAAGTCCCTTATTTGGGATACTTGGTTTCCTTTTGAAAGAAGAGAAGAAGCCAGATCTTTGCTTATTTTGGGTATTCAAATTTGTAAGGATTATGTACCTTTATGTCTTCTTCCCCCACATTACAATATCTATCTCTTTCATTAAGGCCATTGCGTAAATTGTGCATTTCCGAGGAGACTCATGATTCGGACATGTTTTCTTTAGTCGCTACCTCTTCAAGTCTTTCGTTTGATACTGCTTCACTGCTTTCCCAAAGAAACCCATTTTCATTCTTCGGATCTTTCTCTGTTTCTCTAGATTGAGGTGACACATGTGCAACATACTTTTCTGCACAAAGCAACACAAAGAAGAAGATTAATCCAAATGTGATACAAAGGACTAAGAACAATCTCGAGACAGCGTTTCACAGAAGAAAATTCCCCAGTAGAAATGAAATTTTACCAGCCAAACTTCGAAGAGCATTCTCAGCCGCTTGTTGATGCGCATCTTTCTTAGTCTTTGCCATTCCAATGCCTATCTTCTCACCAGTGAACAAAACCTATGCAAAATTAACAGCAACAATAAAAAACAATTAAGTAGAGTTAACATTTTTAGACAAGGGACTTCAGTAACTAACAAACTAGGCAAGATTGACCGGTGAGGAACAAATTCTAGCTGACCTCAACTGAAAACTGTAACTCTTTGTTGCTACTCATCACAGTCCTAAACTCCACCTGCAAACACGTACATGAATTCCTCAGATTCGATGAAAAAACGAAGATACAATAGCTTGCGTGGTTATGCTAATATGTACCTTAGAACCGCATCTTCTTCCAATTTCTTGCAGCGCACTCACAAACAAATGAGATTGCCCACCGTTACTCTTTCCACCGTCTGTATGATGTTCCCTACCATTTGACACCAAATGATTCTGGGATATTCCGCCTTCTGTGAACAAGTACCAAGTTAAAAGGTATTACGTCTGATGGGGAAACCAATGTTATTCAAGCCTAAGTCAATTATATAGTGTAGCTTTTGAGCGGTAAGAAACTCAGCGATTGATTATCTTATCCTTATACGATTAGATTGGTGTTGAAGCTAGAACAAACCTGTTGTTTGACGTGAAGGATTTTGCCGTTTCATGTCATCATCCACACCCACCTGCAAGAAAACTGTCAGAAACTGCAGACAACAGACTTTTGATGCCGAGAGAGAGAGATGCTTAGAATACAAAACTAACCTCTTCACTCCTTAAGTGAGATGCATGCGGAAATGAACCAACAGGAGCAGAAAATTGATTTGAATAAACTCCTGAAGGTCTAGGAAGAGGAGGTCTATTCTCGTCATCTATCAACCAACCGCCCTGAGAATGCATAGAAGACGAAGGTGGCTGCATAGGAATTCTAGCCAGAAGAGGCGGTTGATTAAAATTTGGGTTCCTTAAATCTACACCAGGCCTCATCATAAGGGGTCTTCCACCATCAGAAAATGTGAAGCCATCCCGTCTTGGAGCTCCAAGCAAACTAGGTTCTAGATTGTCATTGAACACAAAAGATAGAGAATGTCAGAGATGAAAAACATTAACCTGCAAAATTACTGTACTTATATTATGTCAAAAGTTCGTACTATGAGAAGGTAACAATGCTGCTGCAGTTGATGTGCTCGTGTTGTTTGGTATAGTTGCTACCTGCGGCTTAGGGGTTTCAGGTTTTTGACCAGCGTTACTTGTTGTAGGAAGAGTAGAAGAATCAGCTGCAGCCTTCTCATTCCCAAAGAAAAAGAAAAAAGTCAACAGAAAAACAAATTACAACCGACAAAAAAGCTTTGCAGCAAAACAATTCTTTTACTCGAAGGATCACTTAATTAAAAGTTTTCTGTTATTATTTTACTGACCGCTTGGTTTAGTCTGCGTTCCACTTCACCCCCACACATTCCTTCCATGATTGGAGGAGCATTTATGTTTCCATTTGAGGAAACGCCAGGATCCTGCAGACAAATATAGCCAGATCGAATATTGTAGATGGGAACCAAATTTCTGTTCAGAACGTTGACAGCGATAAAGCTCTAACTACAGTTACCTCTATAGAGACATAGTTGCTCACATCCGGTGATGGAGGTAAATTGTCCACATCATCTTCATAGTTAACCGAAGATATACTACTCATTAAATTCTCATCAAATTCCCTGGCATAAATGTCCGGAAAAAGTAAGAACAACCAGCAAGAACTCATTACACAAACAAACAAAAACAAGAAGGAAACTTACCTGAAAAAGATACCTCTGACATTGCATGCAACATTTCTTGCTACGCAAAGAACTGGAACGGGATGGGCTGTCTGATAAATGGGCATAAGAGAATGGTTAGATACCCACATGGAAAATTAAGATAAAGTATTTAAATCCACAATTTAGTGTAAGAGAGAAAAACATGCCTCTGCCTGTGGAGCATAATATGGAAGATATGCAGGAACAACGTGAACCCGTGGTTGATCCTTGTCCTCCCAAACCTTAATACGGTCGTCAATGACCATTGCCATTTTCGGGTGGCAAATGCCCCCATTGAAGACATTTAACAGCGATTTCTTGGCGTCTGCTATGCAAAGAGCAAGAAATAAATCAAATCTTGTTTACAGAGAGACAGAGGCAGATAGTTGGTAAAACATCTTAAGGTTCATCAATCCATATAACAAAACAAGCCAGGGATGGTTTAGACCTGATTTAACGCATACAATACGATCTCGAAGCTCCTTGAGACTAATCAGGTGTGCTTCCGGATCAAGTAGTCTCCACATCTCCAAAGCATAATCCCTTTCAGCCATTGTACAAACATAAACTTCAAAACGCTTCCTAGTTTTTGCAGTCAAATAGCTTCTCAACTCCTCCCACGCTGGTCTCAGTTTCACAAGCACACTAGTGTCACGAATCTACATCAGAAATAGGTGAAAAACTTTGTTAAAGTTCGAGACTACTCACGAATACTTAAACGACCTTATCATAGACAGATCTTCTAACCTCTGGATTAATCCGAGTAAGCACAGTGTTCTTCTCCGGCAATCTAATCACGGGTCTGTAAACTTTCTCGAGGCCATCGGAAGTTGGTCGGACCTCCTCAGGCTGGGCCTTAAACAAAACTCCATTATCAAACGCATAGTCATTATCAATGTACTGCTTCAGCAGCGTCCTGTCATCCGTGTACCTTTTAAGCTCTGCAGACATTCCATTAATCCTCACAGGATCCATCTCTCGCGAAATCCAACTTTTAAGAGCATCGATTCTATCCTCGAAGGACTTCATCGTATTCGCAACAATCAAAGTCTCGTCCAGATCAAACACAATTGACAGACACCGCGTGTTAAGCATCCTTAGGCAGGAATCGTAGAGACCTAACGGGACTGAGAAACACCAAAAGCAAGGGAACTTCTTCTCCGTGCTCGGCATCGCCACTAAGTGAATCTCTTCATCTCCGAGCAGAACCACGGCAGTCTGCAATCACAAAATCGAAATTCATATCCCTCCATACCAAATTGGGAACAATCTAATTCAACTAAATGGCACAGCGACCCGCGTTTACCTTCATTTCATGGAAACAGACTGCGTGGAGATGCTTCAACTCCTGCGGTTTGACCGGAGCCGATGATTCGAGCTTGCATCGAACGGCGAAAGAGGCGATAGTCTGGATAATCGCGAGCGGAGGACACCTCTCGCCGGCCGGAGAAATGCGGTGGATGCGAATCTCATCGTTCGGGAACCGAAATTCATTTCCGGAGGATACTTGGTAGACATCAAGTTCCCCCAAACGCAACTCTCCGTGGTAAACTACGCATTTATTACCTAGACGACTCATTGAAATTCGTCAAGACGACTTCTCGAGAACGAATCCGCCAGTTGAAATTTTTGTTTTTCTGTGGAATGCGTGAGAGATCTGCAGATTCCAGAGATAATTTCTTCTCTCTCGCTACTTTCTCAGTGATTTTTCTCGCTAGAGAGGGTTTTTCTGGGTCCCAAAATTTTTTAGACACAAGCCAGCCTCAGATATTTATAGGCTACAAAAGGCGTTTATTTGTTACGACATCGATTTCAACTAATTTACGAAGAAACCTGATGCTTTTTACACGTGGCGTAAGATGCGTTATCCTGTTTCCACCAGCATCGCATGTTAGCCGTTAATTGCCTTAACATTTGTTTTTTTTTATTGTAACAACTATTAATTGCCTTAACTTTTATTCACCGTCTCAGTTGAACATGTTAAAAGACATGATAATTTTTTCTTATAAAATTGTTATTTTCTCGAAAGAATTATTCTCTGTTTGTTGACGAAAACAAATCGACAACTTTTTGTTGAAGACAACTTAGTTAGCTTGCTACGAGAAAATTGAATTACTTTTTTTCATAGAGAGGTGATGATGTAATAAAAATAAAAATCAACTTAGGCGGATCAAAAGGGATGATTGGTTGTTGCTCTAGCTTTTTTTTTGCTGTAGAGTTTTTGCTTTATGCTTTATGGCTGTGGCTGTGAAATTGTTGTTTTAGGATATTAACTACAGGATTTTAGTAAAAAAGGAAATAGGTAAATATGGAAAATAATAATAAGAAAAAAATTAAAGAAGAAAATAATATATTTGGAAAGAATTAAAGAGAGAGAAAAAAGAAATTCAGAGTCTTTAAAATTATGCTCTAGAAATTTTGCTCTGCAAAACTAAAAAAGAAAGGAAAAATGAAAGAAATGAAAGAAGATTGTAGATTTTAAAAAAATTGTATAGAGCATGATTAATGATCTATTTGGCTTTAGAATTTTTTTTTGCTCTCTACAGCTTCTACAACCACAACCAATCACCCCTTTGTAAGTAAGAAAAGGACAACCAACACAAATATTTTTGTTTCTTTTGTCATCGTCAATGGTCAATACAATATGTACCATCATTGTTATCAGGAGTATATATTTATTGCAAAAACAATTGCCTTTTATCACACCAAAAAAGTAAACCAAAATTCAAGGCCACACTAAGAAACATTTAATCAAGACCTTGATGATGCAATATGTAGAGATAATTTATCTACAATAAGACAAAGTGAATAGGCAAATGAAGAACACGGTATTAACTTAAGAGTAGCTTCTCTCGCTGAGATTATCGTCGCTACCGTCTAAGAACAAGATGTTGACACTCGATTCCGAGCTGCCGCTGCTGCTCACTGGCCGCTTTCTCCTGGTCCCTACTGATCTCACACTGTACACTGAAGCTGTCGGAACTTTCGTCACTGGCTGTCGGAAATTGCCAGTCATGCTTCCTCGCTTCACATCCTAGTAACACATTACAACATAGGAAATGCTCAAAATCCGAAAGTCGCCTAAACGATGGTAAATGTCCTTTTATTCTTAGAAAAAAAGAAAACTAACTTAACCTATTATTCAGCTGACTGAACCGCTTAAGTGATTTATTTATTTAGACTAGGTCAAATCGGTAACACTTGAATAATTTCCAGCCATTGTTAATTTGAATTTTAGTGAAATAATATCATTTGTTAGCGTACCATATGTCTCAAGGCCATGTCGATGGAGCTTTTAGATAGGTTTTCTGGCAGTCGTGGTGGAGCAAGTTTTCTCATGTTCACAACTCTCTCGGCCTTTTGATCCCCCATAGTTACAGGACTGATCGAGCCACCATCATCGTTGCTCGTCTTTGCTCTTCGTCCACGCAACGAAGGAACAGCTCTATTGGCGTTTCCAATCGGAGCTCGGTCTCTAGAAGGCGAACAAGACTGCCTCCTTGCAACAGTACGTTCCATGGATGCTGATCTTGAAGTAGACGTACCAAACGCTATGGTTCTGCGACTCGACGCCGTTTGTGGTCTGTCTGGTAACGTAGTCCTAAGATTGGACGGCGCTTCTATAGAGAAACCAGGCATCTCGTAAGGTTCCCATGGCCTTGTTCTCAATGCAGGAGAGGGAGTCGGTTTAGCTGGTTTACTCTTCAATACAGTTGAAGAACCGGTCGGAGTTGGGGGACGGCGAGTTGGAGTACTTGACCTCGATCCCGGTTTTGTATTTGATCGAGTAGAGGTGGCATTTTGAGCGGTTAAGGTGGTGGCATGTGCAGTTAAGCTAGCACGTGATGTTCCAGAGCTAGAAGGCCTTGAGGTTGGTGTAGAAGGTCTGCTCGCTGTTCTGGAGCTACGAGTGGACGAGGATAATATGGCACGTGCAGCTGTTAGGGTTGCACGTGAGGTCCCAGAGCTAGAAGAAGGCCTTCTTGTTGGCGTAGAATGTCTGCTCGTTACTCTTGAGCTGCTGGTGGAGGAAGAGATTAAGGTAGCACGTGAGGTCGTTGTAGACCTTCTGTTTGGTGTGGAAGGTCTACTAGTTGACCTTGTGCTGTTAGAGGACGAGGGTCGTTTGAGCCCAATTGTTTGGTTTTTGGATGAAATGCTGTCCTTCTCTTCTTCGCGGCAGTTCTGTAACTGTTGTGATCAAGAAATTATCATATGGTATAATGTACACTCAAAAGCAGAACAAAAAGGGTTACATAGACTGAATTCGTACCAAGGAATTAAGAGCCATCGGGTTAGCGTCGTGTTGGTTCATAAGGCTTTTACTCGGTGAGCCTGGTGGCGTAACCAGCCTGAACATTACGGAATAATCAATAACAATAGCAACAAAATTATAAATCTCGCTTATGTTGATAATGTCTTGTTTGATATTCATGGCCGCCCGTATTTGAGGCATGCCTTTATGAAACATTGACAAAGGGCAATTTGCTTTTGTGTGCATTATACTTCCAAACTCAAAACCAGACATCAGATTACAGTTTAGCATGAATGTCTAAGAATTTTTACCAAAAAAGCAAAAGAATGTCTAATCAATATACTATTTACGTCGAATCTTTGCTTTTTGAGATTATTATCAGAATCCTAGAAATCATAGTCTAAAGTGAAGAGGAACAAACATTACCAATCGTAATCGGACTTCTCGTCCTCGGAGTACAAAAAGTTATCGGCGGCAGTTCTCCGGAGAGGGTATCGTTGAGACGTCATCGTCGTCGTACTACTTTTACAATGATCAGATCCTGCAAAAATACAGAGCAAAACGAAAATAAAAATCGGACAACATATTAAATACAATTATATATATATTTACATATACGAACACGGATGCGGAGCTCGGTGACCTTTCTCGAGACGACGTAACTCAAGGAACAAAAAAAGCTCTTCATCTCTGTCTTGGGTCAACATTTTTTTAATTATTGTTCATGAAGGAACAGAGTGGTGAAGATGTTCTTTTCGTGTTTCTTTTTCTTTATTTAAAAATGCCAGATTTCATTCCAAATAACCCTTGTTGTTGATATATACGAAACAAATGGAGTATTCATGTATTTTAGATTTTTTTGTTTGGTCAAGAGAGCTGAATATCTTTATGTTTTTCCGAAAAGACAAGATTACTAGTCAATCTCTACTGATTTATAAAATCAAAATGGTAACACGGTTTAATTAATTTTCATCATATTGTTTTTTAGAAGCATAAAGTATACTGACATACTAGTATCTCATATATTCTCAGGTTCATTTAATTGTTTCATCGTTGAAAGAAAAATGAGAAAGCGTTTTTTTGGTTTATGCCGGAAACAATTTGTTGGTTCGATTTTACCACCCACGTGAGGACAATTAGACCCACACATTTAGGGGTTTTTATCAATACTTTCCGACAGATGATAAAAGTAGACAAGACCAGTAAAAGTTTCGGCCTTGGTGTGGAAATATGGGAAACGTGATGGGATTTGTTTTTTTTTTTTGTATATCGAAACCTACTAAACTGGAATAATGATTAATCTGCGATTATTTTTAAAAAGAGATTAGTGAATCGCGTGCGTCTCTCTCTAATTATCTTCCAAAAACCCTAATCCCCAAATCAAATCCAATTAATCGTTTATAGAGGGGGAGGTTATTTCTTCTGTTTGGTTTGCTCATTAGAAAGAAGAGAAACGCAATCTGATATCGATCTCCTTAGCTTGATCTGGGTATTTCGTGATTCAATTTACGGTTGTATCTCCCGCTGCAGAGAAGCCCAATTGAGATTTGGATTCTGCGAAATGCTGTAATTTTGCCATTGATTGATTGCTGAAATGGACCTAAATGCATCGCCCTTGCCCGAAGAAGACGAGGATCCCTTTAAGAGACGTCGTGAAGACCATATAGAGTCTGCTGTTGAGATCGCAAGACGGGTACCTACAATTGAATTGAATTGAATTGATCAACTACTTCTTTCTTCTGATGTGTTAGGAAGAAGATGAGACTTTGGATGATATCGTATTTTGTAACTTTTTTTATTCAATTGTTCTTCGTAGGAGCGTGAAGAGAGAAAGAAAAGAATAAGACTAGACAGGCCAAGCCAACACTCTCGGCCAGCTTACCGTGATCAGTCTTATCCTAACAACAGAGATACTAATACTCGAGTTTATGATAAAACCAAGATCCCTCAAGGTGATAACGTATAATTAATTCCTCAAAGTGTGTGTGTTGTTTCCTTTCTTTAGGCTCATCAGTGGTTTCATTGACAAAACAGGTTGGCTAGATTGTCCTGGTTTTGGTCTGGAGATAGGATGCATTATCCCTTCAAAGGTTCCACTCAGTGAATCTTACAACGAACATGTTCCTCCAGGCAAAAGATACTCTTTTAAACAGGTTGTTCGTAACCAGAGGATTAATAATAGAAAAGTAAGTTTGAGTGTTAAATAAGTTTGAGCTCATTGCTTGATCCATAGGCCATAGCATCCATTTTCCTATGCTATGATGCAACTCTGTATAGAGCCTGTGGTCTAAAGTTAAAATACCTTTTATTGTTTTTCTTTTCAGCTTGGTCTGGTGATTGATCTGACTAATACAACTCGTTATTATCATACACTGGACTTAAAGAAGGATGGCATCAAGCATGTTAAGGTCAATTGAATTGAACTTTTATGTTTGTAATAATGATTGAATTGTCTGTACTCTGTACTGCCACTCGCGGATTGCTTTATCTTCCCTTTTCCTGTTGTAGATCGCATGCAAGGGTCGTGATTCCGTGCCTGATAATGTGTCTGTCAACACCTTTGTCAACGAGGTACATTGTCTCTCTCTCTGAGTTTTGATTGAAGCTCAACAACCTAATCTACCGTTAGTAGCTCATTCATTTATATTTGTCTCTAGGTGGTCCACTTCGTCCTTAATCAAAAGCACACAAAGAAGTATATCCTCGTCCACTGTACGCATGGACATAATCGGACAGGGTTCATGATAGTTCACTATCTTATGCGCTCTAATCCGACGATGAACGTTACACAGGTTCGATTCTTTCATACTTGTTATATTGATCCTTTTTAGAATGGAGAATCTTACCTCTGTGTGGCCTTTGGCAGGCGTTGAAGATGTTTTATGATGCCCGCCCACCTGGGATTTACAAACCAGATTATATTGATGCTCTGTACACTTTTTATCACGAAATAAAGCCTGAGAGTGTTACTTGTCCACCAACTCCTGAGTGGAAGAGGTCTACCGAGCTTGATCTTAATGGTGAAGTTGTTCAAGATGATGATGATGATGGTGATGATGCTCCGGCTGTCCCTGTTCAAGTAAGTTTGGTGCTAATCTCAAATTGTCAATCTTGTTTTGCTCGAGTTTTCTAATGGGTCTGTTGCTGATCTTCCCTTTTTTTTAACTGTTTTGTTGTTTTAGGAAAACGTTCAGGAGAATGTGACGATGTCAAATGATGACGTTTTGGGTGATGAAATACCCTATTATCAGGAGGAAGCTTACCGGCAGTTCTGTTATAAGATGCTTCTGATGAGTGTTGGGGTAGGGATTTCAAAATGCTTATTTGTTATCATTCCTAGTTTATTTTCCTCCATGGGCTTCCTGGATTAAATTTCTCTGATCCAGGGAAGAGGATGTATGCAATTCCCAGGTTCACACCCTGTATCCTTAGACAGGTCTGACTCTCTGCTTTACTTTTGACATTGCATACAAAGACGATTTAGCAAGTGTATGTCCGATGTTGTTAAACCTAACGCATTTGGCATACGCTACTTATCCTCAGGGAGAGTTTGCAACTGTTGAGGCAGAGGTACTATTATGCGACATGGAAGGCGGATGGAACACGATATATGATGCTCTTAACTGTAGATGGGTGCTATTTGATAGATAGGAGCTTTAAGTTTCGAAGGGTACAAATGCGTTTCCCATGTAGGCCATCAAGCGATGTGAGAATTCTTCTGTCACTGCTTAGAGGCCTTTTGTGTCGATATCTAAAACTTTGTTAATTCCCTGACTTTTGTTTTTGTTTCGTATCGTAGGGAATATCTAAAGTGCATCATTACACTTTGCTCGATGGAGAAATGGTTATAGATAATGCAATGAATGAAAACGGGCAGGCGAGGAGGAGGTACCTCATATATGATATGGTAGCGATCAATGGTGAATCAGTCGTGGAGGTTGGTACTGTCACATGCTTGGATTTGGTTCCCAGTATGCAGCTTTCATTTCAACTGAGTATGTACCAGTGGCAGGTTTTTTAGATACAAAAGATGACTTAACAATTGAAATTTGAAAATGAACCAGCGGACTTTCAGTGAAAGATGGAACATGCTCGTGCATGAGGTGGTCCAAGGCCGTGAGGCTGATAAGAGAAAAAACCATTTGTACAAATACGACCTCGAGCCTTTTGGAGTAAGTTGTTGCATTTTTCCGTTTCATACTCTCATTTTCCTTCGCCGTTGTGTATAAATTGTTGGTGTTGTAACGCAGGTACGGACAAAGGGTTTTTGGTTACTCTCAACTGTTGAGAAGCTTTTGAAGAATACTATTCCGTCGCTTTCTCATGAATCGGATGGCCTTATATTTCAGGTAACCAAGGGGATGTTTATATTCTAGGTTGCACTTGTTGAGCTGACATATATTGGGGTCTTGTGGACTAATGAATGATAGGGTTGGGACGATCCATACGTTCCACGAACGCATAAAGGTCTACTGAAGTGGAAGTATGCGGAGATGAATTCAGTAGACTTTCTGTATGAGATGGGTGAGGAAGAAGGGCGAGGAATGCTCTTCCTGCATGAAAGAGGGAAGAAGAAGCTTATGGAAGGATATTCCGTTGAGTTTAGAGATGATCCCGACCGGTCAAGTTACAATGGGAAGATTGTTGAGTGTTCGTGGGATAAGGAGAAGAAAGTTTGGGTTAGCATGCGTATCAGAGTTGACAAAACCACTCCAAATGATATCAACACCGCTCGTAAGGTCAGTTTTGAACTGTTTCTGTATATTTGTAAGTATTTGTGTGCTTTTTTTGTGAACCGAACTTTCTCTTATATATGTGTTTTGAACCAAAATAAAAGGTGATAAAGAGCATAGATGATAACATCACTGAGGAAGTGTTGCTTGGGGAGATCAGAGAGATCATTCGTCTACCAATGTATGCAGACCGCATTCGAAGTGATAGTCAACTCGCACGCCGCAGGTAGAGAGATTACATTCTTTAGTGATGCTTCTTCTTTAATCTTAATCTTAGAACACAAATAATAACAGGTTTTTCTTTTCTCAATACCGTATACAACTAAATCAAGTTATAATAATTACTTTCTGAATTTGTGAACAAGAAAAATTATATGATTTCACACCACCTTGTTTGTTATTCTTATAAGTTGTACATATTCGAGCAACAGCAACAAAAACGTAAGAGACATGTGATGCCAAAACGGCCATAAAACGACGACGTGTTCAAGCCAAAGCAGTCAAGATGGCTTCTCCAAGCACGTGCCCTTCAATCGCGTCTAGCAACCTCTCTTTCGTCACCTGTGTGTGTGTCACCACATTCAAACCAAACTCGAACATTGAACCAAGGCGGACTGTAATTTTAAAAATTTGGCGGGACTAAGAAACGACGTAGTTTTTACGGGTTTACTATACCGTGTGACCAAGTTTGGGATGATCGTCGAGAGCAAAGAGCTTGAACTGGAAACTGTGATCGTGATCGTGACTAGGCATGAGGGGCCCACGCCAACCAGGGATCTTGTGATCGTTATTCCCTTCCCGGACACCGGCGATCTGCTCGTCCTTTCCAGAATATCCTTCCGGCAGACCTTTCAACTCCGGCGGAATGTCGACGACAACCCACACCGTCCAGGGCACGAGCGGTCCACTAGGATCCGGCGCATCGATGTCCTCCACCACCAACGCTAGCGATTTCGTACCTTCTGGCACGTTGTACCTATTGTTTACTCTTCAATTGTTAATTTTGGTTTTGATAATTATACGATTGATTAAGAGTACTTAAGATAATTAAATACCATTCAAGAGGAGGAGAGAGATTCTTCTGGACGCCTTGACCTCCCTTGGTGTACTTTCTCGGCAGCTTCCCTTCGTTATCTATCGTCGGCGACACCAGCCTGAATTCCTCACTCGACATTTTCTCCTTTCTCTTTAATCAGAAAGTTTTTGTTCCTTCTTAAATATTTTTATCACAAAGACTCTCTTTTCTTTACTTCTTTGTTTACTGATTTGAATGTGTCTACGTCACTACGTGTACAAATAAGCTGAGAGCCTGAGACGTCGGCAATGACTCGTGGCGTCATTGGAAATCTCTGGAAGGTCTGAAAAAGACTTGTAGGGGTACTTCGTGGCGTGATGACTTCTGGCACAACTCCTTGTTGGGTATTTCACTAATTAGTTCATTTGTTAATTGGCCTAAATTGTTTTTCTTTCAGCCCATTTAGGTCCATTAATGGGTGCTGAATAGTCTTGATATTTAGTCTTCATATACAGTTTCCTTATGTGTTACTAATTACTTTCCAATATTTCAATATGGTCATGATGTTCTGAACAAAAAGTCTATACTCATCACTCATAAAAAAATGCCTATATTTATTTATGGGATTTTGCAGCCAATAACCATAAAAAACACTATAATTAAACAAGTAACCATATTATTTGATGGCTATGATATTCTCTGTATAATATACAATATATACCAAAATACCCTTATTCTTTTTCTCAGCTCTTCTCCATCGCTTCTCCATCTGGATTGAAATGGAAACCCAGAGAAATTCAGATTTTGTCACTGAAATTGAACGCAAATTCTATCTGTCTATTCTCCTTCATTTCCGTACTCCAATTATCGAAGATGGAAAACAATTTGCACCAGATTTGGGGTTATATGTTGGTGAAGCGAACATAGGGTAGAAGAAGAAAAAGAAAAGTATAAGAAAAGGATCAGATTCATACAACTATATTTACAACTCGTAATTATCTGATACTTGAGAGCAATTTCAGTTTGAAATTTGAACATCATATCTTGAATGAGCATTTGTATGGAGGCGATTGTGGTTGGTGAAGCGGCAAGAGAAGCCTTCATCGAATTTATTTGTTTTTCCTAAAGTCGATCTTCCATTGCTACATTCCCAATTCATTTCCTCAACTTTCATTAAGTGTACTTGTTTCAGTGATTTTTGGGTTTCTTTGTTCTATACAATCGATTCATCAAAATCAGGTGTGTTTCATCTCACGCGAAAAAAGTAGAAGTTTTTTTCAATCCTGATTCCAACTTATGAACTTCTCAAAGGCTAAAATCTCCGCGAATAGAAGAGTTTAGTAACCCTGAAAGAGCACAGATCCCGTGAGCTTCATCCTCACGAATTTTAGTATTTTCCTCCTCTCTCTTAAACTATTCCATTTATCAAGTGAGTCTATACTATTTTACTAACGTGTTACTGCCCTGGTGCAATTGAGAATCTAGTGAAGGTAAAGACTAAAGAATGAAGGATCAGATTATATATGAATCCCAGTAATGAATTGAGGTCAGATGTGTATAAATTTGGAATAATTTTTCAGATTGTCGGAGGTGGAGAAGAATGAAGAAAGGGGATAATGAAGAGACATAAATTTCTCTCTCCTTCGTATTAACTTTTGTAGGGCTATTTTTGTCCACTTTACTACCACTTTGTTATTTGCTTCATTTTCATATAGAAATGGCTATAAACTTAATTTAGATGCTCAATATGGTTATTCAACAAATTAACCCTTTATTTATCAGATTTGTAAAATGTTTGCATAGATACAAAAATAAATGGTCGATGTGATAGGTGCGTGCATAACAAATTAACACAGACGTCGTAGTGAACATTTTTGATCATATAACATGGAATGATGAATAAACTTTTTAATACACGTTTCACCACTCGAAAGGTCTAGAATACAAGTGTCCAAAAATAATTACGTGAGCAATGTACAGCGAACGTCTGCAAGTTTTACTGTACCTGAGTCACTATGCGGCTGGAAAGGTACCAAAATAAATGTAGACTGTAACATGAGTCCATCACCATCACCCATATATCCAAACCTTCGCTATCGCATTTATTTTACTTATTAACCACTACGCCTTTAGTCTTTTATACATTTATTCTCTCTAGTTTAGTTCATCTAGTTTGGCAAAGGTAGGCAATAGGCATATCACTATCCCAAAGCCTACCTTCTTTTCCATCTATTTTTTTAAGAAATTCTTATTTTTGTGTATGTATGCCTTTTAAACGATAATTTCTTCTTTCGGATTTTCATTTCACCTTTAGTTCTGCTACGCGTATACGTATGTGTGTATGTATAGCGTATCTCAATTCAATCGATAAAATTTGTTTTTTTTTGTGTTTAATTAAGTTCGTCCTTCAGCAACATTAGAATGTATACTAATATATGTTTGCATTACGTGGCGCCGGTTTGTTTATATGACTACCCAGTCTGAGTGTTATAAAAACCGTTCTTTCGTAGACAATAGCAACTAGGAAAGGGAAAATAAGCGAAGAATTAAAGGAAAACAATTGAAGAAAAGTGACTCAAAAGCTCGAAAACATTTATCTTACGTAAAAGTAACGTCTAATTCACTCAACAGCTGAGACGACAGTTACCTATTTCACAGTCGAAACTTGAATAAATCAATGGTTGGCACGATATAAAATTAAAAATGATGAACTTCGTTCTTTTTAATCTTCAATTTATTAATTTAATTTCTGTATCAAAATTAAGAAGAATAGAGTGACCGAATCCTGGAGTATTATTGTTACTGTTTCAAGCTCATGCGTCTATCCAGCATAGTATCTGGTCTTTTCAAATCAATGTACTTTCTTTCGTTCTTGTATAGGTTCAAATATGCGAAGAAAAATTAAAATATCAGTTTTGCAATTCTACTAGCTCCAACCGAGTTAGTTAAATTAGTTCCGTTTTAAAGAAAACTATGTATACATATGCTTATTTACTAATCTTGAAACATACATAAGCTTTTGTGAATCGATATATATGACTCTAAAGTTATGAGATAAAAACAAAGATATGTCAAATGAATATGGACAAGTTACTGTATATTTACATGCGTATGTGTAATGTGCGAATGTAAATTGTAATGAAGGGTGATTGTTTGAAGAGACAGTACGTAGCGTTTGAGTTGTAAACAAATGATTAGGGCCGGTTTTGTTTTTTGTCCGCTTTTCAGTCCAATGTTTTCACCGAACCCCACTACTACGTGAAACCCGGAGCCTCACGTGCTCTTCCATTTCTTTGAAACAAAATAAAGCAGTATATATACGCATACTACGACATACTACGAATCTACGACAATCACAATGGATCATTCAAGTTTTCATAGCCAAAACCCTAATCCATCTTCCACCACCTCCTCATCTTCTTCCTCTTTCCACGGCCACAAGGGAAAAACCGGAAACACAAAACGTTCAAGGTCAACATCCACGTTATCGACGGACCCACAGAGCGTGGCGGCGCGTGAGAGACGGCATCGGATCAGCGACCGTTTCAAGATTCTACAGAGCATGGTCCCTGGTGGTGCTAAGATGGACACTGTTTCCATGCTCGACGAAGCCATTAGCTACGTCAAGTTCTTGAAAGCTCAGATCTGGTTTCACCACAATATGCTTATGTTCTTGAACGACCACGAAACTACGTCGTCTTGTATTTATTCTCCTGCCGGCGTCGGAGAATGTGAACCAAGACTCTTAGGTTGTGATGACGATTATGCTCCTGTTACGGAGACGTATTCACAAGAGATGCCACCACTTACGGCTACGGACTCGGAGTATCCGTTGTGGTTTGGTTCGTTTGACGAAACCATGCATCGACGTAGCTTATCTTAGTCGTTGCTATTGCAGCAATATGTTATTTAATTATATATACAGATTCTATAGTTTTTAGAAAGTACTTTAGTTTAAGGATTTTTTGTTTGTTTGTTAAGAAGTTGGTGTGTAGTTGATGGATTATGCATTTAAATTTGAAATATATATGTATGTATTTTGGAGAATGTAATATATATGTTAGATCGACTAATTGACTAATTAGTAGAATTAATGGTTGTTTTCAGTTTAATGTATGAGTGAGTTGTTTTTATGACATATACACTATTTGGAGTCTTTGACAAAATAAATTACACTACACAGTCTACAGATGCCTAGATGGCTAGGCATCTACCAGCTCAAATTATGTTTTCTATACCGTTATCATTATTATTCTGAGGTGCCAAATTCAATTTCAAAGCATATAGGTCCATCGACATCAGAGCGTTTCAATTTAAATGGAACAACAACACGTCGTTTCCACCACACGCAGACGCCACGTAGTTCAAACGCACGCGTGCCACACGACACGCTTTACGAGGTTCGACGGCAATTACCAAATTGGAGTAGAAAGACGACGATTTCTCAGTTCTCCGATCAACGAGATAAAATGGAAGTGCAAATCGAAGACTCTGGTAAATCAAACGTTTCCTATATTACTCTCCTTCAATTTCTGTACTGTTTCTATCTGATGAATTTTCCGGCGATAATGGCGGAAACCAAAGCAGGGAAGGCGAAGCAGATGGTGGTGCTTCTAATTGGTCCGCCTGGAAGCGGCAAATCCACGTTTTGTGACACCGTTATACGATCTTCTCACCGCCCCTGGTCTCGCATCTGTCAGGTCCCTCTCTTACTCACTCTATACTCATTGTTCTGTATTGCGCAAAAGTTGACTGATGAAATTCCTCAACGAGACTTTCTGCTATCTATTGCCACTGATGAATTAGAGCATTGTGATTCTCATAAGATAGAGATATATCAATCTTATCCCAGAAATTTGATTGCCATTATCAAATTAAGATTTTGTTTGGCTTAGATTTCATATTTTCGTAACTCATTTCAGGACATTATTAGCAATGGGAAAGCAGGAACCAAAGCTCAGTGCCTAAAGATGGCTATGGATTCTCTTAAGGAAGGCAAAAGCGTCTTTATAGACAGATGCAATCTTGACAAGGCGCAGCGCTCGGAGTTCATTAAGCTCGGTGGTCCTGAGGTTGAAGTCCATGCAGTGGCTCTGGAGCTTCCTGCTCAGGTTTGTATATCTCGATCAGTCAAAAGAACCGGTCACGAAGGAAATCTGCAGGGCGGAAGAGCTGCAGCTGTTGTGAATAAGATGCTTCAGAGTAAAGAACTTCCCAAAGTGAACGAAGGGCTCTCTCGGATTATGTTTTGTTACAACGACGCAGATGTTGAGAATGCTGTTAAAACGTATAGCGCGCTTGGCCCAATGGATAGTCTTCCTTCTGGCTGTTTTGGCCTAAAGAGTTCAGACACCAAAAGCCAACCTGGTATCATGAAGTTTTTTAAGAAAGTCACTGCGCTTCCTGCTTCATCTTCTAATGAAGTTACTGAAGCAACTCGCAGAGCTACTGAAGCTACTACTGAAGCAACTCGCAAAGCTGATGAAAAGGTAGAAAATTTCCGAGATTCGCCAGCTAAGCTCGGTTCTGCTGATATTGTACCTACACTGGCGTTTCCGTCAATTTCTACTGCGGATTTCCAATTTGATCTTGAAAAGGCAGCTGATATCATTGTCGAGACAGCCGAGGAATTCCTGCCTAAACTTGGGACTGCACGGCTTGTCTTGGTCGACTTGAGCCACGGGTCAAAGATTCTATCTTTGGTCAAGGCTAAGGCTTCTCGGAAGAACCTTGATTTAAGGAGGTTTTTCACATTTGTCGGAGACATAACTAAGCTTCATTCAGAAGGTGGTTTGCACTACAATGTTATAGCTAATGCTGCTAACTGGTAAGTTTCAATTACCTTATAGTCTTCAGTAAAATGCTTTCTAATCAGGTAAACGTAATTGTAAAAAAAAAAACTGTGTTCAGGCGGCTTAAACCTGGAGGTGGAGGTGTAAACGCAGCGATATACAAAGCGGCTGGTCCAGATCTCGAGGCTGCGACAAGAGCACGAGCAAACACTCTTCTTCCTGGAAAAGCCGTGGTGGTTCCTCTTCCTTCTACTTGTCCTTTGCAAAATGCAGAAGGAATCACACATGTGATACATGTTCTAGGTCCAAACATGAACCCAAACCGTCCAAACTTCCTTAACAACGACTACACCAAGGGCTGCAAAACTCTCCGGGAGGCTTACACATCTCTCTTTGAAGGCTTCCTGTCGATAGTACAGGATCAATCAAAGTTTCCCAAACGAAGCAGTCAAGCAACTATGTCAGATTCTGGTGAGAATATCAATGAAGAATCCGAGAGAAACACAAAAAAGTACAAGGAAGATAAGGCCATAGCTAACAGTTTGGAATCTGGGGTTGTGGATGATACTAGAGACAGTGATTTGAAAATGAGTAAAGGGTGGAGCTCATGGGCATTGGCACTCTACAACATTGCTATGCACCCAGAGAAATACGAGAATGTCGTGCTTGAGTCTTCAGACGACATTGTTGTGATAAACGACCAGTACCCGAAGGTAAAAGTCTTGATGCTGATATATAATATTAGTATCTATCAGCATGAGACGGATGACTAAATAGGATATTTTTTGGTTTTTATCTGGTTTAGGCGCGGAAACACTTGCTAGTAGTGGCGAGACAGGAGAGTGTAGATGGACTAGAGGATGTCCGCAAGGAGAATCTTCAACTTCTGCAGGAAATGCACAATGTTGGTCTCAAATGGGTCGAGAAATTCCAGAAAGAGGACGCATCTCTTATCTTCCGCCTTGGCTATCACTCGGTACGTACTACGTAAGCCATACTCTGCACTCAAATCATTGAATTTTCACTTCCCTCTGTATGATCTGTTCATTTTTTCAGAGTTAGAGTTAAGAGTGCATTAGCAAAATCATCGAAATTGATATGTCTTAACATACGTTGAGGTTTTTTTATTTGTTTTCAGGTTCCGTCCATGCGACAACTACACTTGCACGTTATAAGCCAAGAGTTTGAATCAGATAACTTGAAGAACAAGAAACACTGGAACTCATTCACGTCCTCGTTCTTCCGTGACTCGGTCGATGTGCTTGAAGAGGTTAAGAGCCAAGGAAAGGCCAATGTGGCGAGCGAAGATCTTTTGAAAGGTGAGCTTCGTTGCAATCGGTGTAGAAGCGCACACCCGAATATTCCCAAGCTCAAATCGCATGTCAGAATCTGCCGTTCTCACTTTCCTGACCATTTACTCCATAACAATCGTCTTTTGGTTCGACCAGAGTAACTTTGGATTTATATGCTTTAGTTTAACAATTAGACAAGTTCGTATCTAATTTTAATAGATTGGGATTTTGGCTCAGATTATGTTTCTATCAACATTTTTTTTTTCTCTCATCTCTAAAAAACAATCAAGTTTCAGAAATTTTTTTACCGAACTGATTGGACTTATTCGGACTTTTATGGAAGATAATTAGACAAGCACAATCATTGAGATAAGAATGGAAAAGGAACTTTTTATTCCACGATAAACCGTAGTAATCTGGAAAGAAACTAATAAAGTTCCAAAAGCAATAAGAAAACCAACGGTCGAAAAGTAAAAACCAGAGTACTAAAACAATGTCATTAAATTGCTAAAGAAACGATTAAAAGATGGCGTGAGCCCCACTGAAGATCCGTTTCTCTCACTCTTCTTCCTTGCTTGTTACTGTACTGACTACTGAGGGTTTGGAGGACGACCATTAGCAGCAGCGACGCGTGAGCCCCACTCAAGCAACTCTTTGCTCGTATCATCTTTATGAACAATCACTTCGATGAAACACAGACAATCCTTCTTCTCCGTTGTCGCTGTCTTTATCGCTTCCACCAACTCCTCCTCGTATCTCACCTGTATAATCAAACAGAATATTCACATGTTATTTACTTAAACCTTACAAATTTCCAAGAGTAATATGTAATCTTAAATTTGATTACCTTTGCGGTCCAGCAATTGCCTTCACCGTTATGAATAGCATCGACGAGAGCAGTGTAGTTCCAGTTCTTGATCACGTTGTATGGACCGTCATGAATCTCGACTTCAATGGTGTAGCCACCATTGTTAATCAGGAAGATGATCGTTTTCTGACCGTTACGCAGCATGGTGGATATGTCCTGACACGTCACCTGGAAGCTTCCATCTCCAATGAAAGCCAAGACTCGCTTGTCCAGTTCAGCTTGTGCGTATCCCAGAGTCGCACCAACAGACCAACCGATGGATCCATACTGCATCTGAAACTCGTACCTACGATTGTAAACCAGACTGAAATTTCTGTTTCTTCCCATCATGTAAAATACTAAAACGTAAAAGGACTATCATTGTTGTTTTTGGATACGTACCCACATCCTTGTGGCAGCTTCAGCTTCTGGCAATTGAACCAAGAATCACCAGTCTCAGCAAGCACAGCGGTATCACCAGAGAGCATCTTCTGAATGTGTTGGAACATTGCGTTGACTCTCAGAGGCTCTCTTGGCTTGCACTTCAACGGCTTGCCTTCAGGGACAAAGATCCTGTGGTAGTTCTCATACGCCGTGCCGTTACGCGTCACCCTCTTAGCCAACTCAGTGAAGAACTCGCTCATCATAACGCACCCAAAGGTGAGACCGTTACCAACGGTGACACGATCAGGATGCACAACGATGGCTTTCTCTTTCTTGAGGAGAAGCGAGTAACCCACTGAGCTGTAGTCGTTGAATATCGGGCCTGCGAAGATGTAAGCATCTGCAGACTCGACAATCTCAGAGCAGAAAGGAGTGCTCACTGCTCCCCAGTAAGTCCCGAGGAAGTGAGGATGTTCCTCTGGGACTAACCCTTTCGCAGATGGCATCACCGCCATGGCGTAGCCTGAAGCATCCGCTAGCTTCACAAAGGCCTCACTGGCTTTCGCTACACGCAGCTTGGGACCACCAACCATCACCGGCTTCACGGCCTTGTTCAGAAACTCCAATGTTGCTTCAACCGCAGCTTCTAGACCCAACTTGTTGCTCAATCTTAAAGAAGAAGAAAAAAACCATCTGAGGATCCTGATCAATGGATTCTTAAACAAAAGTTGATTCAATGGATTTTTGATTGGATCTGTTACCTTGGAGTTAGCGAGAATGGGACTGGATCACGAGTGAAAGTAGGATGAGGAATTGCAGCCAAGTTGCAGCTGATGCTGATATACACAGGCTTGCTCTCTTTCAGAGCTGTTGAAATCGCCTTGTCGATCTCTTCGTGAGCATCGTCCATATGGTTCACCACCGCCTGAGAATTAACAGCACAAAACGAAATTCAGATTTCTTCAATTTTCGAATTTAATCGAATCGCAAAACGGAGAATGTAATTTGGATCGGAATTGATTGATACCTGGTAGCAAGTGACGGTCTGGAAACAGCGAAGCTCTTGGCTGAAATCAGGTAATCCGATGGTGTGATGGAGAATCCGGTTGGTGCCGAAATCGTTGGAGTTGGGACCTCCGACGATGCAGATAATCGGGAGATTCTCGCTGTATGCGCCGGCGATCGCGTTCAAAACGCTGAGTCCACCGACGGTGAAGGTCACCACGCAGGCACCGACTCCGCGGGATCGAGCGTAACCGTCGGCGGCGTACCCGGCGTTTAGCTCGTTGCAGCACCCGATGTTGTTGAGCTCCGGCTCGGCGATGAGGTGGTCGAGCAGAGTGAGGTTGAAATCGCCGGGAACGGTGAAGATATCGGAGACTCCGGCCTGGACGAGACGGCGGGCTAAGTGTCGGCCGAGAGTCGCTTCGGAGGCTCCGACGGCGACCGCGGAGGCGGGAACAGAGTCATGGAGTGTTGCGACGACGCCGTTTGGTGGACTACCGACGTCGCCATTCGTAGGATTGCAAGCGTCGATGGATCCGATTTTGGTGTCCATTGGAATCACAGAGAAAGAAATGAGAGGCGATTGGTTTGTTGGAAACTTTTACTCTGCGTGTGTGTGTGTGAGAGAGAGATGTGAGTAATGCAAATGGAACGAAGGGGTCTTTATATATTATACAGAAAATATAATGTGGAGGTTTCTTGCCTTGCGCAAAAAGTATAAAAAAATATCAAAACAGATCCTTTTTTGCGCGTATTAAATATTAATGAGCTGGCTATATATTTCCTTTCTCGTTGTTTTATTTTAATTTGTTTTCAAAATTTCTTAATCACGAAAAATAGTAATTCGCTTAAAACAAACAAAAATGAAATTTTCAGACAATTATTTGTCACAACTTTATAAGAAAACCATTCATATAGTATATAGTCCAAGGGACCCGTCCTTTTTTACCGTCTATCGCAAACCAACGGAGTCGCCAGTATTCTCTTTCCAAACTTAGCTTTAATTTCCCCTCGGTTTATCTGATATTTTAGTTTTATATTCTGCTTTCTAGTTTAAAATATGATAATCACTAAATGCCAAACCAATAGATCGTAAATATTTAAGAACGTCGAATTAGCTGAGCACTTATCAAAGCTGCTAGCTACTAAGGGCTTCTTAATCATTCAACCATTACCAAACGCAATTCTTATTGGTTAATTTGTGTTTTCTTTCTGACATCTTTGTTGAAGAGGATTGTTATGTTGAGTGTTAACATTAGCAATATATTCTTTAGTATTTGTTTCTTTATTTACGATTTATTAAAGTGCCTTCTTGGTTCGGTTTACCGGATGTATAATTGGAAATGTTTATTTTGGTATGTAATAAATATTTGATATGTTTTAAACTTGTTTTCCAAGGTTACGTACGGTAAATAAAAAATCTTGTCTTCCAAGGTTTTTAGAACCGCAATGAATTATTATTTTCAAAAGCATCAATTCATAATTACTCTTGTGATTCTCTTCCTTTTGATATTTTTTGTAAACGAATTCTACATTTATACGTGAGAACAATATAAACAGTAGTATTAAATTTGGTCAAATTTTTATTTAGTTCTAACCCAGATAATATAATATTTGTTGCCATGTTTTCGTTAGACTAATTTTATATTATTATTATCGTAGATCTATTTTTATCTCTACAGACATAAATTTTAATTTTAAAAACACATGGTAACATGGAAATGCTTATCTGTAGGATCAGCCAAGTAGTACGAGATTAACCATGAAGAAAAAATTACACATTATTTAAGAACTATATGGTATTCTTGCATGCCATTGCCCATTGCTGGCACAGTGTTCAACTGAAACATTGCTAAATAACCATTTGGGTTTATCTTTTTGTTATTTTATAAATTGATAACTGGTAGGAATAGGCTAATATATATACTAATGAATTCATGTAAGTATAATATATTGTGTATTTTTAACGTGTATTCTTTTATTTCAGGTACTTCTAACGTGTTATATTTTTACAATTCAATCGAATTTGAGTAAGTCAATGACTCAATTACAAGATGGAATAATATCACGTTTTCTTTTTTGATAAAAACAATTAGCAATTGGGTTACACTCAGAACTGTCTCTCTCTTTACTTCACGAGTGCCCTTGAATTGTCCCCGATAATATCTCACTATTCGTTTCCTTTTTTTGTTTGTAAAGCGGACACTATTCTACGAAAGTAACTAAATTACTGATTGCAAATTTGCTAAAACTTGTGGTACAGTCGGCAGAAGCCCAGAACAAAAACTTCTTCCAACCCGTTGATATGTATGACGTGTCACATTCTGATAGGTGATAATTTACATGAATACCGTTATAATATTTGGCATCTCCTGCCACCACCAACATGACGTAACCAGGCATACGTACGTAGGACAAGCAAAGCCTTTTTTTCGAGTCAAAAACTCAAAAGTAGTCTCTTTTTCGAGTAATTCCGCATTAAACAAAATCCAACGCAATTCGAGAGAGTCAACAGCTACTTCGGGGCGTACGTGCATAACTTATCCAAACAAATAAAAAGAAGTCGGACTTTTATGAAAAACACAACGGAATATATAGTACATATTTTTATTAAGTACTAGACTCTTTAGCACAAAATCCTCTTAAACTAAATAGTAAAATGAAAAGTCCATTTTCTTCAAATACCACTTTCGTAGGAGAGAGATGAACCATGATATTTCAGAATCCACATTTCTAATTTGAAATATTTTCGAATTTCATGTGAACACTCATCTTCTTTTTTTTTTGTCGAAAGTGATCATATGGACCTAAGCGAACCAGTTGGTACACTGGCTCCGATATTTTTGACAATATTGCATTGTTGGGTCTTAACAGGCTTCAAACAATTGTTTTTAATTTACATTGTCAACGTCTACCAAAACTGTGACACATTGAAATCTTGGGAGAAACAGATAACCGGTGTTTATTCAAGTCGAAGATATTAGAACATGTTGTGAAATTAATGATATAGACCATTTACATTTTTTTTTGGTGAATGAAAGACCATTTACATTTACACGTCTTTTATGTGCTTAAGATAGAACATATCAGAACACGTATTTTTTTCTGGTTTTACATTTACACGTCTTCTATGTGCTTATGATGATTGTTTCATATGTCCTATATGATGAGTTGATGACTACAATTTTATACGAGGATTATTTCGAGGGCATCATGTCTCATAAACAAGTTTATGTATAAGCTGTTAATACGTTTATTCAGTTGTCTCTTTGCAAAATAGAGAAAAAAAGGTTATTCTGTTGACTCTTTGTATAATAGAGAACAAAAGGTTTTATGCTCTGCTGGTTCACGCCTACATAATAAGACTAGCTACAAGAGAAAAGCGCCAAACTACGGAACTGCACAGTTTTCTACGAAATTCAACAACTAATCAAAAATTGAAAAAAATGGAAAAAAGAGTGTTGCAGCAAAGAGGAAAAGATAGGTTGTATTACAATTACATAACCAATCAATTTATTCCTCACACGGCAATTATATAATTTAGGCAACTGGGAAAAAGAGAGAGATCGATGTTCGATTCACTCGGCAAAAAGTTGCCTTCATTCAAACTATAGTTCAAACTTTTGAAGCTAATACGTATAGGAAAACAAGCTTAACAAAATTCGATTGAAAATCAGCTATGCAAAAGGCTCCACATAATTTCAAATCAACACAAAACAAATTAGAAATTTGATATAAAAACACAATAAATTTCCCATCAGAGTAACTATGACAATAGAGCATCATATGGATCTGATTAACAGATCCATAGCTTTTTAATATGTAATCCTCATTAGGAAAAAATTGTATAAAGTTTAACAGTAAAAAACAAAAAGAAAAACGTTTCGAAGAGAACTAGACGAAGGTGAAAGTGAAGAAGAAACAGAAGAGTCGTATAAAAAGGAGAGGTTAAGGTGATGAGGCGGCGGCAAACTAGGGTTTTTGTGAGTGTTGACGCAGCGTTTTGGTATTAACATAAAACGAGGCTGAAATATATGGGCCTTGGTGTTTCAATATCGGCCCATAATTATATTTCGGCCTAATAACTAAATCACCATAAATTAGTGATATCGCGTAACTGTATTTTTGTAATCTTCAATTGACTCGACCATAAAGTGTCTAGAAAGCAGCTGATTCAATTATTCAATTTTTCTCTTGATCAAATAAATCGTTTTGGCTGAGGATCAAATCGAAATCCTAGCAAGAATTTCAGAAATAAAGCAACAAGAATGAAGAAACACTGACATTTTTATGTTTCAACAAAAAGGTGTCTCTAATCTCTATAGAGGAGCATTGAGGAGATATCTCTTCTCATAGAGACCAGTGACTTGATCAGCAACAGCCCACATAATAGCTTGTCCTGGAGGAATCCTCATTAGCCTCGGCAACAATCCTCTCCACAAAGCCACCAATCCTTCCTCTGCATAAATCGTTTTAATGGCATGAACCATCCCTTTGTATCTGATCCCACCTTCGCTGTCTCGGCTTTGAGCCATCAACCTCGTTTTCACCACATCAAACGGTCCAGTGCAGAATGGACCCGCGGTTCCAGCTAAGAAGCCTGAGATCATTGACTGCCATGGCTGCAAGGCTTTGCCGTCGCCTTCGTGTTTGTCCCACAAGAGTATGTCGAAGGCGTTCTTCGCTGAGAACATTACTGCTTGGTTGGTCCCGTTTCGCATGACCGTTGGTGCTGCACCTGACCATAGCCCCAGTATGCTTTCTTCTCTCACGATGGTTCGAGCGCAATGTATTGGTCCTTTGTACTTGAACAGCTCCGGACTTAATCCTTTCTGCTGCTGAAGCCTAATCTTCACCACCTGGAAGCAAAAACAGTTAAAGGAATCATTTTGAGATGCAAAAACCCTTGAATCCATGGCACAACACACAGTAAAGAGAATGGACCTTTTCAGGCTTGTAGCTAATGTTCATGAAACCAGTCAAAGACTCAAAATGCTTCTAATTAAATGAATATGACTATCACCAACACGATTCTCCGGGTTAAGATTTGGCATTAACAATGAAACCAGAAGCACAATGCTCATCTTCGTAGCACAGAAATTCGATAGCACTGACCAAAATCAAACAGATCTGAACAAATAATTTTCACTACCATCATTCTTTTGACTAAAATATACTACTTTATTGATGAACAGATGATTCTGGTGCGAGAATCACGCATAAATAATCCAGAGTTTCAATAAACAAATCATCTCAACAAACTTATCATTAAACAATTGTTTAATTCGATTCGCAATCGAATAGAATATTGGGTGAGCATGTGATTTCGTCAGAGTTTTTGACCCACAAAGTAAGCGAAAAGGCAAGAAATGAAGCTTACCTCAAAGGGTGTAACAATGGCGAGAGCTTCCAGAACACCAGCGCCAAATCCGGAAAGCAAACGGCCATGGCTGCTGATCTTGCCGGTCTCGGAATCCTTAAATGCGGACTGGAACATGGCGTTGGATCCCATCCGAAGCGTGTACTTGAGAGTGAGGTGAGTCGCGAACGGCGTTAATCCTTTCCAGAGAGCGCGAACTCCTTCGGTGCGAACCACCGTGGAACCGCAGTGTGCGATTCCCTTGTACGCGCCGCCGCGATCTAGCTGGAGACGCGTCTTGATTACGTCGATGGGTTGTAGACAGCAAGCCTCGACGACTCCACCGAGAGATCCCGAGATTGCCTTCATGTACGGCGGGATCGACGGCTGGTTCCTTGATTCCGTCCTCGCCGCCGCCGCCGCCATTTCCGGAGATTGTCGGCTGAGTCTGAGAGATTCGAAATCACTCTCTCTCTCTCTCTAAGCAGAGCAGAGAGAGTTGTTGCTCTGCCACACTCGTTCGTCTACCTCCTGGCGTCTGATCTTTTGATTAAGAGATTTCTCTTGATTTATGTGTTTGTGCTTTTTATTTTTAATTATTGAAAGGAAAAGATTCGTAAAATGATTTCCTTTTTCCGAAAGCCGAAAACAAAATGAAAATTTACACAAGGAAAACGGCTAATTCATGTTTCAATTATGGACAGCTGTCGAAATCCATTCATGTACTAGTGAGTTGTGTGTGTGTACACATTTTTAAACCCATAACATACTAACATAGTGATTAATGGGAGTTGTATAAATGCATATTTACAAAGAAACCATGAAGTTTATGTCTGACGTTATTGATTATTTATGTTGTCAGCTGGTTTTGAATTAAATGTGGAAATATGCCTATGGGCTCGATTTGAAAATTATGAAGGGAACTCTATGCGTAGTTGTTATGCCGGAGTAGTTTGTAAAGAGCATACATAAATGTGTAAAATCAAAGAACTGTTAGAGATTAGGACGATGAGTGAAATATGCAAGACCATCATAATTACGAAAAATAGCGAGTGAAACACATATATAAAAACTAACTTAGACGGTCCAAGTCTGAGTGCCATAGATGCAAAATAATAATATAAGATTTGCTATGGACACATGAAATGAGTTAAAGCCACAATCAAACAGTAAGAAGTAATTAATGTCTACAAAGTACGTAATTAGTTTAAGGGAAGAGTGATCAAGCTTTGGTAATAAGAAACGGTACCTCCCAGTAAATAAGGAGCTGTGAAGAATTTACTAAATGAGTTAAACCGAGAATTGTATAGCACGAGCTTGTGGTTGTCGTCGCTGGAGTCATAGAGCAATAGCCTGTTGTTGGCTGCGGGCGAAGATACTCCTCATAATCTTCATCATGAATAGGACAATCGAGAGTTGAACGGAGATTTATGGAGTAAGTTTTGACCCATGTCATCACATTGTCTTGATGTAACGACCATATAGTTTGGGTGTCTCCCTTATCCTCCGACAAGGATAAGCGGTTATTCAAGGTGCAAATGCCGATCCGCGTATGAGGTGCATGGGCAACAGGTATTTTGGTCATAACCGTAAAAGATTCAGTGTGAAGATCGAAAGACAGGACTTGTGTTTCTGTGCCGGCATCGATGAACCAATGGAGGGACTGTTGGAGCGAATCATCTTGGAGACAAAGGAGCCGTTGAAGTGCCGTTGAAGTGTTTTATGTTTGAATGAGTCGTCGTTTAGTTGGAGTCAATAATGGACCGATTGTTACGGTCAAGTTTGTTAGTCGTATCTTGGTCCTTAAGTTTAGGATTTCCGTTTGATGTAAAGGCTATTTAAGCCATGTTTCTCTATTGAATAAGATTCAGAGTTTTCAGTATACAAACAAAGAGCATTTGATCTTACAGGGACCCATGTGCTTGAGCTGGCTTTTTATAATCCAAAACTGGATGAGGAGAAGAAACAACCACATCATGCCTCCAAGTGTTAACGTTGTTTGTGTCAAAAGAGAAAACCTCGCATGTATTAGTTTGGCTGTTCGTGTCGAACCAATAATCAGAGTTATACAGCCAAACAATCTTTGTATATCCCTCTGATATTGTCTTTACCGAATCCCATGGCTGGGAACAGGGGGCTTATCGTATCGCGGATAAGTGCATGAAGTCTCGCATAGGGTAGTCTGCGGTACCATCTAGTCGCAGGATTGATCACACACACGAAATCTTTTGAATATAGGCAGATCAGACCGTCGCAGCTGCTTGTAATCCCAACAATCCCTCGTTCGTTTGTATGGGCAGGGTAACGAGTATGGTTCTCCAACGTAAACGACGTTTCCCCCAACCTCAATGTCCTAAGAGAAGCTTCTTCGCCGTCGCCAAGCACAGACACGTTTACCACTATACTCGGATCTCCAGATTTCTGTTCATGCCTTAGATGTTTCTCCTTGAAACGACGGGATTCGATTTCTCTTCTCCATTGTTTCGACACCGCTTTGAATCTCATCAGTGATTTCACCGGAAGTTTCTCGATAATCTCTTCCACCACCACATCTTGTGGTATATTTACTGCTGCCCAACTAAGACTACTACTACTAATAGTGTCGTCAACCTCTCTTTTTCTTTTTGGCATCGTCGATCTTGCAAAGCAAAACGTATTTATGTATCTAGGTATTAGGTTTATATACCCTTTTTGTTTACTTTGGCTTCGGTTTGTACAAGACTATTTTAAAGTTGTATTTCTCCGATCATAAGGTCTTGTATTTATACAAACTTCAGGACTAAACCAAATCCAAACCTAGTAAGAAAATATTTTACATAGAAAAGGAAATAGTACTTATCCACCATACGACGTTGTGAAGTCTGCTTCAGGAAAAAAGGGATTCCTATTATCAAAAAGAACATAACCATTATTTAATCGAAGGCGTTTATGATGAAGGTAATCAACCTTACAGAATTCAGAATTTCAGGTCTCGAAATCATATTTTCTTACAAAAACCCGTGGAAATATAATTTGACAACCACAAATACAATCATGCAGTGATAACTAGTAGGCATTACACATTACATCAATTAGTGATGTGCTTCTATGATCATAATCTTCGATCCAATTTTAAATGGTTTGGGGGTTTTATGAATAATGGTGGTTTAGAGTTAACAGGTTTTTCTTCCATCATACGTATACAATTAAATAAAGTTATACTTACATTCATCTGAATTAGTGAACAAGAAATTTATACAGGTTATAAAATGAAGAAAGATCATTTGTCTATGCATATATCAGTATCTCAATCTAATTTCAAGAATTCGTTGACAAAGGACAACTAGGGTTTGAGTTGGGCTTTTCACATCAGAAAAAAAGTCTCGCATTGTTGAATCCCGAGCTTATTACATTGGAATAGTCTTTATATACAAAGATAAAGAGAGTTACTCTATGTTGGTAATCACGGTTTCTTGAAGGACTGCAAAGTTAATAAAAAGAGTTGTTTAGTCCGTGTTTAAAACAAAACAAAATGAAAAGTGGTGCGAAAAAAACTCACGTCAGAGTTCTTGGAAAGTTCTTCCATATGCTGAGCGACTTTCTGCTTGCTCTCTTCAGCTGAGAAGCAAAATCAAAGACCTTGTAAGATTATGCAACAGGCGAGAAAATTAGCAAAAATACATACAGAATCACGCTAAAAGATATAGACAAACCTAGTTTAGAGATGTTTTCGATTCTCTTGGAAGTCCTCACAGCAAATCTCTGGAAGGCATGGCTGCCAATACAGAAACGAAATTTGTCAAAGTGTTAATGGTAAGTATTGTAAACATCTAAGCCAGTGAGTGTCCGAAAATGCAAGAATCAAAAGCAGCACAAGAAAGAAGAAAACGGAAAGCCTTTTTACACAGGAAGAAACTAACCAAACAAGCGAAACAACAGTAAATTTTTTGATAAATGGAAATATAGATGAACAAAAGAACAGCCTCAGACTCTTAGATTCAAGAGTAACGTCATGTATTTGATCAGGACAAGCCTACGAAATCATCATTGGCAGGACACCACAAAAAAACTCATCAAGTAAAAACAGTGAATCAAGCCAAGCTACAATGCTCTTCAAAAACAGTAAATGGCTTTCAGCAATCTGAAGAGAAAGGTCGAAATTGACAACACAAAAACTAGAAAGGAAAACAAAATGTCTCATTCTTCCTACGCTGCAGCGTATGGTATCGGACACAGCAGACCAGCGTGTAAGTTGAGTTTATGTCGCTTCAATATGAACGAGCCGATTATGGAACATTTCTAATCCATTCAGCCAGAGAAAGAAGCTTTTCGTATATAAACATCCATCGCAAACAATAACAAAATCCTAGATCGACTATGAGAATTGGAAGTACCTGTTCGCCAAACCATTAACTATGACCTCGTTGGCAAAGTATGAGATAACTCTGGCGATGAAGTTTCCTCCCCCCGCCATAATCCCACTTTCCTATCAATCAGGTGCAACGAAACCCAATTGTTAAATGTTACCCCATATCACAACAATTTCTGGACAAGTACAAATCATAAAAGAGAAAATAGATGAACGAATCTATAATCCAGACCTAACGTTCTCATGGAAAACAATTTCACAAAACAAACGAAACGAAAATGGATAAAAAAAATTGAGCATAGTCAAGAGATCGTACGAGAAATAGAGAAAATTTCGATGGAATCGGCCTCGACTGATGCAAAGATGCAGACGGAAGAGGGGATTTTAGAGACCTGATTAACTCTGTGTGACGTCTCTAATTTTAACGATGACCTGATTTCTCAATTTATAAAAGACGAGAACTTTCTCGTGACGGCGATGAGTTGTTGCGTTGACGGAGCCTGTTTACCATCGGACGGTCAAATTACCCTGTGACGAAATCCTACGGTGCAGATTACAACAAGCCAGCAATAACCTAAATACCAATGTTCCTGGCATTCCTATATTACCCTTCTTTCCTACCTCAATTCACAAATGGCCCAGCGTTTCATTTATGGGCCGAACTATCTTGGCCCCTTTTGGGATGTCATTTATATCACAAAACGGGCCGATTTTCTTTTTTTTTTCATTTTGTTGGCACAACGCAATGACGCCGCATACATTGGAAACAAAAACAATATTCTGACAACACAAAAGGAGAAGAGAGAGAGAGGAGTTCGGTTTTCCCGTTTGACCCTCAATATCCTAGCCTTATTTACAAATGAGCCAAAAGGATCCGATTCCACGTGTCGGGTAATCCAGGGAGGCACCAGTGTATACAGTCAGCGTGACGCATGGGATCAGCCCTCTCCTCAGCCGTTAAGAGCTTGCCACCTGTCTCCGTGTAGACTGATGTGTGGGCGTCGATGCGGTATTCGGAGAGCTGCGTGATGTTGATGACAGTCACGTGCGTGGTCATGTGCTTGACGATGCTTGACACAACTTTCATCATCTCCTTGTTGGAGCCAGTTCCCCAAAAGTTCCTATCTTTGATTGGCTCCGTCTCGTTGAAACACTTGGCGCCGTCTGGCTTCCCCCAATCCGCACTTCTGCACGTTTTAACATAATAAACACTTTTCGTTAAATTACAAAACAAACACAATAAAACAAATTAGCCCGAAATGGTTACCTACCTAGAATGAGTAGGAGACATGGTGGTGAAGAAGACTTTGGTCTTGTTAGGGTCAACGGTAGAGTCAACCCAATTAGCCCATGTCTTGAGCCCTAGCCTGTAAGCCACGTGTGTGTCGAGTGCCTCCGCACCTTTCTCTCCGTTTTCAAAGGAACCCCACAAAGCTTTCATTCTGACACCACTCATCCACCAAACATAAGTGTTGAAAACCAGAAAATCAGCTCCTTCCCAAAACTTTGCTCGATCTTCCACCGAATCCACTTTCACTATCCTTTTCTTCAGATCCAAAATCACCGGTAAATCCGTGTTCGATTCCACGATATAAGGTGCCCAGTAGAACTCTATACTCGCATTGTATTCCTACAAAAAACAGCGAACAATCAAAAATCTGAGCTTGGCTTGTGACACAAGGTACAGTGACATCTGACCTAGCAAGGTATCTTTTGTAGTTTGTAGTGCAAGTTAGGATCACTAAGCGTACCTTTGCTTTGAAGACAAAGTATTTTTGGCTACGCTCCATTGATTTTTCTCCTTCTGGTATTATTGATTCCACCAAACACACGAAGGATTCCCATTGGCTTCGTTGCAACGAATCTCCGACAAAAAGCAATCTCTTTCCCCTGAGTTTGTTCATTGCTAACTTCGCGCTAAATCTGTTCCGAATTAGAACAAAGTTCATATAAAAATGATGTATCAGAATAGACTTAGCTTGTGCTTAAAGTTGTGTTGTTACCGTGGGATTGTACAGTCATCAGGTTGCCATTCCCACCGAAGATAATCAGTATCTGGCCGTTCATTTTTCATGCAAGCGAATTGGCGATCGACGTATGGACATGATTCATCGGTGTAGAGTGGCTTCACTGAGCTATTGTAAACCCATTTTCCTGCTGCGACATTACACTCTTCTGGATCAAAGTCGAATCTGTCGTCAACCACTTCCATATTCGCTGGTATCTCTTCTCGAACTTTCTCTTCTGATCAGCAAGACAAAACAGAGCAAGTCATAAGATTACTTACTTCATAAGAATAAAAACCGGCAAAATCGGACAAAAACAGAGTTTTGAGATTTGGGCATCTCGTATGTGCTTACTAGGTTTTGGTTTTGAGCTAATGTCTTTCCTGGGACAAGACTTTAGCTTGGGGAGAGCAGATGGGGAATAGGAGGAAGAAGAAGAAGACATCAAGCTGATTCTTTCAGTGTACAAGAGTATAAAGAACATGAAACCACAGAGAACAAGAACGATGATGGAGAGAGGAATCTTGGTTCCTCCTGCTCCTCTGTTTGGATTCAAGAAGCTCATAGTGGCAGATCCAGTAATATTGTGTGGAAGAAGTGACGGGATTGGAAATTAGACTGAAAAAGGTGTTAACGGAGTGTTTGGTTTTTATTTGGGAAATTAGGGATTGAGTAGGAGTGAAGCTAAAGGCATGTTTCGATGTATTGCTTCCATCTTTTTGCCCAATTTAATAAAGATGTGGTTAGGGAGGTTAGGGCTTGATATGATTGCGTTTATCTATTGGTCAAATCGTTAAAACGTGAAATGCACATGTGTTATACATTATATCAAATTAACAATCGTTCGGTCATTTTCTGCCATATATGATAAATCTTCAAAGAACTCTTTGTTTAGTTGTATTTAATCGATCAAGTATTTTTTGTTCGACCCACCAAAAACAATCAAGTATATTTACGTACGTACTGGCAAACTTTAAATTTTCATGTTGATTATTGAAACTTCTCAACAAACATGAAACTGATGTTATTAGTGACTAAAATAACATAGTACATTATCTACTCTACTAGTGAAATGTATATGCATTTTACACATTAATCTTAATAACTGAAAATAAGTTAGCACTGCTTTTGTAAGGATTTCATAATGGTTTGGCTGATTATATAGTTAAAAACTTCGAATCCATACGAAGAAGAAACCCAATTTAATTACTATTTTGAATATTTTTTTTGCAATGATTGTCAATAGGAAACGTCATGGTAACATTCGGTTGAAGCTTAAACATATAAATTGGGTTTCCTATTTAGCTGCACCAGGAACATTCGGTTGAAGCTTAAACATATACTTATAAAAAAGTAGAAACAAACATCGATCTTTGGAAAAAGCATTGAGTGACTAACTTGCATGACACCCACGGAAGTTACATAAGCCACTGTTAATATGATTATGAGGGTTAATAAAACTGCTAATCAACAATCATTCTTAAAAAGCCGTTTAATGTGAGGTATAACTAGTTCAGGAATAGTTGTCTGGACATCGATATCCAATAAAGCGAAATTTTTTCCCAAATGGTCATGAAAACGAAATAAACAGGCACCAACAACAATAGTTGGTGTTGCTTGTAAAACCAACAATAGTATGTTTTAGTTATTTTTAGTTTCGATGATAATTAAGTCAATTATTAAAGGCAAGCACAAATCATTAGACTTTCCACTTTGGCCATTAAGTAATGATATAGTGGGTAATGCTGCACGTACCTTTCGTCACCAGTCTTGTTTTAAGATTGTTTTATTGGATGAAGACATAAAAAAGTGGAGATGCGGGGTATCGATCCCCGTACCTCTCGCATGCTAAGCGAGCGCTCTACCATCTGAGCTACATCCCCGTCGTTGTTAGAATCAGACTAAAATGGTATTAGACGTATTAATTTGTATTTGGGCTAACATAGGAATTCAGATATTCTTCTAGATTGAGGGGCATTTACGTTTCTATACAGTCCAATAAATTGTTCGAACTAAATTTGTGAAATTATTTGAAATTACGACGATGAGTGATATATACGTGATAAATGGTAAATACTTAAAATACATACCCGAACGTTGACAAAAAAAAAAAAAGAAAAAAAGTTGATATCAAACAAGTACATGTTTTTGTCTATCTCGGTGTTTTCTCACAAACTGTATAGTGTAGTTAGTCTTTTGTCGTTGTTGAGTTGTGATGTGTTTTTGGTTCTTTTTTTATAAAAGTAAAATTAATTTGTAGACATGCTTAGAAGAAGAAAACACATCTGCATTGGTCGATCGCGAGAGTTGATAAGCTTGGCAAGTTCTTTAGTGGCAAACATTTCACGCGCGTCAGAGATTAATATAGATTTGTCTATCTGCTTTCGTTGCTTCTTTTACTGGTGTGAACTACGCGACCGAACTACTTTCTACTAGAGCTTTGAAAATGACGCCACGATGAAAAAAAACCTCTTGTTTTTATTTTGAAAAAAAGGATGAGAAAGAAGGGGAAAAAGGAAAAGTAAAAAGGAATCTGTAAATATTTTATACCATCCTCTCCTTTTTCTTTTTTTTACACTTCGAATTTGAATTTGGAATCTATTATCATACCTTATAGAACAAAAATTTGGAATCTATTGCTCATAGTCACATATAAAGCGAAAAAACGTAGATGTATAGTTACGTCTTTTGCAACTTTATAACATTCATCATCTTCTCAAGATTCCAAGTAGTAAGTCCTATTCGAAAATTTGAGCCCGCCAATCTTGTATATATGATAAGATTTCGTTTAATATTAATTGCTTGATAATGATAATATTGGTTGTTTTATTTAATTGTTCTACTGTGCAGTTCACACTGAGGCAAACGCTTGAAATTTAGTCTCGTTAACCTATCAATTTGCTGAACTTTTTTCTATAATTAACGTATAAATTCACGTTTTACGTCCAATAAGACTGACTTTCAAGCCTTTAGATTCTTCTCTCATGATGGTAAAAAGTAGACTTACTTGATCATATCTTGATCATTCAAAACTCCCCTAGTTGCACGACCTTTAATTTGAAATAATTGATTCCTGATTTTTTTCAAAAGTTTCAAGTTTCTTTTCTCCGTTGAGTTTAAAAAAAAAAAAAGAATCTTGTTCAGTATATCACTTTGGTTAGAGTTTTGCTTTATTGATCCTTGGTACTTTCTCCTTTCTATGTTACCATTCTTTAAATATTTGTTTGTTTAATAACCACTAATATGTGAAAAATAAACCAGAACCATGACATCTTTGAGTTACCAATTTAAAAACTGAGCTATAAACGTTTTTTGAACTATAATTTCACTTCAAATATCAAAGTCTACAATATTTTAAAAATCTCTTCTTTTACCTTTATATTTTTTCTTAAAACTAATTCGTTGGTGGACCCTCACAAGTCACAAATTATGAGAAATGGTATGTCCTTCTTGTCGCTATAAATAGCAAGAAAGTCTTGCTCATTTTCAACACACTCTTCCTACAAAACACTATCATAACATACACTGATATACATCATCATCCATCGCAATGACCCAACGAGCCAACCCTAAGACCGGCTGCCTCACGGCGGTTGTCCGCCGTCTTCTATGCTCCGGCAGCCAACAAACCCACCCCGCCGATAACATCCTCGACGCCGACGAAACACTTCAATTACTATCCCCTTACGACGACATCGAAGAGCCAAAGAAAGAGATCAAAACGGAAACGGAAACCGAAACCCAAAACGACGACGTCTCTCTTCACCCTCCTCCTCCAAACGTTGTAGCCAAACTCATGGGTCTAGATAACCCCGCACCGGGATCAAACCGGTTTAGGTACTTCGATGATACCCGTTCGGCTGTCACACGGAGCAAATCGGTTAACTTCATGGACTACATACTAAGAGTCAAGGAGGAAGAAGAGGAAGAAGAAGAAGACGAGAAAGACGGTCAACGCAGGTGCCGGAGAGTCAAAGCGTCGGTTTCTTTCCGGGAGATAGTCCCAACCTCGGCGAGATGGAGCTCGAATCAACAACAGAAGAAACACGATTTCTTGCTGCTGTATCTCGACAAGCTCGACGAGAAGAGGGAACTCGTAGGATCATCGTCTTCTTCGAGGTCTAGGAGGTTCGAGAAGGTGCTAGAAGATTCCAAGAAGCCGCCATTGCCACCTCCGGAGAAGAAGAAGAAGAAGGAGAACGAGAAAGTGGCGAAGAAGTTTAAAGACGAGCCTAGAAAAGTTGCGAAGAAGAAGAGTGAGAATCGAAATGACGTTAACGGGGCTAAGAAAGTTCGTTGGTTTCTTTCTCCGTCTAAGAGTAAGTCGTCCGAGAAGATAGCGCTTCTGGCTGATGAGTTTACCGGAAAAGAGAGCGAATCGCCGGAGAGTAAGTCGAATGCGAGTCCGGTTTCGGTTCTTGATCGAGATCTTTATGATTATCTAATCCTTGATGATGACTACTACTTCTCAGGTGAGTCTACAAAATAATACATTATTTATTATCCATTTCTCTATTTAAATGTTGAACGTAATGGCTTGCCTTTTTTAAATTTCATTTGAATTTTGGGCAACCATTTTAGTATTTGAGTAATTTTCTGGTTTTAGATGCAAAGGAGTTTTGGTCAACATTTTACCCGTTAGCATTTGCTTTCTTTTCATATTACCATCTTTCTTGATTTGATGTTTGAATATCTTTCTTGGTTTTACTAGTAAACGCTGCATAAATGAGACTTTGTTATTAGGGAGAAAAGAAAAAGAGACTGTAGAGATTTTACCCATTTTCAAGAACATTTATTTTTATTTTCCCAATAATATTTTAAATCTTACTTTAATTTGAAAATAAAAACAGGAGATTCAGAAAGTGCATCGGAGTTGTCAACAAAACAAGTAGAGACGACTGCAAAATCTTCATGTTCTTCATCACCAGCAAGAACGAGAACAAGTACCAAGAAAGAAAACAACAATAACACCAGCAGTGATTCTGAAGAGACAGAGTTTATCACAAAGCTAATGAATATGCTCTCAGATTTGTCCGAGGAAGACATGAAGTCTTCAACTTGGGTTTCTACTTCGTCAACTAAACCCGTTGACTTTACTCAGGTCGAAGATTTTTGTGTTGAATTTGGTCAAGAGATTCTTGACCTTGTTATGGACCAGTTAGTTGATGAACTCTGTTTCTAGTTTAAATCCTAAGTCTAAATCATCAAACTTATGTCGTTTTGTAAGCTTATCATCCAACCGTTAACCAAGCACTCGCATCAACCGTAATTGTTAATTGCCACTCCATAATTGCTTGTGCTCCAAAACCAAATGCACTTACCCGAAACAGATCACAAGTATATCGTGTGACTTAACTATTGATAACCACAAGATAACTAAATAGCACAAATCTTAATGGCTCCTATCATAGTTAATAAGAATGGATTATATCCAAATTCGACACGATGGGATATTGATGAAATACGAAACATTATAAATATATTGAGTGGTCCAAAAACAGTCAAATCAGTTATGTTTCTGTGAAATTTGCAGAGCCCCGTAGCTTCGAAATACGTACTGTCTCCTTTATGTCTATTTCACATGCAAATTGTGGTCTGCTTCTAACGTTACTTCTTTGACGTTTTTTTGTATTTTTCTGGTTTTTTTTTGTTTGGGATTCACATGTAAATTCATGAACATTTCCCCCTCTAATTTATTTAAATTTCGAATTATAAATATTTTAATATAATAAAAAATGATTCTGAAAATAACGTCAAAAGTCATGAATGTTGGAGGTTCGTACCGGTGACCATTGGCGTGAAGAGCTTCTAACCAATTGAGCTGATGAGCAACGGTTGGAAACTTGGAATCGTCCGTTTTTAATTATTTGAAAAATACACAAACGCACAATATCAGTGTGAACGCGCTGTGACACGGTTTCATGTTTTCGCTATTTTAACTGTTTTGCAGATCTGTTGGTAGCTGTCTCTTGTAAGAGAAGAAAATAAATACAACCATTTTCATATATATAATTTAAAAAGCTACCTGTGGGAATATGATCAAAAATAACGCGGTGAAGTAATGTGGGACAACAAATGTGAATTGGAATTTTTTTGGAACAAAGGCTTTTGTTTGTCGACTGATAAAAAATTAAACATGCTTACTAGCTAACATAATAAAGTAGCTAAAGTAAAAACCAATTTGCTTTTGGACACCTATAAGGCTATAACTATCAAAAATAGATTTAAAGTAAGCATCCAACTATCTACCCATTTGGAATAGCTACTTTGTTGTATATTCGTTAATTTGATCGATCAAATCGAAGATAAACATACAAAAAGACTCGTTATATAAACCAGCTAGTTGATTAGATTGAGTCTCCATGCTGTGTGGGTATGAGTGTTATAGGTTGAATTGTTTTTTTTTCCACTTAATTAAACATGGCGTGGTTATACTGTATAAACTGGAAATTAGGACCGAAGTTCGTTCTCAAGTCCGATCGAATTTGGTTAAGTTTCCACGTAAAAAGAGAGGCAGTCTTGGCATCGAGCTTTGATTTTCTCTATATATTTGTCGTTTACAACTTTCGACTTTTCATATAAATAAAACAAACATTAATCAGATACGACTTATAAAGAGATTTAACTAATTAAGCAACTAGCTAAATTAACTTATGCTTAGATTAAATTATTAAAACTTAAAAGCCTCGGTGATGATTATCATCATGATCTCTATTAAGTTTATTAAGCAAAGCATCAATGAGAGTATCCCTCTTCTGAGCCCTAGCTTCTTCTCTCGATCGTCTCTCTTCCTCTCTCTCCATCCACCTCCTCTCCGCGGCTGCTCTCTCCTCCTCAAGCTCCGCCATTCTCATCCGCCACTCTTTCTCTCTCTTCTCCCTCTCTCTCTCCTTCATCTCCCACGCATCTCTCCATTCCTTCTCCATCTTCACCGTTTGCCTCATAAACTCCTCCAACATTTCTTTCACCGTACCACCCGCGGTTTCAGCTTTGGTGCTACCTGTAAGGCCTTTTCCTTTTTTCGCACGTTTTCTTGGATTAGTAGACGTACTAGTGGTAATCACTTCTTCTGTCTCTTTCTTGTGTGTCTCTACGAAAGACAATAATTCCTCGTTGATGTCTTGATTTGGCTCCTCAACTTCTTCCTCTTCTTCTTCGTCAGATGAAAACTGGTGATGTTTTCTCTTCGAAGAAGTGCTTGGTTCTGTGGCTTCTGACCACAACATTCTTTGCATTCTTGCACTGAAAATTGATTGGATCTCGTTGTAGAATGGGAACTGTTGCCTAATAGCTTCTGGTTCAGTCGTTTCACATGCCTGTCCCATACATATGCAATAATTAATCAATATTATGGTGTAAATATGTGACAATATTATAATAAGCTAAACGTTCCCAGCAACCGAGTATATTATAACTCGAAAATAATCTTGCACAAACATGTTCATATCTATCATGTTACTTTTATTGGGTTACACTTAAACGTATATCATGTGATTAGTAAACGCTTCTTAATACCGTTATATCATGTTATATAACGGTAATTAAAATATAGATATTTTATGGCATCTTGTGAACACGAGATATAACATACTTACTTACCATGTGAAATGCTATTGTAATTACTAATCAAACAAAAAGGATAGACGTTGTTGCATAACGGATCAAATGTGAAAATAGGCCATATCATGAAATTCACCAATAAACGCGTTAAAAGTATAATCTCTAGCTCGTTACCATTAAGAGCAGGGCGATATCTAAACAGCCTAAGAGATTAGGTTAGACCTATACGTATAACATAGACTAGGTTTTCCAATACGCATACTTTGAAATTCACCACACAAACGATGTAACACATACACATAATCAGAATTATACAGATGATGTAACATGCTTTTAATTTACCTATGATGCATAGACTTGTAATCATATATGGTCATACAACAACATTAATAGGTGTTTATAGAGAGAGTATAGAGAGGATCTTTAATAAATATAGATAGTTGAAGGTAACCTTGTATCTAGTGACGAGGTTCTTCCACTTGCTCTTACATTGTTCCGCGCTCCGTACAAAACCCTTGTCAGCCATTTTAGCAGCGACGACTTCCCAAAGAAGCTTATTACGTTTGGTCTCCATGAAAGTCTGATCAAGCTCTTCTCTTATACCCAAAAGCTCCTTTGTCTCCTCTATGCTCCACTGTGGGATTCTCTCACCTCCTCCTCCTCCGATGGGATCCATCGCCGCCGTCGGAGGAAGCTGTTGCTGCTGAATCAAGTGATGAAGCTGATGTTGGTGGTGATGATGGTGGAAAGGGTTACGTTGGTCCATTATTGAGATCGAAGTCTTTGTGACGTACAAGAGAGGTTTTTTTCCTTTTTTTTCTTTTTGGGTTGCTTATAAATGATGAGGAGAGGTTTCTTTGGAAAAAAGAGGAGAAGACAGGGAGGAAGGAGAGAAAGAGAGGATTTAATTAATTTATAAGGTAGTGTGAACGGAAGGTGTGAAATCGTCGAGGGACGATTGAAGTATAGTTTTTTGTTTTTTTCTCTAATGTATATTTAATAAAAGATTTTTAATATAACTGAATATACTAGAAGTTATATAATTATTTAGTTGAATAAAATACGAACACGAATGTTCCTTTTCTTTTAGTGAAAAGGACATATTCCGTGATTAGATTACAAACATTTTTCGGATGATATATAAAGTTTAGATTCAAAGCAGCTATACCTACATAACGCATAATTTTATTAGTATTCTAGAGTTTGAGGTACTGGAAATAGCAATCTCGCAAATTTACAGAGGCAAGCTCCAAATTTATTAAAAAAACTTCGTTAGTAAAGTGTAATTACAAACTGATGATGCTTGAATTTGTAAGCTTGTGGAACCTTTTTTTGTTTTACTTTCAGTTTTGTGCCCTCTAGGCTTTATTGACGCGGAACCTCAACTCAACCAACGGTCTCATTTTTTTTATAGGTAAACTTACAATTTCGTCCCAAATTAATACTGCGTTAATATTTCGTCACGCTTACGAGTCGCAATCTGATTTTTGTTTCTTCTTTTTCTTTTCCTCAAACCTCAAAACTAAATAGTCATTTTGACCTTACACCACTAGAATTTCCTTTTTCCATAACTCTCATATCTTTCCTTCTAACTATTTATTTTATAGAAAATCTTTAAATTAAGTAACCTAGCTATTGGTTGACGTGGTTTTTTAAAATGTCATATTGGATCAATAGACTTTTAAAAGTTAGAAGCTCAGTGTCAAATATAAACAAACAGGAGCTGTTCTTGTTGTTATAGATTATTTCAATTTCAGTTTCCATATACTGATCAGTTACTAGACACCTAACGTTCCTATCAGTACTGAAAAAGAGACTATACCGTTCTAATGAGCTAACAAATTCTATCGATATGGGAAAGACTACCGTTCATTTTAGGGCTAACTAAAAACACTGTATTTGCTAATGCTAAATGATTTGTGAATTTTCTTAATTCCGAACAAATATTATGCAAGAGCAGGAAAAACAAGTATGTGTACTCTTATTGTTCAATTTTTGGATCCGGGTTTCTACATACAACTGTCAGATTCCCAAAATATAGCCGTACATTCTGAAGCCGCGTGATTGCATATAATACAAGATAGAAATAGTAATGGGACAAAGATTTATTTACAGTGAATCAAACTTGTAATATGACAAGTAAATAGTTTTTGTGTCTAAAGACACTTGTGGGGTGTTTTGTGTTACAGATGTACTTGTGGGGTTTGGCTATGTGTAAGAAGAAGTAAAAATAATCGCACACAAACAAAAAAAGAGACAAAGTAAATAATAAGATGGATAGTCAGCGAAGTGGTCCATATTCTGATGAACCGTGTTGAAAGTAAGCAAATCTTACATGACATGCATTAGACTTCGCTCCCACCTGTCATCCACGTGGATTCACACGTTATATACTTAATAGTGTCGACTGAATTATAATCTTCTAGTTTTCTTATTAAATCTACTTTTCTTTAGTTTTTAAAGGGAAACTGTGAATGAAAATTACTAAACGAGAAAGAATCTGTGAACAAAGGATGTATAGAAGCAATTTGTTTATAACAAAATAAATGGAACAATCAGCTACGCGGGTGTTTTGTTTTATTTATTTAACGTGTAAACGCTCACAATACTTCTCCACGTGGCATCTAAACTTCCGTCTTTAGATTTAGAGTGGGTCCCTCTCTCTCACAAATCATCATTTACTTTAAGAGATTTTTCTCCTGATGTCTATCCGCTCATGCGGAAAAATTTATGTATAGCAAATACAATTTCGCCACGTCATCATAAGTCATTCGTAATATTTAATTAGTTTATGGTTTTACGAAAGTTTTTTCTTTCTTTTCAATCTGTTAAATGACCAAAAAATGATTAAAACCAGGAGTAAAAACCTATAGTTCAACAAAAAAACTCATACAAGCAGACAAAATGTTCGTGAAAGGCTAAAACCACACAAAATATTTGAAGTAGATGGAATAATTACTTTTAATCTCTAAATTCTAAACTAAATAACGAAAAGTAGTTTTACTTGACCAGAAAAGCGGAAGAGAAACATGATTAGTCTGTTCTTTGTTGACAATTTTTTTCTGTCAACATCTCCACGTGAGGGTTGAAACTTGAAAAGATTTAAGACAATTTCGGAGGAAATTAAACGGGAGATTGTCAAAACTGAAGTTGAGTAAAATGCAAAGATTGAAATTTTGGCTGGAGTAACGATAAAAAAGGTTTTAAAATCTCCACTCAAATTACGGTGGCATGATTAATCAATTTGACTAAAATTTTGACAATTCAGAAAGTTCATCATTTACGTTTGTTTAGTCAAGCAGAGTCAGTCGCTGCTATGTAAAAACGGCGGCATCGATAGTGATTTTTCATTGTTTAAAAAAGGCTTTATTAAAGATGTAACGAAATGAATAGAAGCCCATCCAAAGGCATATCTTTATTCTTCTAAACGATCTCCAAAAAAGCTAAGCAGACTTTTAAATAAAAAACCATCTAAGACGAAAACATCCGCTTGATCCCTGATTTCTGCTCAGGGGTTAGCTTGGAAGGGAACCTGATGGTGAATCTGATTCTCAAATTCCCTTTTCTCGACGGATCTTTAGGGACTGGCATGCCTTCGCCTTTCACGACCTCCTCGTACGATGGACTGATCACATTGGTCACCGGAACCGTAAGCGTTCTTCCGTCAAGCGTGGTGACCTGAGCGGTGTAGCCAGTGAGAGCTTCGACGAGAGAGATCTTTTGCGTAACCACAAGATCATTCCCGTCTCGTTTGAAAAGCGGATGAGGCTTCTCGTCTAGGATGAAAACGAGATCAGATGGTATGAATCCGCGCTGCTCGTTGCCTTTCTCCAAGAAGGTTATCTTTGTTCCTTTTTTCCAACCAGGCTTGATATCTATCGGCAAGATCTCCTCCACGGCTGTTGGCCTCCTGCATTCAACCACAAGATCAATTAAAATGCAGCAATGTATCGGCATTATAGAATGTTGAAAAAAAGAACTTTCTACGCTCCTCATTCGCTAAACATCTATCATTTATGTGTCAAGTCTCTCTGTAATCTATAGAGCTCAAATAACAAATAGAGGTCAAAGAGATAATGACAACTTCGACACTAACAAAAACCCTTTTGATATTACAACTTTCTAAGCTCACTCTCTAAGACTATATATAGCGTTCACTTTCAGTGACATATTTTCTAGTAAATATAACGTCAACGATTCTGAATCAAACTCTAAAGAAGAATCACAAAAGAGAGTTTACAGTGTCCATGAACCGAAATAGTCAAAAGCAGAAGATTTCTAAAAGCCATATGTAATGATGACAAAAAGCGAATAAATTCATGGGAGACTAACCCGCTGGAGTCAAAAACATCACGAGAGATCTTCATCTTCTTGGTGACTCCTTTATAGATATCCTCCAAACTACAAGGCAATTGTCTCTCAATTGGGCCAGCTTTCCTTGCAGGCATGGAGGTTTCGCCTCCTCCTCCTCCTCCTCCTCCTCCGCCAGCAGCTGCTGCTCTTAAGGAAGCGAATATGTCATCGCCATACTTAAAACCAGATGGTCCTGCGCGTGAGTCGCCTCCCATTCCCATACCAAAACCGGGCTTTGTGAACCCGAAGAACTCGGAGAAGATATCATCGGCGCTTCTCGGATTGAAGTGGAAAGATGCTCCTCCGCCTTCTCCTCCTCCCGGATACCCGCCCGCGCCGGGAGGTGGTGCCTGGTTCTTCAGTCCTTCTTCTCCGTATTGCTCGTAGATTGCTCGTTTTTGGGTATCGCTCAAAACCTTTGCAACAATTACAAACAATTCTCAATTAAGCAGCAAAACGGCGATTTATTTTCAATTCTCAGAGCGTGATTGCTCAAAATTCAAGTACCAAAAACTGAAGAAGAGAATCGAAGGGAATTACATCGTAAGCTTCGGAGATCTGCTTGAATTTAGCTTCGGCTTCCTTTTTGTTGTTAGGGTTCTTATCAGGATGCCACTTCATGGCGAGTTTGCGATAAGCTTTCTTTAGCTCGTCATCATTCGCACTCCGATCTACCTGAAGTAATTTGAAGTAATCCACACCCATTCTTTCTCACTCAACTTCCTTCTTCTTCTTCTTCTTCCTTCGCTCTCTCTCGCTAAATCTTCACGGAACACCTCAATTTCGGATTTTAGGGTGGACTATTTATTATTATCTCCGACTTTGATCTTTCCTCTTATTTGTTCCGAAATTGACATTTAAACCGATCCTTATCAACCGTTTTTGATTTGAACCGGAATCACTCTAATTTTAGATTAAACGCATTCATGTTCCGCTTAGTTATAGGCCTGGATATTGGGCCTTTTACGCCACTTGCTTGGGAAATCGTAAGACATTCATAACTTAAGAAATCTCTTGTCGGTAAAATTTTATGGTTTTATTATATCATCGTCTTGATTCAAGAAATCATTACAATCGCTAATGATACAATCTACAAAGACATCTTTCACTAAACCTACAAAATTCATTTGAAATCAAAGCTTTCTTTTAAAAAAATGAATGCTACAATACAAGTGAAGTTATCTCTTCTTCTCCTTGGAATCCAAACTTGTTCCGGTTGCGGTTGCGCTCTCACTCTTCTTCTTCTTCTCCTTCTTCTTCTTCTTCTTCTGCAGAAGATTCCTTTGATTTCTCAACTTCCGTCGTCTCGTTTTCCGAGGTTACTGTGTCATCATCATCCATCTTCTCATCATCAGGCTGTGTCTGGCTTGACACTTGAGAATCTGATGTCTGCGTATGGCTCGTTGGTGCTTGAGGATCCGAGTCCGACACTTGGGTGGCCTGACTCATTTCAGACTGGCCCGCTCCAATGGGGCTGCTTTGAGACTGGCTCGTTTCAGACGGACACGTGCCTATGGGACTGCTTTGAGACTGACTGGCAACCACCTGACTGGTTTCCTGGTGATCTGTTTCAGAGTGACTCAATGGTACAGAAACTTGCTGAGACTGGCTCGTCTGCTGCGACTCGCTTGCTTGCTCTTGCTGCTGTACCTGAATGTTTTGCGTTTCACTAGCTTGCACTTGACTCGTCTGAGAATCAGGGACAAGTCCAAGAACAGCCAATGTAGATCTACCAACAAGAATGTTTCATATCTCTGAGATTAGCAAATGGAATTCAAATAGCTGAAGATGTTATGTTTTGAAAGAGGAAAGGTCACCTTGGAAGTGAAGACTGGATCTCTGGCTGGCTAGCATGTGCGGTTAGAGGAGCTCTCAAGGCCGGGATTTTAGTCAATGCATTTCCCAGCTGAGGTGAAGGAAGCTGGACAAAAAGGAATGAAATGTCAAATGATAACACAGACTTTCTTTGTTTCTCTTGCAATTGTAAGACCTTTGTAGGATGAGAAGAGATTTATAAAAATATACCTGAAGTAAGACCTTGTATGATTGAGGCTGTGTTGACTGTGCACACTTCAAAAATCCTACCCACAGTTTCGGATATTTCCATATCTGAATCATATTTTATCTATCAATCACTAGAATGAACAATAAAGAGAGAGAGTATAACGTACAGTTCCAAGAACATTACTGACCTGCTTGCTAACAAGACGAGAAAGGATCTCCAGGATGAAGTCCGACTAGTAGAATATCAAGTTGAAGAGATTTGTTAAGATAAAATAATCAATTTGTGTGACTCAAAAAGAGACATGTTATGAGATTGTTACCAGAGCTGGAAAAACACCGACAGCTTGTAAAGCTGTACGCATGAATAACATTGGCAGTGGAATTTGCTGAACCTGCAGCCAGAAATGAGCTCAATGATCGGGAAGAAAAAAAACGAATGAAAAGCACAAACGTGGTAAGATGGAGATTGCTATTGTACCAGTTGATTCAGAACGCTGGCTAAAACCTGTTGAGTGAATGTCTCCCTCTGTGCGAAACAGGTGTTGCATGCTTCTGTGACCTGATACGTACGTTAAGATAGTATTTAGGGAAGTAACCTCTGGGGTTGGTTGATGAATGCTAGGTTAACAAGTGGAGCTAATCTCCAAATTGTTCCGCCATTGCATGTTATAAGGAAATGATACCTGTTTAATCGGTATTCCATCTCTCGCTGGGTCAATACTATGAATAGCAATTAGAACTTCAGATGGAGAAAGCGCAGGGCCAGACTGAGATGATCCCTGAGAACCAAATTCCACAGTGAGTAGATCAAACTTAACTAAGAAGCAAGAGGAACAAAAAGAAAAGCTAATTTACCTGCAGGACACGAGAGAGCGCGACTTGGAACTTCTCCGTAGGAAGATTCACCATATGGGGAAAAATGCGTAGAACCTGATAGAGATCAAAGTTACAACAAATTCAGAAAAATAAGAAAACAAACGATATAAGCCACTGCGTGCGTCAGTCAATACAAGATGAAATAGGTAGGAGAGAAGATTTACATCGTCTCTTGGCAGGAATGGCAAAATTGGGTAAATAATTTCTACATCCTGCAGTCCCAAGAAAAGTTCATACAAAACCCAAGAACAAAGAGTTAAAAAACTAAACGGCAACACTTTCGCTATTAAGGAGTATTCAATTGAAAAGATAATCGTCTTCACCTTAATTCTTGTATCAAACAACTTTCTTATAGTATGTATCAATTCTGAAGAAGGTTTTGACCCCTCGGTAAGGGTCTGAAGAACCTGTCATCAAGGAGAAACATTAAGGGATTATTAGTAAAAATTACCCACAGCTATTTGAAGCTTTGGAGCTTCTTCAAATATTTACAAAGTTAAAGAATGATGAAAACCTTTATTATAAGATTTTCACTCCCACTCGGTGGGTCTGCTATAATTCTAAGAAGCTCAGAGGATGAGCCCATAGTACGAACTAGAAGTGGGATTTGAAGATGAATAGCCTATACACAGCAAACAGTCAGAATAAACACCAGAGAGATATACATACACTGATACTAAAAAACTAAACTGAAGAAACTGCAAACCAGGCTCCAGTCTTACCTCCTTAACAGGCTCTGATGCATCTTTGTAAATGCTGAACACATGGACAAAAAGGGCGTGCTTCTGAAAATCAAATATTACGCATAGGAGTCAGAAGTTTTAGCTGCAAACTTAACGGGTATATTTGTCATTTAGTAAAATAACGGTACAAACATCACAAGACCTTTGTACAGAGAGCAAAATAGAGTGACAAGCAGCGTTGGGCCTCAGTGACTGAAGTTGATGATGTTGCTTCTGAGGACGTATCCATGCCCGCACCACTCACAGGCTGAGATTTATTTGGTGGATTTTCCACATCAAGATCCTCCTATAAGAGAAATGAAAAAGTTTTTCTTCAGATATTATGCAGTGCTCCGCATATTAACTCAGAAAAATAAATTGCTATCGTATCACCTTTTTACAATCTTCAATCAATGTTTCAGCATCTCCTCTCTCCGAAGAAATGGGACTCACAACGGATAATAGCTTGTCCTTTGCAAATTCCTCAATCTGTTGTGTGATATATGATAAAGAATAGAGCCTGTTTGCCACCTGTAAAATGATACCCGGAAATCATTAAAATTGTTACAAATCAACAGCGGAATACTAAATCTCAGGTTTTACAGAAGCATACCAGGCGGATTGCTTTCATGCGAATCTCTCCCAAGTAATGAACAGTACTCTGTCATTCAAGAAAAGATAGAGAAATGGAAGAAATTTTGTGAGAGCCATAACGAAGATGAAGAATTACACACTTGGCAATATGAAACCGTCAAATACAAAGGTGCACTGAAATGTAAATGCTGAAAATGTTGAAGTGCCAAAGAAAAAGGAATCAGCAGAGAGGGTGAGATAGAAGGAACCTGCAAAGCAATCTTCAGGCAGTCATTCCGGATTCCAGGTCTCGTTTCAATAAGACTCCAAACAGCACTGAGACCTTGCGTAACACGGTCTCCGTTTTGTAAATTCTTTTGAACAATGTCATCACTTCCAGGACAGCAAAACGATTCCAGTAGCTTCAAAACTGATTTCGGCAGAAATGGAGAATCTCCAAGCAGTTTACTTAAAGATTTATCAGACGGTGGAAAAGAATCTCTGAGTGCTTCAGCCTAAAAGGTAAAAATTGGTTCTGAGAAATTTCCAAGTAAAAAGTTGTAAGACGGAAACAAAACTGAATGCTTACCACAGCCAGCAAGAAACTTTCATATGCAGACGCAGCAGTAGCTGACGAGAAGTAATCTTGTTCTGCTTCTGCTTCCCCGTGCAGCCTGTAAAGAACTCGCACAGTCAACTCATGTCCCTGAAAAACAGAAGTTACGATAATCAGGTAAGTGGCTTTTGAATCACGAAACCAAATTCAGGATTGACCGGTTCAATCGTTTAAGTTTATATTCACGAAACCAAATTCTCACCTCATGACTCAAATAATCCGAGAGAATGTGCTCCTGTAATATTTTCCAAGGGTCTAATTCTGAAGGAAACTGCAAAAATAGCAAATGTGACGATCAATTACCGTGAGACAGAATGCCATCATACTTCAAACGATCATCTTGCCGACATATTGGTAGCGAGTAGGATGCATTTAATAGGCATAAAACAGGAATAGCCATAGAAATAAAAAAAAGATTAAGTACTGAAATTTTTCAATTTCTACCAAAACCAGGTTCTTAGAGTAGAGGCAAGTGAGACAAAAAATCATGCCGGGGCCAATATGTTTAAATTTATAAAACAACACAAGAAAATTTGCTACAGAGTTATAAATCATCAGCTGAACTAAAATTGTCAAAAAGATAGTTTAGAAAATGACCTCAGCTCCCAGATGACCAAGAAGAGAAAAGCGAAGTTGTGAACCACCGGAGATTGATATTTGCTTATATGCTTCAACAATGCGCAAAAACACAAGCTTCTGCAAACCGTCTTTCTCTCCATCAGAAAGGTCGACAACAGGTGCTGATATCTTAGGCAAGACAAACTGAGGCGCAGAAGCAATTGAAGTTGCCGTTGAGGAGACCAAGCTGTTAGAACCTGTCCCAGCCGCCTTTGGACTAAATTCCTCAGACTTATCCATAGACACTGAGGGAATCACAGCGAGAAGAAGTTCTCCACTGAAACTTGCATCTTGATTCTTGCTAGCAGCCTCCACATTTGTAGAACCCAATACAGAAGTAATAGGGGCTTCTGATAACACATCATGTTGACCAGAAGAATCCAGTCCAGGTATATCACTTTCTATATTCCCTATATAATGCACATTTGGTGGAAACACACTAGTGCCCTCTTCATTTACTGGCAAAGAAGTATCAGAAGAAGCTGACAAACCAGTTGCAAGAACTGCATCTTCAGCTGGAAACATCTGCTGGTCAACATGATCAGCAGAGAATTCTTCACCTTCCTGTCATTGGTGAGATTCAACATGATAAAATCTTAACAACTAGAATGCAAAACAAGGAACAGAAATAAATACTTAATTGAGTAGAGATCATCCTTACTTTTTTCATTTTCGGTATGTGAGGATTTATGAGGGCAGCAATCGGTGGGAATGCAGTTGACAGTGAAAGAACACCAGCAACAAATGATGGTGGGTATTTAATGTGTGCATCACTGCCAACTAGACACATGTTCATCACCAACCCATCGGTGCCATCAGCATAAGAAGAACCATTTGGTGGAATATTATCCATATTAGCCATCACAACATCGGCCAGTAAATCCGCAGAAATGCTTGAAATAAGAATCTCTAGAGAGCCAATTGCCTTTTCACCCTGAGCAACCAAGGCTCCGAACATAGCAACTAGTTGCTGAACAGGTCCAGTATCACTCACTCCTCTGCTTATACTTTGTCCAGCTGAAGTGGAAGCAACCAGAGGTAGAGAGTCAACATCATCACCATTTAATCCTCCAGTAGATTCTCCTGACATAGAAGGTGTTATTCTAGCACGTTTTCCACTCAAAGCATCTCCATTCAGATCGATATTTTTGTCTGATCCAGATCTTTTCCTACCAAAGTTTCTTTCCTCAACGACAGAACTTGCACAAAGAGGATTCTCTTTCTTTGATACCTGAAACTAATATTATTTGGATTTAAATGTCTGCATCCAACGTATATAAGCCAAACAAAGTAGAGAGACGCATGCACACACAATGATAAACATCTAGATTCACTTATAGATGGAAAGAGGAACAAACTACCTTGGTATCCTCTACACTGTCATTGTCCTGAATGCTTCCGTTGGTCTTGAAAAACAGATCTTCAGCTTTGTCTACCCGACCGCCATCTTCTATCTCTTTCAGAGCACCAATCAACCGGTCCTTCCACTGAAAAAAAAAATTGAAAGCAGAGAGATCTAAACAATTGCAAGTTAACTATGAAAAACAACTCAAAATTTATAATGATTATGCCACTACTAATTGATTAGTAATGATAGAATAGCAAGTAAGGCAGGTCAGCAAAATACAAATAATCCACTACATCCGACCGCATAAACTAACAATCGACTTTTGGGAGATAAAACAAAACATTGGACTATGGTCGTGTAGGTGAGTAAAACAAAATAATACCGGTGCAGCAGCGGGATGTGTACATTTCAAGCAGGAGAGAAATACAGTCTTCAGGGCGAGATTTGCTGCTGCAGCATGCACTCCTTTGAGAAAGATTAGGGGATCCAAGCTCAGTAGGACAGGCAAGATTTTTCCACAATATGCAGGACGTTTCTTTGCAACTGATGAAAGACTGTATTAAGAAACAGAATAAAATGAAGAAGAGCTCATGAACCATAAGACAATTTTATATGACAATTTAATGATGAAAGATACCCGCAGATTACAAAACAAAAACAATAGTAACGTGTGTCAGCACCAAAGCATATTTTCACATTTTCACAGTCCTCACCTATTGATGAGAACAATAATTGTCGGGCTATTTAGAGATTTGGCTGCAGGGTGCCTAAGCTGATCAAGCAGTAACCCCAATTTCTGGCTGGCCTCAATCGACAAGTCTCCGATATTCAAAATAGGATGCCCCCCACGAAGAATAGATATGTTAAAATCTGCTTGAACTAAATTGTATTAGCAACTAGATTTTTATCACGATATAATAAAATTCCAGTTTCATGTAATTGAGCGGATGGATCCATAAAGAAATACCTTCACGAGATGAAGACTCCAAAGACCCACTAGGGTCAGGTGTATAGAAAACAATAAGGGCTTCCACAAATTTGATAGCGCATAATTTGACACCACTGTTTCCTTGCTAGTATACAAGTCACAAGAATTAAACAATCAGATAAGATAAACAACCCATCAGAAAATTAAGGAAACGATTAATTCCCACCTTGAAAGCCAGTGAGCATATTTCATCCTTGAACTTAATCATCCATGTCCACGAAGATTCAAGAAGCTCATCCAACTCACTAGAATGCAAACCCTGGAACAAGACAAAGACAGCCAAATAGCAATAAGCATGTCAAATACATAGAAAATGTCACAGATGCAGAATCTAAAAAAAAAAAGCATAAACAAAAAGACAACCTGAACTGCCACTTTCTCTAGGGTGGAACTGAACAAATCAGCTCCACAAGCAATGGCCTGCCTCGCCACAGCTGGTGTCTCATCTTCGAGAGATTTAATTAAAAGGGGCACTATTTCAGGTAATAATTCCACATATTTCAAGCCAATTTCACCAAGTATCCTGCATTTCAAATAGCAACATAGGTTCAGCGAGTTATGTACACAGGACATATTCCCTAAGTCAAGAGAGGAAAACGTCCTTGATTATACTAATCTCAAAACTTGCAATTGATTCCCTCTACAAGCTAATGAGAGTAAGACAAGACACAAAACCATAACTTAGAATCGCTCCCTGAAGAGAGATAGTGTTCATGATTAACAGCAAGTAGATATTCCAAGGCAAGAAAGAAACTGGGCATCATTAGGCTGGCCATATATTGACGAATCCATTTGTATTTATAAAAATTTCAACATCCGGGATATATATAAAAATCTGAAAATTCAGCTATGTCTGAGTAGTTACAAGGAAATCCGAAAAAGGGTTACAAATTTACAACAACGAGCTTACTCGGCGACAAACTTGCGGACAGCACCGAATTGATCGGAGAGAAGATCGAAAAGGAGAGGAAGCAGCTCGTTGGGAAACACGGATGCGTCTCCTTGCAAATTCCGGCGCAGATTGCGCAAGCGGTGCAGCTTCGGAGGCAATTCCGTGGCTGATTTGGCGGAACTGGCGAGACCTTCAAGCCTTTCTCTTGAATACGAAGCCATGATTCCCACCATTACCGGTTCACGCAGTTGGATAAATAAATATATTACTGCTCAGAGCTTCGATGGCAACGTGAAGAATAGATTAGCATAATGAATTTATCTTCTTCTCTGTCGTAGGGTTTAGACTTAAGAGAGAGGAGGACGATTGGAGATTCGTTTTGTTTCTGATATATGAACAATTGAACTGGTTTCCAAATTCCAAAAGAGGAAACTGATATGTAGTGACACGGCGTCGTTTGGATAAAGATAGAAATTGTACTATGGTCCCTCATAATTGATTGTATATTAGATAAAGTCTCCAATAACTAATGAAGTGATTAAAAGTCCTGCCATTGGGATTTCTGGAAAAACAGTTTATCAGTTTCTGTCTTTTTTATATACAAATTAAAGGTTTACGTCTTGTGCCAATGCATTTGAATCTGATATGGTTGTCTCTATTTTACAGATTCTAGTTATGTCCTATATATGTACATATGTGATTCGATGATTTTCATCTCACCATTCAATGTGATTGTCTATGTAGTATGTTGAGAAGTATTATTTATTTTTATTTTGGAAAAAAATATATGTACATATTTATCCTTGATTACATGATCGTTAATGTATGTTAGAGAAATCTTTACACACTTGAAAAATAGCCGATATTACATGATCATTAGATAAATTTCACCACATTTGAAAAATAGCCGTTATAGGGTTTCTTGATTTTCTATTTATATAAATGGGGAGTATACAAAGTAAATATGTATCTTTCAATATTTCAATTCTCCTTTCGCTTGCAATAAAAAACTTTCACACTTTATTTTCAAATTTACATATTTCTCCTCCAAGAACACAACTCCAAGAACACAATCAGAAGATGGATCAACAAAACCAAACTCATATATTCCTGTGGAATTTTGATCAACATGTTTCAACTATCATTTATCTATCTATTTCAAGCAGCTTGTCCCACTCCTTACAAATCGCTCATCACTGTGGATATAGATGCAAGATTCCCACTGTTCAGAGCTGAGTTTCGAGACTTTGACGGTGATCAGTTTATACTTTTTCGGGTAAATGTGAAAATTCTTATGCTTAGGGGATCAATTTCTACTTTTGGGTGCATTTTTAAGTACTTTTTGCGCTGTACTTCATGTGAACAATTTTGGCGACTTTAGGAGAATTCTTAGCTTTCATGATGTTAGCCAAGTTGGGTTTTGGACAAGTCTTAATTTTGATCCACTCTCTCATGATAAATGTTTGAATTTTCGGTTTATGTTTTAGGATAAATGTAGACTCTTTTATGTTTAGGGGATCAGTTTCTACTTGTTGAGCTGAATCGTGTAATTCATGTGAATTCCGGGTGCGCATGTAATGGCCATGACAGCTCAAAAACTCTTCCCCGATGCAAATAACGAAGAAAACAAGTTTACTGCAAATGCTGTCCGAATCAAACAAGTTTTCTCCTTTGTGATACTAAGATGCTGTCCGAATCCAATACCATCTAACTTCCTTGAACTGAACAACAGGTTCCAACAAGCTCAATATCAATGGATCGAATAATATTTCATCTGATCAAAAGAGAGTACAACTTATTATAACTGACAACTTGTTCTTGCAAATGGAACCAATCGATTCTGAGATTACAACAAGAAAACACACTATCGAAGATATAATTGAAAACACAGAGGATACAAACTAAAGAAAGATTACTGCAAATGGTCTGATTAATCTGTGAAACCATTTTCGTCTGCTTCTTCTTCTTTTTTTTGATAATCACTCGGAGCGAGCAGCAAACCTCTCGACCTTGTCATCGTTGAGATTGATGCCAACCATGGCTTCCCCAAGCCCACAGCTCACATCCGCAAGCATCTCTGGGTCACTGTAATGAGTCACAGCCTGAACAATGGCTCGAGCGCGACGAGCTGGGTCCCCGCTCTTGAAGATACCTGAACCGACGAACACACCGTCGCATCCGAGCTGCATCATGAGAGCTGCATCAGCCGGCGTAGCCACTCCACCGGCGGCGAATTGGACCACCGGAAGACGCCCAAGCTGTTTGGTCTGCATCACGAGATCGTACGGAGCTGCTAATTTCTTAGCGAAAGTGAACACCTCGTCCTCATCCATGTCCCTCAAAACCCTAATGTCACCCATCACCGACCTCACATGCCTCACCGCCTCCACAATGTTCCCCGTTCCAGCTTCACCTTTGGTCCTAATCATCGCCGCACCTTCGCGGATCCTCCTCAGAGCTTCGCCGAGATTCCGGCAACCGCAAACGAAAGGGATCCGGAAATTGTGCTTGTTGATGTGGTGGTCTTCGTCGGCGAGAGTCAAAACCTCGCTCTCGTCGATGTAATCGACTCCGATGGCTTCGAGGATTTGCGCCTCCACGAAATGACCAATCCTAGCCTTTGCCATCACCGGAATCGTAACGGCCTGCTTGATCTCCTTAATCATCTGAGGATCGCTCATCCGAGCAACGCCTCCCTGAGCGCGGATATCCGCCGGAACACGCTCCAGAGCCATGACGGCGCAAGCACCAGCTTCCTCGGCGATGCGAGCTTGCTCGGCGTTGACGACATCCATGATGACTCCACCGCGGAGCATCTGAGCCAAACCGACCTTCACGGAGAAGGGAGATTTCTTCGCCTCCGTGATCGCACCATTTCCGTACACCGCGACGACGCCGGTTCCTTCCATTATCGATACAGAGGGAGAGAGAGAGAGAGATTGAAGAAAAAATGGTTTGTGGAGAAAATGGAAGAAGAATGGTGAAGCGATTTCTGGCCGGTCCTCGTCTATCTTGGATCGGCTTTATAGTGAGAGTTTGTGGCGGTGTAATAAAAGAGAAGAAAATAGGAGATGTTATTTATTTATTTATTTAATTCATTATTATATTGCATTTTCATTGGGAAATGTGGGATTTGTTATGAGCGGACGGTCTAGATTAGGAACACGCAATTTCGATTTTCGGGCTAACACACATGTTTAGTGGAGTAGGAAATTAAATTAGAGAGATTGAGTCGTCCGAAATTGGATTATCACAGTGTTGATTAGCGAATAAAAACGTAAACCTACGCATGTTGAAGATCTTACGTTTTTAAGATGTCGTCTTTGCAGTTCTAGCTTGTAGCAGCTGCTACCAAATGTTAGAATCCTATATTAGTCTAGACGTATTAACCATATGGTCAAACAATTCAAAATGGTTCTACAATTAACTTTTGGATACGAAAAAAACCGAAAACAAAAAATCATCTGCCACCAAGAAATGTAACTGGACCTCATAGAATCCACGACTGTCGCTCTAGTCTCCATTAATTGTTGCATAAAAAGACAAGGAGAAAGAAAAAAAGTTCTCAGAAAATGAATTGCACGCTTTTAAAATTTATGGAAAGCATATTTTCTTCTTTTAACATCTTTAAATTTCGTTATTAATCATCGATAGCCAATCGTTTTTTAATTGGACTGATAAACATGTAGATTTAGTAGCAAAAGAAATTATAATTTTCTAAACATTTTTATAGCAAAAAGTTGAAAAAGAAGAGAAAGCAGTCGTAAATAAATATCTGAAAATAGCAGTTACGATAATAATAAAAATAGGCGGCTACGGTTGAAAAGGAAGGCCCGCCTCTCGTTTGCAATCAACAGATTTTTCCACTTACTCGACCCGGCGGCCCAACACTCCCAACTTGGTCTTTTGACTTATTGACTGCAATTATGACAGTTACATTCAAAAGATAAAGTCCAAATATATTACTTGAGACTACTTTACTAATATGTCACTTTTTCATAATGGTTCCCAAATGCTAATAGATCCTTCGATTAAGGTAATACAACTGTAACGCGGTACCAAAGATGGTAAAAGAATTATCGGCAGAGTAAAAAAATATCTACTTTTCAAGGAACTTGATTTGGTGTAATGGTTGCTAATGCTATAATGTTGTTGTTTTCTTCGGACCCCAAATTGTTCAGCATTTTCTTCACAGCACCATCATATGACGATCTTCATTTCCGCTATTGTTTGTCAGCTTCTAATTATCGTTACACGAAAGTGAGATATAAACAATACATTTTTTGAATCGAACAAGAATTCAAAAACAAACAAAATTTATTATTGGTGACATATTTTACTGACAAAACGAATGGATTGAAAAATCGAACCAAACTTGAACAAAATACATAGGACTGCTGATGAGTGATGACCATAAATTCTGTATATAGAGCTCTAGCACTAAAAAAGAATGAACAAATGATGAATAAATCTAATCAAATTGTGTAATGTATATACACAGAAAGAATATGGCCTTACGAGCAATCAACGCACACAATCAACCCATTCTCGTTACATAACAAACACTGAATCCTTGTTCCATCACCACAGACAATCCGGCGACTACCTCTGCATCCCTCACACATCAAAAACCTGAACCCATCGCACCGCTGGCAAAGTTTATCTCCGGCGATTGGAATGCCGTCAAACAAAGCTCTAAGCTTACCTTGCTCGTGTAGACTCAATACTCGCTGAGCTCCGCCGATGCACCTTCTTTTTATGAACAGAACCGGAGGCAAAACCTCTGTTTCCCCCACCGCTGAAATTCTCCGGAGCTCTTCCCTGTAATGTCTGTGCATCGACACATCTCTCTCGTAGTACTTAACCTTAAAGCTATCCAGCAGAAACCGGATCATGTTGCAGTCGTCGAATGTCTTTCTGATTCCCCTAAGTGTCGTCGTGTAGAACACTACGGATTCCTCTCCTCCCGGAGGACACCGTTCCTCAAATTCCAATAACGGGTTGGCAAGGATAATTCCGTCTTTTCCACTATCGTCTTCTCCGATTGGTCTTCTCTCGATTCCGACTTCTTCCGCCATTGCTACTTTCTGAAGGGTAGCATCATTGTGAAGGACATTTTCGTCTTTCCCTCTATCTTCCTCTTGTTCGTTGACGGCTATTACTGGAGGAAGAGGACCATCGCATTTCTCAATTTTCTCATCCTCGATCTCGCTGACAACAGCTGGAAAGACGATACCGTCTTCTTCATCATCGACTTTGGATTCTCTGGAAAATTCGTGTAATCTCCTAAAGCACCCCACAGCTAATTCGAACGCTTCAAGTAGCTTCGGATCGAAAAGTGTGGTTGAATTCAATTCAGGTCTTCTAAATCCAGATCCGAGATTCTTTCTGCCGACACCGGTATCAAAACCGCCAGAAACCGCCGATTTGCTATCTCTCCGATCACACGGAACTCTCGGAATCTGGTTCACCGGCGGCCGGACGTTCTCCTCGTCGCCGGCGAAACACCCAGAAGCTTCTTCTCCTTCCTTATGGTTATCCACAAGTCCCGTTCCATCGGCCATCTGATCTTCAAGCATTTGAGGCGATCTCCAGATAGAACCTGCTGTAATCTGAGAAATGGGATTAGATATCTTGGGAAGATATTCGGAGATCCCATCTGCAGCTGAAAGCACCTGGAGAATCCGATCCTGGTTGAGATATTCGCCGGCTCTAATCGATTTCAACTTCTTCGCAAACTTCATTTTCGATGACTTCATCTCCAGTGTTTTGCTTCACCGGAGATCTGTAAAAATCAGATCAAAATCGGGAAAAGTTCGTTAGGGATAAGAAGACGAGATAGGTTAAAACTTTAAAAGAAAAAGGCGGTGATGAGAAGAACAGAGTGATGATGATGATTCATTTTCAACCCCAACGGCTAGAAAAGACGGTATCTTCTTTTTTCTCGGGAGAAAACAAACAATTGAGCGAGAGAGTGATCCAGTACGATTTGGCGCACTGAGATTTGGACCATTTGGTATATTTACCGGTTATTAAATGCTACGTCGTCCGTAAACGATTTTACCGATGCACGTTTTACGCGAGACGATAAACACAGTTACACAACGGTCCCAAAAAAAGGAGCCTCTAATATCGGTGAGGTGGACAATTTGTTGGGTATGCAAATAAAAATGGCGACATACAGGTGAAATCGGATGGGGAACAATTTGTGAAAGCTAAAAAATCTTAAAACCAAAATGATTACAAACCCACCAAGTTTGTTTTAAGTACACAGACACGTACAACTTCAAGTCGTATGTTTTTGCTCCACGCTATTTTCTTTCTCCTACGAGTTTAGTTTTCTACATGACTAGTCGACAAGCATACCAACTTCTTCTCCAAAGACTTTAATCGCCTGCTTGCTCAGTGGATTGACTCTCGGATAGGGTTGGGGAACTAGACTGGCACACGCTTGCCCCGGTACTTGTCAAAGAACTGTGCATCACATAGACAAAAAACGAGCCAATCAATCGCATTAGTCAATAGTTGGCGGAATATACAGCAGACTATTAGTTAAACTTGATAAGAAATCACTAAGCCTAGAAACTCAAGATCATCAGAAAGGGAATTATGCATCACTCCCACCAAGCTTGAGCAGTTCACAAGAATTAAGTTATGAATAGCATAAAGTAACAGCTAAGAGTCTGTCATTCATGTGCCTTGCAGTGTCTAAGAGCCTCATGCAAAGCATTCGTCCACTAAGTTTGTCTTTCTTGTTCTGACGTCTTCAGACACTTAAAAAAACTATTCGTTTGCAGTGAATTTTGGTTAATTGGACACTTACAGATCTGATATAAGGTTGCTGAATGATCCATCCAAGAATGGGTATCTTTTGTGCGAAAACTGCCAAGGTTGGCCAGAAGCCACTGAAATAGAGAACGCTGTTAGTATATGTATATGGTTCCACATGCAAAACCAGGATACCAAAAAGAAGAAGAAGACGGACCTGAAGAGTACAAAAAAGCCATAGGTCTCCAGCATCATTCCCAGGATTGGCCATCCAATGATTACAAAGAAGAAGCCAACCCCAAAAGATATGGTTCCCTGAGTGGAAAACATATAAAGGAATATTTAAACAACGAGTCTCACTGAGCCAGAGATACTGACGAGGAAGAGAAAAAAGGAAACCAAACAAACCCTATAGTTTTGACGTTTCATGAAAAACTGCATGGTAGACTTGAGGCCAATGGTTAGACTAACCCCAGAGATGAAAAGGATCTGAAAAAGACCAGAAAAGAAAAAAGGGATCAATCACAGATCTGAAAACAAGCACAAATATCAGTCAAAGCATAGGAAACATACACTTTTGAGGTACTTACATTTCCCATGGCAAGTAATCCCTTGTCGAAGACAAAGACTATTCCCAAAAACGAGAAGAATACGCCAAATCCTGTCAGCCCTAACCCGATTTCTGTTTCAAATCACACAACAAACGATGAAGTATATGTATATCCAAAGATTGTACCTTGTTAATAAGGTATATTGAAAATTAATGGGTTCCAACAATAGAATGACAGTCAATGATCCATTCGCTCAAAGACGCGATGAGCACTATAAAATCAAGTAAAGCTAAGTAACAGGTATCTCTTCCATAAGCACGATATAGAAATCACAATGTAGACATACTTTTCCGGTCATTCATTTCGAAGGACATCATTGTTCCAGGTGTCGACTGCTTCAACCTCTCAAGCCTTTCACTGCCACAGGCGAAAATAAGTTGAAATTCAGGAATACGACATTAGTGTTTACGCCATGATCTGATATAACATAGGAATTCAAAACTCTCGCATCAATATTTGGAAACATTCTATGGATTTGAAGTCGATTAGATATACCACTAACGGAATCAAACGTATAACCTTAACATAGCGCGAGAATATACTTCTTCAATAGTGCAAACTCAAACAATAGACTACACAGCGAGCGAGAAAAGAGATTCAACGATACTAGAAACGATCTAATCAGACGAATTGTAAACAGAAAATGCAGAAAATTGAACAAAGGCAAGTGAAACGAGGATCGTAATAGAGGAAATCGAACGGAATCCAACCAAAACCGGTATGATGCAGAGGAGGATGTGTCGTATGCTTACAGATCTAGAGTTAGACGAAGAAGACGGATGAAAAAAACAAGCACGCAGGCTCCTCGAAGAAGATCTAGAAAACATCATAAACACATCAGGCGAATTAGAATCGAAATTAAGAGATCAGCAAAACTAACATTAACAGAAATTGTGATGGAGAGCAAAAGGATAAAAGGGAGAAGAGAGCAATTAACCTGCTCGCCGAGAGTAAGGGACAAATGGCTACACAGTTGATAAACCAGAGGAGCAGAAAGCAGACGACGAGACGGAGAGCACGGGAGAGAAGAGATGCGCCAAGGTCAGAGAAATTCACAATCTCTTCCCCTGGGAAACCCAAACCGGGAGAATGATATAGTGCTATTGAGAACAGTGAAATTATGTGTCCTCGCCATTCATCACTTGACACGTGGTCCTCTTTTGCAAACCGAAATTACTGGTTTAATTGCGACTAGTGTGTAGTAAACTACAATAGTTCGATTATCTGATAGACTGATACTATAATAGAACCGTAATGTTGCTGAAATTTTTGATATAATTATTTAACAATACAACATACAGTAGTTTAATTTGTCACTAATCACGGTTCTACCATTCAAATGTATGTCACGCTGCAAACCAAGCGCTATCGAACCGGGAGAAAAATAAAGATTAGAATGAACCGGAGTGAATGAAATATGGTTACAAGTACAACCAAACCGAAAACTCCGGGTCCACATCATTTCATTACGAAATTTTCATATACACAATGCCATCAGGACTTACTCCATCCCCACCACACTTTTTGTCTTTACCTCTATAAATACGCAGCGTGTTACTGATTCCGAGGATCTTGAATTGTTAGACGTTGAAGATCTTCTTCACCTTCCTGATCTTCCTACGGCATACCGGGCAAAACCCGGAAGTTTCAGCTATCCTGCATATTGTACATCCAATATGTTTATTTAGTGACAGCTAAACGAATCGAAAATATCAAATGGGTTATTTGATAAATTACCGTGTTCCGCACTGGAAGCAAGCAACGCAGTGTCCACAAGAGAGGAAGAAACAGTCTCTAGGCGCATCAAAGCAAATCGCACAGAGATATCTTGTGCTACTGTGGCCTTCACCGTGTCCACCTTCCAGTTCCTCAGTACTTGTCAAGATAGAACTGTATGAGGAGCACCAGCTCGAGTTATCATCGTCTTTTCCCGGAATGAGAGGAGCTACATCATCACTTTCATCAACGTTTTCGTCTTCAGAGACTCGTTGTCTTGTGTTGTAGAGACCAGAGACGATCAATAAGATCACTGTCACTACACCTGTAATAATAATCCAAGGGGAATAAGCAAAAGTTTATGACAAAGTCCAACAACAAGATCGGTCTGTTTATACGACTCAAGTAATTGAAAAAATTACCCATGCAAACGATGTAGGCAAACCACCTTGGCTCGTACGAGAGTTTTGCGCAGAACTCAGTCTTAGAATTGTTCTGAACAAGAAGAAGAGAGTTGTATTCAGAATGGTTCTCTGGCATATGCATAACTATCTTGTATTGATCTATGAATCCTCTGTAAAGTAGAGTGATGTAGCAAGACGAGAAATGGGCCACATACCAGCTTTGGACCCGGTGAGGTTAGTACAGCAGCAGTAGTTCCAAATAATGGAACCCTTAAAGTGCACTTGTCGTTGGGGAAAGTGCAATTGTAGTTAGCATTTGTAGTATCATACAATACTGCCTCAACTTGAATGTCGATTGTCGCCTGAAGAATGTAAATATAATCATATAAGAAGAGACCATTTGCGATCAGAAATGGACAATATATTGCAGTACAGGAGAGAAGTTAGTCTAGAAATCTAACTTGTAGCGTATATCAGGATAAGTAGCTTCAGCTATTACCTTGACATCATTCAGGTATACGTTTCCTACGGCAACGTAATAAGTCGACGACTTAGTTATGTCCTGCTCAATGAAACCACTATCTGTCAAAGATAAATAAATAAGGGAAACTGTTAGTGACGTTCAGAATAAAAAACCTCTCATGTTAAAACCTCGGTCACTAACCAGAGATTAGACGCCATGTTAGTGTAGTGTCTGGACGCGTAGGGTCTTGTACCCACTCAGAGAGCCCATCCACACCTTCATTTATAAATGCATAAAAACCTCAATCACTGAACAACTATTTTTTCCAAGATAATCATTAGAAAAGGATTCCTCTGAAGCATACCTTGAGCTATCACCAGATAGAGGGAAGAGCCCACAGATTCAACGTTGTATGAAACTTTTACGCGCGACCCCTTGTTCAAATACTGTATCCAATACTGAAACATAATACCAAACGAAAAGGTTTCATAGCCATTTTGGGGATGAACGGAGGTAAAGAGCAGCGAGAGAAGTTACCTTGTAAGAATCATTTGGCACAGCTAAATAATGGACTTCGGACCAATTGGACAGAACATCGAGTTCTGGTGCTTGGTTCAATCCGTACAGCATCATACCTGATCCCTTATTCCCTAATTCTTCCACCTTTTAAAATTCGGAATTGAAAAGGGACATCAGAGAATTCGACAAGGATGGTAAATTATAGCCTAGTGCAAGAGAAGAGAGAACATACAATAACATTTTGGACGAACAATGTATTTGGCTTGATAAGGAACGAGGAGTTTGGTCCCAACCATACGTTGGTTGTTCCGTAAAGCCCCAGAATCAAAGTCATCGAGACTGAATCAAATTCAGTGACAACACAGAATCAACAATCCATACAGCAAAAAGTCAAAGTAGATGTGAAATTGCATTGGAATTTCAATTCTCACCGAAGACACAGAAAGTAGCGACGACGACAACGCAAGACCAAGGATCTTCCGAATTAGAAGTGTTCCTCGCGTTCTCTGATGCAACAATGCCGCCGTTGCGGTAATCGTACTCGGAGCGATTCCATGGAGGTCGATCACGATGATCAAAACCGCTATCTTGGCCGTGTTCGAAACGAATATACCCGCTTTCTTCGCGGGCCACAGGCGGAGAAGATGAAGACGCCTGGAGAGAATCGGGGAGCGACATCTCGCAATCGATTGGAGATGCGAATAAATGGAATTGAACAAGGTAAAACCCTAACAGCAGGTTTGGGGTTAATAAGCTTCAGGACCGATCGATGACAGAGATTTGAACAACAGGTCGGCTTCTTCTCTTTCTTCATGGTCACGTTGAACGGTGGATTGACAAAAAAATGGAGAGAGAAGACTTGGAAATGGTAAAACTATACTTTATCTCTCTCTCCGAATAAAATACGAACGAAAACATTCTTTTATTGTTTTTTGTAACAAATTGAACATTCTTTTATTATTGACTTTGAGTTAGAAGAAAAAAATTGTAAAAATTTGATAAACAATTCCACTGATTCTGCTAGCAGAAAAAATGAATTTAATAAAGAATTTTTTATATTGTTGTTCCACTACTATATACAAAAGCAATGAGTGGAACAAAATGAATCTTCTATCATTCAGATTCAACAAATTTATATTCCATTTAACTTTGTTCCACTGATTTCTCTAATGATAAACCATTTGTATCCTTTCAAAAACTATTTCTTAAAAACAACGAGTCATGAATCATGATATAGAGGAGAATCCTGAGAAACAACGAGTCATGAATCATGACTCATGCTGTAGAGGAGACATCAAACCTGTGATTCTGTGAAACATTAGCCTTAAATACACATGGAATGGTTTATGGCTAAACAAAATACTGACTCCACAGGCCTGGATGCAGCTCACCAGTTTGATCGCTCACGAGTTTTGCTGTGCTCTTGGATCATAATCTGATATCCTAGAAGTTCAAAACTTGAAGTGCTTCAGGGACATCTCGTATAGATTTCAGATGATAATTTGGTAACAAAAAGTTGAGCAGAAATGAAAGACGCCGTTGTTCCATAATTAAAATCTCTAATTAAATAGTTAGTGTGGTCGAATCTCTTTTGGTTCATAGTATTCAGACAGGTTGGTCTCGTAGATTATGTCTAAAGTTACCATAACACCCATGCCTATCTGTCATCTACAACGGTATTCTCGTAAATATGACATATAGTGAGGGGTTATTCTGTCAATGACACAAAACTCAAGTCCCATATTCGGACACAGTCTACGTGTTTCTCTTTCCAGTCTGGTTTTGAGGAGAGGCAAAAAAAAGAACCAGATCTTCAAAAAAAGAAAGAAAAAAACAAATCCCCAAACTCAATTCAAATTCGAATCCCCAAAAAACCCTAGATTTTTCAATTTAGTTGGTGCTTCTCTCAATCGATCGGGCCGGGGTTAGAGACCTCGTACATTTGCAGGCGATGGGGGATTTCAATCTCGCTCTTGTAATTGTCGCGATCGTAGTTTGCGTCATTGTCTTCATCTCCAGCATCTACCTCCTCGTCAACTATCAGCATCCAGATGATGCCAACCAGGCCTATTTCCCCAAATTCGTCGTTGTTTTCGGCTTATCCATTGCCATGATCTCCATCCTCATGCTGCCGGCAGATGTGGCAAACCGGCATGCTTGTCGACATTCCATTTACAACGGCGCCTGCAATCTCACTTTACCCATGAAGGATCTGTGGCTTGCTGTTTACATTATTGACGCTGTGCTCGTCTTCTTCATCATCCCATTTGCTATGTTTTTCTACGAAGGCGACCAGGACAAGTTTGTTTCTCCACCGAATTAATTTGTGATTTTGTCAGTTGATACTTGAAGAATCGCAAGTTGTTGATGTGTTTGTTTTACTGCAGGACTCTTGGAAAGAGGATCAAAAGTGCTTTGATTTGGGTGGTTACTACAGCTGTTGTCTGTGCTCTGGTGCTTGGAATATTATACGGTTAGTTGCCACTGTGATTTGGTTTCTTTTGTAGATTTGAGCTTCGTACTCTTCCTGGTTTGATGAAAGTTCTGAGAGTATGCTGGTTTAGTCGAAGTGGTGATTGACCAATAGTGGGATCGTTTCATCTTTTTGCGAGTCTATCAAGTTTGCTATTGGGTTCGTGTTTCTTGAGTTTCTGTTTATAATTGGCATCTACAATGTATTAGGAGTCATTGGGAAGGTGGACTTCTCTGTCAGGCACTTGTCTTCTGCCACAACGTCTTTCCCTACTTCATGGCAGTTTTCAAATAATCAGCCTTGTATCGGTAACACTGCTCGTCAGGTACTACTTGAACTTTGGTTGCATTCTTGGTATTACTTTATGTTTTGTAAGTCTCTATGGAAAAAAACATCTCAGTATTTAACATATATGCATTATACTCTGTTGAAATGTGCGGCAGTGCTCAGCATATACTGCTAACGCCACATCTGAGAAGACATGGACAATGCGTACTACGTTTCCAGAATATGTTGTTGCTCTTGCTACAATCGTTGGGTCAGTGCTCTTCACGGTATGAACATCCTTCTAATTGTGTTCTATTGTACTTGAAAGACTTTTGGTGGCTGCCATTTTTTGGTTTCTTCTAAAGATTCTGAGAAACTCTTTTATGTCAATAATGTTTTAGATATTTGGAGGTGTTGGTATTGCATGTCTACCCTTGGGACTTATCACTGCATTCATCAGGCGGCCAAAGGCTGTTATCACTCGCTCACAGTATATAAAGGTTATTGTCTTCACTCGGAAGTTTTTCTGAAAAGATTATATATATTTTGTGTCACTGGCTCTCTTGGTGGCCTGACAAGTAATCGATATGGTTTTCAGGAAGCTACTGAACTTGGAAAAAAGGCAAGAGATCTAAAGAAAGCAGCCGATGCACTTCATCAGGAAGAAAGAAGTGGTGCCAAGGGCAGGAAGTGGAGGAAAAATGTCAAAGCAGTTGAAAAGGTACACCATCACATCTGAAGGTTTGGTTATCTGATTTCAAACTTGGTTGACGTATCTCCCATAGACCCACTAATATTGACTGCTTTATGCATGCTTAGTTGCGATCTCAAGTCTTAACTCTTAACTAGTCCTAATTGGCTTTCATGTAACCTGCAGGAATTGCTCCAATTGGAAGAAGATGTGAACCTCTTAGAAGAGATGTATCCTCAAGGAGAGAAGGTAGAGATGACTTTATCTCAGCTCTTTGTCTATCTAAAGAATTCTGTAATCCAACAATTCCTTTGCCTTGTCCTTTTACCAGGCAGAAACTGCTTGGGCCTTCACTGTCCTTGGATACTTGGCCAAGTTTATTCTTGGAATCCTAGGGTTGGTATTTTATTAATCTTCTTGTTACTTTTACACCCTCTCTCGACTCTCTCTCTACAAGTCCTCGGTTAACTTTTTTTTTTATTGTTGAAGATTGATAGTTTCTGTGGCTTGGATTGCACACATCATCATATATCTACTTGTGGACCCTCCCCTCTCCCCTTTTCTTAATGAGGTTTTCATCAAACTGGATGACGTCTGGGGTAACTCCATTTTCTCGTCTTGTTATGTTACTCTGTACCATGTTCCTTATGTGCCTGACCTAACTCTATGTGACCTTATCTTCTTCTTGTCTAGGTCTTCTAGGCACTGCTGCTTTTGCTTTCTTCTGTTTCTACCTGCTACTTGCTGTTATTGCTGGGGCAATGATGGTTGGTTTGAAGCTGGTTTTCGTTACCATTCATCCGATGAAGTAATTCGTCTTATGGTTTTCAAATGCTTTTCTGCTATGTCAGAGGTCATTTGGTTTCTCATTAGCCTAATTTATTTGTTTTCAGATGGGGAGCCACTCTCATGAACTCTTTCCTCTTCAATGTCGGTCTCATTCTTCTCTGTTCTATCAGGTAAGCTTCTTTGGTCTCATAGCATCACAAGTATATAGCAAGTTTTAATTCTTACAGTTGATTACTGTGTGGCTCGCTGAAATTGCAGTGTGATTCAATTCTGCGCAACTGCATTTGGATATTATGCTCAAGCCACTGCCGCTCAGGAGATCTTTGGACACACTCTGCAGTCGCTCCGAGGAATCAAGTACCTGTACAAGTAAGTAGTGTGTTGGTTGAGTATTTTTTCTGCAAATAAATGTCTCATTGCTATATATACTGACCCATGTTCGTCCTTTTCTTCTGTGCAATATTTCAGGTACAATGTTTTTCAAATCGGTTTTGTTATCCTTGCTGGGCTGACCTTTTTATACTACATCGCCTTTGTAAGTCTTCTAAACCCTGCATGTGTTCTTTTGTTTCCATTAAATGTGATTTGTGTAAACTCATGTTCTTGGTGGGTGGTTTTTGGCAGGGATGGAGAAGAAAAAAACCCAGCGGTAGATTCCAGCTCTCTACCTAATGTAAATCTCTTATTTTTTCCTTTTTCTCTTCCTCGTCTTTGGGATCCACTCGCGCGCTGCTGAGGATAGCTCTTGTCCACAATCATTGTCACCGGTTACCGAGATTTGTCTCATGATCTGTGAAAATGGTCGTCTTATATCTTTAAGAACAAGCACCTGCCCAAAAAGCTTCTCTTTCTTCTGCTGAGGTTTGTTTTTGTTTTGTTTCAGTTGAGTGTAATCTTATCCTTCTTTTCCTTTCGTTTCTTCTGTATCTATCGTTTATCTTATTGTTGTAATTGGATTAACTACGAAAAGGTTTGTAGTTTTTATTTTTGTACCCTTGCAACAATTAGTTTGTCTTCTTATGATCTTTAGTACTATTTGGAGTAAGTTCATGTAACATTGCTGAGGAAAAAATTCTGAATTTAGATTTCGAGTTATTCGTATCTAGAGTGAGGCTCGACGTGATGATAAAAGACTTCTTTGAGGAAATAAAATTATCTCTTTCTCTGATTTTGAAGCAAATTAATAAGCAAACCGAAGTTAATAGTCTGATTTGGCCCGGTTTGGTTATGTCCTTGGTATCGTTTTGACTTTTGACGGTTATCTGTCCAAACACCCTGGGACAATTAGAGGGTTTTTGTAACAGCCGTTCGAGCAAAAAGAACAGTGAACGAGAGATCTCTCTCTACAAAAGTGACATGGACATAGCTCTGTTCTCGCCGTCGTCCCTCTTCGCCGCCGACGGTGACTCCTCCGGTCGGTTCTATTTCTCCTATTATCAGTTTCTGCTTTGATCGAAGAAATAGCATACATACATAGTGAAGTAACTGTAATTTTTCTCAGATGGAGAAACAACGGAGGCAAGCCAGAGCTTCGTTGAGAGGAATCACCAGTTTCCCGGAATGGTAGTATCTTCGCTCCCGATATTGCCTCCTTGTTATTACGATTCCAGGCTTAGTTTATGTCCTCACCCGAGCTTCTGATTTCAGGGATTTTTAGTTGATATAGTGGCTTAGATATTAGGTTGCTTTGGGGGTTTGACTACGGAATCATAAACGGATCCCTAAATTCGTTGCTACAGAACACCAATTTTGTTTGAATGATGATAACAGGAAGTGCATATCCGGGAATTCGGATTCCACCAGCTGAATGCAAACTTGCTTTGGCCAGGTACATTCTCCTTTGCAGATTGGTTAGTGGAACATCGACATTTGATTGAAAGGCGGCGTTGCCTTGAAATTGGAAGGTACTACTTCCTTCTCTTTCTTTGTATTCTCCATAACGTTTTTTCACTTCATCCAATCATGTTTTTAAGATCAACAAAGCTGATTTTGATTTGTATCTTAGTTACAACTGTTTTTTTTTTTTTTTTACACTGTTGTTGACACTAATCAGTTTTTTCTTCTTCTTTGGTCTTTGAAATGGGCAGCGGCACAGGTGCTCTAGCTATTTTTCTTAAGAAAGAGTTCAATCTCGACATTACTACTTCAGACTACGACGATCACGAGATTCAAGACAATATTGCTCATAACTGTGCTGCAAACAATATAATCCCTTCTTTACCGCATATCAAGCGTAAGTTGCCGCTTCATTTCATCACTCACATTTAGGTATTGTCTAGGGAATGGCGTTTCTGGTTGATTGTTTCAACTCTCTTTTTTTTACATTCTTGTCTATTGTGGCAGATACATGGGGAGATGCATTTCCAGTCGCTGAACCAGATTGGGATTTGATCATAGCCAGTGATATCCTTCTATGTATATACCTCTTCTTCCCTATCAGAAACCTATGTTTTCATGCTTTTAATTAATTTGTCTCCCACTCCATTTTGTTTCTTTCGGCTTTTGCAGATGTGAAACAGTACCCGAACTTGATCAAGTCTCTCACTTTTCTTCTCAAAACCTACAAACGAAAAGACACCAATGCCATTGCTCCAACCGAGTGCAAACCAAATGGTCAGTATCATTTTCCGAAGCTTCTACCTTTCCTTTTCTCTCACGCTAATCTTTTCACCACTACGAGCAGGCACGGGTCTGCCGTCGCCGGTGTTCTTGATGAGCTGGAGGCGAAGAATCGGCAAAGACGACGAGTCTTTATTCTTTAATGGTTGCGAAGAAGCTGGCCTCGAGGTGAAGCATCTTGGAAACCGAGTTTATTGCATCAACCTTAAGAGAAACCAACCACTGAAAGAACAAGAAAAAATTCAATAGGGATTGTTTACTCTTGATGCTGATGTGTGTTTTTCTTTTTTCCCCTTAACGGTTGGAATGTTAACCATATTTGTGTTTGATCTAACCGACACAACCGCCAAGAAAAACTTGTTTCCAAAAAACATCACAATTCATGAAGACTTTTTGAAAAAATAACACTCCGTATGAGATCTTCCTAAAACTTTCGTACAACTGATTAATAAAGCGTTTAAAATGTCTCAATAATCTTACGTGATTGCTTGACGTTTCTAAACGCTAATCTACGACTTTGAAATGCATAGAAAATTCGAAAGCACTTAGTTTAAACTTTATATTCCTATTGATACAGGGCATCAAAATATATTAGTAAGAAACTTCCAGCGAGTTTCGCAAGATGGAGACATATAACTCATGTTTTGATTTCTTTATAGAACGATTTTTCGTGAATTTCGTGTGGAATAAGACACGTATAGACTAATGTACAACTACGATGCAGTCAAGAAGACTGAAACCTTTTTTCGGTAATGTGCTATACGCGTTCTTTTATATTAGAGTATTGAAGAAAATTTAGGACAGTAAGAAGGATTTAATGTGAACTAGTTAGAGGGAATATGACAGAGTAATAACAAGAGCGATTATAGGAGATCGAGATTTTGATTGATACGAATCATACGATTTCCTCTCCTTCACAATAACTGTAACTATAAAATACGATGGAGACGGAAACGTTGCAAAAGAAAATTTATATATATAGTAAGACGTCAAAATTAAATATACAAAGAAACGCATCACTGTTCACAAACAGCCTGTTTATATAAATCTAAATAAATCAGTAAAATGAATCACTTTTGAAAAAAACACAGATTCAAAGGCAAAAAGGGATTTTGTGTTTTTACCAGAGAGTCAACGACGAAGAACATGTCTTCGATTACTATGGAACCATCGCAGAATCTTTCTCTCATAGAGAATGGTGGCCGGAGCTGCGGTTGCGACGGTGGAAGCGGAAGCGACAAGCGAACGCAGACGACTGAGACGGCGGAGATATCCAGACGTAACCGGAGAACGGTACAGAATCTATCGGCGACGTCGTTGATAAGGAAGAGATCGGATCTGAAACTGATTTCGAGAGTTCGTTGGGGGTTTCTGAGGCGAATCTTATCGAATCTTCAGGAAGTTCTTCTCGGCACAAAACTGTTTCTTCTCTTCCCCGCCGTTCCACTTGCCGTCGTCGCTCACCGCTATGAATGTCCACGTGTAAGTTATTCATTAATTATTTATAATATAAAGATTAACGGAGAATTTTAACAAAGATTTTGCTGATTTGAAAAGCATAGTGTATTGTTTGTAACTTACGTTAGTTTATATGTTTTGTGCGTAATAACAAAAAAAAAAAAAAAAAAAAAACAGGCGTGGGTATTTGCGTTGAGCTTGCTTGGATTGATACCTTTGGCCGAACGTATCAGTTTTCTCACAGAGTAATTATTACTCTCAATCTCTGCCTTTCCTTTTTATTTTTGTTTCCCATAAATATGTTTTTGCTAATATTGTGTGTTTCCAAATCTATTTTTAAATATGATTTTCTTTTCTTCCTCAACAGGCAAATTGCTTATTATACCGGCCCAACAGGTGATTATCATTTAATTTTTGTTGACTTCTTTAGGCAACTACTAGGCATGCATTTCAACTGAACCGAGTTATCCCGCATTAAAACGAATTTCCTATAAACCGAATAAACTGGACCAAACTAAACCGAATACTCTTTATGCATGATAATGATAGATAGGCAAGTGCATTTTTGTGTGTGGTTATGTAAAATATGTGTTTGTATATCTTTGGTGGAAATGAATGAAGTCGGGGGATTAATGAACGCGACTTGTGGGAACGCGACGGAGATGATAATAGCGATTCTAGCGGTTGGCCAAAGGAAGATGAGAATAGTGAAGCTCTCACTTTTGGGCTCTATTCTCTCCAATCTTCTCTTCGTCTTAGGCACTTCTCTCTTCTGTGGTGGTCTCTCCAATCTCCGCAAACACCAATCTTTCGACCGAGTATGTCAAAATCTCTTCAGATTCTCCAACTCAATCACTGGACCGGTTTTGACCTTTTTTAATAATACTTTTTGAATGTAATAAAATCACAGAAGCAGGGAGATATGAACTGCATATTGTTGTATCTGGCGTTATTGTGCCAAACACTACCAATGATTCTGAGATTAACAACGGAGGAGGCCGGAGGAACAGGAGCAAATGGTAATGTTTTAGTTCCAAGAATTGAGGAACATGTCACAACAAGTGAGGATGGATCATTTGTTGTTGTCTTGTCAAGAGTAAGCAGCTTCGTGATGCTCTTTTCTTACTTGGCTTTCCTCATCTTTCACCTCTTCTCTTCTCGCCTCTCTCCTCCTCCTCCTCCTCCTCCTCAGGTTTTCTCTCTCTCTAAAACTATTCACAATATATGATACTACCTTGTGCTGCTCCTTAGTAATGTTTGCTTCCGTTTAATATATTAAAGAGGGAAGAAGAAGAGGATGTATATGACGATGACGTGAGTGACAAGTCAGAAGAAGAAGAAGAAGCCGTGATTGGAATGTGGAGTGCGATTCTTTGGCTTGTTTCAATGACGCTTCTCGTTGCTCTGCTCTCCGACTACCTTGTCTCTACCATTGAGGTGTGTTTATCAATATAACAAAAACTACAATCAACAGATCACCAAATTGCATTGGGTTATATATACACATAAATATGAATGGGGTCATATATATACACTTATCGGATCAGGACGCAGCAGACTCGTGGGGACTATCAGTGGGATTCATAGGAATAATATTGTTACCAATTGTTGGTAATGCAGCTGAGCATGCTGGTGCTGTCATCTTCGCCTTCCGTAACAAACTCGTACGTCTCAGTTTCTTTCTTCCTTTCTGTTTTCTGTTTTTTTTACCACCATATCATCAAGTGTAAACATTTATTCTGATCATGAAGACAAATTAACTGTATTGTATAATTATAATATTGAAACGTACAGGACATAACTCTGGGAATTGCTCTTGGCTCTGCAACACAAATTGCTTTGTTCGTGGTAAGCTAATCGATCTTCACCTTATAAATAATGAAGCTCCCTACATATATATATATATATATATATTTTTTCAGTTGTAGCTTAAGATTATGAATTGCGATTTAGGTACCAGTGACAGTGTTAGTGGCATGGACAATGGGAATAGAAATGGACCTTAACTTCAACCTCCTTGAGACCGCTTGTCTTGCCTTGTCCATTATCGTCACTTCCTTCACATTACAGGTGCAGTTTTTTTTTTTTTTTTTTTTTTTTTTTTTTTTTTTAATGTGATTAAAATATATGATACTCTGAATAGTATCTAATTTCATACATTATATGATTGATTGATAGGATGGGACTTCGAACTATATGAAAGGCTTGGTTCTTCTCATGTGTTATGTTGTCATTGCTGCCTGCTTCTTTGTTTCTAAATCACCCTCAAGTAAGCCTTTTGTTTTTGTTCCGTACGTTGTCCTTAGTGTCTTCATTATCTTTATTATTGTTCTGTACGATATTGATTTGCTTTGCATTGTCTCAAATTGCAGCCGAAACCAATACCACGAATCACACAATGACGTAACGGCAAGTTATGTTAATATTAAATCACGTTTCTATAACACCTTCTACCGTGAAGTTAGAACAGTATTATTTTCTTCGTTCAAAATTCGTTGTTTTATCCATTTCTCGTTCTTTTAACTTTTGGGCTGACACTCTTACGAAAGAAGCTCGAGTCTATACAATTTCTTTTTGTCATGTAAACATCACTTTTGCTGTCAAAGAAAAAGAATGATATTTTATAAACAGAATGCAGCAGTCATTAGTGCACTACACAATCAGGTGTATTTAATGTTTGATTAAGGATTCCTTCCTTCATTCAACAAAGCACATATATTTAATCAAGTTGAGATTCATTTTTCTTAATTCGTATGTTCAAAGTCTGGAGAAGGCCCAACTGAGCCCACTAATTTGACTGGTTACTTTGTGACTCCCTTGTGGACCCCATTATTAAGTACTAACAGGAATGCCAGCCATCACCGGAGACAATTTATACACACTTGACTCCATTTTGTGCAATAAAAAGGCTCAGATTCTCTCATGTGAGATTCAGGAACCATAACCATCCAAAATTCGAAAAGTCCTCCAAGTAATCCGCCATGGGAGAAGAGAAATCTCTACTTCAATTCAGTAGTATTCCTTCGCTCAGGACCTCTGATTTCGCTCTCACCGAGGAGCCTTCATGGAGGCTGGATAACAAGGCGTCCTCAAATCGACACAGAGGAAACAAAATAAGCGGTGGCGTATTTAGCAATTTCGCATCCGTATCGGTAGCGATTAGGAGAAATCGGAGGGAATCTGAGTTTAACAGTGGAAATGGCGGAGCTTTCGCGTCCGTCTCGGTGGCAGAGAAGGTGATTCCCAAGGAAGAGGACGATTTCGCGCCTACTTCGGCTCAGCTCATGAAAAATCCGGTCGCTCTTTTGTCATTTGTACCGAAAGACGCCGCGCTGTTCTTCGCCGGAGCGTTCGCCGGAGCCGCTGCAAAGTCTGTGACGGCACCGCTTGACCGTATAAAGCTCCTTATGCAGGTAGGCTCAACAACTTCGAGGTTTTGGGGCACGTGTTTTCTTTTTTCTCCATTTTTTAAAATAATGAAGAAAAATGTCTGTATTGGTGAGCATGTAAACGCTGTCGTTTAGAGTAGCTTATTCGGACGAGTAACTTTTTCAGTCTTTGATTAGAAAGATTCAGTTACATGAAAGAGTTTCTAAGTTGTTACAGACAGACTTACAGTAATGTTCATTGATTCTGACAACCTAGTTTTGACGTCTTATTAACTCATAGACACACGGTGTTCGAGCTGGGCAACAAAGTGCTAAGAAGGCTATTGGTTTCATAGAGGTATGTATATCCTCAAAATCATTTAATGGAGAGGATTAGGATTGGTTCTTCTCTTATTGAAAACTCTTGTTGATATGGTTTTGTAATTTGGAATATAACTACAGGCGATTGTTCTTATTGGAAAGGAGGAAGGAGTTAAAGGGTATTGGAAAGGAAACCTACCTCAGGTACTCACCAATTCACCATCTCTTACATCTTTTTGAAAGAAAGAAGAAAAAACAAAAAAAAAGAGTGTGTGTAATATAGTAGAGTTTGATTGGAAATAATCTTAAGCCTGAATGTTCCAGGTGATAAGGATCATACCTTATAGCGCGGTCCAGTTGTTTGCATATGAAACATACAAGGTATATAAACTTTCTGAATCTGAACCTAGTTTCATTTCCAAAGTTTAGATACCGTTTATTCAATGTGTAGCCTTTTTTATGTTTTTTAGAAACTCTTTAGAGGAGAGGATGGTCAATTGTCTGTTCTCGGAAGGCTCGGTGCTGGTGCTTGTGCTGGCATGACGTCTACTCTAGTAAGTAGCGTTGTTTAAAGGGCTAAGTGAGTTTGTCTTTCTAAAAACGCCTTAAGACTCAAATTTACTTGATGCAGATTACATACCCTTTAGATGTGCTCAGGTTGAGATTAGCTGTTGAACCAGGTTATCGAACCATGTCTCAGGTATGTTCATCGCATTGATTGAACACCAACTTTACGTTCCACAAATTCATCAAAGCTAAATAGGACATGTCACATATAGGTTGCCTTGAACATGCTGAGGGAGGAAGGACTTGCATCATTCTATAACGGTCTCGGTCCTTCGCTTTTAAGTATAGCTCCTTACATTGCCCTCAACTTCTGCGTCTTTGATCTGTAAGTCTTAGTAACAGTTAAGCATTACCCACTGATATTCCCATGTTTTTATTCAATTGTTAACATTTGATATATACATAAATCCGCAGGGTAAAGAAATCTTTGCCAGAGAAGTATCAAAAGAAGACACAGTCATCTTTGTTAACAGCAGTAGTCGCAGCTGCGATTGCTACCGGTACTTGCTATCCCTTGGATACCATTAGAAGACAGATGCAATTGAAGGGTACTCCATATAAATCCGTATTCGACGCTTTCTCAGGTAAAAGTCAAAAACGAATTCTGCATCTCCTTTTAATTATCACCCTTTCTCATCAACACTCAAGACAATTAGTTTCCGGTGACTGACTTGTTGACCCATAAACTTCTGATAGGTATCATTGAGCGTGAAGGAGTGATTGGCTTGTACCGTGGCTTTGTCCCCAATGCCCTTAAAAGCATGCCAAACAGCAGGTAATTAATTACTTGTCATAAAAACCAGTTTTTTTCTCATTTTCTTCTTATTTCAGTATTAACTAACAATTTGAAATCCTCTTTCATGTTGTTTCAGTATTAAGCTGACAACATTCGACATCGTCAAGAAAATGATTGCGGCAAGTGAGAAGGAGTTCCAAAGAATCGCTGATGATAATCGCAAGAAAGCAAGCTCTAACACAACCGATGAATAAACCTGAAAAGAAACCGCCGTTTTGGAGCTCCTGAAGCTTATTATTCCTCCTAGTCTTATGATCTTTTTGGTGTGTTTTGTATTTTTGAATGTGTGTGTGAGCTAAATGTTCTTCAGCTGAATTATGAAACACAGAGAGTGTATGTCAATTTATGGTAATAAATGTATGTCTGTTTGTGTCCGGCTTTACTCTTTACGTTTAGATAGTAGTCGTCGTCGTCACTCGTCAGTCCACTCCTCACCAATTATATCCCGGTTTGGTTTAGCGTATAAACATTTCCAATCGGTTTGACTGGTTAGCTATTCTTTAAACGACAGCGTTTTCAATAAGGAACGACGGAATTGGGGATAACTTGTATTTGGCGGTTGAAGAAGGAGCGACGAGGAGATTTCCGATTTTCAGCGTTTCAGAGGGAAGTAGTCGACGAAGGAAGTGTCTCGTATCCTTCCCCACACCAACCCCAACTCTTAAAATCTATCTTCTGTCATCATGTACTGTACTTTGCGATTTCCGGTGCCTCTTCACGTTCCCCGAACTCGAACAATGGCTTCCTGTAAGCCGAAACGACGCCGTTTGCAGCATTTGCGCTGCTGTGCTCAGTCTAGTCTTCGTGAAGGTGACGAAGACGAAGGTGAAGAAGAGGCCGATGATCAGAGGTGTTACATTATATCTATTTCACTTTCTTTCTCCAGTTTTGACTCTCGAGAAAATGGATTTTATTAATTTACGGATGATGATTGCTCATTCATTAGTGTTGGAGTTGAAGGATTAGTGTCGATTGTGGTGGAGAGATACGGAAATGGCTCTTCGAAAAGGTCAGCTTCAGGTTTCTCATGTTCTTATTATTAGCTGAATAAGATTCATCTCATCTCTTTTATCTAATTTAAACAAACTGACTATTTTGTGCAGATATTTGCTAGATGATGATGACTCGCCTTTACAAGGCTTTCTCGAAAAGCGTGAACCTAATAAGCCTGATAACATATCTCAGGGATCAGAAACGAACACGCTCTGGCTTCCTGATGCTGTCAAGGATTTTGTTTTTCCCACCGGCTTTCCTGGTACTTCTTTAGCTGTATCTTCCTTTTCGGGAGTCTCAGAATGCTAAGCTTGTAGAGGTTTTTCAGATCCTATTATGATCATCTTATTGAGTGAATCTCATGGCAGGGTCTGTTTCGGATGATTACTTGGACTACATGCTGTGGCAGTTCCCTACCAACGTTACCGGCTGGGTTTGTAATGTATTAGTCACCTCAAGTCTCCTCAAGGCATGTCCCTAGCAATTTCTGATTTATTGCCTTTGTCTTATCCTTGCTACAAGGTGTTGATAATGTTGCAACTTTTTTTTTTTTTTTTTTTTGAAATTATTATGCAACAATGCAGGCGGTTGGCGTTGGCTCTTTCTCAGGAACTTCTGCTGCCGCTACTGCTGCTGCTTCTGCTGCAGCCATCAGGTTTACTTTTTTTATGTGAATGCAAACTTAGCTTCTTTGCTGCTGCTGCAAATCTCTTGTTCTTATAGTTTTCTTCAAACTATGTGTTGTCTCTTCAGATGGGTATCTAAGGATGGAATTGGAGCTCTTGGCCGTCTTCTTATTGGTAAACCATGGCAAGATTAATAAATTGTCCATGGAGTTATCTCAGAACCTCTTCAGTAAGAAGGGTATTTTATTCCAGGTGGACGTTTTGGTAGTCTTTTTGACGATGATCCTAAGCAATGGCGCATGTATGCGGATTTTATTGGCAGTGCTGGAAGGTTTGTAGTAGAGTCTTTGAATTCTTGGTAAGCCATATTTGGTTCAGACTATGAATAGCAAAACTGCGTTTTTGTTTTGCAGCTTCTTTGACCTGGCGACACAACTATATCCAACCCAGTTCCTACTGTTGGCATCCACGGGAAATCTGGCCAAGGTATTCATACAGATTGTTATTAAGAATTCATGTCGGCTAAGCTTTAAATGACAGAGTCCACGTACTTAGATTTCAATATGAAATAGGCTGTAGCTAGAGGATTGAGAGACCCTTCATTCAGGGTGATTCAGAATCATTTTGCCATCTCAGGAAATCTTGGAGAGGTAGCAGCCAAGGTACTTCTATAATCAAAACCCAATTACAAGCGAGTAGCTATGTGTTCACTCTTTTAGCAGAGTATCTAATTTTTGTTCAACGTCTCAGGAAGAAGTGTGGGAAGTTGCTGCTCAGCTAATTGGTCTTGGTCTTGGCATTCTGATCATTGTATGTTACTTGTTAGTTGGCCCATTTTCTCAACTCTATTCATTAGTAGTCCCCATTGGATCTCGTTAAAATCATTGTACTGGTTTCATGTTGAGCGTTTGTATACTGTTATCTTGATGCAGGACACGCCGGGCCTTGTAAAGTCATTTCCCTTTGTGTCACTTACATGGACGAGCATAAGAATTGTTCATCTCTGGCTTCGCTACCAGTCACTTGCAGTTCTACGATTTAACACAGTAAGAGGTTTGAAATGGATTTTCTTATAACCCCAACATGAGGAAAACTCAGATAAAATGGAAATTCTTTGATTTGAAACATTGTCAGGTAAATCTCAAGCGTGCTCGTATCCTGGTACAATCTCATGTCGCGCACTCCATTGTTCCGGGTAAGAATTTTCCTCCTTTATTTTTCCAGTTTATTATCCAACCACCAAGTAAGACCCATCTTCTCTCGTCACAGGATTTGCTGACTGCAACAAGCGAGAAAACATTTTGCTATGGCAGAGATTCATGAAACCTCGGATCATCTTTGGTGTGTCTCTTGAGGAAGTATCTGGTCTGGAGAAATCTGTTTTTAAGGTAATTTATTTTAACCACATGCATATATACTCTTGAGAGAATCTTCTATTTGTGAATCCAAGTTTCCCAATCCTTGATTTTTCTAGGTCAAAGCGCTCCTTAAGATATACACCCAGGAGAAATATATTCTAACGTTGAATAAGATGGACAAGGATACTGAGTTTTCTGTATCCTTTAAGGTATGTGCGTGACCTAATGGAAAAACTTAACCGTTTCTCTTTAACTAATAAACGAAACACCAGACTTGCATATATCGGACTCAATCATGATTCCTCCTTGCTGTGCGAGAAAATATTACTCTCTTTTTTTTTTTCTCTCTCAAGTAACCTGATATAGATTCATTGGTGGTTAATTAGTTTTAGCATATAACGCAGGTGAATGCCACAAGCAGAGACGTGTTGAGATGTCTTTGGCAAGCATATTGGTTATATGAGAACATGGAAAATAGGTTTAAAGACAAAGATAGTGTGTTCCACTGGCTGAAGCAAAGCTTGTCGGAGATGGACAACAAGTTTGAGGATTTCTTGTTCAAGTTGGATACTGCTGGATGGAATCTGCGTGAATCTAACTTGAAAATTCCAAACCAAATCCTCATCGACCTCGAAATGATCGATTGATTTTCCAAGGAGAGTCATCACTCATCACGCAATCTCTTGAACAAAAGAAAATAACACTGAGGTAAATAATACCAAACCCTGTCAATTTGAATATAAAGTAATTTATCATCTTTGACATCAAGTGAATCTAGGTGATTTACAGAATATCAAAGTTTGGTACAACTAACAGTTAGGATATATCAATATCAGGAATCGTATGGCAACTTGTATTGTATGACATGAACATGATCCATATAAAGTATAGAGGATATAAGTATTAATAATATCTTCTATTAAGTAAGTGTGGGTAATGGGACAAATGGTGAGGTTTTGTTTAGACCAATGATAGAGAATGATTGTGATTATGCCTGCTTTGTTTGTACTTGAATCGTCAATTCGTCACCAGTTTTGTGCTTGCGTTTCTTTTAGAGATTTAGAGGACGTGGCCCTTCGGAATTATAACGAAAAAAAAGGCAACATTTTATAATTTGATTTAGAACCAAAAATGTCTCTCAGCTAATATTATCTGATTTTAATTAGAAGAGAACTTATCACAAACATGGAGTATATTTCTATTTGTAGCTTAATTTTATTCTTTTAGATCCAAGTTGTTTTAATTTAGTAGCCATTTACGACTTTAATCTGTTACTTGTACTCTAGTGATCTAAACTACTACATCAATCTTATGTAATTTATTATTCTATGAGAAGGAAAAATTTAAGTTGCTTTATTCATTTTATCATTAGCAAGTTGAATTAGCGGTTTGATGTGAGTGATCATCGCTATTTATTTATGCTAATAATGATAATCAATCATGTCAATAGTATTGTTTGATTCTTTTTCCCTCATCCATCCATATTGATTTCATTATGCAAAAAGTACACGTAGGTCACATACGTATCTTTAATAAGCAAATTTTATACATGGCCATTGGAGATCCAAGCATGCAAATATTCCATAAACACTCCAGGGTTAATGCGATTAGTATTGCATTAAATTCTAGTAATACACTTTGGGGTCCACAATGGAAACCGGGACACGTCAAAGCTAGCACTTGACTTACATAACGCTTATGTATTGCACCACGTGTCCTGGTCCCCACTGAAGCCAAAACACACGTCGGTCATGTATCTCTAGCCTCACCACAAAGAAGCTAGTAGCCTCACACCGCCGCCTAGAGCAGTGACACACGTCCTGTCACCCGCATGTCACTCAATAATTTTATCATATTTTCGTTTAAAATAAACAACATTATCTTAATCTCTTTGTTAGGTGGTGGATCCCTACGGAGGGCTTTATTGTAATTCGCAGACTTGCACAAAGCTTTATTTCGAATGTCTATTTTTAAGCTTAAGCAGAGAGAATTAAATTGTTGGCGTTCCTTCTTGAACAAAGAAAGCTTTAGACGCTCCCTTTTGCATATTTGATCTTACGTGTGCGCTACGCGAATTTAGCAACTCTTTCCCTTTCTCTCTATCTGTCGCTACCTCTCGGTTGAGTAAAGTAAATCTAAAAAAAAAAATCTTTCCATGGAAATGGGAGAGAGAATCGATTCGAGTTGTTAGGGTTTGCGATATTTTAGGCTTGTGTC